GTGTTTCAATAGTGTTGATGATAAACGCAAATATAAACCTGTTTATTGTGTAATACAAGTGAATTTCCTAAATAATTCAATGTGAATTACCCATCATGGTTGTATTAAACACGGGGATGAGTTTTGATGCGCAACAAAACCGAACTCATTCAAGATCTTATGATCCTTAACATATACTATTCAAAAAAAGTAGGGGATATTTGATTTTTAAGTGTTATTAAAGTCACCTAATGAAACTGACGAAGAAACAAATGACAAAATGAAATGAAGTTCACATTCATCGATTTATTCCAAATGATCGTTAGACTAAGTAAGGCACAGACTGACCATTATAAGGGTAAAATGATACCCGGGGTCAAACAGCAAAGTTACCACAGCATCACAACCAAGTCAGTAACGGGTAAATCCTCCTCTGTTTGCCAAACAAGCATTGATCCGACGTGGCATACTCCTAATGAGACGTCTAAGGTCATTTTGGTCCAGATTGTCCCATTCCTGTTGCAACGCAGCAGCAAGTTCTTGGACATTGGCAGGACGTTGTTGACGTTGACGTAACCTCTGTCCAGACATGCTCGATGGGGGAGAGGTCGGGACTCAGTGCTGGCCAAGGTAATGTGGTGATGTTCTGTTGTTGGAGGTAACCTGTAACGATCCTGGCCCTGTGACATCTTGCGTTGTCATCCTGGAAGATGAAACGGCGGCCATGACGTCGTGCGAACGGCACAACATGGACTGCCAAGATGTTGTCCCGGTAGTACTGGCCTGTAACACGCCCTGCAACAACATGTAAAGCCGTTCTTCCAGCAACAGTGATGCCTCCCCACACCATAACAGAACCACCCCCAAATCGATCATGTCTGATGACGTTAACGTCTTGGAAGCGCTCGTTTCGACGACGCCACACCCTCCTACGTCTGTCCAAAAAATCAACAGTGAACCTTGACTCATCTGAAAACATCACATTGCTCCAGCGTCCATTATCCCAGTGTTGACGATCCCTACACCAACGACGTCTTGCCTGAATGTGATGATCTCTCAAACAAGGGATCACGCGAGGACGTCGGGCGCGAAGGTGACCCCTATGCAGTCGATTCCGAATCGTTTGGCCACTCACTCTCACACCAGTGTCTGTTTGAAAACGAGCGCTGATCTGATTTGCTGTGATGACACGATTTCTCAAGGCCAAGGTACGGATAAATCGATCCTGGGCTTGAGTTGTCGCCCTTGGTCGACCTGAGCGTGGTCTGTCCTGTACAGATTGTGTATCACGGTATCTGGACCATAGCCTGCTTATGACAGACTGAGAAACATTCATCGTCCGCGCCACAACCGCCTGTGTTGTGCCGATCTGTAGCATGCCAAGGGCACGTAACCTTTCATTTTGGGTAAGCCGACGCATATCAAAATTTGTTTTCTGGTCACTAAAACAATTAAACTGATGTTTCAACCCTGGAATTCACTGCCACAATGACTGTAACATTCAAAGTCAGAGTCGTGCAAATCTTGGGTTGGACCCCCATGATGATCCCAAGCATCACCTGCATTCCATGCGGTAGCTATTGGTGCGTTTGGGCGTCACATGTAACTTGAAATGTTTCTTCTGTTAGGTTCTATAGTGACTTTTTTCGTAGTCATTTGCATATTTTAGTATTATGCCCCCAAAATCCAATATCCCCTACTTTTTTTTAATAGTATATTTCTGAATCTGACACATATTATTGTAACCTTCTGGAAGGTCTTTAAACTTCATAAATCTTTCGCATGTTGCGTAAAAAGCAGGGCCATAACTTTAGAACGGAAGGTACGATGCACAACGCAAACAAACTTTGCTCCTGAACATTTAAGTTTCATCCGAGTCGGACACAAATTGTGACCTCTTGGTCCATAAACTTTATACATATTTAACATTTTGCGTAAAAATCAGGAACCATAACTCTAGAACGGAGGGTCCACTGCACACCAAAATCGAACTCATCCCGGATCTATTGGTCCTTGGCATATAATTCCTACAAAATTTCTCGCCTCTGAAGGATCTGCAAACTTTGTACATATTTCACATTTTGCGTGAAAGGCAGGGGACATAATTTCAGCACGGAATTGCGCACCAAAATCGAACCAATAAAATGTCTTTTGATCCTTAATACGTGTTTTAAGTTTCATCGAGATCGGACAACATTGTGGCCTTTATAGGACCCACAACCATGGTATACATATTAAATGCGTTTATACTATTTGCGAAAAGGCCATTCTGACAGAAATTTCCGATCCGATTTTCAAGAAATTCGATCTCAACCGTAATTATGGTGTAACGGTGATATATTTGAAGGGTGGTTTTTAAAATCGAATAACCAGCGGCTGCCAGGCAGGATACGCCCATATTTTGCAAGAGATTGATAAAGAACAAGCTAAAAACAAACGGGATTTTTTGTACAATCAGGGACAATAATCCAGAAAGTTATGGTCTGAAATGCGCAAATACCAAAAGGGACTGAGATCTTTGGGATATAAAGATATGTTTTAAGTTTCATCAGAATCGGATAAAAATTGTGACCTCTAGAGGGACGACAACCTTCGTATTGCATACTTTTACACAATTTGCGTACAAAGAGCGGCCATTTTGTTGGGCAGTTTCGTTTCGATTTTCCCAAAATTCGAATTCAGCCTTCATTATGGTGGAATGTTGAAATATTTCAACGGTTTTTAAAATCGGAAAAAAAATTGTGACCTCTAGAGAATCCGCAAGCTTAAAATAGAATTTTTCGAACAATCAGGGGCCATAATCCAGTAAGTTAAGTTCGGGTATCCGCGATTTTCAAAAGGATCCAAGATCTTAGTGTGTAATGGTGATATATTCACACATTGTTTTTAAAATCCCTCTACAGGGACCACAAGCTAAAAACGTGATTTTTCGTTAATCAAGGGTCATAATTCAGGAAGTTACGATCCGATATGCGCGGATATCAAAAGAAACCAAGATCTTTGGCTTATAAACTTACATTTCAAGTTTCATCAAAATCAGAAAAAAATTGTGACCTCTAGAGGGTCCACAACATTGATATGCTATATTTTTACTCTAATTGTGTACGAGGGACGGCCATTTTGTCCGGCAGTTTTGGTCCGATTTTCACGAAATTCGAACTCAACCAAAATTACGGTGGAACAGTGATAATTTTGAACGCTTTTTTTTTAAATCGGATAATAATTGTGACATCTAGAGGGACCTCAAGCTAAAAACGCGATTTTTCGTACAATCAGGGGCCACAATATAGGAAGTTATTATCCGATATGCGCGAATATCGAAAGGAACCAAGATCTTTGGGTTATAAACGTACATTTCAAGTTTCATCAAAATCAAAAGAAAATTGTGACCTCTAGAGGGTCCACAACATTGATATACCATATTTTTACTCTAATTGTGTACGAGGGACGGCCATTTTGTCCGGCAGTTTTGGTCCGATTTTCACGAAATTCGAACTCAACCAAAATTACGGCGTAACAGTGATAAAATTGAACGTTTTTTTTTTTAAATCGGATAATAATTGTGACATCTAGAGGACCTCAAGCTAAAAATGCTATTTTTCGTACAATCAGGGGCCAAAATTCAGAAAGTTACGGTCCGATATGCACGAATATCGAAAGGTTTTTTTGGGTTATAAACATGGATTTCAAGTTTCATCAAAATCAGAAGAAAATTGTGACGTCCAGAGGACCCACAACCTTGATATAGGCCTACCATATTTTTACGCTATTTGAGAACTAGGGGCGGCCATTTGTCTGTCAGTTTTGGGCCGATTTTCACGAAATTCGATCTCAACCATCAGTAGGATGTAATTGTGATATACTAAAACATTTTTTTAAATCGGATAAAAATTATAATTATGACCTCTATAAGGTCCACAAGCTAAAAACGAGGTTTATCCTACAATCAGGGGCTATAATTCAGGAAGCTACGGTACGATATGCGCGAATATCGAAAGGAACCTATGATCTTTGAGTTATAAACTTACATTTCAAGTTTCAACAAAATCGGATAAAAATTTTGACCTCTATAGGGTCCACAACCGTGATATACCATATTTTTACGCTATTTGAGAACAAGGACCGGCCATTTTGTCTGTCAGTTTAGAGCCGATTTGAACGAAATTCGAACTGAACTCAACCATCCTTAGGGTGTAACGGTGATATACAGTCAGGGGCCATAATTCAGGAAGTTACGGTCCGATATGCGCGAATATCGAAAGGAACCTAGTCTTTGGGTTCTAAACTTACATTTCAAGTTCCAACAAAATCGGATAAAAATTGTGACCTCTATAGGGTCCACAACCTTGATATACCATATTTCTACGCTATTTGATAACGAGGGGCGGCCATTTTGTCTTTCAGTTTTGGGCCGATTTGAACGAAATTCGAACTCCTTAGGGTGTAACGGTGATATACTAAACCGTTTTTTTTTTTAAATCGAATAAACATTATGACCTCTATAGGGTCCACAAGCTGAAAACGCGATTTTTCGTACAATCAGGGGCCATAATCCATGAAGTTTCGATCCGATACATGCCAATATCGAAAGCAACGTAGATCTTTGGAGATAAACCTATATTTCATGTTTCGTCAAAATCGGATAAGAATTGTGACCTGTAGAGTGTCCACAAACAATCTTGGACGGACAGACGGACGGATGTATAAGGGCGAAGACAAGATACGTCCACATGAAATACCACACCCACCACCAGAAACCCGGCAGACTTACATTCTGATGATACCATATATACATACATTGATACCATATAAGAGAAAATTGGTACACTTTTCAGCTAGGTTAACCCCCTGGGCTTCTGCTCTATAAAACATCGACACAGCACGTTTAGTTTGACTAGGATCTTTCATGCAGGTTTTATATATTTGAGAAGTTCAAGTTCATTATACATTTTGTAGTATTTGTTTTTTAAAAAAAATTACACTTAGCATACTGAAATTTTATAAAATTTTTTTAACTGAAGATGCTACCAAACCAATGGTACATGGCTAAAGATGAAAACCAGTGGGATTATCCGGACGTATTTAACCCAGATAGATTTTTAGATGAAGACAGAAAGTTTGTTCCGGTAACTCATCAGCTACGACAGCAGTAAGTAGTATGATTTTGTTAAAGATATCGCTCTGCCCCATTGATATCCGAAAAATTATTGACGCCCATTCTTGCTATACCTCTTTAGGAACTATTATTTGGAATACAAAATTTAATTTCATTCATTAATTATACAAAACAGCAAAAAAGAAAGTCAGTACGATTTCAAAATCAGAGAGGCATTCTAGAAACGACTTACTAAATTTATCAAAGCAATTTTTTGTGAACAGTATGTTGACACATTAGCCCAATCCATCGGCTGTATTTGGTCTCGGTACGACGTTATTAAGTCTCCTTTGAATTTCATCCCAAAGATGTTCAATCGAGTTTAAGTCCGGACTAAGGGCTGGCCAGTGCATACCGTTGATATCGTTCTGCCGTAGAAAGTCCCAAGTAACTCTAGCGGTGAGGGCACGGGCGTTGTCATGCTGGAAAACGTTGATTCGATGACGTGCGAAATGTGATATGACGTGGGGTCTGAGAGCTTGATCGATGTAGCGCACTGCTTTGATGCCGCCCCCCCCCTCCCTGGACCAAAATTTTGGAACACCACAGGACCACTCTCTGGTTCAAGCCGATTCCACTCCAAACCATTATGCTTGGACCTCCCCATGAGTCTCGTTCCATAGCACATTTCTCAGAATAACGCTGGCCACGTCGACGCCATATTCTGGTCATGCCATCTACAGTTGATACGCAATACCGACTCTGATCTGTGAACAGAACAGTTCTCCGTTGCCTGTGTCGCCAGTTGTGGTGTTGTTGGGCAAATTGTAGACGTTCACGTCCATGGCGAGGTGTGAGGATCGGTCCACGGTAAGGTCTACGGCAATGGTTGTTCTCTTAGGTGAGACGTCGGCCCACTGTATCGGTACTGATGGGTCTTCCGTGTTACCACTGTCTGACGTGCTGTCCCAGATGCCTGTATGAAGAGATTCTGCACGTGTAGTAGCGCAACATGGCGGTCTTGTCGCCTTGTGGTAACCCTAGGTCCACCAGTTCGGGGGCGATTATCCGTGGTGTTGGTGACCCGAAAGCGTTGCTGAAGCCTGTACATGATCCGAACATTGACCTGGAAGTGATTGGCAGCGACTAAGACAGTGTGGCCAGCGTCGGGTCTTCCAAGCGCTTGGTTCCTCTGAGCTGTCGTGAGTCGTGGCATGCTACTGACGTTGTATGGGGGTACATTTTATAGGGCTGGTCCCGGTGAACAGCACGTGCAGCATTAGTTACATGAAAATCATGGAGAACACATTACCATCTCAGAAGTCAGGTTGCGTTTTGGGGAACATTTCCTGGGTTCAATTCTGTGTTTGGGAGGAGCCTTATTGCTCAGATAAAGTTGGAGATGTTGTCACAAATATACAATAAAAACATGTGGCAAGTTTTATGCAATGCGTCTATTCAGAATAACATACCAACCTGACGTTTCTTTTGCTGCTTAGTATAGATCCATTGTTTGATTACTTGATTTATTTTTTTACAGACTGTTACCATTTGGCGTTGGAAGAAGACTTTGTATTGGCGAATCGTTTGCTAAGTCACGCATATTTCTGTATGTGACGTCATTGCTACAGAAGTTTAGCTTCCGACCAGATGACAATCCACTGGCACCAGAAGACTCCAAATATTGGGAATTGAACGCAGCCATGCATCCCCCTTTTCTGAAATGCTTTATTGAACAACGAAAATAACGTCAAGAATCCGTGTTGTCCTATTTTAAACACAATTCAATAGAGCAGGTTGGGGTAAAGCAAAGCCGTGGACCCACATAATGCGAATCGACTGAAAGCACTAACTTGGCACTTTTATTTATCGACTTTGAATTAAAATGAATTTGACGATCGATGGTAATTTCTTATTATAAAAACTCAATATATATGACATATGTAATAAAACTCCTCTTCTATGAACATACTGTAAGTGTACTTAAAATAAACGGTTCAAAATCTGTAAAAAATTTGATAGCTTTATCCGGATGAAACAAAAGGAGCCTTATTTCCGTTATTATTTCGTCTATTTATTATTATGTTTACATTTTTGAAGTCAGTCTATTCAGATCTCAACCGCACTATCTTATTCGTTTACCCTAATAAATGGAGTGCCACAGGGTTCAGTGCTTAATCCCGTGCTGTTTATGTTGTACAGCATTAGCATTGGTAATATTTTATACAAGAGTTCAACTTTCTTTGTCATTGCTCTGCGGATGACCCTCAAATCATTGACAGCTTTCAGTCCTTAAACTACAAAGGAGTCCTTCAGTTATGTTGAATTGTGCACAAACGACATAAAAACGAAAGTTATGTAAATCGGTACCAAAAAGCAGTAATTTAACATTAATAAAAATGTTATTACTATAGCTGACTCACAAATTCCATTTGTTGATAATGTTAAAGAACTTGGTGTCTATTTGGATGCGGAACTTGACATGGAAAATCAAGTTAATCATTTTTGTAAGACTTGCTACGTAATCTGCGATCCATACTTGAAATTCGGAATCTAATAATCTCAAACGATGCTACCCATATACTGGTTCGCTGTTTAGTATTATTAAGAATTGATTACTGCAATAGTCTTCTCTGGGGTATCAATCATACATTTATTAATGAGTTACAGCTATTACAAAACACTGTAGGTAGGATTGTTTTTCAATCTACATTTGTATAAGATACAGGTATAACATTTATAAGACATAAGTTAAGTTTGTCGAGGTCAATATTTGGAAGGTTGCTGCTAATTTATTAAAGTTTGATGTTGACTCGGGTTTATATGCACTTTCCTAGTGTTTAGTGACTAAAGTAGATCTTCATTGTTTTCCACTTCTTAACACTTAAGCTTAGAGAGTTGATGTTCACTTGTTGTTCGGCAGCATGTCGACAAACCTGGAAATATAGTCCACCTTGTGTTTCTTGATGGATTATATATCTTCAATATAGTGAAGATTCAGGATCAGGATGATGCCACGCTGGCAACATTGGGGAAATTTAAATATTCAAGATGGCAGACATGCGGCATGTGGGCAAAATGTGTGACAAATTCTCTCGGGCTCAGTTTGAAGGTAGTTTCTATAAGAATTGCCTTCAACTAAATATCACCCGATGGTTGATTGTGTTAGGCAGTAAGGCCGTGAGGAATTTGTGTTCGTATAAGTATACAAGGGGTAGATCGGATGCTCTTGAGTTACTTGTTCTTATTAACGCTAATTCCGCTGTGATTTTCCGCCAAAATAAACCCTCATTTCGAATTTGTCCCTCCTAGCGGAATTAGCCGCCCCTTTGGGAGGGATACCCTGCTTATTGGGTTTGGCGGGTCGAATTCTTATAGAAACCACTTTCAAATCGAGGTCCGAGAGAATTTGTCACGCATATTTCTCAACAAAATAACCCGGAAATGCCTCTTGTCGACCATATTGAATATTTAAATATCCCCAATGATGCCAGAGTGGCATCATCCGGATTCTAAATCTACACATAATATTGAAGATATATAATCCATCAAAAAACATTAGGTGGACTATATTTCCATGCCAATGCTTAAACTGGGGTTTTGAAATATAGTGATGAAAAATCCAATTTTTTCGAATAATCATTCTTTGTAACATTACAAACGCACATGCACGCTTTCAAGGAAATCCGAAAGATCTACATGATAGTATTCCAAAATACTACCTATGAGAGATATCTCAACTGCTGCTTCTAGGGCATTGGAGATGATAGCAGTTTATTTGGAAACAAAAATAGTGTGTTCACAAGAACTTTTATGATCTTTCCGCAAATATATTTCATTACGTTATTTCGACTTCAACGAAAAAATCGTCATCTATACTGACGCCCACAGGGTTAGGAGCAATGCTCAATCAGGGGGACAGCATCACTGCTGTCTAAAACTAGCCTATGTCGCTTTTCCAGGGTTTTCGGCAAAGGGGAGATAACTCCGGAACGGAAATTCGCAGAACGCTGGAATGATGGATATCGGTAGGGTCCGTCCTTTCATGACCTGGAGCAACAGTGGCCATGTGACTAAGACGCTAGCTCGCTAGCCTGGAGGTCGCAGGTTCGCTCCCGGTGTTGGATCGGGATTTTCCAGCGTGGTTTCTCCTTGTCAGTGGGCAGGATGGAGGGCCTGACAAGGACAGCTGTCTAGTGGTTCGGATAGTATAAAAAAACTGAAGTCCCGTGTGCACGTAAAAGATCCCTTGACAGTTGGAAGGGCAAAATCTCCCTCGGAGCAGAACAGTAGGGCGTTAAAACCCATTACACTTCACATCACTTCCTCTCATCACCCCAATGCTTTTTACCAAATCTGAAAAACATTCGTTAAAAAAACTATAGCCTCCAATGCCTTCACGGGGTTTTTGTTAAAGGGGGGTGGGGTAACTAACTGTTAAAGGAGCTAAATCGTTAATATTTGGGACCTACAAAATGACACAAATGGGTCGCAACGTATATAATAATGTAATATGAATGTAAAAAAACTGATTTACATTCAATCGTTTTCGTTTTTACTCTAATTTCAAAACAGTTATGTTCGGCGAAATACGCCAGAAGTCTCAATCAAATGGCAATCTCTAGCGTCTGGTTATTCCAGTCTACACCGATAGTATTTATTGCGCATGCTCTCCAGAGAAGAATATGGGGTCACCGTTTGACATGACTTGTGGAATATGTCTAACCTCGTTCTTCCGAGTCGCTTGTTACAAATTGCGTTAAAACGCATTATGGTACACGATTCGTGTACCAATGGTAAAATTGTCTTAAATATTGGATATCAGAAGCCCATCATTTTCCGGTATGATCACAACACCACTGTTGATTAAAATTGACAAACAATTCGTGTTTTCATTGTCGAAGGTTTTGGATGATATTGAGTTAGAGACTTAGCTACTTTAAGTTTCCATCTCCTTACTCGCAACTCCAGTTTTGGTTACAAATTATGAAGTCTTACTTAAAACGGGTATCGGGAGCCATGGTGGCTCAGTAAGTAAGGCAAGGAACAGTGTCTAGTTGTTCAGATGAACGAAGACGCGGGTCCCTGTATACATGTTGGCATGCAGGTTAAAGAAAACTTTGCAGTCGGAATTCCAAATCTGAGTAGGTCACAATTTCCCTCATTGCCTACTGCATGTAATATGCCCATCTTCATTTAATTTAGCCCAGATGGAGTAGAAAATTAGGCCGTTAAACCCCATTTCATTTTTATAACGGATATCTGTCTTCAATCTGAATACAAATGAAATGAAATGAAATGAAATGGAGTTTAACGTCCTACTGTTCTGCTCCTAACCTGGGCTAATGAAGACGGGCATACGCCATACAGTGGGCTATGAGGGAAATTTTGCCCGGACAGCGGCACTACGGCCTACTCTTATATCGAATTCCAACTGCCAAGGGATCTTTTACGTGCACGCCAATGTGTACACGGGACCTCGGTTTTTCGTCCCATCCGAACAACTAGACAGCTTTCCTTGTCAGCCCCTCCGTCCTGCATCACTGACAAGGGAGAACCACGCTGGAAAATCTGGATGAACTTTCTCGGCCAATGCAGGGATCGAACACCCGACCTCCAGGCTAGCGAGCTAGCGTCTTACCCACTTCGCCACGTGATCCCCCAATCTGAATACAAGATAATACACTACTGAATTTTAATGTAGTGGTCCCCACCTTTTATAAAGTTAACAGATTTAAATAATTTACTTACGTGTTAGTTCATATCATTTGACAACGTGAAATCCAGGTTTGTATTAAAAAATTTCTCGTCGTTGTTTAACTCATTCTTATCACAACGTGAACATATTTTACAAGTTATCCCATTATGTGTTCTAGAAATAAACTCAACGGAAGATCTCAGTCTGAAAAATTGAAATAATTTGTGTTTTCAGCTTCTATATACATATTGGGAAATAATAATAATAATAATAATATGTACATTTATGCAGGCCCGCGACGCTAGAAAGGTTATGTGTCCAATCCGATTAAAACAGATTCTATTTCGTTTTGTTTTTTAGTTTTTATTAGACTATTCTATTTGTTTTTGTTTGTTTCAAGGCTTTATACTATTGTCTAAATAGGATGAAAAATAAAATGATATAGAATGCACACGTGCCTCTCTGATTTGACTTACACTCTTACAGGTTCTGGTAATCCACACATATAACAAGAGGCAGGTTGCACATCAACATCTGGTGTATTTGGTTTTGTAGACAATTGATTGAAACCTTGTGGATTGGACTCTTCTAATGTCCTATCTATGAAAGATACATAACAACAATACATACAAGTTTATTTGTACGTCCACTCAACACTGTGTCATTTCGGGGCTAACATATGGCAAATATGTTGTTTATTTTTAGATTTGCGTACATGACTGTTTAGCTGAGGTTAGGCAGATAGTCCACTCTCTGCAACAACATTCTGGTTTGACACATGCTTTTCGCTATCTATCCCCTCGAATAAATGAATACTTGTTTAAGAATTCGTCTTCATTGGCCCCATTGGGAAAGAAAAGTAGTACGTTAATCCCCATTTCATTTCGTTAAAGACAGTTGCCTATGTAGTGGAAAGTAGTAATATATGGAAATATAATCTTAAACTTTGCAACCTTGAATGGTAATTCTTGTACAATTTTCCTGTCTTTCTATATACCAATTATGTTGAGAAAAATAATTTGGCCTTCATTATACAAATACTTACCTTTATGTTTAATGTGTGTATATGTTTGATTGATTTGTCGGTGCCCTGGCTGTAAATATTGAGAAAATGACATTTTAATCATGTTTCAAAATCATTTTGTCTTATATGTTACCCTGTCTTCATTATCCAAGTCGGAGTAAAACAGTAGGACGTTAAACCCCATTTCATTTCTTATTACATTTCACAATTATAATACATTTGTACCACTTGTTAATTCTACTTAAAATGTGAAATGTCTTTAAAGTTATAGTCATTGTTCCATCCCAACCTTAGTCCTTATAACATACCGAACACTAGTAAAACCCAGAATTTAGTACAGTTTTCCCTAAAGCTCAACTATACCCTATAAACTCTGTAGCTTTCTAACCGTTTTATACCTACAGTATGGTACATCAGGAACAGCAACTTCTCAAGTAATTGTTACATATTCTCCCAAGCAAATTTTGTGGTGAGCATGCATCTTAATTTAAAAACGACAGAAGAACGCTAAATATATATAGAGTTCATCCTCCCGTGACCCCAATTCATCCCACCACATTTTACAAAAATCCTTCAAAAATTGTAGACTCTATCGTGTTCACAGGGAGGGGTGACCCTAAAACGAAAGTCACAGAACGCTAGTAATATCGATACTAGATTCATCCTCTCATGGCCCCAATGCCTCCCACCAAATTTGAAAGAAATCCGTTAAAACTATACCCTCTATCTCGTCCACAATGTTGGCTTCCCACCAAATTTAGAAAACATCCGTTTAAAACTACATCCTTCATCGTGTGCTCAAGGTTGTCGGCACAAGTGGGGAACAGAAAGTCACCGTACACTAAATATTAGGAGGGGGGAGGGGAGTGGGGGATGGTTAGCGCGTGCGTGCTGTATCATAAGGTATGTCACTGAGTCAACTAACGTGGTTTCGATTCCTCCGTTTTACGTGACGAGGAGTAGGGTCGCCTGTCCAACCTCGTGGGTTTTCCCGGGTCCTCTGGTTTCCTACCACTGCTAAAGACCCTTACGCGCAAGCGAATTATGGGAATGAATTTGAACCATGTGTTAGTCACGAAATGACCTAGTTTGTGTCGAGTGGACGTTAAACTCTCTCTCTATCGCTGTAGCCTCTATTGCGTTCGCGAGGGGATATACCTCTGAGACGGAAAGTCGCAGAACGTTGAATTTCGATATGATTCGTTTTCTCATGACCCCGATGCTTCAAACCAAATTTGAAAAAAATATGTTAAAAACTATAGCCTCTATCGCGTTCACAAGGTTTTCAGCAAGGCGAGGATGACTCCGGAACGTTGAATATCGATAGGGTACGTACTCCCGTTACAACGGACCACAAAACTATAAAGAATGGATTGTAAAAAATAACTCACCTTAATTAGGACTGTTCCTCTAAATTTATAAGCCTTATCTACAGCACCGTCATATAAATATATGACTGTTTGTTTGTAGTCTTCATGTAAATAGAACTCTGTATCCAGTTCCTGTCTTGTAGGTATATGATTTAATATTTTAGTTAATAACAGTTTAATGTAAATATCTATTCCAACCAAAGCATCCATAGCTGCATAATGTATCTGTAAATATAACAAAATAAAACCAATTGATTCCTTACAGCATCTAGATAAATACCGGCAAAGTAAATGTAAATTTGATTTTTAAGAGTAGTGACACGTCCTTGGTCATTTATTCATCGCAGCCAAAACGTTAGTGATTTCGCTTTAAAAGCGTTTAGTGACCACTGTATGACACCCCGTTGCCTACCTGATAATAATAAATATATATAGCGCCAAAACTCCACAAAAATGGGCAATTTTTTAAGGTCATGTGTAAGCACTTGCCAGAAGCCTTATCTTAAAGTTTATCTGTAATAATAGGCTAATATATGTATTTCAAACACCTACCTGATCGTGGGTGAATTCGGGAGCTTCCCAGTTTCCACACCTAACTTCAGGAATCTTTGACATCTTGTAACCCAGTATTCCTTCGGATAAGCCATACAGTCCGCGTGATTTACTGTAATATAATATATCAATATCATTACTATTACACCTTAAAAGATTGTCAGCATACAAAATGTTTCCAGTTAGCTTACGTGATAATTGAGGGAAAAGAAAAAAACAACCATAAAATGGTGAACTTTGAATGAGATGCAAGGAATCTGTTTCAAGTAAACCACGTTAAGTTTTACAGTTACCTGTGCCGAACATACAAGTAGTAAACATCGTCACGCAAAGCGAGGATTACGCCCACACAGCAGCTGCAGCTTATTCGAAAGAAAACTAACTTGGGTGTTGAGAAAATTCCACACAGTTCTCGCAAAGGGGGAATAACTCGAGGCAGGAAGTCTGCAAATTATGAATATCCATAGGAATCGATGGCATAACACCGGAACCGAAGGTCGCGACGAACGCTGAATATCGATAGGGTTCATCCGCCCATGACCCCAATGCTTCACACCATTTACTTCACATTGGGGGGGGTGGGTGCTGAACTGAAGGTCGCGGAACGCTAAATACCAGTACCTTATATCGCGTTCACAAGGTTTTCTGCAAAGGGGGTAACTCCGGAACGCTGAATATCGATAGGGTTCATCCTCCCATGACCACAATGTTTCACACAAAATGTATCCGTTGAAAAATTGCAGCCTCGCAGCCTCTATCGCATTCACAAGCCAATCTGTTAAAAACTAGCTTATATTATCGCTTCACGGGGTTTCGGTAAAGGGGGGTAACTACGGAACGGAAAGTCGAGGATAGCTGAAAATCAATATATATGGTTCATCATCTCATGATCCCAATGTTTACAATCAAATTTGATGACATTTCGTTAAAAATGTAGCCCCCTTAGCGTTCACAAGGTTTTCGGCAAAGGGTGGTTAAATCCGGAACTGAAAGTAGAGATAGTATTATCCTGACCACAATGCTTCACACCCAATTTGACCGACGGGCTGGGTGACGACATAATGCGCCCACGCTGACACGAGGGTGCCTAAAGAAGGATTATTTATACCATTCATAAAATCCACGAATTCTGGGTACTACATGACGTAGATCAACACAACCTCGTACTTTTAAATTATAATGTCTCTCTAATTTATCTCCATCATCTTTTACAGCTACACCAACTTTAATAATACTGTAAAATACAACATATTACAATACTTTTATAGCTACACCAACTTTAATAATACTGTAAAACATAATCTTACTAAATGAATAATATACAAAATCTTTTCAAGCAGTCCTTCAGAGGACTTGGTCAATCTGTAAAATATGAACATAATGCATTATATAAAGACACTGTTCTGCAGAGTAAAGTAGGCCCAGGTCGTTTTAAATGCCGCGGTATTGCTAGGTCTGAAAAGGAGGAATGACATGCGCATGGGAAAATTTATTTCTCAATGACAGCTATGTCATAATTTTATGAAATATTGTAGGCTCAACGAATATATATATGGGGAAAATTATTAGGAGATAAGTCCCTTCCCCCGCACTTTCACTCTTGCATCTAACTATCACCAGTGTACGAACCTCTTATCAGATAATATTTCTAGTAATGATTGTGGTAAATCATCAGCTGACATCTGACACAATCTAACTAACACACATAATCCGTCATATGTAGCCAGCTGAAGTAAAGCAACTCTACTTTCAGTTTCCCCTTCTGCATAAGGTAACCATTCACAATCTAACCCTAATATCTGTAATGACAAATTAGTCCTTGATCAATAATTAATTACCCAACAGTAAATGTCAACTTGAACACTGTGAAATGATAAAAAGAGCATCACTAACACTGCAATATACGTCCACATTCCTGATTTGATTGATATGATACTTTTTTAAATGAAGACTCAATGACAGACCTTATGATACAGCGCGCACGCTATAACCATTCAGCCACCCAACGCCCCTGGAACAATACAAATAGGTACCACCCTGTTATTGAAATGACTGATATGCTGAATTTAAAACAAAATCAATAGTTGCCGTCCTTAGGGTATAAGGAATAAGTATACCATGTTCCAATATAATCCATTCAGAATTGTGGCCTTCGGACGCTAAACACAAAATTTGGACGTGGCTCTGCCCCTGGGGGTCGAGACAAGCAACAAAATCAATAGTTGACGCCCTTAGGCCATGCCAAGTTTCAAGGTGATCCATTCAGAATTGCGGTCTGTATACGATAAACACAAACTTGGGCGTGGCTATAAGGAATACATATACCAAGTTCCAAGACGATCCATTAAGAATTGTCGCCTGTAGACAACACACGGACACATAAAGAAAAAAAATGGGTGTGGCTATGTCCCTGTAGGCGAAACACAGACACACACAAAAATTGGGCGTGGCTCTGTCCCAGGGGGTCGGGCACGCACCAAAAATAATAGAGGTCATCCTTAGGGTATAAGGAATAAGTATGAAAAATTTTCAAGACAATCGATTAAGAATTGCGGCCTGTAGGTGGCAAACAGAAACACAAAAAGAAACTTGGTGTGGCTCTGTCCCCGGGGGTTGGGCATGCAGCGCAAACAATAGGGATGTTCCTTAAGGAAAGGAATAAGTATGCAAAGTTTCAAGATAATACGTTAAGAAATGCGGCCTGTAGACGACAAACAAACAATTAAAAGAAATGGGCGTGGTTCTGTCACTGGGGGTCGGGCACGCACCAAAAATAATAGAGGTCGTCCTTAGGGTATAAGGAATAAGTATTTAAAGTTAAAGGCGACACACAGATACACACACATCCGTACATACGTACATACATACATACATACATACATACATACCATATTATATACGATCCATGATACACACATACATACATACAGACAGGGGATAGTCAGTCTGGTTAAAATACAGATCTATATTACGTTTCGTTTTTTTATACTTTCGAGAGCCTCTACTACATGAAGATCTGACCAGTTGTAACCCGAGTTCGCATCAGGGGTCATAGTATACGACATTTGATTAACCAATCAGCGTTGATGTTCCTAATTGGTTACCCACCACCCACTGTTTCATGCAACTCACGCCAAAAACTCGCCGTAGCAGACCGTTTCATTGGCTAATCCCTCACATCAATAGGAACACGGGTTATGTAAAAACTCTTCCAGATCCCAGTGTAATAGAGACCAGTAAAACTAAATTTTGAACTATAAAAAACGAAACGAAATAGGATCTGTGTTTTAATCAAGATTGGGAGATTAGTCTTAAATGACCATGTCCACATGGGACCTCAGTTTTCCGTCTAATCCGAAACAACTGGACATAAAAGAATTTTTGTCAAAATATGCCTCCAAAATAGAAATTAAAATCAAACACTACCTTTACTGTGTGGGTATGACTATTTATAGTTGGATAAAGATGTTCCCATTCTGATGGTGATCTGACGACGTGTATTTCTTTAGGTGTTCTCGATGTATCGATTATGCGTTTGGTAGACGATAAGCGGTGAATAATATAGACGACAACAGCAGTAATGGTTAGTCCTGAAAAAGAATAAAATGGTTGTGATAAAATCGTGCTCTACTATCATTTTATTCTTCAAGACAAGGGAGAGTGGTATTACTCTACATAACGGGATATTGCGGATACAGGGTCAGTAAATTTGCACTCTATTTAAAATTATGCTGTTAACATTACTACATTAAATCTAACAATTTATGGCCTGACCTTTTATCGATGAATATAAAACAGTTTGGACAAACTCAATCAAAGGGGCTAAATTAATGCTTCAAAGAGTAAAGATCAATTTTTGTGGAATGTAAAGTGTTAATTTGAGCTGTTAAAAACTAATTAATCAATCTGAAAAGACATCTGGAATAAGAAGGGGTGCTAAAAAAAAAACATTTTCTCACACGCATATAGCCCATTCCTGTCAAAAACTATCCGTACTACAAACTAAAAACTAATCGAATCTTTGGGAATGCAATAAGGGATGATCGGACCAGAGGACGTAAATATTAAAACATTCTTACTAAAAACAAATCCACCCTCTGGGAATAAAACGATGGTCGGATTAGCGGACCATAATTGGACTTTACGGGCCTCTCAAGACGGGTCATCGTACTAAAGGACAATCAGAAATGAAATGGGGTCTACTTTTCTGCAATGACTAGGCTATAAAGAAGGACTTTAACGGTTGCATTGACAACGGCGCTACGGCCTACTCTTATTTCGAATTCCAACTGTCAGGCGTTTTTTTTTTTACGTGCACGCCAATTACATGGGACCTCGGTTTTTCGTCCCACCCGAACGAATTGAAAACTGGCATATCAGGTCCTTCGTCCTTTTTTTTAGCATCACTAACAAAGAGAAACTGCACCGGAACAAAAACGAGGACCTTACTCAGGCAACACCGGGAGCGAACCCTGACCTCCTGGTTAGCGAGTCGCCGTCCTGTAAACTGAGCCATCTCGGCTCCCACGACAATCGGAATGGTACATGGAGGGTTGATAGATTTCCGGGCAGTTAAAATAAACTATCAAAAACAGGGATTAAGGGAATGCCAGACAAACGGACTATCGCTCCAGGGCGGTCGGGGGAACGGACTTTCAGATTTACAGGCCCTCCAATTAACCTTTTGTTTAGATCGAGGATCATCGAACAAAAGGACTTAGGCCTACATCCGAGTAAATGAAATGAATTAATCTCAATCAAACTCGAGAAAGATCAAACGATCGAAGGGTCGACATATATCGGGCCATACGTTTCTGTATCGGACAATTTTCAAATGTAAACAATTTAATTAAATCAACCTGTCCATAACATATTTATTGTATTGAACGTTAAATCTTTAATAAACAACAATATGTATCGGACCAAGAAGGCAATTAGATTTAGCGGCTGCAGTAGAGAGCCTATACTCGGACCAAAGTTATTATCATTATTAGAATGTGTTATCGGGGAAGTTCAGTGTGTAGGCCTATAACAGTGTCGTCTTAAATACTCGAATCTGGAAATAACCAACTTGAGCTAGCATATTGATAATAATAATAATTATAATTATTAATATGTATCCGAGAATTCGCGTTGCCGCGTGCCTTGTCGCGTATGTATTGTAGCCTAGCAAACTAAAAGAACTCTAAAATTAACGACCGAACTGGGTGAAATTTATTGTGGAACGAACATTGGGCGTCTGAAAATTTCAAGTCTTTTCAACCATTGCAAGGGGGTTGGATGGCCGAATGGTTAGCACCTGCGCGCTGTATCATAAGGTCTGTCATAAGGTCTCAGGTCCTCCGGTTTCCTCCCACTGCTACAGACCTCTACGCGCAAGCGAATTATTGAAATGAAATTGAACCATGTGTTAGTCCCGAAATGATCCCTCTCTCTGCCCCCCCCCCTCTCTCTCTCGACCATTGCAATGATTTGCAAGCTGAACGAAAGGGTCATGAAATGCGCCGAAGGATGGCACTTTAGATTTTGTCTGAAATGACCTGGTAAATCTAGTCTATGGGGTTGTTTCGAAAAATAATTCCATACCATACCTATAAAAACATCCCGCGGTATAAACAGTTGTTCTAATAGTTCTAAAAACATTGTATCTGGTATTTATCAATCGTACACAAGAAAGGCGTTGGTATAGAAAGTGGGTGTTTGTGGAAAAGGGAAATATTTCAGTATTGTACGAGAATAGATAACTCTGTGTAGTTTTGTCTCTCTCTCGGTAATCCCCGTTTCTGCTACAAGGCCACATTTGGCTCACCAAGTGTGGGATAAAGATACCAGGGATATAGCTTGTTTATGGATACTTTAATGGGGACACTTAAAAATAAATTATTCTATGGGGTAATCAAATTCTAAACACAATTCTTGCATTTTAAAAAAAATATCTATAAAAATAACCCAAAACAAAACAACGGTATACTGGTACATCGTGAAAATTGGCACGAGTTATCTTTTCCTGGATAAAACTTCGCGGTAAAATAGAAGATAAAATAATCAATAAGAAAGAAAACACAGGAAATAAATTCAAGATTTCTTAGATCAGTGAACATTTCACGTAATATCAGAATGGGAGTAAGTATTATATGTTTTAAAGACAAGTAATTAGTTTTCAAATATTGATGATGACAATTGATGGATTTAAAATGAAATTTTTTTTTTTTTTTTTTTATCATGCAAAGTAAAGTAACCTACTCAGTCTCAGTCTGAACCGTCGTAAATTTTAAGCGGATTTAGGCCTAGTACGTACACCCGGCTACTTTTGACTTCCACTACTAACCCTAACCCTCAGTAGCCGGATCACCGTATACTGTGCCCGGATTTCTTCTAATATGAACTCAATAACATCCAAAATTTTCGACACTGAAAACATGATTTATTTGTCGGTTTAAATCAACATTGATGTTGTGATCTTACCGGGAAAAGATGGCCTTCTGATATCCAATATTTAAGACAAAAAAACATTTTACGATTGGTAACACAAATCGTGTACCATAATAATTTCTACTTGTCACCTGAGACAAGTAAAATTTTACAAACATTTCATCCCCTGATGTATCCATACAGTTGTACTCTCAGTTATTAACTATATTAATCACAAGTAGGCCTACGACTCCATTTTGAAATCTACAGAGAATGGAATTTTCTGATGGCATTTCGTAGATCACGATCATGCCTCAGCCAATCAACGCTTTGAATTCTATTACCGTAAAAGGTACCATGCCATATGAGTTATTGTATGCTATACAGATGCAGTGAAAATGGTTAAATTTAGCTCGAAACTTGCACATGTTTTTCCCATCGTCTGCATAATTAACACACATGACCCAATAATACACACAATCTGCGATGCCTCTTTTGACAAGTGGGGGGTTGGATGGCCAAATGGTTAGCAGGTGCGCACGCTGTATCATAAGGCCTGTCATTGAGTCAACTGGCGTGGTTTCGAATCCCTGGTTGTACGTGACAAGGAGTAGGGTTGCCTGTCCAACCTCGCAGGTTTTCTCCAGGTCTACCGGTTTCCTCCCACTGCTAAAGACCCCTACGCGCAAATGAATTATTGAAATAAAATTAAACCATTTTAGTCCCGAAATGACCTAGTTTGTGTCGAGTGGACGTTAAACCCCATTTCTCTCTCTCTCTTTTGACAAGTGATTTTTTTGTTTTAAATACATTTTTATAAAGACGATAAAACAATGTTTAAACATCCCAAACTGTTCTTATCAAGAATGTTTCGATTTCAGTATCTGTCGTATAAACAAAAAAAAAAGTAATTTAATCAGGAAAATTATTGACGTGAACAGTTGGAACGTGAATTAAATATGGAAATTATTGAGAAGCGGTGGCCTTTATTCATAGTTTTTGTGGTAATCATAAAACTTTGAAAATGGACTAATAACCACAGAGCATTGGGATTAGACCCCGCATTATGAAATATGATAATTAAAATTATGAAATAAAGTGTGTTTATTTATAAATGTTAGTCACAAAGTTGCCTATAATTGACCGGGATGTTGGGCCTAATATAATTTATTAAAGCGAGAATTGACTTCAAATTGATGTCCCTTACATATCAATACGTGTACTGTGTAGTGCCATCTTATCTGAGAGAACTTGTGGTATCTTACATGTCATCGAAAAACCTAAGATCAAGTAGTAAAGTACTTAGAATAGTAAGAACAACCTTGTTGTCCCAAAATATAAATTCAGCCCCTTTGGTGATGTTGTTGCCAATTTGTGGAACTCGCTACCTAAAAATCTTAAATCTAGTCCATCATTAGACTCCTTTATCAAGATTGAAAACATTTATTTAAGAAATATTTGCAAGAGTGATTGTGTTTTTTGCAAATTCAGATCCGGGCTCATCCTGTTATACCCCTGCTATTGTTCTTATGGTAGGTTCTTACGGTAGGGATTATCAAATACAAAGGATTAAAACTGTAGCCCGCTTCACAGAAATGAGGTTTAAAACAAAAGTGAAACCGACAAAAAGCAACTTTATATATATAGTTTATTGCATTTACCTATATCGAATAGACAAAAAATATTAAAAACAAATCATAAACCCGTTAAATAGCATCGCATATCAATAGCATTTTTTACTCCCGTCAACGATTCTGTTTTCACTTATACGCTGTTCAACTCTTCGTTATTTTCGCCGTAGAAAAAAATCGTACTTGAGCTTTTGCAATTTTTAATGATATGTTGTAATTGTTCGTTCGTTACTAGAGTTTTACGTCCACTTCCACCAAGAGTGATATCGTAGTGTTGTAATTGGGGTGATAAATATCCTTATACGGTGATAGTGAGTTTCTAATCATATATTTGATTGATTCATGGGTAAATTTTGAATGTAAGATGATGACACATGAACTTATCTCATTTATTTTAATCATTAACATAGTTAACCGTCAAATAGATGAACAGTAATAATAATGAACAGTCTATAATCCTAAATGTTTACTTAAATGTTACCTCACCATACACCGTTTGATTGGGATGCATTGCGGTATTAAACCTCAGATCCATTTGGAATGTGAACATGCTTAATGTAGCTGATAAGAGAGCACCCGAATAGTCAAATTATATCAAACAGCAAATTATACTATTCAAAAAAAGTAGGGGATATTTGATTTTGGGGGCATAATACTAAAATATGCAAATGACTACGAAAAAAGTCACTATAGAACCTAACAGAAGAAACATTTCCAGTTACATGTGACGCCCAAACGCACCAATAGCTACCGCATGGAATGCAGGTGATGCTTGGGATCATCATGGGGGTCCAACCCAAGATTTGCACGACTCTGACTTTGAATGTTACAGTCATTGTGGCATTGAATTCCAGGGTGGAAACATCAGTTTAATTGTTTTAGTGACCAGAAAACAAATTTTGATATGCGTCGGCTTACCCAAAATGAAAGGTTACGTGCCCTTGGCATGCTACAGATCGGCACAACACAGGCGGTTGTGGCGCGGACGATGAATGTTTCTCAGTCTGTCATAAGCAGGCTATGGTCCAGATACCGTGATACACAATCTGTACAGGACAGACCACGCTCAGGTCGACCAAGGGCGACAACTCAAGCCCAGGATCGATTTATCCGTACCTTGGCCTTGAGAAATCGTGTCATCACAGCAAATCAGATCAGCGCTCGTCTTCAAACAGACACTGGTGTGAGAGTGAGTGGCCAGACGATTCGGAATCGACTGCATAGGGGTCACCTTCGCGCCCGACGTCCTCGCGTGATCCCTTGTTTGAGAGATCATCACATTCGGGCAAGACGTCGTTGGTGTAGGGATCGTCAACACTGGGATAATCGACGCTGGAGCAATGTGATGTTTTCAGATGAGTCAAGGTTCACTGTTGATTTTTTGGACAGGCGTAGGAGGGTGTGGCGTCGTCGAAACGAGCGCTTCCAAGACGTTAACGTCATCAGACATGATCGATTTGGGGGTGGTTCTGTTATGGTGTGGGGAGGCATCACTGTTGCTGGAAGAACGGCTTTACATGTTGTTGCAGGGCGTGTTACAGGCCAGTAATACCGGGACAACATCTTGGCAGTCCATGTTGTGCCGTTTGCACGACGTCATGGCCGCCGTTTCATCTTCCAGGATGACAACGCAAGATGTCACAGGGCCAGGACTGTTACAGGTTACCTCCAACAACAGAACATCACCACATTACCTTGGCCAGCACTGAGTCCCGACCTCTCCCCCATCGAGCATGTCTGGGACATGCTTGGACAGAGGTTACGTCAACGTCAACAACGTCCTGCCAATGTCCAAGAACTTGCTGCTGCGTTGCAACAGGAATGGGACAATCTGGACCAAAATGACCTTAGACGTCTCATTAGGAGTATGCCACGTCGGATCAATGCTTGTTTGGCAAACAGAGGAGGATTTACCCGTTACTGACTTGGTTGTGATGCTGTGGTAACTTTGCTGTTTGACCCCGGGTATCATTTTACCCTTATAATGGTCAGTCTGTGCCTTACTTAGTCTAACGATCATTTGGAATAAATCGATGAATGTGAACTTCATTTCATTTTGTCATTTGTTTCTTCGTCAGTTTCATTAGGTGACTTTAATAACACTTAAAATCAAATATCCCCTACTTTTTTTGTCCCCCGCCTTTCGAAGAAAGCAGGGGACTATTAAAATGGGTTCGTCCGTCTGTCTGTCTGTCTGTCCGTCTGTCTGTCCGTCACACTTTTTGGGACACAATAACTCTCTTCCTAATTGAGCTAGAATGTTCAAACTTGGTGTATGTGTTTATTAGGTCAATGCCTTGATGGAGTTCGAAGATGAGCATTTTCCGCTTAGGGTAAGCAGAGATAAGCAATTTGATTGGTTGATGCTTTGGGACACGATAACTCTCTTCCTAATTGGGCTAGAATGTTCAAACTTGGTGTATGTGTTGATTAGGTCAATGCCTTGATGGATTTCGAAGATGAGCATTTTCCGCTTAGGGTAAGCAGAGATAAGCAATTTGATTGGTTGATGCTTTGGGACACGATAACTTTTAATTGAGCTAGAATGTTCAAACTTGGTGTATGTGTTTATTAGGTCAATGCCTTGATGGAGTTCGAAGATGAGCATTTTCCGCTTAGGGTAAGCAGAGATAAGCAATTTGATTGGTTGATGCTTTGGGACACGATAACTTTAGTTCTAATTAAGTGAGATTGATGAAACTTGGTGTATAGTTTCATTACAGTAATACCTTGACTAAGTTTGATAATGAGCATTTTCTGCTCAGATTAAGCAGAGCGATAAGCAATTTGATTTGCTGAGACTTTGGAACACAATAACTCTCCTTCGAATTGAGTTAAAATGTTCAAAATTGGTGTGTATGCTTATTGTCCCCCGCCTTTCGAAGAAAGCAGGGGACTATTAAAATGGGTTCGTCCGTCGTCTGTTTGTCTGTCTGTCCGTCACACTCCTTCGAATTGAGTTAAAATGTTCAAAATTATTATAACCAGGTATTGATAAAAGCATCAATTGAGCAATTCCAATACAATCCAATACAATGAATATAGGCAAGGTAAATAAACAAATAAATGGAAAAAACAAATTGAAAAAGAAACTATTATAAATTAATTAAATATGTAGTATGCAATAATGAATTGACATTTAATGACAGAAAGAAAACAGTGAACTTTGCACAACTTGCAGCAAGATGGAAAATAGACCCGTTGATACAACCAAACTCTAGATCTGTAGGCATAGAGCATGTTTTCCCCTTAATATGCTATAATTATTCCATCAAAAACATTGTATGCTTAGACTATAAGTAAAGATATACTGTTTGATTGTTCAATACTTTGTAAAAGATAATTTGTGATAAATTTATATGTGTCCTCTAATTATTTTCCTATTTCGGCGGGGGACATCAGCCTCACTGTTGGCTTGTTGAATAGTATATTTTAGTCCAAATGTAAAAAAAAATCATTTTCACTGTTTTTCAGCGAAAATCAAATAAAGGTAAAGAAAAAAAGATGAAACGTAAAGAGGTAAGAAAATTTGTGTCAGTGATGTTTTTACTCCCTTGTTTAAATGTCTTAAATTTTCATCCCACCTGTCTAATCATCCAGAAGCATAATGTTGTTTTTATTTAGTGATTTCTGATAATTATTTGTCAAATAATAGTCCATGTTTACTTTGAAAATTCTTGTTGGTGTTCTTGTATAGAAGGTTACCCTGAAGGTTATTTAACTCATGTAATAATATTATTTGGCTGACGGAAATAATCCTAAGAAATTTACTTGTCAAAAATATATATGATTTAAAATCTGTATTTGTTCTTCAGGAAAATGCAAAATTAGCACAAAGTTATGGCAAAGTTGAAGCTGCCAATAAGGTAAGATACATAGATGTAAAGTAAATTATTAGTATTATTTATCATTAGTGCATATATTATCTTGCGATATCGAATCAATTCTGAAATAAAGTCAAGTCAATCTATCTTTACTTTTAAGGTTTAAATATTTGTTCAAATTGTATATTTCAGTTAGAGAATCCTATGGAATCCTTAGCTGCATTTAAACAATATGAAAGAAATGGGTAGGTTTTATCTTCTTCAATCTCTACCATTTTTCATAATATCAATATTAGTTATTTCAGAGGTGACACAAACAAACATAATATGTATCACAGTTCTTTATCTTGACTGACATCGTTGACTTACTGGTATCTCATATTAGCAAAATTTGATACATGTTAGGTTTATGTAGGTAGTTTTTGAAGGTAGAAAGTAACCTCCCCTATTAAGGTGTTGAGAATACTAAATTTTCTCTGACAAGTCATTTGAAATATTGGATACTTTATAAAGAACACTTTTATCATCAATGATGTAATAAATATATATTTATCTTTGTTTTCTAGATTAAATTTAACTATAGACTGTGAGAGAGTATCAAATGTAGATAAGTCTTTGATTGACTGGGCTTTTCAACTCACTAAAACAAATATGGAAACCTTGTAAGTACGGTAACTTTATAATTTAATGTTCGCTTCAGATGTTAATTTGTATATGATGTCTGTAATATGTAAATCAGGATAAATCTTGAGATGCCATTTCCGTTATCTGGCACACAGCAATTGACACTTTTGCTTTATTTTAACAAATTATAAGGCAGTTTGGGAAGGGGATATAAGGTGTGGTAGGAGCTGCTATGGTTACCACTAGACTCATGATTAGAATCATGGCTGGATCAAAATGAAACTATTTTTCAGTCCAATTCTCACTTGCTTGCAGGACAGACAAGAAAGTGTGCTTTGTCATTTGGGAAGTAAGGTCTACCTACATGTATGAACACATTTGCATACCCATAGGAATTACAGGTATATAAGTCTCATTGAAACTAAAGTCGATGAAGCAGGCAAGATTTGGTGATGTTTCTATATTACATATAGCATAATGTAAAGTAAAGAAATGTAATATTTTATGTTGTTATTGTAGATATGAACAGAGTGAATGGGGATGGAAAGATAAAGAAAAGAAAGATGAAATGACAGAAGAAAAAGCACGATATTTAATTGTTAAAGATCAAGATAGTAAACCTGTTGGTTTTGTTCATTTTCAGTTTGATATAGAATGTGAAGAAAAAGTGTTATATTGGTAAGTTTGTATTTTAACAGAAGGAATATTAATTGTAGTATATTCGGCACATAAGTTTTTGCTACAGTTTTTTGACCAGGAACTGGGCCTCCCAATGCACTACTCAACTTAATGTTCTTCTTCTTTCAAAAGCCCTAAATCGTTGCCAATTTAACTACTATATAGACATAAGAGTTGGCATGCTAGTTCTTTGGACTATGACAGATTATGATTTTTAATGTCACAATTCCATAATAGCGACAGATGACATCATGTTCAGTTTCAAGTTCATAGTTCACTCATACTTATTTACTGGTACCATGTGTCAGTTGACAGCAGAGACAAACTTGGCTAAAAAGTATGAAAAGTGCGCGTTGAATGAATTTAAAAATGATGTTGACTTTTGATGTGATGTTTGCCTGCAAAACAATTGCACTAGATCAAATTTCTCCAGTTTTAAAGGTCACCGATACATGCAAAAGGATATTTAGTGCACATGATCATTTGAAATCTATGAATTAAAATGTTACTTCATGTATATTTTCAGTTATGAAATCCAGTTAGATTCACAGTATCGCAATAAAGGTTTAGGGAAATTTTTAATGCAGATATTAGAATTAATAGCTAATAAGTAAGTGCGCTAAGGCATATCTTTTTATAGACAAGATTTCAAATTGATTTCACTAATAAAGTCAAATTAATTTTGTAAATATATACTTTTCAAAAAAAGTAGGGGATATTGAAATACAAATACCTATACAGGTTGTGATATGATAAATAGTCATGGACACTTGACATGCTTTGAGAGTATGCTCACAGATGAAGAACTTATCACCGCAACAGAACCACTGAGCAGTACGTGCGACACACAATAGTGCCATACACGTGGGAAGGGTTCATTGTTAAATTTGACACTTCAAGGAAGGGTTGATGAAAACTGCCGCGTGCTGGTTTATCCTATCCATGTTTGCTTTCCTATCGGTTCTTGCATAAGATTTACTGTTTAGCGTATCTTTGCTTTAGTGTGTTACGTTTAATTTGCAATGAGATGTCTTCAACATGATGAACATCTATGTGCTATTGGCATGCTTCAAATGGGTTCTACACAGCGAGCAGTAGCCAACATGCTTAATGTGTCACAGTCTGTGATCAGCAGACTGTGGAACCGGTACGAACAAACACACTATGTTGATTACAAACCTCGTTCAGGTCGTCCTAGAGCCACTACACAAGCCCAGGATTGATATATTCGTACACAGGTCCTGCGAAATCGAGGACAAACGGCCAATCAGCTTTCTGTAAACTTGTACCAAGTTACAGGAATTCGAGTTACACCCCATACAATTAGAAATCAGATACATATAGCCTATTTGCATGTGCGGCAACCGCGTGTTGTGCCTCCATTAACTCGCCAGCACATGGCAAACAAGCGTCGAAATTGCGGTAATCGTTCATAGGCGCGTGTAATGTTCTCAGATGAGTCCAGTTGTACTCTAGATTTCATCAATAGACCTGCTCCCGTTTGGAGGCATGTAAATGAGCGTCATGCAAACGTTAATGTCAGAGAGCATGACAGATTCGGGCGTGGGTCTGTTATGGTGTGGCAGAACGGACTTGCATATTGTTCAAGGAAGGATCACTGGTGTGTACTACCGTGACCACATCCTGGCACCAATAGTTCTGCCCTTTGCTCAATGTGCAGGTCGACATTTCATCTTTCAAGATGATAATGCCTGCGCCCACCGGGCTCGTGTCGTGAATGACTACCTCCAGCTTCACCATATTGTCCATATGCCTTGGCTAGCCATGAGTTCTGACCTGGGACATGATCAGGAGGTCAACCTCAACCGACAACACTGCAAGAATTGGCTGTGGCACTACAAGAGGAGTGGGTCAGATTGCCCCAAATCGTGATTGGACGGTTGATTAGGCACATGCCACAACGAATTGCTGAATGTCTGAGAATTGGTGGAGCAATTACTCATTTAGACAAAAATCAAAAATGTCCATTTTCACTTTTGACAGTGTATCTCTTTGCGAGTGAAATGGGGCCGTCAGATAAGCCGCCCATATGAACTGTTTATGTTCATGTGTAGGCAATTGGCCTGTTATTAACATACACTGGTTACCTCTAATAAAAACAGCAGCGCATTTCCGCAGTTTTGTATTGTTTCTGAATATCCCCTACATTTTTTGAAGAGTATATATTATTAAAGGGACATTATGTAAGATTTAGATAACAAGCTGACCCTTCTTGCTAAAATATTTCAAAAATAGATAATGCAAAATGAATATATTGAAAATTTCATTCAAATTACTTTATTTTGAGTGAAGTTATTAATGGTTGTAGTTTTGACAAGATGTATGCATTGAGTGTAACCACTGTACTGTTCATTCAAATCTTTTTATACACCCTATTGATTTTCTACAATTTCCAATAATAACTGCCGAAGTTTTGGCCTTTGATCACATTGAAAAATTTTGTAGATGCTCTAGAGGTTAAAGTAACTTAAAGTCGCAATCCGATAAACTTTAAATACACAGTGTTAACGGTCATGAGATGAAGAAGCCTGTCAATTTTCAACAATTTCTGATAATTACTGTCGGAGTTATGGCTCGTGATCACTTTGAAAAACATTGTGGAGGCTAAAGTTATATCTGATTGACTTTAAATTTATACATAGAGTTTAAGGTCATGAAACAAAGAAGCCTATGGAATTTCAACGATTTCCGATAATTACTGCCAGGGTTATGGTCCTTGATCTCTTTGAAAAATATTGTGGTCACTCGAAGAGGCTAAAGTTAATATCTGATTGACTTTAAATTTATACACAGTATTTAAGGTCATGAGATGAAGAAGTCTATTGATTTCCGATAATTACTGCCAGAGTTACATGTATAGCCCTTGATTACATGAGAAATCTTGTGGACGCGCTAGAGGCTAAAGTTATACACAGTGTTGAAGATCATTAGACAAACAATCGAAACAAATTCTAATGATTTCTGATAATTACTTAATGGGTTGTTACTCGTTTTTATTACTGACAAAAGAAAAAATATGCGACGACTCTTGTTGACTGCTCGGGCAACTTAGCTGCTGTGGGCGTATGTTTCGTTGCCTGGCAACCTATCTTTAAATTAAATCATTTAATGGCCGAACCAATCTAATCTACATAAAATCGGAGCTATCCGATGGCATCGAGAGTTGATTGCCATGTTAATAATTGTCTAATTAATAATTTATATAATAGTCGTTTAAGGCCCAAAGAAAGACATGCAATAGGCAGATTTAGCTCTTACATAATGTCTGTTTAAGGATGAGGTTTAATTAAAATTATGTTGATTTCTTTCCAGAACGGAAATGATGAAAGTAATGTTAACAGCATTTAAGCACAATCATGATGGCTATGATTTTTTTACAAAAACTATGAAGTAAGTTTAGATATCATGTTATAAAGGGTAATTTTCTGTAATAGGACAACATATAATTGTGGTAGTATATTGTTTGACAGTCAACCATCCACAATTAAAGAATAAAGTTATGCACAATCTTTATGTTCACAAGACTTCAAAGCCTGTTAAATTTGAATGCTTTTCAAAGATTTCTGAGTACTATCATGTAAAACTGCATTTTAGAATATTTGACTATTGAAATGTTTGCTAGTAGTTTGGAGAAATTTAGCGAATAATTTTATGTGATTTTTCATAAGAACACTTCAAGGAAAGTTATTTATATTCAACAATTTCAGACAATTACAAAATGTCATAGTATTGACTTTAAACTGAGCTATGAAATATTTTCCAGGTTTGAAGTAGATCTGATATCACCAGAAGCATCATTATATGAAGAGAGTTATACATATGTTATACTAAGTAAATTAACAAGGGCTGGCAAAAAGGCAGCAGCATTAGCAGAAGCAGCAGAACACGCTTTAGAACATAAAGGACGATGTATGTCAAGTAATTGTGGACATGCCTGTTGACAACACATTTAAATCAATTTTTTAAAAAATAAACTCATTTCAGTGGAATTAACAATGAAATAAAATGTTCTGCAGTTCAAATAATGCTCAATAGTAGTTGAGATATTTTTTGTGTGAAATTATATTTTGATCTGTAAAGGTTTGTCACTATGATGCCATCTTTAAATCTAAAACATTGTACACGAGTGGACCATAATGTTCGTGATTTTAGAAATGTTTAGATACATATTTAAACTGTTAGGTTAGGAGTACCATATTATCTACTATAAAAAGTTAACTGTAAATGAATCTTTTATAAATATAGCCATCTTGGTGAATAAGTATTGTGACCTGAACAGCAAATTACACTGGTGCCTTAAGAGATGGGGTTATGATTCAATGTTATTGGTAATCATTGTACATCTTAACAACTGATATATTTGAAATTTATTATCTTTTATCTTAGTATATGTACAAGGAAATAAGAATTATTAAAAATATAAAAAATAATTATTTTGTTTCTCAAATGCACAACAAAACGAAAAATTGTAGGTCATTATATTTCTCTTTTTAAGTGAAATCTGTATTTGTAACTTATGACTCGGCAGTTAAATTAAGACCCTTTGGCCCTTAGCTAAGAATATAGATTGATAATATTTCATTGATGTCTGAAACAGTGAGATATGTACCTTGTGTGTATAATATGTAATAGTTTGTTTATTCCTTAATTTCATATAATTCAGATTTTTGAATTGTACATTTTTATAATTATTCAGATTATACAATATGGTTTTGAATAAACTGCATTAATATTAGTTATAACTATGTAAAATAGCAAGGTGACAGCTACTCAAATGATATACATTTTTTTATCAACTATTATTATTAAAGAAAATGTATACATTTACCAAGATTGAAAATAAACTGTTTTTTCATCTGTACAGAATTTTTTAAATATGATATTAAAACACCTGTATACATTATTTACAAAGAGCAACGCTGAATAATATATCCACATTTCTGCTTTGATTGAAATGGTAGTTTTTAAAATGAAGAGAATGTAATATGGCAATCCTAGGGTGTCGGGCATGCACCAAAATCAATATGTTCCATCCTCTATTTGTGAACAAGTCAAGATTGGAGCCTGTAGAAGGCTTATAGATATTCAAGAAAATCAATAGGAACCATTCTGTCTTTGATATAAATGATGATGCCAATTCTGAACAAAAGAATTACAGTCCGAAAGGTGTTTACAGACAGAATATTGACAAAAAAAGTGGGTGTGACAACAACTCTATGGGTCATGTAGCAGTAGGTGGCATCATTTCTTTGACAGTAATAATCATGCCAAATTTGGACAATATCCATCAAGAATTGGTACCTGTAAAGTGTTTACAGACAAATTAGAAACCAAATATATAAATATATAGATAGGTACCATCCATTATTGAAGTGATTGATCATACCGAATTTGAAAAAAATCTTTTTATAATTGTGACTTGTAGGGTAATAGCTCACAAAATATTAACAAAAATTGTAGCCATCCTTAAGGAATAAGTATGACCAGTTCCAAAATGATCCATTCAGAATTGTGGCCTGTAGGCAGTACACATAAAAATGGGGTTTGGATATCTGCCCCTGGCTGCATAATCTAGAGTATAAAAATAGGTTTCCAGACAATGAGACATATACCCACAGCAGCTACATCGTCCAAGCAGTCCATAAATGTCACATTCTATGCATTTGTTGGTAATGGGGGGGGGGGGGCAGTTCTGATCAAGGACGATAAGTGGAGTATAAAAAAAGTTTCTTATGACTGTATATTAATTTTTCAAATCAATTGGATAACTTTTGTCTATAGAGCATCCAGAAAATATTTCGAATCACAGAAGATTATCAGAAATTACTAAAAGTCAATTGGCTTGATCGTCTCATGGCCATAAACACCATGCACAACTTTTAAGTCAATGATATAATAACTTAAAGATACATTATGGGAGATAAGATAAAGAGATGGCAGTTCTCGCTATAATAGTTGAAAACTAGATAGTGTAAAGGTAATTTGCTGAAAATTTCAGTCAAATTGATCCACTATGAGCCGAGATAGAAGCGGGTGAAATTTTTGCATAGTCTCGGTCATCATTACTAAAATCATTAATATAAACAGCATAGTCTCGATTATCCACTTTTTTTGATTTAATTATCAATGGCCGTTAGCGGCATATAGGAATCTAATCCAGCCAACATCAAAGGCTAGCCTTGACATCGAGAGTTTATTATGGTCTGGATAAGTTAATTAATGTCTAATTGATAATTTAGATAACATTTCAGGCCTAAAGAAAGATTTGTAATAAGCAGATTTTGCTCTTGCATAATGCATGTTTAAGACTTGATTTAGAGTATCAACAAGATTTATCAAATTAAGGCCCTAACTCTTGACCGCAATCATCAAATATTGTTGAAAATTAATAGGTTTCCCGTCCCATCAATATAAACACTGTGTATAAATTTAATCTTGTAACTTGAACCTCAATAGCATCCACAAGATTTTGAAATCCATTAAGTGTGATAAGTCTAACAGTATTTAATAGGCTTCTTCATCTTCCGACCACAAACACTGTGTATCAATTCAAAGTCAATCGGGTGATAACTTTTGCCTGTAGAGCGTCCACAAGATTTTTCAGTGATCAAGGGCCATAACTAAGGCAGTAATTATCGGAAATCGCTGAAAATCAATATGCTTCATCTCATGTCCATAAACAATATGTATAAATCCAAAATCATTTGGTAATAACTGTAGCCCCTAGAGTGTCCACAATTGCTTGTGAGAAACTACCAATCAATAGAAACAGGTAACAACCAGCGGCTGCCAGACAGGATACCCCCACATTTTACAAGAGATGGACAGAAAACATAATCCAGGAAGTTAAGGTCTGATAGGCACAAATAGCGAAAGGAACCTAGATCTTTGGGATATAAACAGACATTTTAAGTTTCATCAAAACCGGAAAAATATGGGGTATAAAAACGTGACATGAATGAATTCTCAATGTAAAATTTCCCCCTAACAAAACTATATTTGTAAGAGCTGTAGGTCTGTAGTGGTTTAGTATTGATAATGAAGAAAATGGTTCACAATATAGATATAACACTTTTAATATGTGAATATTTTTATTTTATCAAAAACAAAAGTTTACATACTTCAAGATAACAAGTTTGTAGTCCAACATTATTTTTTGGCAACAATGGTATTAAAATCTCACTATTTCAAAATATTTTTTCTATTGCAATGGAACAAAAATGTACCACTTTTAAGACGTCAACAGTAGACTGACTACAAGGTATATAAATTATTACTTTGATAGAATTTGAAATAACCCTTATATATCATAATTTAGATATCAATATCTGGTAAATGGTTATCAAAAAATATGCAGAAAAAAGGATGTTTTCCTGGATGGATGTTGCTTAAGTCTAAGGTTTTCGAAGAATAACCTGTCAAAAGACCATATTACTAGTAAAGTAGTAAACAATTACCATTGAAAATATTCACCAGTTTATACTAAAACAGAGCAATTAAGCTTTTTGAAATTAATATAATCTACTCTATTATTTTTTTTATGTATATAAAGACCACTGTGAGTGTTTTTTTTAACACCAAATGGCAGTAGAATATTTTATTGCATTTAAAGGTGTTTTGTCGAGATGAAGCCGTTATCCTTAGTCCGGGGTCGGTTGGTGCAGAAAAACAGGGTGTGAGACCCCATTTCATTTGAAAAGATGAAGTGTTGTATTTCATCAAAATCAACTAATATTTGGACTATAGAGAATGGTTTTATCATACCGGGGTAATAAAATAATTTCAATAAAATATTCAAGCCAATGAACTCTTGAAAATTAACAAATGTAAAAAAAAAAAAAAGATATCAAGCATAATATACTAAACAATAATATATTATCTGCATAGTGAAACCCTCTCTATTAAACATCATAAGGCACAATAACTCAGCTTGCAGTCATGATACATCATTTTATACACAATTAACAACCTATGCAATCTTGTTAAAAAACAACAGCTTATTAAAACCTAATCTAAACTTATACAGCTACACACAGATAATTCAAACATGTCTAACACAAAAATGTAGGAGACATTTCAGTCTAGTTCTCATATTCCTCAAATTTTTAAACCTTCCAATACCTAAACAAACCATGTGAAGTCGATTTTTATTATGTCAAACACAGATCTGCATTTCGTTCTATTGTTTTATCTGTTGATCTGATGGAGGGCTATCTTCAGGTGGATTATCAGTTAGCTGTAACATCAACTACTATCTATGTAACCAAAAGAAAAGGGCTGTAAGTTACATTGTCTTCACTGCGATCACTTATACAGTACCCCCAACAAAAATTAAGTAAAGTTCTTTGCACTGGCCATTTCATTGCTTGATAATGTCCTTTGAATCCTTGCAAACTACAACATTGTGAAAATTGAAAATCTATGACAAGGATTAGTCCAAAAATAAGGAACTGAAAATTGAGGTTTTAATCAAAAGACAGTTTGTTTCTATCATAGAGAAGTTATAAAAGAAATCTGAACTAAATAAAGGAAATACAATAAGATCTGTGTTCTACATTTCAGTAATAATGTTATTTTTCAATCGGTCATAAAAATTGATGATTATATGCTAATTCAACTTAATATGGCGCCTGCATACATTGCATAGATTCTAATGATATAAGCAAAAAAAGAAAACATTTTTTTTAAAAAATATGCGTCGAAAAATATTGCACTCTAGTAGAAATATAAATACATTTACCAGTACCCCTACAAGAAATATTAAAAATGAAATTTTAACTCTCTCACCATAAAAAAAAATGAGAAGCAACAAATATACAAATATACTTTTCACGAGTCCAAGTATCTTTTGGAACAGGAACTGGGCTCAAACACTGCACATGTTCTAGCAATTCAATTGTGTTGACATGAAACTTGACATGCTTGTTTCTTTGACAACTCAACATCGCTTGACGAACTCTTGATTTTCCGATATGACGTCAGAATTTGAAGATGGCTAGGATGAAGTCATACTTGGTTCCTGGTTCATATAACGCTTCTACTTGTTTTAAACAGAGGGGGAACTTGATTTAATGTTCTAGAATTAAATCCTCTCAACAACCAGAGTCAGCACAATAATTTCAGGCCAAAAATGAATATGATATTCTATGCCAAAAGTTGAATAACCATATTACAAAAGCAAAACTATATGTAAATTAAGGAATGATATACCAGGTGGATGAAATTAACTTTATGTGTTTTAGGGACTTATGAGATCAGACTTTAACTCTAAAAGCTTTATAAAAATATCTTAAAATTGTCCAAAAGTTATCCATTGAACTTTTTTTTATCTTACAAAAACATTTATATGTACAGATAAATATAAGATTTATTATACACAAATATCTCAATCATTAAATATAATCCAATATACAAAACAATATTGCATCAAAATCTTATATTCAATTTTTTAGGTTTATTATGGTTGTATAATCTTCAGTTGATCATAGGGTTTTATAAAATATACAACAATTTTATTGAGTTTTACATAAGCAAGATCAGGCATACTATAAATATGGAATAAATAATGAATATATAGCAACACAAAAAAGCACAAAACATTTAGCAACTCATTATAAAGTAGGGACCACATTCTGACATAATTAGTGACACATACAATTACAGGACAAAAATATCAGATATAATGTACATCTGTTAATTATATCATGACTAAAAAAAGTTTAGAAATAAATCATTACCATAATAAAAAATATATTTACTGTACATAACAATTTAACAAGCTTAATCTTCATTTTAACAAAAACCCTTAATTCTTTTATAATATCTTAAAACACAACAATTTAGTATTACAATACTACACCAGAAAGCACCTCTTATTTAAATGTTAAAAACAATTTTGTCTTTCATTTACTTGTGACACTTGAACTGTCTTATTACAGCAGGTCATTAAGACTTTGTTACAATTTCATCTTTTATTGATACCTGTAAGACATCTGTACTATTCTGCATTCTATTGTCTCCAGAAAATAACGAAATTACAATCTTTCCATCGAAATTGTCAGAAAGATTGATATTGGAGCGAAAAAAAAAACAGGGCACAGATTTTAATCACAATTTCTATATCTTGGATCTTCAGTGCTTTTAATGAAATAAGTGGCCAAGCAACAAAGCATATGTCCACAGCAGCTAAGTCACCTGGGTAGTCAATAAAGGCTGTGCCATTTTTATTCTGCATTAGGTAATGATAACCTAAGACACTAAAAACTGATCAAGGGAAAAACCCATGAAGTAATTAAAATTTCATAGGCTTCTTATGCATCCTAGTGCTAATGCAAAAACTGTGTATAAGTTAAGCATATGATAAACTAAGCCTCTAGAGCGTCCACAAGTGATCAATGGCCATAATTAGACATTAATCATCCAAAAAGGGCTTCTTCTTTTCATGAATATTAACACTAGTACAGTGTAATAATTTTAAGCCAACTGACTGATAACTTGTGGACAGTGACAACAATATACAACCATACTTCAATGTGGGCTTATGAAAAAGCATGTATCACATCATTAAATATCGTTAGACACCAGTTGAGGTTTTGTCTTTATCCACTAGGTTTCTATTCATGGCACTTTTACATCACGTTGTGGAATATTTAGAAACTTCATATAAACCTTTCTTAAAGAAAGAGTCAAACTCACACAGAATATGACGAGATAAGTATTTATTTTTAGAGGGATGTAGCGGACAATCTTCCATTCGTAAGCATAATTCCATTAAATGTTGCATATATTCCTGTAAAATAGAAAAATAAAAAGTTAACAAAAACAATCACGCAAACATTGACAAGTCAACAGTGATAAAATGTTCATCATCAAATTCAGTGAAGAAATTCACAACATCTTTACCGAGTTTGAACATGCTACCTCAATTAGATGGAGATTTATTGTGTTCCAAATAGTGTGACAGACAGTTCACAGATTGACGGACAGATAACCAAACTGTATTGAGAATATTTCTTCACAGATACTCAGTGCAATTTGAGACTGCATCAAGATTAAATTACCTCTAATTGTTTTCTTCTTTCAATAACAACTTTTTCTGACTTGTGGAATAATTTTCGTGGAGGAAATACCAGTAAACTCATCTGAAAAATATCCATGCCAGTACCGGTAATTAAATTTTATCAATATCATCTGTTAATTGTTTATCTAGAATAGATAAAGTACAATTTCTCTAAGTCAGTGAGATGTTGAGGTGGCCAAGTTGTCCAACTTGTGCACTTTAGACTGAAAAGTCTGCCATTGAGTCAAGTGATCATGGTTTTGATCCTTGTATATGTGACATAAGTTTTCTTCAGTTTCCTCACACTTATAAAACCCCTTAAATCATTGAAACAAGCCAACAGTGAAGCTGATATCCCCCAACTCAATCCTCAAATAAACAGGCAAACAATGAGGCTAAAGTCCCAAAACATATAGATTATATTCATTAATTACTTGCACATTTATTTTTTCATAATTATAGCACTGATCAATCAGATTGTTTATCATTCTGTTAAAACCTGGAAATTAGAATCAAGTTATTGTGTCTCAAAGCATCAACAAATCACACTGTCAAAACATTAACCCACACTAAGTTTTAACAATCTAACTAAATTAGAAACAGAGTTGTTATGTTCCAAAAATGTGATGAATAGAGACAGACGAACCCTTTTTACTAGTTTCCTGCATTCTCTGAATGTGGAGAACAATAAAAATATACCATATGTTACTCTGAAATAAATTGTCAAGTGGACTTCTCTCTACCCCCCCCACCCCCACCCAACACACCCATCTCTCTAAATTAGTGTTCTGTCTTTCAGGAATAAACAATAAAAAAAAGAAATATGTTAACATTGAAAGTTACAGTATACCTCAGGAAACTTTTTCAGTAAGCTGAAATGTAGTTCTCGAAATCGACTGTATCTTCTAAAAACTGTCCAATTCTCATCACCTATTACAATCTGTAGTAAAGTAGAAATCAAACAGATTTACATAAAAGCTACATATTTCTACAGTATTACAATGTTATGATCTATCTAAACAGCCATACTACAATTCTTAATGCTGGTCTCAGACCATGGGTTCCATGATGTCGGTCGTATGTACCAGTCAGCTTTGGAAAATGACCGAAACTGGATCAGACCCGGCCGTCAGTATGCTCGCCGGAAAAATGGCACATTTTGTGCTAAACAATGTAAACTGTTGGGTATAATAAAATTAACAGTGTTCAGTAGTTAACGAATAGAAACCAATTAATTATCCTTGTGTTTATTGCTCTAATCACAATCAATGGAGGATCAACATCAAACAGATTAAAAGCTTAACATTTAATCAATTTAATCTGCTGTGTTTTGTTTCAAAATTAGTACTGTGTCAGTGTGATCATTTTAAAAACCGAATTGTTGTTACAATCTGCCGACTTTCATCGCTCGTGCAGTCATATTTACTGTATCAACATCAAATAATTTAAAAACTTTAATTTGACGTCTTCACTCGATAACTGGAGTTAGTTAATCATGCGAATGATATATATATCAGAAATGTTAGCACTCTTTACATCATTTCAAAATGTTGAAATTCCAGAACTCTCAGAATAATAAAAGAATGATGATGATATTGTCGTCAGCCCACGAATAAGACAGCTTCGCTCCGAAAAACAAAGTCTGTTGTAAAAGCTCAACTAAATGGTCACAAACATTCCTGTGGTTAAGATATGTTATTCCAACACAAAAGATGTATTGTCAGATGTGGTTTTAATCCTTTTTATTCTTTTATTTAACAAATGACAGACGTTACTTTGCTTGACACAATGAAGTTTTAAGCTTGCTGCCATTTTGAAATATTTGCAAATAACTTTACATGATATCAAGTGAAAATACTAGCACAATATTGTTTGAGCTCCCCAAATACAAATACGAGTTAATATATTGATAAGTTTAAGAAGTATGTTGATAATTGTACATTTTTATGACTTTTGAATTATTTAAATGCGTTAATCATTTGAACTACTTTTTCCTCATGTATGGAGAAATAGTCAACAGTCTAACTTGTCACGTACGCAGTACAAACTGGTTAATCAAAAGATCGCTTTGTCAGAAACATAACGCCAAGAATAGTTTTGTGACTGGTTCCCAGAATTTTAGAAAGTCGGCTCTGGTAGAGCATGCTGCCTCTGGTGACCATAAAACGGTACTTGAACACGAAGATCGACTATTTAAAGATGTTATACCACAACAGTTCCATCAGAGTTCTGACGAGTATGTTGTATGAAAATAGTGTACTTGCGATGAATGAATGAATGTCTCTTGTTATTCTTATATTTTATAAATAAATAAATAAATAATGATAATTGATTACATGTGTTCCTTTATTTATTACTGGGGTTAGCACCACTTCTCTATGTGAAAATATACCAGTTGGGAAAATTTTGAAGTGGCTAATCTTATTATTTTCGGCGAATTTTCACATTAACAATGATATTCCTCATAGTGTGAGAGTAGCATTAATTAAGACACAACCTAGATTGTTCACATATATTTCAAAAGTCAGAAATATGTACTATTTCAATATAAAGAAATCTATATAAACCATTGTAAGTCTAAATTGACCATAACTTAAATTTATAATTGGTAGATTTTAATAATTCTTTCAATCAAAATGAGTTTTTTGGGGTTTTTTTGTTAAAAGTACTTTTGATTGTGTATGGTTTTATAGTAGTTAATCCTCTATATTATTCTGGCTTTAATTATTATAATGTTGATTAAACATAACCCTTAAATTACACATTATACTTTGAATAGGTTCTAATAAACAATGTACTTTAGAAATAATCTTGTAACAAATACCTTAACTTCATATTCATGATGTGAATTACTGCCTTTACGAAGAACATAATTTGGTATTGTTATTTTTATTTTAGGTGCTGGTCCTGTAAAACTACCAGAACTGCTGGACTGAAAATACAATACATAGTATCTTTAGAATTTATATAGCTTTTTTAAACTATCTTTAAATGGTAACATCAAACACTGCAGCAAAAAAGTGTAAACATTTTCCCATCAGTACATTGAGTTTTTCATGTTAAAACCCCACTTTAAACTAACATGTCTAAAACAATATACATTTTTACTGTTACCGTTATTATTCAAACTAATTTAAAAATTTTATTGTTAAACAAGATATTTTGGATTTGTGATTGAAATACATAATTTACCCTTTTGATGATAAATTTGGAATCTCACCATAGTAAATATTGATATTTACAATAACCAGTGGCTGCCAGGCAAGATACGCCCACATTTTGCAAGATATAGACAGAGAACAAGCTAAACACAAAAGCGATTTTTCGTACAATCAGGGGCCACATACTCTTACACAATTTGAGTACAAAGAGTGGCCATTTTGTCCGGCAGTTTCATTTCGATTTTCCCAAAATATACCAATTCAACCTTCAATAAGGTGGAATGGTTTTAACATTTTTTAAGATCAGATAAAAAAATTGTGACTTCTAGAGAATCCACATGCTAAAAATGCGATTTTTCGAACAATCAAGGGCCATAATCCAGGAAGTTACGTTCGGATATGTGCAATTATCAAAAAGAACCAAGATCTGTCTGATTAACTCAACCAACATTGTGGTGTAATGGTGATATATTCAAACGTTTTTAAATCGGATAATAACTGTGACCTTTAGAGGAGAGGGACCACAACCTAAAAACATGATTTTTCGTACAATCAGAGGCCATAATTCAGGAAGTTACAATCCGATATGTGCGAATATCGAGAGGAACCAAGATCTTTGGGTTATAAACATGCATTTCAAGTGTCATCAAAATCGGATAAAAATTGTGATCTATAGAGGGTCCACAACCTTGATATACCAGATGTTAACACTATTTGCGTACGAGGGTCGGCTATTTTCCCCGGCAGTTTTGGTCTGATTTTCATTTGAACTCGACCTACATTACGGTGTAGTGTTGATAGATTCAAACGTTTTTTTTAAATCAGATAATAATTGTGACCTTTAGAGCAGTGATGGGATTTCAAAATTTTTCTTGTCGGACATTTTTACCGAAAATAAAGGGACATAACTCTTATCGTTATTTAAGATGGCAGTTTTTAGACCACACACAAAAATCATGTGTAAACAAAATATTCAAATTCGTCCGTAATAAAAAAAAAAATAGGTGCCGTACGGTATTCAAATTTATGTCAGTAATATTCCTACAAAATTCGTAATACGATAGATTGAAAGCGTGCTGACTACTGCCGATCTGTACTGTTTCAAATTCCTCCAAAATTACCGTATTTTTCGGGTCATAAGTCGCTACATTTTTCAGCAGAAGTCCGGCATTCGTCTTATACTCCGTTACGACTTATGTACAGAGGGTAAGAAAATGATATCCCTAAATTTTTTGGGCAATAAACGTCGCTCTACCGCAACGAGCGAATGACACCATCCGCTAAATAATAGCACTGTACTCTAGCACGCGCTATCGTCTAAAACAAGTAAGTACTTACACTATTCCAATCGACATATTCATCAACATTGCCTAGATTATTTATTTCTTTACTTAAAAACATAAACCCCATTCAAAATATGATCATAAATTCGAGAATATGCCATCAAAATAGAATCTTTTCTTCGACATTAGAAGCGTGTATTTAGTCACATATTCATTTCAGAATTTCATGCGTCTCGCGAGATTTATAATACAGGTTCAGTTGTCGTACTTTAACCGTCTGAAGCTGTTTTTCTTTCAAGTTTAATCAGATTTTCTTCAAACAAGGACAACTTTGCTCTGAAAATTCTAAACACGCTTCGAACGACGCTATTTTGATAACTTCTTTCTAAAACCGGCAAATTCGTAGGTACATATCACTTACCGTCATACAGTCGAAGCTACATGTAGAGTAACGGAATCTGCCGAGGTTTTCCTAGTGCAGTAACCGCGTGCGAGCAATGTCTAATATTTTTCGGATATGTGTGTGTGTGAAATAGCTTTATTTAACACTCGCTTCCACCGAAGTGATATCGCAGACGAATTACAATGATTGTCTATTGATCTGGGCGATATATACTCTTACAATATGTGACTTCTATGACTAGTTTATACATATTGTCGGCTCACATCAATGCGATTAAAATGCCCGACAATCAGGTGAAAATTATGACCTCTAGAGTGTCCACAATTCATGAAGTTATGGTCCAATACATGCCAATATCGAGAGGAACCAAGATCTTTGGGAGATAGACCTATATTTCAAGATTCGTCAAAATCAGATAAAAATCGTGACCTGTAGTGTGTCCACAAACAAATTGTGGACGGAAGGATGGACTGACACAGGGGCGACGGCATAATACGTCCACATGAAAATTAAAATGTAATTGAACATTACATGATATTTGGAATGTAATTGATAACTGTTCCATTTAAATGTTTCATTATATGTCCACTGCTACAAACTGTTCCATTTAAATGTTTCATTATATGTCCACTGCTACAAATTGGGTAAGGATTAATATTTTATTACCACTACGAAAACCCTTGCACTTGCTTTCCCTCCAGTCTTTTAACTCTAAAAGATTATGTATTTTTCATTTTAATTTCCAAAATATCTAAAATCAAATATTAATTATCAGAACTAATTAAAGAGTATTAACTAGATACAGGATAAATACAGAACATATACTGAGGTCCAAAAGAAAGTATACACACTAAAAGTATGACTAAGTTTTGTTTAGATTAAAAACATTTGATAAAGCATTACTGAGTTTGTCTCTTGCGTCCAAACTCAACATTTCTAAGCAAAATAAAAATGTGAAACAAATTGACATTCTACCCTAATACCGTATACCATGGAAAAACGACTTTGGTTGATGCGGCACAAAATGCACTTTCTTTTGGACGTTAGTATATCTATATTTAACTTACATGTCTTCTACGAGATAGATCATTTGTTGACTGGTTCACATTTGTCTGAATTAAATAATAAGATCAAATTTATTTTGCAATACATCATATTTAATAGTTTTCATGTGATTACACTAACAGTAACTGGGTAAATATTTTAGGAAATAAACGACAGTCTAAATCTAATTGAATCTGTTATGAAATAAGGACTTGCTATCAGTTACACAAGAAGGACTAACTGAATTTGTTACAAAAGAAGAATAAACTCTAACAAAGAAAAAATCTTACCATAACTTGGTTACCATAAGGATTAGACTGACTAGTTACTTTATTATTTCTGAAAATAAAATAACTTACTCAATTATATAAGCTTATTTATAGAGTAAAATGAAGTTTGCAATGAGCGAAAAAGTTAAGCTAACTTTTACAATTCAAGCTGGGTTTAAGTACTTTCATTAGAAACCCCCCTTTAGGGTAAGCTACATAAGTTTTACATTTAAGATATCATTATTATTCTTATTAATTAGTATCATTTTTTAAGCTAATAGCATAGTAGTAAGTATATGTCATATTTTTACAAGTAGAGTTATATTTTCATAGTGTATCTAAGTGGAAAGAGAAGGGTTATATTATATGGTTTTATATTATAATTATTACCACTTTCAAACTATGTACTAATATTATACTTATTATGTTATTTGTATATTTACAGGGTTTTTTTTACTTTGGCCATGGTCAAAGACAATAAACTACTTTCATAAAGAATCCGTGTGTGGTCATTTCAGCCCCGGCATTTGACCCCCTTTACCAATAAGTTTAATTCATCATAAACATAACGTCTTTGTTTAAGCAGATAGGATTTCATTGTACAATTTACTTACTTGGCTGCTAATTTAGCTTTTAAACGTCTTATTTCACGAGCATGTGTTAATTTTAACCTCTGCATCTCTTGATCACGTTCTGATTTATCTTTCTCTCTTTCTAATCTCCTTTGTTTATCTCTTTCTAATTTCTCTTCAAAAACTCTTCTCTTTACTTCTTGTTCTACCATTCCATTTATTCTACAATAATATAATATACAAATATAATATCATACCATAATATTTATTCTACAATAATATAATATACATACATGTATATATCATATTATACCATTATATTTATTCTACAATAATATAGTATACATATACAAATATAATATCATATCATATTACAACATAATATTTATTCTACAAATTTAATATCATATTATTCTACAAATATAACATAAATGTACATATTAAATATAATATTTTAAAATTATATTCATTGTACAATAAAATTATATACTGATATAATATCATATTTACCAATATTTATATTTAATCTACAAATATAATCTACCAAGAATATATTTTGATAAAAATGTCTTAAAAACAACAAATCGCCCCCATACCAGTTCCTGATTCTTTTTAACATATAAGGTATGAAAAACTTCTAAATGAAATATTTAAACACTCGAATACTGTTCAATTAACCATGCCCTATGATTATATGGATTTCATCTGGAGTTATGTGTATAAAAGTTTAAAATATTTGCATGTGTGTATACTGTTAACTAAATTCTAGTTCTTTATTTCTCTTACCTGTCTTGTTTCTCCAAGTCTTGTAATTTGAGTTTTTCAAATTCTATTTTATCCAACTCCATATCTCTTTCTTCATCAAACTGTCGTTGTTTATTATCTATATCACGTTTAGCTTGTTCCAATAATTCTCTCGTTGATTCTAAATTCTGAAATATAATGGGATGACATACCTGTTTTAAGTTTCCTTCAAAAATAATTTTCTAATCTACATAATACACAACAGAAATCAATTTTTAGGTCTTAAGCTTTGTTAATTTGATATATATTTACACCTGTTACATATCTAACAAATCAGTCAAGCTAATGTCCCCTACTGCAATCGCAAAATAAATAGATGACAGATATTGCACATTTATTTTTTTGAAAATTATCAACCAATCAAACTAATTATTTCTACCTAGTCTAAAGAAAGCAGAAAATATTCACAATCGAACTCAGTCAAGGTTTCATCTCTCTCCATCAGTTTTAATTAACCTATGAAATTGCTTAGCTCTGATTAGTTTATTGCGGAAAATGTTAATCATTGAACTCAGTCAAGGCATTCACCTAATAAACACCTACACTACGTTTAAACATTCTACCCTCAATTATTGTGTATCAACGTCTTGACCAATCTGACTGAAGTCTCTACTTGGCCTAAGCAGAAAATGCTCATCATCTCACTTAGTCATGGTATTGATGTAATGAAACTATACAGGAAGTTTCACCACTATCACTCAATTAGAATAAATGTTATCGATCTCCAAAGGCTTGACCAATAAAATTGTTTATCGCTCTGCTTACCCTAAGCAGAAAAAGCTCATTATCAAACATAGTCAAGGTATTGATGTAATGAAACTATACACCAAGTTTCATTACTCTCTTTTAATTAGAACCAAAGTTCTCTATCAAGGCATTCACCTAATAAACACCTACACCAAGTTATCCCTACTTAGCCTAAGCAAAAAATGCTCATCTTTGATCTCCATCAAGGCATTCGCCTAATAAAAACCTACACCAAGTTTGAACATTCTAGCTCAATTAGAAGGAGAGTTATTGTGTGCTAAAAAGGCGGGGGATGGGGGAGGGGGTGGATGGCCGATTGTTAGCGTGTGAGCGCTGTATCATCAAGTCTGTCATTGAGCCAACTGGCGTGGTTTTGATTCCCCGGTTGTACTTGACAAGGAGTTGGGTCGTCTGTCAAACCCCGTGGGTTTTCTCTGGGTTCTCCAGTTTCCTCCCTCTGCTAAAGACCCCAAGCGAATTATTGAAATAAAATTGAACCATATGTTAATCCTGAAATGACTTAGTTTGTGTCAAGTGGACTTTAAACCCCATCTCTCTCTCTCTCTCTCAAAAAGGCGGGGGACAATAATAGGATGTCGAGCAATACCTGCCCAACAAAAAGATAATGTCATTTTAATGCATATTTGTAATCATATTCAAATATATGTATCTAAATATTTAATATATTTGTATCTAAAATCTAATATATTTTTATCTATCTACTAAATTCTTCCTAATTTTGTTCTATCTTGTATTAGCTACTAATGCTTTTAAAAACATATGATTTAATAATATTATCTAAACACTAAATAGCCACTAGAATTAAGCAAAAGTTGTGTCTGGATTATAATATGTATTAGTTTATATACGGTGAATGGTACATACCAGGAAACAGTCAGTTGACCTGGTCACCTGATTTTATTATGAAGTAAACATGATTAAAACAATATAAATGGGTAAGAATCACATATTTTACATAGTCTTATCCATGTATGATGTCGAAAAGAATGTACTCATCATATGAACTTCCATAATATCTGTACAATAAACAATTCATCTTTTAATATTTAAAGGCAGATCACAAGTAACTTGTAGTTATTTCATGGTTGTTAATTATGAAATGTATGGAAAGGTATAACTTGACTTGGTAGTCCTAAGTTTTATTTGTTTTCAGTCAGTCTTCAGTTTAGTCTTTGATTTGGATGTAAAATCATTAGGTCAGTTTTGGTATATGAATATAGTCCATATAAGCATATTTATTGAGTGATGGTTGAAACATGCATTTTCAAATTAAAGTACTTAGAGTACCATAAAACATAGTTCACTAAAATGACATTCACAATTAGAAATTTCTGGCATGCAAATTGGCAGGTTTCTGGCTCAAGACTTACCTCTAATTGCTGTTGTAGTTTAATTTGTTCTTCTTTTAGTTCTACATGTAAACTACCTGTACCAGTACTTTTATTATCATCTATATTATTATTACCCATTGTTTCAGCTTTAATCTTTAATAACCTGATTAAAACAATTACAAAATATTCTATCAATACTTGGATTCATCATAATCACTAGGAGGTATTTTTTGTCTTCATTCAAAATTTAAGCTCAACAGATTGAGTCAATGTTCCTTGTGAGTTCTAATGTCGATACAGTAAACCAAAAGTCAAACTAAAATTGGTAAAGAAACTTTTCAATACTTATCAAAATACCACATTAGATCAAACCCATCTAATACTTTAAGAGTCACAGTGAGTGAGCTCTATGCTAAAAAAACAAGCCAACAGTGAGGCTGATGTCCCCCGCCGAAATAGGAAAATAATTAGAGAGTTATTGTGTTCCAAAGTCTCAGCAAATCAAATTGCTTATCGCTCTGCTTAATCTGAGCAGAAAATGCTCATTATCGATCTTAGTCAAGGTATTACTGTAATGAAACTATACACCAAGTTTCATCACTCTCACTTAATTAGAACTAAAGTTATAGTGTCCCAAAGCATCAACCAATCAAATTGTTTATCTCTGCTTACCCTAAGCGGAACGGACAGACAAACAGACAGACGGACGAACCCATTTTAATAGTTCCCTGCTTTCTTCGAAAGGCGGGGGACAATAAGCATGAACATTTACTCAATTCGAAGATCAACCAATCAAATTGTTTATCTCTGCTTACCATAAGCGGAACGGACAGACAGACAAACAGACAGACGGACGAACCCATTTTAATAGTTCCCTGCTTTCTTCGAAAGGCGGGGGACAATCAAAGTAGGAGAGTTATTGTTTTCCAAAGTCTCGACCAATCAAATTGCGTATCGCTCTGCTTACCCTGAGCAGAAAATGCTCATTATCAAACTTAGTCAAGGTATTACTGTAATGAAACTATACACCAAGTTTCATCAATCTCACTTAATTAGAACTAAAGTTATCGTGTCCCAAAGCATCAACCAATCAAATTGCTTATCTCTGCTTACCCTAAGCTGAAAATGCTCATCTTCGAACTCCATCAAGGCATTGACCTAATCAACACATACACCAAGTTTGAACATTCTAGCTCAATTAGGAAGAGAGTTATCGTGCCCCAAAGTATCAACCAATCAAATTGCTTATCTCTGCTTACCCTAAGCGGAAAATGCTCATCTTCGAACTCCATCAAGGCATTGACCTAATAAACACATACACCAAGTTTGAACATTCTAGCTCAATTAAAAGTTATCGTGTCCCAAAGCATCAACCAATCAAATTGCTTATCTCTGCTTACCCTAAGCGGAAAATGCTCATCTTCGAACTCCATCAAGGCATTGACCTAATCAACACATACACCAAGTTTGAACATTCTAGCCCAATTAGGAAGAGAGTTATCGTGTCCCAAAGCATCAACCAATCAAATTGCTTATCTCTGCTTACCCTAAGCGGAAAATGCTCATCTTCGAACTCCATCAAGGCACTGACCTAATAAACACATACACCAAGTTTGAACATTCTAGCTCAATTAGGAAGAGAGTTATTGTGTCCCAAAAAGTGTGACGGACAGACAGACGGACAGACAGAAGGACAGACAGACGGACAGACAGACAGACAGACAGACAGACGGACGAACCCATTTTAATAGTCCCCTGCTTTCTTCGAAAGGCGGGGGACAAAAAAGTTATATCAAGTAATATGTTTTGTAAAGCCTTTGACAGATCACCATTCAAATTGAATGTCCTAAACTATCTTTAAGACAAGCAGTTCTCAACTTATTTGTAAACTAACATTAAAGCTGACTTTATGACTAACCTTTGTTTCTCTTCTCGTAACTTACTCAATTCCAACTCAGTTTCTTCTTCTATTCTTTCCAATTTAGAATTAATGGCAGACACAGATCGAGACATGTCTTCTTCTTTTCTAGAAAGAGTTCTAGTTACTCTTTCTTTATTACTTCTAATAGTAGAGAGTTCATCTTGCACATTGTTCACTCTCTCAGCACTTTGTTTCTCCGCCTTTAACATTTCCTGATTTGATTCTAATAATTTGGATTCACTTTTCTGCAACATTTTTGTCTTAACTTTTATTTCACTTTCTAGTGTTAATATATCCGGTGATCGAGTTTGTTTAAGATTGTCCCGTTCTTGGTAAATACTGTCTAAATCGGAACGTTTTTGTCTTTCCCAGGAATCCATCTGTTTTTCCATCTGGTCCAACATATCTTTTTCCCTCAATGCAATTTTATCTTCTTCTACTTTAAGAAGATCTCTCGCTTCTTCCAATTCCTTTCTTTCTAACTTCAGCAATTTTTTCTCACTTTCGCTGGTGTCAGGTGATGTTAATTTTTTGTACACCCTTTGTTCGTGTTCCTCAAGGTCTTTCCATGCCTCTTCCAATTGCTGATTATCAACATTAATTTCCTCCAACCATTCTTTCCATTTCATATTGTTTTCTCTATCTTTCTGGGAATGTATTTCTTTCATTTCTTGTTCTTTTTTATCCATTTGCCCCAACTTCTCTTTGTAACCTGGATTTTCTGATAAAAATTGTTCAGTTTCTTTTTCTAACGTTCGCTTTAAACTATCTAGATTCTTCTTTTCTGTGCGTATTCTATCAAGTTCCTGAAATCAGTATTTGTCAAAATTAGGGAATTTACTTTTTCTAAAAACACAAATTGAAGAGAAAATCCATCTGTATTTATATTCTAACAAAAATTAGATGATGATGACAACTATTCAGATCAAGTTTTAGAAAAACTATAGTTGCCCCCATTCAAACCCTACCTTTAATTAAAGAATGTGTTTCTGATGTCATTAGTACTACTAGTAATACTACCAGAAATGGTCATGTTGATACAAAATCAGTTGGGGAGCCACAGTGGCTAAGTGGTTAAGACTCTGGCTCGCTAGCCTGGAGGTCACGTGTTCGATCCCTGCATTGGTCGAGAAAGATCATCGATGTAGTTTCCCCTTGTCAGTGGTGCAGGACGGAGGACCTGACAAGGATAGCTGTCTAGACGTTCGGATGGCATGAAAAACTGAGGTACCATGTATACATTGGCATGCATATAAAAAATCCCTTAGGAGTTGGAATTCAATATAAGAGTAGGGTAAAGTGCTATTACCCGAGCAAAATTTCCCTCATAGCACACAGTATGGCATATGCCCAGTATAGGAGCAGAACAGGGGGACATTAAACCCCATTTCATTTCATTTGATTTCATTTCACTAAATCAGTTGCTACCATTTCCAATTGATAGTTGCTTTGGTTCCATCAGTGACGTCATGAGCACAATCTTTAATTTAGTATAACGATTGAACAAAGAAACCTATTATTGGAACATATAAATACTGTTAGGTGAACCATCTCCTTTAAGTTGAAGAATAAGAAAGTGCTACAGTATTTAGCAAGGTACCAGTAATCTTAAATCTTAACCTAAATTTGACTCAAATCTGAAGTTTGATACTCCTTTTTTAGTTTTTTTCTGAAATTGCGTACAAAATTATTAGTTGCTTGCTAACCTGGAGGTCCCGTGTTTGATCCCTCAACAGTTGGAGTTCAATAGAGAGAGAGAGAGAGAAATGAAGTTTAACGTCCACTCGACACAAACTAGGTCATTTCGGGAATAACATGGTTTAATTTTATTTCAATAATTCGCTTGTGCGTAGGGGTCTTTAGCAGTGGGAGGAAACAGGAGGACCCGGAGAAAACCCACGAGATTGGACAGGCAACCCTACACCTTGTCACATACAACCGGGGAATCGAAACCACGCCAGTTGACTCAATGACAGGCCTTATGATACAGCGCGCACATGCTAACCATTCGGCCATCCAACCCAGCGGAGTTCAATATAAGAGTAGGTCGTAGAGCCACTGTTCGAGCAAAACCAACTTCATAGCACACTGTATGGTGTATGCAGAGTCGGAGCAGAGCGTTAAACACCATTTCATTTCACAAAATAATTATTTATCTTCATATTTTTGATTGTAAAATGACAGACCTGATTTTTAAACATTGTATGAGCTTCTAAAGATGAGTTTAAATTTTCTTCTAATTCATTTATTTCTAACTGTTTCTCCATCTCTTTCTCATCAAATTCTTTTAAACCATTCTCACAGTTGATCTTTTCTTCATCATATTCTTTCTCTAGATCTTCTATTTCCTGAAAATACAATCAGTATTCTAAAATATCACATATCAAACACATAAGGTGTTTTTTCCTTTTAAATTCAAATTTCATGTACATGCTCCATTGACTTGGAAACGACAAATTTTTCAGAGCATACATAACAAAAGTTCCCTTAGAAACGCCATATTATGTTTATCAGGTGTTCAAATTACAGAAGATATATTGTAATGATGACTACAATAAACATTAAATGTTACTATATTACTTAATTAATGAAAATTCCTAATGACTGATCAATATCCATTGTTTTAGTTATGGATTTTGCAAAAGATACGACAATCTTGAGCTATGTAGTGTTTGATAGAACCAAATCTAATACTTCTATTTATTTTCTTATGAAATACCAATAGTGTAACATTAACCATCTCGAATATAAATATTAAAGTCTAGGTCAAATAGGCTCTTTATGATTATATTGCACATACATTTACAAACACTGCAACAGAGGAGAAAAATTAATATTTCTAACAAATGTCTTATCAGAAAATTTATCTTTGTAATGCTACGTAATATGACGAGAATATAATTGAAGCACAATTTGTTCTCTTAATAATTGATAAATACTGCTGTTTTAGAGTAAGTTGATCAGTTGGCTAAATTTGGCCGTCCTCTAATATTATTTTGTTGACAAGGAATGACAGTAAGAATGTCATTTTGGTTCAAATAAATACAGATAATTAAAAAAAAAAAAGTTTGGTAGTCTCAAGGAAAAATAGATATATTTTACCTGTTTTAGTTTCTCTTTCATTCTATTCTTCATATCTAACTTAGTCTGTTCCTGGTTTTCTAGGAATATGAGAGTATCTTGTAAAGTTTTAGGACCATATTCACCTAGTGGACTCTATAATATATAAATATACCATATAACTAACAAACATAGGCATACAAGCCAGGGCTGGGGGGGGGGGGGGCAGTTACCCCCATTCATGATGGATGAACTAACATAGACCCCATAAAGATGTTGATAGTTTGACTTTTTAAAACTAATACAATAATACAACTTTCTACAATAAAATTTTCTTATTACCTCTTTTATTTGTAAACGTAAATTGTCAATTTCGTCTGTTAATATTGCTAGACATTTCTGTTTACTTAATATTTCTTCTTCCATTGCTGCCATTCGTGATTTCCTTTCTTCCTCAGCTTCTTGATATGCTTGTTCTAACTGTAAAATATCTTGTCTAAAAAGAAATATATACAATTTGTAATAATTATAATAGCTGCTTATTATACCATGCCAAAAGATATATGGCAAATGATAAGTTGATCTGGTGCAATAATCAAAATACTTGATTTTGGAACAAGGACATAAACGATATTTATTCATCTGTATTCCCCCAAAATGATGAGAATAGACAGCTTTATGGATTCCATTCAGTAGGTTTATTAACTGCAAAGTTTTAATAGGTTATTTTCAATGTTATCAAAAAATACTACAACCAAAACTGTTATCAGACCTCCCAATCGATTGTAACGTCAAGATATTTCTATCTTTGTGAGGTGTCAAAATAAAGAAATGGCAGCATCAAGCAGCAAAGCATCTTTAATAATATCAACTAAGATGGTTACTAATTTAGTAGAATATGATGTTTCAATAATGAGAATAAAGTCTCACGAGCCATCGATTCTCACTCATTAAAGAATATATTATTAGGCAAAACAGTCAAATGAAATATAGTCATGGGATCATTTAAAAACAATGAAATACTAATATTATTAGCAAGCCAAAATACTGTGCATAGTAATAAAACACCAGAAATATCATCAAAATGTTCTAACAAGAATAAATTTTTAAAAAATGTTTTGAGTTTTTTCAAAAAAAAAATTCTCTAAGATTTGTTATGTACTGGTTCTATCTGCAATTAACTTGTGCACAGCATGGAAATTAACTTGGTAGTGAAAGAGTTAAGTTATACAAAAATCTATAAGTACTTCAATAGTTATTCTTACTTACCTTTTTACTTCTAATTTCTTGATATCTTCTTTATGAGATGTTTCAATGTCCCTGAAGATATATTATAGATTTTAGTGGTAATTTGTTTAAACTGGGGGGCGGGTGGGGGGGAACTTAAATAATAAGTTTTATTCATTCAAATTCATGTTATGCTGCTAAAATATCAAAATCTCATTCTGAACACAAAATTTAATATATCACGTTTTGTGGAATAAGAAATATAAACACTATAATGTTTAATGGGATCATGTCTAAAGTGACATCAATGTCCCTATTGCTGCCATAAAACAATCCATAACATGTAGAGTCAATTCAATATTAAGCAAACACAAAAATTGTCACATAGCTTATATGTTGGATATGTCAATCAATCATTATCAGTCATACATTGTACAGTAGGTTGCTTCACATATTTATTTATGACTTTCTTACTAGTATATAAACATTATATCTAAATCTCTATATAAACATTTTATATCATTGTATTTTCTAGTCTAATGAATTTACTTCGTTCTCCCAAACGTATATACTAATGTAGCAGGGATTGTGACTTATGAACCTCTACAGATAGGTCAGAAAGATCAAGACCTTCTTTAAGTATTCAAACAGAAGGGTAGGCTTTTCTTAGCTGTCTGTTAATTTGCTAGTGCGAAGACCAGATTTTGTGTTCAACTTCAAGACGAAACTAAAATTAATGGAAAAAACAACTTTGTAATCTTTCAAAACAAAACTCTAATAGTATAGAAATTTGTCTCATCACTAATTGAAATAACTGATCAATAAACCCAATTCTACATTTTATTTTGACCTAAATCAATCAGGTTTAACTTGTTAAACAGTTAGAGAATGTATACTTACCCTAAAGTCATAAAAGATACATTATCAACTGATCTATAGAGATTATCAGCTGATTTATATAAATCTGTTAAAGATCGGGTCAATAATGATGTTCTGGAATGGGACAGCAGTGACGTATTTAAGTTGGAATTAGACTGAAAAAAAAAGAATTAGTGTCCTTTCACCAATGAAACATGACGTTGCCAGTTAATGAATATACACCTATTAGCAGCATTGTGAAAGTGTAGTAATTTAAGTTATCAGGATCAGGGGTAATAACTACTTACATAATTTATAAGGTCTACAGAGGGTTTTAATGGAAAATCATAGAAAGCCCAGACCTGCAGTGTGTTAACAAGGTTTCAATGAGGACCTCAGTAATTCTTCAAAAAAATCTTAATTTCAACAGGATTCCATATTAGAACTAACCTAACTATCCCACCAAGTTCAAAACAAAAATATAGTTAAACTCTGATCTGAAGAGTGTTTACAACTGAACAGACAGTGAGGACAAAAATATACTCCCACACAATTGAGACAGTATGGCTAATAGATTTTAAATTAATTTATTAAAACAAACCTTGCTAAGTTCTCGAAGTTTTGCTGCTTCAGCTGGATTATTAAATCTAAACATATTAGTATGACCTAACAGTATAACAGCTCCTGTAATAGAAAACCTTGTATTTAATTACCAGTAAATAAAATTGATAGATTATATAGTAGGGTCCCTATCTACAATTTTAATTCAATCAATAAAAATATGTTTCTTATAATATAAATGTATACCCTAAATACACATACATATATATACACATGTAATACAGAGACAGATAATACACATAGGATAGATACAAAGATGTACACATTTAATACACATAAGAGTTAAAATACAATAAATACACAATGATACATTTAACAAGTTTATACCTATAATACACTAAAACATGAATCAAACAATATAAAGAACACTTATGATAATTATATGATTATTTACCTTGTTGTAGTCTAGTAGGTTCTGTAATATTTGTTCCATTAACTTGACACAGAGCTTGTTGTGATGGATGTAATGTTACTACACCACTATCATATTCTATCATACAATGATCAGTTAATATATCAGGTCCACCTAATGCTATACAACAATAACAATCATTAGTATTAAAATTAATATCAACATAAAAAATGAATACTTTAATGAATAGGCATCATTTTGACATTCCAGGCTTGCCACTTATCAGTCAAGATAAATAATTCTGACATTTCAGTAATGCTACTTTTGCCAGAATGCCAGAAATCAAGCATGCATAAACGATTGGAATTATACCTGTATTTATGTGACTAATAGTGCATGCATCTCTTTTTATCATGTTTCGTCACACCCGAGGAGTGAGGATAAACATCTATTCTGGAAGTTATTTAATAATTTGATATATATATTCACAGAATAGGAGAACCTATCAAGTACTATTTTCAAGATGAATTCATGGCACGAGAATGATTCCGTTATTTCAAAAAAACAGAGTTATATTCTATGACAAATTTCACAACAAACTAAGTAACATAGAATTCCAACTTACTTATATCTGGAGTTTCTTGTTCATCAGAAATACCTAATGTAGTTATACCTTCCTAAAATAAAATACATAATTTATATATTGATGTAAGTTGTATACACTTACTAAAGAGATCTACGATTGATGTTTTATATCTGTTTCCCTAAAACAGGCGGCAAAACAGCAACATTCCGTTGATTTTATGGTTTAAAATTCTAAAATATCTATTATATACTATAGCAGGGTCAGAAATCATTACATTTCTCAACCATGGAGAAACATACCCTTCTTCATACACATGACCGCCCCATCATTACCTTTTATAACTGATCAAGGCAATAGTTTGAATTTGATTTGTTTTCAAAAATAATGATTCTTTCTAATTTAACCCATGTACAAAGAATAGACCTCACACCCCACACCCACACACACACACAAATTCCCCAATAAATTTAAGCCCCTACCATCTCTGATGTCAACAATATGGAGTACCAACCTTTAAATGATATAACATAACACCAGTACTAAGTCTATCATCATTAATACCAACAAGATGAGGTAAAGTAGAATCTAATACAATACCAACGCCCTCCTTACGTAATCCCAAATTAGATTGTTCCTACAAAACAAATAATAATAATTCTATCATTAAGTTCTAAGGGCTGGTAAAAAATATGTGAGGTTGGGATGCTATTTTCTAATTTGCTTTTTGGTGGAACCGAACTTGAAAATTTGGATTCAGTTGTCGGCTCAGGCCATGAAAAAAGTTCTGCAGGTTTTTGCAATGTGATTGTTGTGGGTATAATGGTAGATAGGTGACCAAATCAAACAAATTATCATTTATATGAGAATTATACAAGAGGTATCCAATAAAATGGAATGCAAAATAACAGTTATTCTAAGAACATAAAAGTTTTGATTAAATTTAGTAGTGTATACCTGTAATATATTAGCCGTTTCTTTCCATTTACCTGCCCATTCTTCTGTTAAAACTTTTATCTGAAATACAGAGGGATAAATACTGTCACAGTGTATCAAGACATATGTCCTCTATAGTAGTAAAGCCATCCAACCATTACACAAGGGTTGTTGCATATTCATTTTTTTTCTAGGTAATGGGAACAATTATAAGCATTATCCACAAGCAGTTGCAATTTAAATTACGCCCACATTTTGCAAGAGATGGACAGAGAACAAGCTAAAAAAGTGATTTTTTGTACAATCAGGGGCTATAATCCAGGATGTTACAGTCCGACACGCATCAATATCTAAAAGAACCAAGATCTTTGGAATATAAACACATATTTTAAGTTTTATAAAAATCGGCTAAATATTGTGATTTTTCGTACAATCGGGGCCATAATCCAGGAAGTTACGGTCCAATATGCATGAATATTGAAAGGAATCGATAAAAATTGTGACCTCTAGAGGGCCCACAGCCATAACATTCGTTTTACATACTTTTACACAATTTGCGTAGAAAGAGCGGCCATTTTGTCGGGCAGTTTTGTTTCGATTTTCCTGAAATTCGAATTCAACCTTCATTATGGTGGAATGGTGATATATTTAAACAGGTTTTAAAATCAGATAAAAATTGTGACCTCTAAAGAATCCACAAGCTAAAAAGCATGATTAATCGTACAATAGGGGGTCAAAATCCAGGAATATTGAAAGGGAACAAGATCTTTTGGATGTTAACATTTATTTTATTCGGATAAATATTGTGACTTCAAGAGGGTCCACAACCTTGGGAGCAGCAATTTTGTCGGTTTTCACAAAATTCAAACCCAATTATCATTAAGGAGTAACAATGATATATTTGAATGGTTTTTAAAATCAGATAAACATAATGACCTCTAGAAATGAAATGAAAGCTAAAATCATGATTTTTCGTAGAACAAGGGCCATAATCCATGAAGTTATGGTCCGAAACATGCTAATATTGAAAAAAAAAAGATATCTTTGGAATATATACCTATATTTCAAGTTTCATCAAAATCAGATAAAAATTGTGACCTGTAGAGTGTCCACAAGCAAAATGTGAAAGGACGGATAGGGGGCAACGACAATGTAAGTCCGCATGAAAATGTGGCCGTATAAACCATTAAGAATTGACTGGCTTCTAGAACTTCCGGATGCCAACATTTGTTACTCAAATCAATGAACATGAACACTGTGTATCAATTTGAAATCAATTGGAAAAATATGCTGCATGTAAATCGACCGATGAGTTACTAGTAATTTTGATCAATTTTTAAGATAACTTGACATATTTTGCAGTGCTGGAACCATGGTTACAACATTCTGGATTATAAGGTATATAACTTATAGCTTCTACTGGTTGCAGACCACAACACAGAAATATAGCTCTAAAACTGTCCAACTTCTTTGTGGTCTTTCAAATTATTTTCAAATGAAAACACTTAAATAAAATAATGTAAAAGGGAAAAAATATAAGATAATTTTAACTTACTCTGGCTTCATTTTCATGTAATTTTTCTTGAACTTTTGGGGAAGAAATAATATCCTGAAAATATATACATAGACTATCCATATATATCTATCTTACTAACATAGCAAAATAATGTTTTAAGGTAGAGTTGCAAGACTGCAAAAAATGTGTCCAAGACAAAGATCTCAAAACAATAACATCCTAATTTCTATATCATCTCAATCTACCGTTAATGATGCCATTTTCAGACCTTTTCTGTGCGATATCTATCCATTAATGTTACGAATAACCAAATGCTTCAACATTTCAAGAAAAAAATTTAAAAACCTAAACAATACATTCAGTAAACAAGTTTATTATGTAAGGAGGTTCTCTAATCGATTGAACATGAACATATGACGAGAAAGCTATGCTATTTCTTCTTAATCTAAGCAAAACTGAATGAATAACCACATAAAAGCTATGTATTGGTTTGGTACTAGTATTTCTCCAGCTTATCAAATTAAACTTCCATCTTCTGGCTATTCAGCCGCATAGATAACCGCATTCTCCAGCTAATCAAATGAAACTTCCATTATACTGGCTGTTCAGCCACATGGATAACCTCATTAAAACTATGTATTCGTTCAAAACTAGTATTTTCCCAGCTCATGAAAAGATGTCTTCATCTGAATAAATATACCTTTATTAGCATGTTATTTATTTGAGGTGTATTTTAAGTTTTCTCTTTATCATGCTGGCAGTAATATGGGGATTAGGTTTTCACAATTATTACAGATATTTTATGCCTTAAAATATCCAACTTTTTCACATATCAAACAGATAATAAAATAATGATTTTACCTGATCACTACCAAGTAAAGCCTTTAATCTAGCTATTTCTTCTCTTAATTCTCTAATTAATCTTACATTAGGATCCTTGTAAATATAAATAATTCAAACATAAATATACGAGAATATATAGATATCCTAACTTTTGATTGTATATACATTCCTACATATTCTCAAAATACGAATTAACTTACTGGAACTGCTGAAATACATAAATAACAATAACAGTATGGCCACATTCAACATGCCAATCCTCTGCTGTTTATAGACCAATCATTTTCAGAGGATTAGATCCCAAAAGAGTTTGTACAGGGCAAATAAATTGTAATGCTTAAAACACAATGATTTTGCATACACTAACTGGTATGTTTCTAATTAAATTTCACTTTTATTTATATATAATTATCATTCATAACAAAACAATAGCTGATGGGTATGTAGAATATTTATATTATACAAATTATTACGGATGTAATCTTGTGATTACACCTGAATGATTGATTTTTATTGTAAATATATAAATAGAGAAATTATCATATTTTATATAAGATGAATATTTACCTCATTGACTGTAGGTCGGTTTATAATATTTTTGGCTCTGTTAGCATATCTTAATGTACTTAATGTTTCTGCATAATTTACATCTGCTGGTGATATGGCTAAAACAGAAACACAAAATAAAAACCTGTGTTGTAATGTTTCACCAAGCAGACATTAACTAATTATAACAGCAGCTAACTTGTCCAAGCAGTCCACATACTTTGTGAATTTTCAAGAGATGGACAAAGAACAAACTAAAAGAAAGATTTTTTGTAAATTCCAGGGTTGTAAACCAGGAAGTTACGGTCCAATATGGGCAAATATCGAAAGAAACCAAGATCTCGGAGATATAAACATATATGTTACGTTTCATCAAAATCGGATAAAAATTCTGACCTTTAAAGGGGCCACAACCTTAGTATCACATACTTTTACACTATTTGTGTACAAGGAGTGGCCATTTTGTCTGGTATTCGCGGTCCAATTTTCACAAAATTTGAACTTAACCTTCACTAGGATCTAACGGTGAAATGTATAAACGATTTTTAAAATCGGATAAAAATTGTGACCTCTAGAGGCTCCACAAGCCAAAATCGCTATTTTTTCGCACAATCCAGGGCCATAATCCTATTAATCTAATTTTATCAAAAAGATAGAGATTTTTGTGTTGTCATAATACAGGTTACCTGAAACTTTTACAATAAAGGGATCAAATTTGTGGCTTCTATTTAATCAAATAACTCAAAGTTTAACCTAAAATAATTCTGACAATAAAATTTTCATTGTTTTTAAGTGACCAAAAGGCCATAAGTCAGTAAAACAAAATGAACAGAATTGTGATTTGAGGTCAACAAAGGGCAATAAGTCAGCAATGCAACCGTATTGGGTGAACATAGCAACTCCCATTTGTTAAATCTGTAAAATATAGGAACAAGTGGTTGTCATGCAAGATAAGCTCACATTTCCCAAAAGACGGACACAAAATAAGCTAAAAAATAAACGATTTTCATACAATAAGGGGCCATAATCCAGGACGTTACAGTCCAACATGTGTCAATATCAAAAGAAACCGAGATCTTTGGGATATAAATATACATTTTAAGTTTCATCAAAATCAAATAAAAGTTGTGATCTATCAATTGACCACCACAAGTTAAGGACACAATTTTTTGTCCAATCAGGGGTCATAATCCACGAAGGTACAGTCCGATACATGCCAATATCGACAGGAATTGAGATCTTTGGTATATAAACCTATGTTTTAAGTTTCGTAAAAATAGGATAATAATTGTGGCCTCTAGAGTGTCCACCCACAGCCTTGGTATCACATACTTTTACACTATTTGCGTACAGGGAGCAACAATTTTGACAGGAAGTTTAGGACCAATATTCGAAATTCAAACAGATCCATCATTATGGGGTTTTAGTGATATATTTTAAACGGTTTTTAAAATTGGATAAAAATTGGGACCTCTAGAAAGTCTACTAGATAGAAACATGACTTTTTCGTACAATCAGGTCATAATCCAGGAAGTTATATCGAAAAGAACCTAGATCTTTGGGATATAAACATATATTTTCAGTTCCATAAAAATTGTGACCACTACAGGGTCCACAAACTTGGTATTACATACTTTTACACTATTTGCGTACATAGATCTTTATATTATAAACATACTTTTGGAAATTAATCAAAATCGGACAAAAATTGTGACCTCTAGAGGCCTAAAAAATTTGTTCGTACAATCAGGGGCCATAATCTATGAAGTTATTTTCTGATACATGCGAAATATCGAAAGAAACCAAGATCTTTTAGATATAAATCTATATTTCAAGTTTCATCAAAACCGGATAAAGATAGGTTGTCTGGCAACAAAACATATGCTCACAGCAGCAAAGTTGTCTCTGCAATCAACGAGAAAGAGAAATGGGGTTTGACATCCACAGGACACAAACTAGATCATTTCAGGACAAACATATGGTTCAATTTTATTTCAATAATTCACTTGCAGGTCTTTAGCAGACGGAGGAAACAAGAGGACCCGGAGAAAACCCACAAGGTTGGACAGTCGACCCTACACCTTGACACCAGTTGACTCAATGACAGACCTGATGATTTAACGCGCACATACATTTATCAAAAAATTTTCGTATTATTAAAGAAGTATCCAATACACATCAACATACACAAAAACTGGACTGAGTAATGGCAATACACACACGCTTTCAATAAACATTAGATAATTGGCAAAATAGTTTTTAGGGTAGTTTTAATTTGTGACAGTGGTGAATTTCTCAATTAGATACAAATGGACTGAATGAAATCGGTATGAAGTGTATGTAGTCACACTGGTTTCATGTACATACCACTTTTATATGGCCATTAAGTACTCATCATAAGCTTTCAGTTACTTATTTTAATCTTATCATTGATTATGTTCAAATAGAGTAATAACTTACTTGCAATCATGATAGTTTTAGCATTACCACCTAAACTATCTTTAAGTAGCCATGTTAATACAGAATCTCTGTATGGTATAAATATTTGTCTTTTTTTACCATCTGATTCACAATTTTCAGCTACAATTAAACCACACAAAATATAAAACAACAAATATATTAAAATTCCATTTAGAATTACCAAATCTCCGTAAATCCAATCAATCTTAAGAAATGGTTTTCATTTTGTGGGAACAATAAGCAGGCAAACTTTGAGTTCCATAACTGCAGTCCTGTAGCATATTCACAAATTGTGGACAAATTAAAATGCTTAGGAAGCTTGATATAAACAGGAGACAACAATGCGTCTACATTTCATGTAAGGGTACAAAAATATGCATCAACATCCCGCGATAGATTCGCGACAAATTCACTTGTCTGTCCGTGTCCAGCGTATATTGTCGAGCAAACAATTTTTATAAGACATCATTGATATCATATGATCTCAAAATGGCTGTCTCTACTGCTGATTCGCCATTTTGTACAAGTTCCATAATCGATGTAATTTACTCGCAGACTGGTTACGCTCGAGTCGATAACTATGTATGCCCGTTCGTCATCTGCCGTAAAAAATCACTGTTGAATTTCAATAAGCGCGATCAGGCTAAAATATATACTCGGCTGACCATAGCATAAATCCAAGAAATTTCTAAATAGCAAAAGGCACAACTACTGTAATAGTTTGATGCGTGTATAGAGTTTCATAAAGATATCTTAAAGGGTTTATGATATATACACCAGAAACAAAATCGAACAGACGAACGCATAAAGTCCATTTTAAAATCCTTCCCTAACTTCGTTCAGCGTGGGATAACAAAGAAGGGTAAAATATGGAGTAAAATTGCCCACCTAAAGTAGAAATAACATTTCCTAATGTTACCAGAGATTTATTTATATTTCCACTTTCTTTTAATCTTATACCAATAGCACCAGTTGCATCTGCTCTTTCGCTGAAAAAATGAAACAGCAACATAATATAAGTCAAATTAAATCTTGTTTCATCATTAGGGTTTTAAAAAACTGGATTTTTTGGTCAACAATAAAAGAGACTAAATAAAGCCAAAATATTATCATAAAAAAGGTTTATATATATTAGAACTGTAGTCATCGAATTAGACTTACCTTCCTGCTAAATCTACTAGATGTACTTTACTGTGTTTTTCACTTGGCATATCATTTATATATCCTGCCTGAAATACAGCAGATGACGTTCCTTTCTAATAATGAATGAACTCCTTGCAGTTTATTGTGTGTCTAGTACAGTTATCTTTCCAGTGATATTTTGAATTTCAATGTATGTGAACACATTAGAGAATCTTAAATGGTAAAGGCATTTACGCAAAGTTTCAGTTTTCTGAATACTGAGGGGTTACTGTTGTGTAGCATGGAAGGGCTGCTCTTTTATACCATCAAGAACATCTGACAAATACAGGTACTGAAGGCAAGCAACCAGTCAAAAGATTTTGACTAATTTATCTGAATACTATTGAAAACTATTTTAAACAGTGATTTTAGCGAACTAAATCAATAAATATTACGCAGGAGCTGAGGGTAGGGGCAAGGCCAACCGTGAATTAAATAAGGTATATAATATATAATTTACCTGTGTAAATAATATAGTATATATAGCATGTGATCTGCTACTAACATCATTCATCAATGTAGATGCTGTTGTTCTGTAATTTAATTATATACTTACATACATACAATAAAATATTAATATCTAAACTATACATAAAACTGTCAATATAGGTGCATATTATGCATTGATTGTTTTGTGAAACGGCAGATTACCAGACACAATCAATGAAAATAATACTTTCGGGGGTATACTTAACTTCAAAAATTCTGTTTGCATGTAAGGCTCCACTTAATGGCATCCATGTTTTAATATCAATTTAACATCAAGAAATTTAAAACTTTTGTGGTACTTTAACGACTTCATAACTAAATACATAGATCTCCAACTTCTTATATATGGCAACCACATGCTACCTGGACAGGTGGTGGAGAAGGCAAGGACCCATAAGTCACAGTATTGTCCTAATACTCAAAACACATCAAAAATAATAATATTTTCTCCAAAATTTTTGGTGGACATGATTTTGGCACACAAACTTAAAAAGGCTGCCCGACCCTGCCTACAATAATACATCTGGCTTACTCGATACATTTTTATAAAAAAATTTTGTCATCTGTCTAAATATTTAAAGACTTAATTGAGAAACGTCACTGGCAAATTCCTTGGCAGCAGCTGTACCGTACCAATAATAAATCTAGTAGCTTTACACATTATGATTAACTAGTTACTGTACCTATTATTGTTTCCCTTTTCTATCATATGTTGAATATCTTCATGTCGCATAACAGTATGCTTTGATAAATCTGAAAAAAATTATCATTACATTTTTATAAAATATTAAAAAATTTCCCGTCTACCACAGTTAAAGGAGCTAAGTCTCAAACTCACTTTTTTCCATAATATTCTAAACTAAAACACAAATAAGAATTCAATATTGATCAATTTCAATCAATATTAATGTTATCTTGCCGTGAAACTATAGGATCCTAATATCCAATATTTAAGACACAATTAACATTTTATAATCAGTACACGGGTTGGTTTCGGGTGCCATTTTGTAATGAACAAACAAAAACATATTTTACAACACAATAGTAATAAGGAAAGGCTGATTCACAAATGACAAAATATACTCTTCAAAAAAAGTAGGGGATATTCAGAAACAATACAAAACTGCAGAAATGCACTGCCTTTCTTATTAGAGGTAACCAGTGTATGTTAATAACAGGCCAATTGCCTACACATGAACATAAACAGTTCTTATGAGCAGCTTGTCGACGAACACGTCTCCCGATCAAATTAAACGTAACACACTAAATCAAAGATACGCTAAACAGTAAATCATATGCAAGAACTGATAGGAAAACAAACATGGATAGGATAAACCAGCAAGCGGCAGTTTTCATCAACCCTTCCTTGAAGTGTCAAATTTGACAATGAACCCCTCCCATGTGTATGGCACTATTGCATGTCGCACATGCAGCTCAGTGGTTCTGTTGGGGCGATAAGTTCTTCGTCTGTGAACATACTCTCAAAGCATGTCAAGTGTCCATGACTATTTATCCTATCACAACCTGCATAGGTATTTGCATTTCAATATCCCCTACTTTTTTTGAAGAGTATAATAATTTTAAAAAACGTTTAGAATGCACTAAGCAGGCATAAACGACTGCTGTTCAGTTTGAACTGTTCACGTATATCACCGAACATAATTGATTAGAAATTACAATATTTTTTTCACAAATTGAATGTAAATCACTTTACATACATTCATTTTACATTAATATGATCTTTTAGAACCATTTTTATCCATTTCAAGGTTAAAAAAATAGAGGCATACATCTTTTAATAATATATACAGGATTGCAATTTTTATTATTCTAATCGACAGAAAGATTCATCAGTCAGGCATTGTTAATGTCATGTAAAATGACCTAAATATTAAAGGTACTTTATGTAATGTTTTAAAGCAAATATCAATAAAATATAAATGTGTGTTTATGAAATAAAAAGCTCTATATACATTTGTTTTCAATTGCATAAAACTTTATATTAATTATAACTTTCAATTGCATTATTGCAGAACTTTAAACGGTAATTCTGGTGCAAATACGGTCGTCAATTGTCGTTCAAGTCCCACTCACAACAAACATGGCCGTCTATTACATCCTGTTAAATCTCAAGCAATTGGCTGTGATAAATGAATACTGTAGGTATTGATGATAAACAAATTAAATAATAATTGTAGAAACAATTTCTCATGATCAGTTACTCACAACTTAAATCCTGACTATTAGTAAAAGAGAACAATTCTAGTTTACTTCAAGCTATGCAAACAACTGACAATCAAACGATAGCACCCATTGCCCCACCCACTACACGCGTCATGACAATACCTAGACTGTAGCCATTTAGATCTATCAGTAACATAATACAATAGCATTTTTAATACCAATCAAAGAAACAATGATTTTGTGAACTACAAACAACTTCATAAAGTATACGTTGACAACTCACTAGTAGATAATTAACTATACCGGTAAATTATAACAATGGATCAATCACTGAATCTATGTTGATGTTGTATAAAAACTTTCGATAACTTAAAACGGTTATTTGTTAAAATTATAACACAGTTTTGCTCAACGAAAACACCTCAATTCTTAAAAATTGTTTATTCAGAATGGCTAAGAGACGAACCGCTTATACAGCTAAGGAAAATTTGAGGATGATTAGTTACACTGAAGCGCACGGTAATGGGGCCGCGGATCGGGAACTTAGTTTGGGTGAGTCAAAAGCAAGACGTTGGAGGGCTATGAAGGGGAAACTTAGTGACATGAAACCAAGTAAAAAAGCAAATAGACAGAGGGCCGCACATTATCCACGAATTGAGAAAGAATTGGTTGAATATGTTAATGACAGATGTTTAACTGTAATCCCGCCCCTTAATGCTGTCACTGTAAAAGACAATAATAACGGCCTACGGTGTACTAAGCGTGTGTTCAATGGACGTTACCGTTCTAAAAGCCAATGAAAATGCTTGTCTGTCATAATTCCCGCCTTTTTGGCAACTTGACTGACAACACTATTAAACAGGACACTGTTTGGATTGCCGGTAATTGCTAACAGTGCCGGTACACATTATACGGAATGGCAGAAATATTAACAATAATTTTGCAGATATTTTAAACCCTGTTAACACTGAACTGCTATTGTTTATATAGAGAATAACGGTAGCTGAAATGGCCGCCATCTTTACTGTATGAAAAATATCGACATCATCAACTTTAGACTTCGATGTTGACAGAGGTAAAAGCCTAGATTTGCTTAATACTATGTATTAGGCACACCCCTTCTATAAATAAAAATATCTGGTAAAAAAAAGTGCACCTAATACACCAAAAAATACCGTAGATTTATTGTAAGTATTACCAGTATATTAATAAATAAACTGACCTTGTACATATGGACCTTCTTTAGGATGTTCTCTGACTCGTAAACTATGAACAATCTGATTACTATGGCTAGGTATCTTTAATAAATCTCGAACTTTTTCATTATAAATTTCTAAATAACTGAAATGAAAGTCATAGCAATAAATGCATTTATACCATAACATAACGTCATAATCTTATTTAGTCTGAACTGCGAATGCCTCCATCACAAACATCTTACCAAAGCAAACCTGAATTTCCAAACTTATTTTCATTTTATAGGTTTAAAAATGGAAGAATATTGGTAAAATTGCCTTAAAGCTACAAAGTGAATTGGTTCACCATTCTCAGCTAAATCCAGAAGCCTCAGAGTCCTTAGATTTGCACCAGATAAATTGATGTATATAGTAGAGTCAAATTGCAGAATAACCCTTAAAAAATTGCAAGAAATTGTTTTATTGCATTTTCTTATAGTATTTGGTCCAGAGAACAACATATCAAAAGTTGTCTGAAATTGAGCTACCGTAAAGGGTCTAAATATGACGTCAAACAAAATGGCCGCCATTGGACCAAAATCCTGATTATTTCTGCTCATATTCTATCAAAGCTGTTGTTTGAGAAGGCTTAGGGGTAAGCAAATGCTATCATAAAAGCAACGTCTTAGAAATTCATCACTCTGTGAGTGTTGTTCAGTGTTTCCACGTGGCGTTATAAGGGGTCATTATGACGTCACGACGAAAATTTTTCCTTTCTGATGTTTTGTTAGCCATTTCATTTGAAGTTTTAGATGGATGGATAGCAAAAGTGCAGACAATTGCTGCAATAGAAGTGCCGACCACGATTTATGGTCAGTCTAGAGTACATTATCACCAAAAAAAAGTCCCAGTCTGAAATCCGTGCCAAAATGGGTCAAATTGGCCAAAATTCAAAATGGCCGCCGGTTTTGACTGGAAAATGTCAATTTGTATACAATTATCATAATATGATCGAGCTTGCCATCAAAATGTATCCTTTCGGGGTAGCTGAATCCATTTCCATGCACATTTTGGTGAATAATTATACCGCGAAGTCAATATTGGGCAATAACTCCAGATGGAGGCCAGTTTTGGCGAGAAAATTCAAATTCAATGACCACATTTGGTGTCAAAAAATACGTTTTTGAGGCAGCTGATTCCATTTTCGACTTATTTTGGTAATTAACTGGTTCCCCTGGGTCAAAATACGTGGAAATCCCATTGGAGATTTGGGGATTAAGAGAGGTTGAGTCTGCCTCAGATCTAATACTATTGCCTTCATCACGCATCAACTAAATTTCATTTTGACTCTTTGGTCGACCACTGCTCATTGCGGAAGCATCGTAGCTGCTCACTGTGTTCGATCACCAACATCGACAGTGGAGCCAAGATGACCAAACCTATTGAAGCACACATCAAATTTATTTCACAAAATGATTCAAATAATGCGACACAGATGGATCCCGATATGCAGTGAACTATTTGATAATAAACTGCCTATCGCCATTCCGAAAATGATGGAAAGAGAACGGGTATTGGAGGCCGACAATAATGAGCCAATTAAGATCCCTGACCAAAGTTCAATAATGAGCGGAGATAAAAATTTCAATGGCAGAAAACTAAGGACATAATAAAACTTGGTGTAAAGTCATGACTAAGTTCAACAATGAGCCAAGGATTTGCTAGGGCCTCCGAATGAGGGTAGACAGACCAAAGTTAGGGCACTTTGAGTTCTGTGGCACATGGTAGAATCGATTTGGTGTCTGTGTGAGCCATGACATACCATACATTGACACTTGGTTAAGGGATTTTGATTAAGTCCTAAAGATATGAACATGAACATAGTTAGCTGCAATCAAGAACTAAAAGATCCGTGGGTAAAGAAAAACAAGTATCAACAGGGACTGGCATTCCTTACAAAGGGTACTTGCCAAGTTTCATTCGATTCTGTTCCCAAATGAGGGGAGGGGTAGGGGGTAGAATTGAAAGTAGACTGACAACCCCAAGAACGAGAAGACGATCAAGTTACTGGTTACAGATTAGAAATCATGGTCACGGTCAGCGTATTGGCCTTGAGTGTGCTAACCAGAAAAACGTTCCCGTTGCCCGTGTTGCAGTTTACCTGTATTCATTTAGATAAATAAATAAAACTAAGACAAATTAATTGATTCTGAATATTGTGGAAATATTATTCCGGCTGTGAAATCTATTCTGGAAGTCATCTGTGGAAATCATGAAAAACGGACATATTCTGTACGTACATTGAGTGTGATTGATTTTTAGTATCTCTGGATGAGGTTGGAACAAGGGAAGGGCAGCAGAAAAAGGGGCCACAATGATTTCTTTAGGTGGGCATTTCCTTGAGTATTTAAGGTAACTTTGTCGAAATTCGATGACACATTTTCGGAATGGGAGGGGGGTGGCATACAGTCACCCACGCTCGCTTCACTATACCCTGGTAGAGAGAGAGAGAAATTGGGTTTAATGTCCACTCGACACAAACTAGGTCATTTCGGGACTAACATATGGTTTAATTTTATTTCAATAATTCGCTTGCGCGTTGGGGTCTTTAGCAGTGGGAGGAAACCGGAGGACCCGGAGAAAACCCATGAGGTTGGCAGGCGACCCTACACCTTGTTACGTACAACCAGGGATTCAAAACCACGCCAGTTGACTCAATGACAGGTCTTATGATACAGCGCACATGGTAGGAAATCTCATCGGATTTGAGCGTTATCAACCATTTCCAGTTTCTTTTGTTTTTGCATTTATGAGAGCACGCCTCTGCAATGAGATTTTTTGCTTAGGTTACACAGAGTGATGAACAATTTCAATGCTAGATGCTTTATAAATATGTTAGGTGTGCAAGTAATTAAAGAGTGTCATCTTGACACTAGATTAATGTCCAGACGTCATATGTCCAGTCTTGGCATGTCTAAAAAGTAGGCGTTGTAGCAACAGTCACTGGTTATATCTGTTGTAATGGACCGTCTGCTAGTCTTTCTTACAGACCATGTAAAAGACAACGGTGCGCAAAAATTAATTTTGGCACCTCAGACTGTCTAGACCTTGATACAGGCTCCTCCACTTCAATAGCGTTACAACATTGTGCAATAATGAAAGTTGCGACATTCCACATAGTATTTTTCACCAAGCTTGAAATCACGACTATAATTTCTCAGCTTAGCTCGGTTAGCCACCTTATTGACGCTCCCAATACCCGTTATTTCCAAAATAATGTTGGGCAGATCATTATCAAATGGTTCACTGCATATATGACAAACAGGTGATACTGTATCCATCGTGTCGCAACATTTAATCAGTTTGAGAATTAAATTGGCAACGTGCTTCAATAGGCATGATCAGCATCCACAGTCACCTGGGAGTGTCCCCAGTCGACATACCCATACACCGCTACCACAGTGAGCTGTGCGACACTCCAAATGAAATTTAGTTGATACTCGATGAATGTCATTGTATTAGCTTTAAGGTAGGAGTATCATTAACCTCCATTCCCTAATCTGTAATCTAAATCCCTAATTGGAATTTCTCCTATAGAGACACAGGGAATCAATTAATCACCAAAATATGTACAAAAATGGATTCAGCTACCTCGAAAACGTATATTTTGACACAAAACCTGATCCTTATGTAAAATTCGAACTTTTGATATGTGGTTGTCTAGACCATATATACTAAAGGAAACAACCATAGAACGTTTTCTTGCAATTTTTTTAAGGTTGGCCCATTTTTTTCATTACTTTGACCCTACAAGTATATTACTGTACCTGACTTCAGTTTTATAACTTGTATTATCATCTGTCATTCTGGAAAATAATTCCTGTAACCAAATATAAGAGATCTTAAGTGTATTGAAATAAAACAGATTAATTTTGGACTACCAGTTATTTGTCAGGTAATAGTCAATACAGTTCAACTACCCAACAACATAAACTATAGAAATTAGAATGTAAGAACAAAAATACAACACTTATAATACAATGTCATTTTTAATCACAACAACATAACTCGAATATAATTAAAGATGCATTAGGCCTACATAAGAGCTAAATCTGCTTACTGCAGGTCTTTTATCTGGCTTCAAAACATTCTATAAATTAATATTTAAACATTTATTAACACGACAAGCCCATGATCAACTCTCTGGGCCACCGGCTGACTCTGATTATACGTAAATTAGAATGCTGCAGTCATTTAAGAGTTTAACAATAAAGAAGACAATTACGATTAAGACTCTTAGTCTCAATTGTCAAGTACCTTTGCTAGGATGATAAACAATCCATATAACATTTGGTCAAACGCTCATAACTTTGCACAGAATAAAGTAATTTGACTGAAATTTTCAATATATTAATTTTTCATTGTCTATTTTTGAAATATTATAGCAAGAATAGTTAGCTCTGTATTTAATGTACATAAACAATACTGTGTATAATAACGAGGGATCCCACTCTAAAATTTTGACAACTGGTTAATACTTTTGTGTATATTGTTTATCTGATACCTGTTATTTTTTCCAAAGCATATGATAATTCTTAGAATTTCTCAATCTATAAAGCCATATTGAAGTCTTTAAAATATGAATGTAACTTTATTAATGTGGTACAACTTTTAAGATTAAAATCTTTGAAATAGATAATCATTTGGATTAAACATTCACTGCCATTCAGTAAAAACTAGCAAATACTATCGGCTAAAACACAGTATTTGTCCAGTTTTCAATTTTATGTTATATACAGTTTGGAAACAACTTCCAGAATTTACAGTCCATTTCTTTTATTCAACATTTGTAATAATGGCCTCTCCTAATGACCACCAAATTTCAAGTCAATATATATCTTCGTTGTTGAGTTATGGCAATAAACATGTCCCAAAAATGGTCATTTTATGTGTTATGCTGTCTCACTTCAATAAATTATATTTTGAAACTCAAATTAATATATTTTCTGTGACTTTTTGGGAAAGGACATAAATGCATGCTTATAGAACATGTCCTATAATAAATTTTGATAGTTGAATTATACAAATAGGCAGTCTATTAAGGGATGACTAAATTACAAAAACATGTGTTTCTGTCAAATTTTCAGAATCAGAGTGTACAATTGCATGAGAAACACTGAAAACTTACAATAAAAATGTGACCTTCAGTAATATTATTTCACTTTTGAAATGTGCAATTTTAAAATCTAAAATATTTTTATTCATTTGAAGTTGATTTTTTTCACTTTTTAAAGGTTACGGACACTACAGTTGCTGAAGCATAAAAAGTATAAATTTTAATGACCAAAATATTGAACTATTGATAGTTAGAACTGCAAGGCAATTTATTTTTTCACCCTGATGAGACATATTGTCACAAATACCGGATGCTGTGTTTTAGCCGTATCAAAACCAGAATCCTGGTATAATCATTAAGAGTTTTAATCCCCTTTCCTTGACAGGAAGGACATACTGTTTATCATTATAACACTTGTGTGAAGACCTGTTTTATATAAGACCTATGATAACCTATCAGTTAATGTTAATTTAACTCCTAATAGATTAGAAAATTCATAAAGTATTATCTATTTGAGGCATGAAATTAATGTAAAGATGGTTAACTGACAATACCATAGTAATAGATAAACCAGCGGCTGCCAGGCAGGATACGCCCACATTTTCGAGAGATGGATAGAGAACAAGCTAAAAAGAAAGTGATTTTTCGTACAATCAGGGGCCATAATTTAGAAAGTTACGGTCCGATATGCGCGAACATCGAAAGGAACCGAGATCTTTGGGTTATAAACTTATATTTCAAGTTTCAACAAAATCGGATAAAAAATTGTGACCTCTTTAGGGTCCACAACCTTGAAATACCATATTTTTACGCTATTTGAGAACGAAGGGTGGCCATTTTGCCTGTCAGTTTTGGGCCGATTTTCACGAAATTTGAACTCAGCCGTCCTTAGGGTGTAACGGTGATATAATAATACGTTTTTTTAAATCGGATAAAAATTATGACCTCTATAGGGTCAACAAGCTAAAAACGTGATTTTTCGTACTATCAGGGGCCATAATTCAGGAAGTTACGTTCCGATATGTGCGAATATCGAAAGGAACCGAGATCTTTGGGTTATAAACTTACATTTCAAGTTTTATCAAAATAGGATTAAAATTGTGACGTCTATAGGGTCCACAACCTTGATATACCATACTTTTATGCTATTTGAGAACGAAGGGCGGTCATTTTGTCTGTCAGTTTTGGACCGATTTTCACGAAATTCATACTCAGCCGTCCTTAGGGTGTAACGGTGATATAATAATACGTTTTTTTTTAAATCGGATAATAATTATGACCTCTATAGTGTCCACAAGCTAAAAACGCGATTTTTCGTACAATCAGGAGCCATAATTCAGGAAGTTACAGTCCAATATGCGCGAATATCGAAAGGAACCACGATCTTTGGGTTATAAACTTACATTACAAGTTTCAACAAAATCGGATAAAAATTGTGACCTCTATAGGGTACACAACCTTGATATACCATATTTTTATGCTATTTGAGAACGAGAGGCGGCCATTTTGTCTGTCAGTTTGGGGCCGATTTTCACGAAATTCATACTCAGCCGTCCTTAGGGTGTAACGGTGATAAAATAATACGTTTTTTTAAATCGGATAAAAATTATGACCTCTATATGGTCCACAAGCTAAAAACGCGATTTTTCGTACAATCAGGGGCCATAATTCAGGAAGTTACGTTCTGATATGCGCGAATATCGAAAGGAACCGAGATCTGTGGGTTCTAATCATACATTTCAAGTTTAAACTAAATCGGATAAAAACTGTGACCTCTACAGTGTTCACAAGCTAAAAACGTGATTTTTGTACAATTAGGGGCCATAATCCATGAAGTTACAGTCCGATACATGCCAATATCGAAAGGAACCGAGATCTTAGGGTGATGAACCTATATTTCAAGTTTCGGTGAAATCGGATGAAAATTCACAAACAATTGTGGACGGACGTCCAGACGGACGGACAGAGGCGACGACAATATACGTCCACATGAAAATGTGGGCGTATAAAAACATGCCATTTTAACTAAAATGTGACCTGACATTAAGTAAACCCAAGGCAACTTTGTTAATCATGAATAATAAACTCATCAATTAAATTTGTTCACACTTTAAATCTTACACATCAACTTATAAGCATAAAGTATATAAAATTTAGATAAACTATCACTATATATATATATACATATTATTTCTTATAGGGTATAAATATTATTCATTATGTACAGTATATAGATTAATGAGAGCATAGTTAACTTTTTCTCCTTAAGGGCATTATATATGATCTATTTACTTTACTTAAGATTATATCAGTATACTTTTATGACACACAATAAATGTAAATAAAATTATTAGAATAACCACTGAATGCAATCAGCCTACATATTATAAACCATTCTCGGGGATTACTCAATATTATAAATAACAATATATAATAGAGTACCGGTAACTCACCTTACAAAATCGCGGTATAAAGCCTGGATTCTCCTGAAATGTTATTATATATGTATTAAATAATAGTATCAGTATATTCCTTTCAATATACTGTAAGCCGAGTCAAAAAAGGGTTGATCTAATGTACTTTAGATATAAATTGGGTTGCAAATTTGGGTAATTCTTTAGTTGGTAAAGATTAATCTTCTAAATCATAATATAGTATTCATCTCTCATTTAAATATTTACACTGAAAATCTACAAGTTAATGCAAAACATCTTAATTTCGGGAATATATTCTTGTCACCAAACTCTTTAAGAAATTGAAGAGTTCTTACCTCACTTCCCATCATAGTATAACTTTTGCCTGATCCTGTTTGACCGTATGCAAATACACATACATTATAACCTTCATAAGCTGCTGATACAACATCTTTACCTAATGCTGAAAATACCTGAAATTGTACGTATACAGTTATGTTACTATCACATATACTACACATTTAATAATATTATCCAGATTCAGTCACAACATTTAAATCAAGTGTAACAACTGATTTCTAAAACTGCTAACATGTCTCCTACCACCCTCTTGTAACAGGTTAATTAACACTTCCCACACAACAATATGTAATACTGCTCTGCCAAATACTAACAAACCCTTTCATAGGCGTACGACTAGATGATATTTTACCAAGTAGAGAGACTCCAGACATAAGGTTTTAATCCATAGCCAATTCAGTACATATTAGCGATATTCATTAAACAGAAAAGTAAAATTATGCCTATGAACAGTATGAACTGTTTGCTTGTCTGACTGGAGATAATAATACAGTATTTTAAACAAAACGTCAACTAATTTTTGTCAATGGTTTAATATAAATTAGATTCCACTGGAAACTTTAATTTAAAATTTGAAAGACCGATTGTGCACAATAAAAACGAGAATATCATTGGCCAATTTAAATAGAGAGTGACAAATCAGTTGGAGTGTCTGAACTCTGAACTACAGTTGTCCATGACTGACACATGCTTTCATCGAGGTAATGCACTTCCAGATCGATCACACTGATTTTGGGCCTATGATGGAGGAAAGTATGCCAGCTCTTCGTGGCCCCTAGAAGAAGTCATCATTTTTTTTTTTTTTTAATATGCAACTGGCTATGAACAGCACACAATGGCCATGTTATAGAGATTTTTGGTTTAATTAAAAGTTTTATGGGGGTGCTCATAATTATGTTTTAAGCTTTAATATATAATAGGCGAAGACTTTATTTGGAATTAGACATTTTACTTGCATGAGGAACTTATTAGCAAAATACAAATGCTTTTGCTCACAGTAATAGGATAATATTAAAATTAAGGGGTTTCCAAGGACATATTGTCAAAGGTTTATACCTCTTCTTGTGTAGCAAAGTGTTTATCAGTTGGAATGGCAGACCAGAATGATTTGTCGAATGTGAATTCTTTTTTTCTTTGTTGTTCTCTTGCTAGATCACCATCAATACCCAATACCGTCGTCTTTATAAATGGATTCTAATAAAGAGATGATGTAACATGTTATGTTAGTTTATTACTTTTCAGTTTGTGTCAAGTGGATGTTAAACCCCATTTCTCTCTCTCTCTATTACTTTTCATCTTTGGCTGATGTCTGAGAATCACATGCAAGTAACAGATGGTTAAAAAAAAAAACACGACACAAAACTTCTGTTTGTTTTGTCACACTCCAGACTTGAGCTTATGTAAGCTTCAAATAATTGTTTCTGATGGTGATTATAAAACAGGGTAGAACTCTGACCTACAATCTACTCCAGACCGTCTATTTCTGTATGTACAAGCTATATGGAGAATTCCAATAACATTTAAAAGTTCTTGAATTTCCAAAAGAAACATATAATTTACTAAAGCTGATGAATGCCTAAGTAAAACTGAATATATTTCAAAATACATTCAAAATTATTTCCAGTTTAATATAATATAAAGAATGAATGTCATATAAATTGTTATACCTACTATGAGATATATCAAATCAAAAAGTTATCCCCAGCAAAAAAATAAATGACAAATTACTGTTAAAAGGAAACATAGGTTTAAAATTCACAGTATAATTTACAAGTTGAAACATGCATTAAATGATTTAAGCATACTTAATTTCTTTACTGGATGGGCTTAATTAACTTTTTGATTATAATTTACATCAAAACTATATGAATATTATGATATCTATTGACCTAGATAAATATACTCTATAAAGACTTACCCTAATATTTTTAATGGTAGTTTTTTCATCACTCATGCTAACAATAATCTTGCTCTCCAAATCCAACTCTCTTATAAATATAAATTTAAAGACTTTATAGTGAAATGTTTGAAATTAACATTTATCCAAGACAATATTTAGTCATAAATATATGGGAGCTGGGGTAGCAGTAACGTAGTTTGTGGTATAATATTCTGGCAGATAGTTTTTGAAATGCAGAAAGGTAAGTTTAATTCTGTAATGTTAAATAAGATACCAACTTCATGTTAATGGATAGAAATCAGATATCTTTCAATCACTCACTAACAATTCTAAGACAATAAAGATGGTAGCATAAAATCAATAGAAATTAATGTGAAAGTAACATAAGTTATGATTGATTGATTTTCATCATCTTGGCAACAATTATGCATTTTGCTAAGCTTACTTTCCTTGTGCTTAGTGTTTGAAACAGTAAGGAATATTAAGCTTACATTCAAGCAGAAAATATTTTGATTACTTCTACAATCAAAACATTACATGCAAATTCTGGCAAACACAAAATTCACACCATTCTATATTTGTATTAGTTTATACAAACAGTCATCAATCCCAGGGACATATTACAAATGATAAGTATTCATTTATCATGATTTATGACTTGAAAAGTAATTAGCAATGGTGTGTAAAGTTTATTAAGTATAGATGTTATATGTAACAAGAGTAATAGTACCATCTGTCTGTCTGATAATAAGGCTACAGGTTAAACTAGTTTATTCATGTTTATCCAAATGGGTTAATCCAGGAGAAAATGCAGGCTTACACAAATTTTTCATGAAGTTAAGGATCAGAAAAACAAATTCAAACATTTTATTGTTTTCACATATTCCACCTAAAATCTTAGCAAATTTTTCAGCAAACTAGTGTATTCTATTTCCAGCATGATTTTAATATTGCTGGGTTCATTATTTTTAGAGAACAAGATGAATAAGTTAGCAACTTCAAAGTTAATATAATTGTCAAATTTAAACTCTGAAGTCTTGCAATCTAGCAATAACTAGTCCATTGAAATATCCTCAGAGTATCATGATGTGATGACATTAAAACTCCAGAGATTCTATGTATAGGATTGCAGACGTCGTGGGGTTGCGATTCTCTCCCATCCTATTGTTTAATACATTTGAGTTTTGACTGATATTTATAACATCATGAGTGGTGCTGTGATTTGCAACTACATGACAAAATTACATATGTCTTGAACTGTGATACATATTCAGATCATAAATTTAACAAGAAATTTAAATATTAAATACATTAATGTTTGTATTTTAATTAAAGATACATTATGGGAGATAAGATAAAGAGATGGCAGTTCTCGCTATAATAGTTAAAAACTAGATAGTGTAAAGGTAATTTGCTGAAAATTTCAGTCAAATTGATCCACTATGAGCCGAGAAAGAAGCGGGTGAAATTTTTGCATAGTCTCGGTCATCATTACTTAAATCATTAATATAAACAGCATAGTGTCGATTATCCACTTTTCTGATTTAATTATCAACGGCCGTTGGCGGCATATAAGAATCTAATCCAGCCAACATTGAAGGCTAGCCTTGACATCAAGAGTTTATTATGGTCTGGATAAGTTAATTAATGTCTAATTGATAATTTAGATAACATTTCAGGCCTAAAGAAAGACTTGTAATAAGCAGATTATGCTCTTGCATAATGCATGTTTAAGTAGAACTTAAATGTGACTTATTTTGTACCAGAAATCTTGTCAATTTGTCAAGCATCATGAGTCGCACAACATAATTCTGCAAAAAATGGTGAACTGTTATCCATCGATTCACTTGTTTTATACTTGTTTCAAAGAATGAAAACATATCCGTTATTTTAAAAACCATTGCCAAGTTAAATAAATAGGAAGCAATAAATTAAGAGACATCCCATTCATTTTTAATTTTTAGTTTCAATCACAGGTGTAAAGGAATTTATTTTTTTCTTACATTCCTATCTGATATGGTATCTTGAGGTATTGAAGGACACATTGTCCTCTTCAGTTATATTAGGAAATACTGTATATCAAATCTGTATTGCTAATGAAATGATTATGCCCTTAATTATTAAAGACTGTCAGCAAGTATTCTGTTCTTTAAACAGGCTAAGCTCACCACTGAAAATGAATTCATGCCCTTGTCAAAGTTTTTGTGGCAACATAGATACTACGTGGGCTGGCTAAAAAGTTCTAAGCCTATCTTCGAAGAAAGACCTGTACAAAGACAATTGTTTTCATTTATTTTTCTACATAGTTCCCTTCCAGGTGTACACACTTTTTCCAACAATGTTGCAAGGCCTGGATGCCATTCAGGAAGAAATTTTCTTCGGCCACCCTATAAAAAATGTCACTCACAGCTGATATGACATCATCATTACTAGGAAAATGACAACCGTCTAGTTCATTTTGGGAAACATGTGGAAGTCTGACGGGGCCAAATCCGGTGAGTAAGGTGGATAGTCAATGAGTTTGAAGCCACAATCATGGGTCACTGACATGGCAATCACCAATTTATGAACAGGAGCATTGTCTTGCCTTTAATGAGCTTTCCCCCTTGCTTAGCTTTGATAGCTACATGCCACTGTCTCAGTAGGTCAGCATACTATCTTCCATTGACTGATAGTCAGGCCTTTTTCAAGTAAGTTAATCAACAGAATGCCCTTGAAATCCCAAAAGACTGAAGCCATGACCTTTCCAGTAAAGGAACCAACTTGGCCTTTTGTGGGGCTGGTGACTCTGGATGCTTCCATTGTTAAGACTGAATTTTGGATTCTGGATGAAAGTGATGAATCCAAGTCTCATCCATTGTTAGAAATCTGACTAAAAAATTATCAGGATCTGCTTCAAAACAGCGCAGATTGTCACTGGACGTCAGGAATCTGACACGTTTCTGATCCACAGTTAAGAGCTTTGGCACCCATCTTGCAGAAACTTTTGTCATTCCAAACTTGATGGCTATAATGTGCTCAACCCTCTCATGAGAGATGCCTACAACACTGGCAATATGTTGAATGGTCAATCGTTGATCAGCCATCACCATGTCATGCAACCGTGTAATGTTTTCTTGAATGGTTGCTGTTGGCGGCCTTCCAGGACACAGGTCTTCATCAAGGCTCTCTCTGCAACGCTTAAATTCTGCAGCTAACTTCTTTACTGTACATCATCCCCTAAAGTGGAGACCATGTTGGCGTGTATTTGCATTGGAGTTAGTCCTTTCAGTTGCAGGTACATGTATGACTCGAAGTAATTAGTAATGGCTGATTCACAAACAACAGAACAATAATAAAAAAAAACGTGTAGAATGGAGTGGACTAAGCAGGCATAAATACCTGAGGTTGAATTTGGACTGTTCGGGTATTTCATCTAACATAATTAATTAGCATAAATCATTTTACATTCATAACAGAGCCATACGGCATACACCCATAAATAAATGTTATGATATGTTGGCCACAGAGATAACAATAGAGCACAAATTTCAAACGCAAAATTCTCAATACTTAAATATCTCAGATTTATCGGTTCACCACGAATGTGACGAATCTGCTACACCCAAGGCCATATAATATTTTCTAAATACCTAATTGACGGAGAATATACTACAATCATGCATATTTTTTTTGTTTATTATGTATTGTATATGACTAGTTAGTAAAGTATGCTGAAAATCATAGTGCTGTGCACACCTGGTTAAAAATCAATAGTTTCCAATAAATAGATCAGAGGCATATGCAAGGCATCCATATAATGTTGCTATACACACCTAGGTAATCAATAAATGTCATGCCTATCTTAACTTACAGTTTAATTTATCATTAACCATTCAAGTATTTGTGATAGCAAGCTATATTAATCCAAGTTATCTGTAATAATGATATCACTTTTTAATCACGAAGTTTTAAGCTTTACCAATACACACTCATCGATAATACACTGTATAGGCTGACAGAACAACGTAGCATTTATTTCTATGGATGTACCACACTAAAAATTGAACGTGTCACTAATTCATGTTAATAATACAAACCGTTGGTTTATGGGACGAACCCTCACTGCAACTTTCACAGAAGTCATTGCTGTATTTTTCACTATGCACAGTTTTCACACATAAGTGAATACTAAACGGTAAATAAGTCCACAACTAACTCGAACTTCCATAGAACTAACCGTATGTCGCCATATTGTTTGTGCCATGTGATCTAACTGGACTAGTTCTAAATATAGAGCACAACTGTCATCAAATAGCACGTGGTTTAGCACCGAAAATAACAAGTGGGCGTGGTTAATAGTGGAAAATCAAAATAACCCTGAATACGTCACTTAAAAATAACACCATCAGTAAAAATTTAGCCACAGTTAGCCACAGTTCATAAAAATCCTGGAGGTCGGGTGTTCGATCCCTGCATTGGCCGAGAAAGTTCATCGGGATTTTCCGAGGTGGTTTCTCCTTGTCAGTGGTGCAGAACGGAGGGCCTGACAAGGACAGCTGTCTAGTCCTTCGGATGAGACGAAAAACCGAGGTCCCGTGTACATTGGCGTGCACGTAAAAGATCCCTTGACAGTTGGAATTCGATATAAGATTAGGCCGTGGTGCCACTGTCCGGTGGTTTCGAATCCCCGGTTAACTTGTACGTGGCAAGGAGTAGAGTCGCCTGTCCAACCTCGTGGGTTTTCTCCGGGTCCTCCGGTTTCATCCTACTGTTAAAGACCCCTACGCGCAAGCGAATTATTGAAATAAAATTGAACCATGTGTTAGTCCCGAAATGACCTAGTTTGTGTCGAGTGGACGTTAAACCCCATTTCTCTCTCTCGCCGCTGTCCGGACAAAATTTCTCTCATAGCACACTGTATGGCGTATGCCCGTCTTCATTAGCCCAGTTCGGAGCAGAACAGTAGGACATTAAACCCCATTTCATTTCATTTGGCTCGAACACGATATAAATAAAAAACAAAATATTACGTTAACCAAAATGTTCCTTAGTCTGAGGTAATAGGATTTATTTTCTCTTTCGAACGATATTTTTAGCGCGGGCATACAGCGGTTGATATCAGTTGTGAGTGTGTGTGTGTGTGTGTGTATCGTATGGTGGCTGATTGGTATCATGTCGTTATGTCGTGGTGTCACCCTTCATAAGGCGACAACCCGACATCACGATATCACGACATTTTAACACGACAATACGACATTTTTACGCGACATTGTGTCGTGATGTCGGGTTATCGTGGTGTCGGATTTTCGTGGTGTCGTGATGTCGGGTTAAAATGACGCGATGTCGGGTTGTCGCCTTATGAAGGGCAACACCACGACATCACGACATGATACCAATCAGCCACCATAGGTATCCGAAAAAATTACACTATGATGGTTAACTGCACTGTCTTAAATGGAGAGAACTTAATAGGCTTTTGCCTGTTGTTCAATCCGATTCAGTTTATTGAATAAAATTGTGTTGAAACTAAACTGTCTCTTTACTATATATCTCCTTTTTCTTCTTATATCCGTTCCCACTGAAATCGGGCCGTTACAATAGATTTCCATCGATCTCGATCTAAAGCAATTTTCTTTGATCATTCTCCTGAGATACCAATATGGTCTTTCTCCAGGTCGCCACTAGACTTCCTTGGTTTCATTTGCTTTATGGATTCCCACTCTAATGCTTGCAAGAGGTCAGCACAAAGTATTCCAATCCGTGGATTCACACAGGTTTCTCGTTGGATAAGAATCCTCATCTCTCAACCCTCCGTGTTTCGAGATAAGAGATGGTGCTATATAGTTCCATGCGGCCACCCCGACGGGGATCACATCGAGAATCAGTAAGCAAAATTGACAACATTTTTCATCAAAAAAATGATTATTGTTATTCATAACATTTTGTCACATTCAACAGCATACCTGACACAGGTATAAATCAGGTCTTTTTAAATCGAAGCGATAATAGCCTGGCTCTCCGGCATTTTAAATTTAACATCATGAAGGCGGGGTGTCATGTACAACAGCCAATCAAAGTACTAACCAGATATGAGTTGCCCAGGAATAATACATGGTAATTATGAATGTCTGTATCAATTTTGATAAAAACAACACTTGATTTAATTTATTGACAATATTTGCAGATAAATCAAAGTTGTTTCACTAGAGTGGGGTGCGTATGTTTAATAAGTTCTAATAGTATAAAATTAATTTTTGTTCAAGATGTTACGTGTATTAATAATGAAATTAAAGTAGCTAAACCTCTAACTCAATATCATCCAAAACCTTCGACAATGAAAACACGAATTATTTGTCAATTTTAATCAACATTGGTGTTGTGATCTTACCGGAAAAGGATAGGTTTTTGATATCCAATATTTAAGACAAAATAAACATATAACGATTGGTACACGAACCGTGTACCATAATGCGTTTCAGCGCAATTTGTAACAACCGACTCGAAGAACGAGGTTAGACATATTCCACAAGTCATGTCAAACGGTGACCTCATATTCTTATCTGGAGAACATGCACAATAAATACTACCGGTGTAGACTGGAATAACCAGACGCTAGAGATTGCCAATGGATTGAGACTTCAGGCGTATTTCGCCGAACATAACTGCTTTGAAATTAGAGTAAAAACGGAAACGATTGAATGTAAATCAATTTATTTACATTCATATTACATTATTATATACGTTGCGACCCATTTGTGTCAACTTGTAGGTCCCTGATATTAGCGATTTAGCACCCAATCGTAGCTAAAAACAAGCACATCAATATATCTCAAGGTATACGTTCTCGTAGCTATAGTATGTTTGAGATGCAATTTCCATGGCCATCTTTTTAGTGGGCAGATAACAGCAGGATCGTGCAAATGATGATACAAGCATCAAATTTGGAACAACTGTTCTCCAAGGGATACTAATCAAATCTGCCCGATTGGCCAATTGAAAATCCAAGATGGCCGCCAAAATGGCCACCCGAAGTTGATGCTTTGCTTAGAAATATTTGTAGTTGTCCGATTTGCGTGATCTAAGTGTCGATTCCTATGTTTTAAAGCCTGCTGAACTACATTTTCTTGTTAAAAAACACTCAGAGACATATTTTCACAGGAAAAGCACTCTGAGACATCTTTTATATATATATATATTATATATATATATATATATATATATATATTGTTTCCAATTCGTGTTTCCATAGACCAAGATAGCAATCTGCTTCCATATTAATTGTTCAATTCCCTCGGATTTAATTATTTACGTGTAACATATTTAGGATAGTATCCCTTGGAGAACAATTGTGCCAAATTTGATGCTTGTATCGTAATTTGCACGATTCTTCCCAAAATTGCTCTTATCTGCTCCACTATTTGCACGGATCCGCCGGAGACAAATGCTTATGAATACCCGTATAAATTTGCGTTCAATGTCCTTGGTTTACCTCCACGACTTCGATCCACAAAATTGGAGTTTAGACTCCGGGTAAATGTCGGTTCTTCACATTGGCTGTGACAGTACGAGCTTTAGAAATCCTGGCTGTCACATCCTTGTCAGTTCCCCTAGTCTGAGTGACGTCACTGCCCAAATATATAGGTGAACTTCTCCGACCCCTCTACAGTGTTTCAATCTGCTTGAACCATGTGCACCTACATGGGGAATCTTGGTTTTTGCAGCGTATACCTCTAGCTCAGGGGCTTGAAAACATCTTATCGTCTTTGACAACGGATATATCATTATACTTCACTGTCCACGTGTTTTGTACATGTACATGTATATCTGTGGCAGTTGTACGTTAATCATAAGTTTTTGGTTTAATCAGACAGTGTTACCAGGCATGCCATAACGCAGCTAAATTGTTGCTTTGTCCACTTAAATTAAAAGGCCATTTAAATCCACCAAGTTTACAATATAGAGGAGAATGCAATCTAGGGATTGCTCTTGTGGTTCCTATTTGGCCTGTATATGATCTTCCACTTCGAAATCATAAGCGTACAAGCCCGATTTATGTTAAGGGAGGGGGAGATCTGTAATGCCTGAAAAAATTCCTATCTACAGACGCCCATGCCGGTCGTCAGCGAGCAACGAAGGCACAGAACTTACCATGTAGGAGCCTCCCTAAGAAACGCCTTTTTCTGCTATTCAAGCCCGTGAATAAATCAACTGCAAAGTAGGCTAGCCGCATCCAACCGTTCAATTACTATGGATACCACTATTACAAACAATACCAGACATGTAATTTTAAAATTGGCTTTCGAGCGCCATTTGTAATGAAGCGACTCGATGCACGAGGCTAAACATATCCCACAGGAGAATACTACCGGTGTAGACTGGAATAACCAGATGACAAAGACTGCTATTCAGTTTGGACTCTTCGCGTATTTCGCTGACCATAGTTTAGAAATTACAGTAAAAACAGAAACAATTGAATGTAAACGAGTTTAATACATTCATAATACATTATTATATGCGTTGCGATCCATTTGTGTCCATTTCTAGGTGCCAAAGAATAGCGAATTATCTCCTTTAACTGCATGGCTGTTCTTTTTATCTATTCCTAGATTGGTACTTTTAGCAAGAGCACGAAACAAGAAACAGAAAACTGACAAAAGGCTCAACTTTACACAGATACGAAGCGCACAATGTTTTATCAGTATATAATTCTAAAATTCAATGAGTTTATTGATAGATTTCACCTGTCAGAACAGTATTATTTAGACCAACGATAAGGAAAACTCAGCATACTGTTCAATTTGGCCCTTTAACTTTATATGAAACTGTATGGAAAATGGGGGAATTTAATTCTCATTTTATTAAATTTCCGTTCCATATCCCCGCTAGTTTAGCGACAATGGCAGATTTCACATCTCTAATATTCTGTAATTTTGAATAAATTAAAATTGATCAAATCCCACGCCTTGTGCTACCCAGAACCACCTGCCTACTTCTCTAATCATTAGTTTACCAGGAAGAGGACTTGCGTTTCCTTCTTATTATTTCTTTCAAGAACCAGTTCATTTTGATTCCAGGTTGGTACGAACACATCCCCATTTTAGGAGAACTTTCTGCATGAAGGCAGAGGATATTAAGGCAATGGATATTTAGGCTACTCTCTCGTGATGATTTACCGTTGTATGACTTTCTTACGGTAAATGCAAATCCTGTTACTTTCCTTAAGCTTGACACCATGCAATACAGGATGTGACATGGGTGCTAAACCCTAAGTGTTACTACAGGAAGTAGGTGAACTCTCACTGGCACTACCAAGGAAATATTAGATTCAAAATTCTAACGTACTATCATGTAATTTCTAACTTATGTTCATGTAATTTTTAATTTCTATTCATGTAATTTCTAACTTCTATTCATGTAATTTTTCAATTAAGACAATGTATAATCCAACTTCTTTATTTGTTCAGTGTAAATTTTAATTCTATTTCATCTTATTTCTATTATTTAGACAAACAAGCGGTTGCCATGCAAAATACGCCCACATTTTGCAAGAGATGGACAGAGAACAAGCTAAAAACATATGATTTTTTGTACAATCAGGGGCCATAATCCAGGAAGAGAGAGAGAAAGGGTGTTTAACGTCCACTCGACACAAACTAGGTCATTTCGGGACTAACATATGGTTCAATTTTATTTCCATAATTCGCTTGCGCGTAGGGGTCTTTAGCAGTGGGATTAAACCGGAGGGCCCGGAGAAAACCCACGAGGTTGGACAGGCGACCCTACTCCTTTACACGTACAACCGGAGAATCGAAACCACGCCAGTTGACCCAATGACAGACTTTATGATACAGCGCGCACGTACTAACCATTCTGGGTTATGAACATACATTTCAAGTTTCATCAAAATCGGATAAAAATTGTGACCTCTAGAGAGTCCACAACCTTCGTCATACATACTTTTACACAATTTGCGTACAAAGAGTGGCCATTTTGTTGGGCAGTTTCATTTCAATTTCCCCGAAATTCGAATTCAACCTTCATTATGGTGGAATGGGGATATATTTAAACGGTTTTTAAAATCGGAAAAAATTGTGACCTCTAGAGAATCCGCAAGCTAAAAATGCGATTTTTCGAACAATCAAGGGCCATAATCCAAGAAGTTACGTTCGAATATACGCGATTTTCAAAAAGGAAACGCTATCATAATGTGTAACAGTGTATATTCACACGTTTTTTGTTTTTTTTAATCGGGTAAAAATTGTGACTTCTAAATTTTGTACAATCAAGGGCCATAATTCAGGATGTTACGGTCTGATATGCGCAAATATCGAAAGGAACCGAGATCTGTGGGTTCTAAACATGTATTTCAAGTTTCATCAAAATCGGATCAAACTTATGACCTCTAGACTAGAGGGTCCACAACCTTGATATACCAGATTTTTACACTATTTGCATACAAGGGGCGGCCATTTTGTCCGACAGTTTGGGTGTGGTTTCAATTCCCCGGTTGTACGTGACAAGGAGTAGGGCCGCCTGTCCAACCTCGTGGGTTTTCTCCGGGTCCTCCAGTTTCCTCTCACTGCTAAAGACCACGACGCGCAAGCGAATTATTAAATTAAAATTGAACCATGTTAGTCCCGAAATGACCTAGTTTGTGTCGAGTGGGCGTTAAACCCCATTTTTCTTCTCTCTCTCTCTCTCTCTCTCTCTCTCTCTCTCTCTCGTACATTTATAGTTCAGTGGTACGTTCGATAATATGTAAACAAATTAAACCCACAAAAAGACAAATATATAAATAACTGCAGCCTGACTATGGTACGAAGTATAAAACACGTAGTATTCATCGAGAAATGAAATACGTATAAGAACGTCCATATGTAAGTTGTAACTACAGCACGTATAAATCCATGTATAAAGAGTAAGACCTACACTTAACAAAGACCGATCTGCGTAAAACATACGGTCGAACAAGAAATCGCACGGTAAATTAGATTTAACACCTACGCGTCAAAAAAAGCCTGCTGGTCCTTGATAAAACACCTTTGGTGCAGTTAGATTTGTTGCGATATTCATACAAATTGACCAAAGTCATTAGAAATCTATGCCTAAACCTATAAAGATAGGTTGCCAGGCAACGAAACACACGCCCACAGCAGCTATATCGTCCGGGCAGTCAACAAGAATTGTCGCATATTTTTACTTTTTTCCGTAATGAAACATTTATAATACATTAAAATCTGATTAAGAATAACAACTCATTAAGTAATTATCAGAAAACAAATAGAATTTGTTTGGTTTTTATAAAAAAGTTCTGCCCCATGCTAACGTTTAGTATATAAAACTTTTAACATCATGGATTTAGCTGTTCAAGTCATAAAGATTCATTGAAAATCAAAAAACTTGTTCGTCTCAAAACCTTAAACTCTTTGTATCAATCTGAAGTCAATCGGGTGATAACTTTAGCCACTAGAGCGTCCACAAGACTTTTGATCAAGGGGCATAACTCTGGCAGTAATTATACGAAAATCGCTGAAAATCAATAGGCTTCTTCGTCTCATGACCTTAAACACTGTGTATAAATTTAAAGTCAATCGGATATTAACTTTAGCCTATACAGCGGCCACAAGCAATTGTGGACGCCGGACCGACCGACCGACGGACGGACGGACGGGGTGACAACAATATACGACCACATTTCAATGTGGGCGTATAAAAAACACTATTACTACTTCTCAGAGTAATCACACCATTTATTGCTAATTCATGACAAGCCTAGTAATCCAATAAACAATCAGATCCAATCACACAAATTCATAATTGTGGCTGTCAGTAAGATCTGAGTAATTTTCATCTAGTAATATAGTACATTTTCCACAATGCTACCTGTTGACTTGTGTTAAAATTGAGTATATAACTCTTTTATGTTTATTTTCTGAACAAGGTAGGATAAACATTTTGATTGCTTTTATATACCTCATTGCAGGTATTGGTTTTCAAATTTGTATGACTTATTGAAATTAACATAAATATGTTTAAACAGTATTTTTTTAACAAATAATTACACACAATATATATATATATAATGGATTTGGAATTCCGTTATGCTACTGTATTGCTAGTATTAGTTTTCAAATTTGAAATTAACATAAATTAGTTTAAACAGTATTTCTATAACATATAATTACACACAATATTCTTCAAAAAAAGTAGGGGATATTCAGAAACAATACAAAACTACGGAAATGCACTGCTGCTTTTATTAGAGGTAACCAGTGTATGTTAATAACAGGCCAATTGCCTACACATGAACATAAACAGTTCATATGGGCGGCTTATCTGACGGCCCCATTTCACTCGCAAAAAGATATACCGTCAAAAGTAAAAAATGGACGTTTTTGATTTTTGTCTTAATAATGAGTAATTGCTCCACCAATTCTCAGACATTAAGCAATTCGTCGTGGCATGCTCCTTAATCAACCGTCCAATCACGATTTGGGGCATTTTGACCCACTCCTCTTGCAGTGCCACGGCCAATTCTTGCAGTGTTGTCGGTTGATGTTGACGAACACGTCTCCCGATCAAATTAAAAGTAACACACTAAAAGCAAAGATACGCTAAACAGTAAATCTTATGCAAGAACCGATAGGAAAGCAAACATGGATAGATAAACCAGTACGCGGCAGTTTTCATCAACCCTTCCTTGAAGTGTCAAATTTGACAATGAACCCCTCATACGTGTATGGCGATATTGCATGTCGCATGTGCAGCTCAGTGGTTCTGTTGGGGCGATAAGTTCTTCATCCGTGAACATACTCTCAAAACATGTCAAATGTCCATGGCTATTTATCATATCGCAACCTGCATAGGTATTTGCATTTCAATATCCCCTACTTTTTTAAGAGTATATATAATGGATTCGGATTTCCGTAATGCTACTGTATTGCTAGTATTAGTTTTCAAATTTGTATGACTTATTGAAATTAACATAAATTGGTTTAAAGATACATTCCCGCGTACAAACTTTGTAATTTGATGATATATTATCGTGTGGTTCAAATCAGCCTTATAGTGGTCCGAATCAGCCTAGTGGTGGTCCGAATAAGCCTAAAATTTGGTCCGAATCGGACGTGGTCCGAATCAGCCATGGTCCAAATCAGCTTGGTTTCTCAGGAAACACTTGTCTGTGATATCACCCAAAGTGGAAGCAGATAAGGAACGAACAAACAAACTCTGGAGCATCTGATGGAACTTTTTCTAGTTTATATACTATTATATCACTATTTAAGATACTTGTATATAATTTTTTCAGTGACAGTTTTATTAAATAAAATATTTCATGTTCTCAAATTTAATTTAATTTTTATAAAAATATATTTCTTTAAAGCCAGTAATATGCCTGGAGGATTGAATTAATAATTATGATTTAACATGATTTATGACTTCATTCGTTTCTAATCAACTATGATCACAATAGAAGTAAAATATTCACAAATCAATAAGTTACTTGATAATAATTAAAATAATAATGTAATACAAATATGACCCCAAAATGTGTTATACTTATAAACTAGAAAATGGAGAATAATAGTATGGTTTCTACAGAATAAAATATATATTCTTAAAACGTATAATTATATTTTAAATAGATTAAACTAATTATCTAAATATAGATTGCTAGAGTCAATGAATAAACCCATCCAGTAAAGGTTGTCAGATGTTAATCAAAGGCTAATACAAATTCAGCTTGAGATAATATTCAAATCAACTAAAAGGTGATACTTAAATACTATATTAGAACATTGCTTGACTGTTACAACTCATAAGTATACAATGGAGATCATCATAACTATATAATTCACAAACTTAATGGGGGCAAGAAATTAATGCACTAAATGCGACCAATCATCAGTTGTATTAATTTTAATATATTTTACGTTCTATAAAAATATAAAATATAAAAATCAATGAAAGGGGCATTATGGAAGAATAGATAAAGAGCTGGCAGTTCTCACTATAACAGTTAAAGATAGGTTGCCAGGCAACGAAATATACGCCCACAGCAGGTAAATCGTCCGGACCGTCAACAAGAGTTGTCGCATATTTTTACTTTTGTCGGTAATGAAACATTTATAATACACTAAAATCTGATTAAGAGTAATGACTCAATAGGTAATTATCAGAAACACTATGTATAAATTTAAATTCAATCGGTTATTAACTTTAGCCTCTATAGCATCCACAAGCAATTGTGGACGCCGGAGGGACGTACGGACGCGACGACAATATACAATCACATTTCAATGTGGGCGTATAAAAACTACATAATGTAAAGGGAATATACTGAAAATTTCAGTCAAATTGTTCCACTCTACACCAAGATATTAGCGATTGAATGTTAGGCTTAGCCACGATCGTCATTCCTAAAGTCGGTATGATAAAAAAAAAAACATAGTCTCGATTATTCATTTTTTGATTTAATCATCAATGAGCGTTGAGCAGCAGATGGGATTCAAATCCAGTGAAAATTCGACATATCAGATGGCCTTGAGAGTTGATTAAGGTCTTTTCATGTTAATAAATGTCTAATTAATAGTTTATATAATATTTCAGGCCTAAAGAAAGACCTGCAATATGCAGATTTAGCTCTTGCATAATGTATGTTTAAAGAGTACTGTGTAATGATGTAATTAGCTAACTGACAGCCTTTACTTCTATCTTTAAAAAGCTTGTATTCATTTCTATACATATCCCCCTCCCTAACATCAAATTATGACCCATTACATATAATTCATGATATTCATATGCAGTCTATATTAGATCAGATGAATCTTTGCACATAAAAGATAGTCCAAATCACTTGATGGAAGAATTCTTCACCATAGTCAGAAGACTAAACTATGTAAAGCAGATGTTAAATTAACCTCTTTGATTCACAACCCTGTATCTTAAGATGCATTTGTTATTAGGTTAACTATTCAAACAATTCTTGTGGAAGTTCATTTCTATTTTTATAACTTAATTGAGTTCCTGGATACTGTACAGTTATGGCTGCCACTCTATTTGATCTTTTAATAGCTTCTAAAATTGGTATATCTGATTGACAAGCCAGGTAGTAAGCTAAACTACCTAAAAACGCATCCCCTGCTCCCTGAAACATAAAATAAAACAAACTAAGAAACAAATCTTTGTACATAAATATATATACTGTATTTACAAAGTTATGCACCCATATAATTCTGATATATTGCCATGTGTAACAAGTAGTTATAAAATTCCAAATTGTGTAATGTTAAGAATGAAGTTTGGTTGAAATGTTAGGATATATAGTTAAATTGTGACTTTGACATCATACGAGCATTAAGTCACTAATGCATTTTTCAAATATGGGTATTTAATGTCTCTGCCTTGCACAGTTGAAACAATGTTTTTTAACATGCCATAAAGAAGATTGCCATATTTGCAAAAATGGTGTATAATTCGACAGGCAAGGTTGTGCTTGCAATTAGGATTTTCTACAATTTGATCTCAGCAGTTTACAAAATTTTTAAAGAAGTTATTTCCATGATTTTTTTAAACTAAAACTTATAGAATCCAACACTACTGAAATAATAATGATTTTTATAAAACAATTAGACTCTAATTGTTTAATAAAAATCATTATTATTTCTTATTATAGTTGGTACGGATCGGCAAGCTTTCGTTCTATCGTATTACGAAAACCCGCAATTTTATAGGAATATTACTGGCATACGCTGAAGGAAGCTATGCCTTTTTACAAGTAGGTGCGGATCGGCAAGCTTTCATTCTATCGTATTACGAAAACCCGTAATTTTATAGGAATATTACTGGCATATATTTGAATACCATACGGGAATTAAATATGAAAAATAGCGAGGTGTTCCTATTTTTATTACGCGCGGATTTGAGTATTTTGTTGACATTTTATAAAGAAGAAAACGATTCTTATTCAGGATGTTCTGCATTCATTTGCTGCCGTATAAACGCCGTAATTTTGCAGGAATATTAGGCCTACTATTGTGAATTTGATGCTGAAGCAGGATCGACAAGCTTTCATTCAATGTATTACGAAAATGAGTTATTTTGTAGGATTGTTACTGACATAAATTTGAATACCGTACGGGAATTAAATATGAAAAATAGTGAGGTTCACCTATTTTTATTACGTACGGGATTTGAATATTTTGTTGACATATGTGATTTTTAATGAATCTGTCTGCTTAAATAACGATAAGAGTTATGTCCCTTTATTCTCGGTAAAATGTCCGACAAAAACATTTTTGAAATCCCATCACTGAATTAGAGTAATCAGAGTGTTCACGATTTTAGATTGGATTATAAATAATTGAATAAATTATAAAAAAATTGGAATTAATGATATGAAAAATAATAACAAATAAATTGTGATATAAAGCTTTTCTTAAAGTAGCTATTTATCTCGACAATCGGTGCCTGAATACTGTCAGACACCGATTGTCGAGATAAATAGAGCTGATCAGAAACCATCTGTCGCCTGATCACTGGTTTATCCGACCAGAGAAGAAAGTGTCAAATGAACGGACTTAAGAACCTCAACGAAGCCACCTCATGAGCGCCAAAGTAGCAAGTCCTTACGGAGGGTATTGGGTACCTCCCCAAGAAAATTTTGAAAAATAGATTAATGCAGTCTGGCAGTATTTCAGGCACTGATCGATATAAATAGAGCTTACCAGATGCCGCCTGTCGCCAAATCACTAGTTTATCCGACCCAAGAGAGGAAAGTGTCAAACGAACAGAGTGAGTGAATCAAAGTGAATGAATATTTTCATCACGATATTTTGAGAAATAGACTGCTGGAAATGCAGTCGTGGAGATCAATAGAGCTGACCAGATACTGTTCGTCGCCAAATCACCAGCTTATCCGAACAGAGGGGGATTCTAGGGGTCAAACGAACTGAGTGAGTATATCAAAGTGAATGCCTATACCCAAAAACTTTGAGGATCATAAAAAGCTCTCCTCAAGTGGTTTACATGTTATTGTTAATAGTAGCTTTACAGCAGGATGGGTTCGGTAAGAAATCACCCACTCTACAACATGCAAGTTTATGACTGAGTAGGAATGTGGGATTTAATCACCGTAGAAAGTATTGATTACCGAAACATATCACAAATACTTTTTTGTATTTTCTAAAAATATTTGGGAGGGGGACCAAACAGAGAGCAGACCAGATTTATGGGAGGGGGGGGGGGGCAAGTGGCACCGCCACTGCCGTTAAGAAATGCGGCCTGTAGACGACAAACAAACAAGTACAAAAAATGGGCATGGGCCCCTGGGGGTCGTGGATGCACCAAAAACGATAGGGATCATCCTTAGGGTATAAGGAATAAGTATGCAAAGTTTCAAGACAAATCATTAAGAATTGTGCCCTGTAGGTGACCCACAGGCAGTGGCGGCGCCAAAGGGGGGGGGGGCAAGCGGGGCATTTGCCCCCCCCCCCCCCAATAATTTTAGAAAATAAAAAAAGGTATTTGTGATACGTTTCGGTAATCAACACCTTCTACGTCCGTTTGACACTTTACCTCATCGATCAGTGCCTAAAATACTGCCAGGCTGCATTTCCGGCAACCTGTTTTTCAAAATTTTCTGGGGGAGGACCCCTACCCCTAGTTGAAGCTCGTGCCTTTGCCCCCTTAACGTTGGACTTTGCCCCAGCTTTGCCCCTCCAATCACCGACGGCTGGCGCCGCCACTGCCCACAGGCACATACACATACAGAAAAAATCATTTGAAAAAGGTGTAGCACTATCCATCCGTCGAATATGAAAAGCGGTGCCACCAATTTTACCATATCTAATGTGTTAAACATTCTCTGCTACACATTTATTGTTAGCCTGTGATCGTCTAGGTTCGACTCTGGCGTGGATATTATTGTAATTCTCTACGGTTAGGTCTTCACTCACTGTGTACGTATTTATAGCTCATTATTACGTTTACAAGGAATAACAATACAAGAGTTTCTTTTCTACATTTTATGTCAAAGCAGACTACAATAAAACAAGCTATAACCGTGCAGGTTATAGTAGTTATATGTTATAATTTAAATCTTGAATGTTTAAGATAATACATTATTAATTTTAAAAGTGAAAGCCTTCAAATTGAATTTATTTAAACTCTCGGGACAATAACTATTATATTCCTTTAAAACATTAATTGTATGTGTGCTATTAAAAGGTGACTAGCCAATGATGAAATGTTATGTAATGCTAATGACATGTTAATTTATTATAATCCCTTGTTGTTTATAAAACTGTTATAGATAGAAAGTATTTTCAAAGTAACACAAAAAAACCTTTCTTAAATAGTAAAAAATCTGTAAATAGGCGAACAGCCTTCCCAGATTTCTCTCAGCTACTAGTTTCGTTCTTATTCGAACTCTTCAGGCTTAAATGAGGATGTGCGGTGGCCCTCTATATATAGTGTCGGTGGGCACCGGAGCACATGTGATGTCACAGATGGACCGGAGTCGATCTTTGGCACCGAAGTCGATTATTCCAAAAAGTGTGCAAAGATATTCGGCAAAGAATTTGCCTGGTGGTAGTCGCACTACACTTCAACAGACATACGAGTAGAAATGTTATGATTAAAATTATAGATCTTTTTAAGACTGACCCAGATAAACGATGTCGTAAGGAAAGCCAGTGAATTCAAATGGATTCACACTATAAGAACATTCGCACCGGATGGCATTAACGATAAGATGTAGTCCCGAGGGGTCCCCCACTTTATTATTTAATCTTTCTTAAATAGGTTGTAGTGTGAATGAACAGATGTATAGTATATGGATGGTCAGTTTGTCTACATTGATTCACCGAGTGATTTATCCAAAGTTTTATTTCAGGAGAACCCACTTGAAAATGTCAAGAAGATTGACTGTGCCTTGCTGCCTCCATGCCTGTTCCCTGATCCCTTTTCATAAATTTGAAATAAAATATTGTTTACAAAAAAAAAATCAAGAAGATGTTTTGAAATGAAGCTCGAAAGAGTCAACAACGTGACCATGTTATGGCAACGGACTTCAGCGTCTTGCCCTGGTTATGGTTTGACACCTACCGATTGCGGATGGAAGGTGGTTGATGATCTCCTCCAGCCCATTTGGTTTAGCGAAGCTGCAATACCAGGCAGTTTGTTCAAAAAGAAAGATGCAGCGATGAGACAATCGTTGTTGGGAACGAATGTGACACTGCATCTCTTGATGATTCTGATGATGAACCCTGGGCAGAAGACTTTTGATTCTGATCCAGAGGACATAAACTACCCCACCAATGAAAATGTCTGGGTCAATTCTAAATAAAAGTGTCAAAACTTGAACCATAAGAGTTTTGATAAGAAAGAAACTTACCCTGTGTCCTATATGTTCTCGGTTGTTATTGTTGTACGTTCGGGGAGGGGGTGGTGGAAATTAGGGACATCTTGCGGATGTACATTACCACTGAATATGTCTGGTAATGTTCGTTACATGAGCATGTGCTGAGAATTTTGCAACAAGTTTCGTGCGGTCAGTAAAAGGACTAATTTAGCTTAGATTTTTTTTAAAAAATTTTTTTATTTTTTTTGGGTGGGGGGGGGGGAATTAGGGACGTCTGGTGGGGTTACCCCACCACCGAAATAGTGTGGCGGTGGTCATTGATAATACATGTGAATATGTTGAACATTATGCAAGAAATTTTATGCGGTTAGTAAATGAGCTAGTCTAGCTTAAATATTGGGGTGGGGCACCACTGAACATGTCTGACAGTGGTCATTCTTGATACATGTGAATGCGCTGAACATTTTGCAACAATTTCATGCGGTTAGTAAATGAGCTAATCTAACTGATTTATTTAGGTGAGGTTTCGAACAGTATTGTCTCAACGTTTTTAAGCAAAATACGTTACTAAATGCCACTTAAAGACTATTATCATTGTTCTTATTTAATATAACCCAGTCTAACAGTTTACCAGTGATGCTAATCAGGGCAATACCTCTATAATTCTCAGAATCGTTTAAAGATTTCTTTCTGTTTTTAGGAATAGAGATTATAGTGGATAACGTAAAATTTTGTGGATTAAATCCACGACGTAGCATAGCTGATAAGACAAGTGACAAGTGACAATAATTTATAAATGGGGAGCATGAATTATATGATCAAAAATTTGACCGATATCACCATCGTTTTTACAGTGCTTTAACTTTTTGACAGCTTTTAAAATAACTGAAACAGGGATTTCAGGGTTATCATGACAGTTGCCATGTTGGGAGGGTTCCGTAACATTTGACTCTTCTTGCTTAAATGAAACTAAATTAAATAATTTCTTATATTTATCTACAAAAACTTGACTTATCTTTTGGGTCAGTCTTGCCATCGACATTATTCGGTACACCCTTACTTGAACCTTTTATTTTCTGAATTTCTTTCCAGAAGTTTCTACTCGTTTGTCACAAGATTTTCAGCTAATTTGCTTGCGATAATATTCTCTCTATTGCGCTTAATGTCAGCCAAATGCCCACAACAAGGGGAGTTGATATCTTTCCAAATGTTATGCCAAAATATTGCAACTTTTCTGAATGGTTCAACATTATCGTTCCAGCCAGGAATTACTCGTTTATTATTACTAGCTCTTCAAGCTAGCATCAATGCTTATTCTTACAAGTTTATTGTAGTAATTATCTAATTCTATGCGATAAATTGAACATGAGAGATTTGAACATTTTATGGCACTATAAGGGACTTCAATATCATTAAGAAAATGTTCAAGTTCGTCTTTGTATGCAAGCAATTGTTGTTTTGAAGCCATCTTCGAACTCCATCAAGGCATTGGCCTAATAAACATACTTTATAGCTCAATTAGAAGGAGAGTTATTGCGTCCAAAGTCTCTGCCAATCAAATTGCTAATCGCTCTACTTACCCTGAGCAGAAAATGCTCATTATCGAACTTAGTCAAGGTATTGATGTAATGAAACTATACACCAAGTTTCATCACTCTCACTTAATTAGAACTAAAGTTATTGTGTCCCAAAGCATCAACCAATCAAATTGCTTCTCTGCTTACCTTAAGCAGAAAATGCTCATCTTCGAACTCCATCAAGTGTCCTCACTCTCACTTAATTAGAATTAAATTTATCGTGTCCCAAAGCATCAACCAATCAAATTGCTTATCAAATTCTCATCTTCGAACTCCATCAAGACACTGACACCCACACCAAGTTTGAACATTTTAGCTATTAGAAGGAGAGTTATTGTGTCCCAAAAAGTGTGATGGACAGACAGACGGATGGACAGACGGACAGACAGACAGACAGACGAACAGACAAACGAACGAACCCATTTTAATAGTCCCCTGCTTTCTTCGAAAGCCGGAGGACAATGACATGTCTCTCAGTCTATCTCACTCCCATTAAACTCGCAGAGCGGTTTGCTGATGGAAACCTCTACACGAGAATCAAATGGTCGTCTAAAGAACCAAATGGGTGTCTGATTATTTGAGGCCTGGTTTAGCTCTTTTATAGGATCCAAAGTTTAATCCAAACCTTATTTGCTTAGATTTCTGTAATTAATTAGGTGATTGGTCAATTACACCTAATGATGTCAAGAACATTGTCTTTGAAAGAACACCGAAAACAATAAACAAATCAGCCTTAACTAAGACCTTATGACCTATAATCCTTTAGTGGCATTTAGCAATTGGAAACATAACAAAACTATACAGTTATATGGGACAACAATCACTGGTTTATTATACACAAGCACGACGTTTCGATAAGTATTCTCTTATCGTTATCAAGCACAATGACATTTAGTAAACTTGTACATATATATAGACCCTCAAGTTTACTAAATGTCATTGTGCTTGATAACGATAAGAGAATACTTATCGAAACGTCGTGCTTGTGTATAATAAACCAGTGATTGTTGTCCCATATAACTGTATAACCTTATGACCTGTTATTCTCCCAATAATTGGTCACGGACATAATATTGATACAATTCTCATATGCTATTATTCATAATAGCATAACTCACCTAACTATATTGTTACAAAGGCTTGTATCATCACCTCTCATTTCTACTTAAAATCTGTCTGTACTACTGTTGAGCGGGGATTTTTATATATCTATTAATGGGGAATAATGAACGATAAAATACATACTGTTGTATCAACAGGAACAACTGGAAATGAAGGTACATGAATAACATTTCTATCATTAGCTGTTGCATATAATGACCCATGTTCACCAAATGTTAATATAACAGTTGAACAACCTTTATCTAACAAGGCAGTTACTGCTTTCTTACCATCATCAAGACTTACAACATTTAATCCTGTCAATATTTCAGCCTACAAAATAATAAAATACAAGTTCTATATTAGTTATAAGTTGTAACTTCAATGACGTCTTCATTAGCTCATTGGTGCAGAAGTAAACTTACTGCTCTGGAATATTATTTGTGCAACAAAAACTCCATCGAAATACAAAAGTTATTCAACTGAGAAATTTCAAATTAGCAAATGGCATAATAATAGGTTGATGCGTGTCCAAAACAAAGTTTCCTGAAAATATCTTAATTAAAAATCCATAGAAATCTACTGAAGCTGTCGTTGTATTAGCTAACAGGCATGTTTTTTAAAAAAAAAGAATTTAATTCTGCTATAGTGTAAAACACTACTGTTTTTGTTCAGATTATTATCCTTTTGTTTCTTATTTTGCTTATGCCTCAGAGGTTACTATTTGGATTGCATTGAACTCTTTGAGGTTGATGGAAAAGTGGATGGTGGCTAGTGCATAAAGCAATTTCCAAGTGTCTATGCATATAATAGCTATGCTAATTCTCCAAAAATGATAATTTAAATTTTTTTTTTAATTTTTGTGCTTTAATTGTTAGCTATTTTTTTTAAAAAAATGACATTTTTGACAAACTACTGGGAACTATACTTTTAAGATTTGGATAAATATCAAAAATAAATGTTCCTAAGTAATCTCTCCTTTGAAATAGTGCTTTTGGCCAATAAAACGGGTGCTTGGCAAGAAATTAATGCTATTGGATCCAGACTGAAGTCAGCCATAACAGTTAATCAATGGCATGAATGACTAACCTCTGTTTCATTTGCACAAAATATATCACAGACTGTATAAAATTCAGGATCTATATCACATTCTGCTGGTGCGGAGTTAAATATCGTCTTTACTAAAAAAAAACAAAAAACATTCATGTTACAGTAAACTTGCTGCTCCAGAATAATAATTGTGTACCAAAAACTGCATGGAAACACAAAAGTTATTAAATTCAGAAAATTTCAAATTAGCAAATGGCATAATAACAGGTTAATGTGTGTACAAAGTTTCATATAGATTTCTTGAATGGTTTATCAGAGAGGCTCGGGATAAAAAATTAGATACCAAACACTAACTCAAATATATTTAGATAGAACTACTATTATAGGCTGACACGTGTACAAAGCTTTATAAAGATATCTTGAATCGTTTATGAGATAAGCTCCAAAAAAGGTATCAGAATGTAAGGATGTAGGGATGGACAGAAGGATCCCATATCAATATCCATTCCATACATTTTTTCACACGGGATAAAAATAATATGCATATTTACCTCCATGTTTCTTGGCCATCTTCATAGCAAAAAGAGAAATATTGACAGATATTTCTAACTGACAAATCATCACTTTAGATTTTTGAATAACTGATTCTGCAGCTTGAACATCAGCTTCTGATATTAAATCACATGCCCCAGTAACAATAACTATACAATTCTGTCCTATAAACAAATTTATTTTATGATCAGTAGTGGAATACCGCATTTTATCAGTGAAATAAAAGTGTTATTCCACTGGCTCCAAGCGGACAAAGTAGTCCATGTTGTTTTTACCTAAAATGATTGTAAAATCATAAAATAAATAGAACATTTGTCGTTTTGTCGTGAATAACATATTTTATTTCATCTCTAAGCAAGAAAACGTTTATATTTTCACTCATGCTACGCATTCGTAAAAATATACGTTTTCTTGCTTCTCGATGAAATAAAATATGTTATTCACGACAAAACGACAAATATCCTCTATATATTACAATTAGTCTAGTATATCATGTAATCATATTGGAATCAAATAATTATTTTCATAAAAGATTAAACATCATCAAAGATACATTATTTGAGATTAGATAAAGAGCTGGCAGTTCTCACTATAATAGTTAAAAACTAGATAATGTAAAGACAATTTGCTGAAAATTTCAGTCAAATTAATCCATTCTTCACCGAGAATTTAGCGATTGAATTTTCGGCCTAGCCTCAATCATCGTTACTAAAGTCAGTACGATAAAAAAACATACTCGCTTATCCATTTTATGATTAAATTATGAATGAAAGTTGAGTAGCAAATCGGATCCTAATCCAGTAAATATCGCAGGCCAGCGATGACATCGAGAGTTGATTATAGTCTGGAGAAGTTAATTAATGTCTAATTAATAATTTAGATAACATTTCAGGCCTAATGAAAGACCTGCAATAGGCAGATTTAGCTCTTGCATAATGTATGTTTAAAGAATTTTATACAATATGTTATCATACAACAGCTAATAGCCAGACAAACCATTTTAAACTATGCGACAATAGGAACCCAATAGTTTTTGATGATTCTCAACAAATTTTAACAATTTGCCAAGAATGATTTAAAAACAGAAACTGAGTCCTGAGTTGTAGTGATATGTAGTGATAAGGTTTACACCGCGGAGAAAAGGAAAATGTATAAATCAACATATGGCACTAAAAGGCCACCGTAGATATGTGTTTCATATGTGGAGAATATGGGACTGGCACATAAAGTTAACCATGAGGAATGGTAAGATGGTAGAACTCCCCTCCATCAGAATATGCATGTGTGGTTTAATGGTCTAGAGCAAGACATTAAGTAATATCTTTCAATGTATTATACAATGTCTTGCTCTCGATACCATTAAACAACTTAAAATACAGACACTATCCCGCACATTTATTTCAGTGAAATCGTAATGTGAGTCCAATATTCCAACTAGTATAAATAATGTATGATTGGCACATTACCAGTACCATTATTTGAAATATTAATTTGAAATAATGGTACGCCAACATCAAAGGATGACGTCACATCTGTATTTTAAACAGTAATAATATACAGTACTTGCCATCTTGACTAACTGTTATAGCAGCTGTTGCTGTTGATGCTTCAGGTGTCTGTTTTACATAATCTTAAATAAATCCTTATAAAAATTAGCATATAATCTCATGCCCTATGTCAGGACTAAGCACACCAAACTGAAATTTATTTATTTCCCAACTAGAGAAGATATCAAAAACACTAAGAGCTTCATATTTTATTATTTGTAAGAAAAGACTAAACCAAGTCTCTTTACCTGTACACGGGGGGTGGGGGTGGGGGGGGGGTGTAAATCACTAGATATGTCCTGCCTTTGCTAATGATCCCTATGTGCAAGCAGATTATTGAAATGAGTGGACATTAAACCCCATTTCTCTCTCTTTACCTGTAATCATTCCAATATCGTTAAAGTTCTTCATATATTCATTACCAAAATCATCTTTACCTAGCTATAAAAACAAAATGTTTTAATTACAAGACGTTTTAAATCACAATATTCTGAGATGCAATGAAAGCACTCCACTTATTTGACTGGAAGTGCTGGTGAGACAAGCAGCTTAAATCTGATTGTCGACTAAATAATTAGTCAAAAGAACATTAACAACTTTACTTTACAGTGAAAGGGGTAATAATCAAAAGATAACCATACATGCCCTGAAAAGCAGTCGCATTGAGGAGATAAGCCTCTCAAGGGCTGCTTGGGGGGTTCTTTATCACGCTCATTGCAATGCTGCTTCGAGCTGACAGATTTTGCAGTTGGGGGCCCTGAGAGACGACATCCAATATTATCCCACAGATGCTCGATTGGTGAGAGATCAGGAGATAATGCTGGTCATTCGAGCACTGCCATGTCCATGGAGACATGCTGTATACACTTGAGTCCAGAAAAGTAAAATTCTTGATGACATCTGCAAAGTGGCACAATGTTCTTGTAGTACGGGTCGTTTAATCTGCCTTGACATGTGTACTAGTAGCCTAATCTCAGGAAAGAATCCAAAGTACTCATGCCCTCTTGAATTAATGCATTGCCGCATTCCTGGTGTTCAGGAAATCGGGTGTCAAGCTTGGTTTATATTTGTAGAACTGTAGGAGTTGTACACATTCTATGTCAACTCCAAGAAAGAATTTATCTGTGGTGCAATTGTATAAACATCATTCTCTCATGTTATCATTGTGATCTGATTTTGTTAAATTCAGAATTGTAAGATTAAAGTATATCTCTCAAACGAGATTTACAATTATTTATTTATTGTTATACTAGGTCATTTCGGGACTAACATGGTTCAGTTTTATTTCCATAATTCGTTTGCGCGTAGGGGTTTATAGCAGTGGGAGGAAACCGGAGGGCCCGGAGAAAACCCACGAGGTTGGACAGGCGACCCTACTCCTTGTCACGTACAAGTGGGAAATCGATTCCTAGTCTAAAATTCTCTCAGTAATTGTATTCTATAGAATTGTGACCTGTGTGTTCCAGTTCAATTACTAAATGATATTGAAAAAAAAATTATTATGCATCGCTACATCACGGTTAGAAACATATTATTGGAGAAAACGTATAAAGGAAACATCAAAAGGGGCCTTCACACGGGACGTGAAAATATATTAAATATAGGATTAGTAGGTTTGTTAACATTGAGATGTATGTTTTGTTAAAGGGACAATAACACTCTTGCTGGCTTGACAGCTCCAGTAAATAAATATTAGCCTTATTCTAAGTATTAGATGTTTAAGTGTCCTACCTGTTGTGTAAATTATCCATTACATCCTACTTTACTTGTCCAGAGGGTTCGAAAATATTTTTAAATCCAAGTCACATTTGAAAAGGTTTACGTAAGGCTTTTCAAATCTTTTAGTTGAATTTTTCAATTTTTTAAATTAGGTGTGTTAAGATGAAATTTGTATCATTAATTAATTGGAATATTGTAAAATAGTACAATTTGTTGACCATAATTAAGATTGGGACATATTATTCAGTTACAACAAGAGTGGTATTGAGCCTTTAAAGCGGCAGTGCGTCCCTGTAATCCAGAATCATTTCTAGTCATTAATCATACAAATTGTTGAAAATATGTGGTGTTTAACAACTACTTGACACAAACTAGGTCATTTCCGGACTAACATATGGTTCAATTTTATTTCAATAATTCGCTTGCGCGTATGAGTCTTTTCGACAGGAAGAAAAACTACGCGGTTGGACAGGCGACCCTACTTTTTGACAAGTATAAGCGGGGAATCGAAACCACGCCACTTGACTCAATGATAGACTTTATGATACAACGCGCACGCGTTAAACCATTCTGCCCCCAACCCTTCGACTGTTTCAGCTCCGTACTTGAAAATATGTCCATTATTTATGTTGAAAAACTATTAAATACCAATTAAAGATACATTATGGGAGACTTAGATAAAGAGCTGGCAGTTCTCACTATAATAGTCACAAACTAGATAATGTAAAGTGAATTTGCTGAAAATTTCAGCCTAGCCTCGATCATCATTACTAAAGTCGGTACGATAAAAAGCATAGTCTTGATTATCCATTTCATGATTAAATCATATATGAAAGTTTAGTAGCAAATGCGTTCCTCATCCAATAAATATCGCAGGCTAGCAATGAGATCGAGAGTTGATTATGGCCTGGAAAAGTTAATTAATATCTAATTAATAATTTAGATAACATTTCAGACCTAAAGAAAGATCTAAAACAAGCAGATTTAGCTCTTGCATAATGTATGTTTAAGGAATTGGAGTTTTTATACATTGTATTTGAGAAATATGGAGTTGTTTTAAGACCATAATAAATTACATTTTAATTTCATACCGGTTATCTTTGTTTTTTATAAATTAACTAGCAGGATACCCGGCTTCGCTTGGGGGTCATAACTCCGAAACCGGAAGTGGCAGACTAACGCCACCTGGTCTATGTTACTCCCCGGTCCGAGCTACCCCTATACCCCAAATTTCAGACTCGGGGCAGACCTAGTGTAGTCGCCAACCCCGATCAGACCGGCTTCGCTCGTGGGTCATAACTCCGAAACCGGAAGTGGTAGACTAACGCCAACTGGCCTATGTTACTCCCCGGTCCGAGCTTCCCCTATACCCCAAATTTCAGACTTGGGGCAGACCTAGTGTAGCCGCCAACCCCGAACAGACAGACTTCGCTCGGGGGTCATAACTCCGAAACTGGAAGTGGTAGACTAATACCACCTGGCCTATGTTACTCCCCGGTCCGAGCTACCCCTATACCACAAATTTCAGACTCGGGGCAGACCTAGTGTAGCCGCCAAACCCGAACAGACAGACTTCGCTCGGGGGTCATAACTCCGAAACCGGAAGTGGTAGACTAACGCCAACCCCGAACAGACAGACTTCGCTCGGGGGTCATAACTCCAAAACCGGAAGTGGTAGACTAACGCCACCTGGCCTATGCTACTCCCCGGTCCGAGCTACCCCTATACCCCAAATTTCAGACTTGGGGCAGACCTAGTGTAGCCGCCAACCCCGAACAGACAGGCTTCGCTCGGGGGTCATAACTCCGAAACCGGAAGTGGCAGACTAACGCCACCTGGCCTATGTTACTCCCCGGTCCGAGCTACCCCTATACCCCAAATTTCAGACTCGGGGCAGACCTAGTGTAGCCGCCAACCCCGAACAGACAGACAGACAGACAGACAAACGACAGACAAACCGGAAGTGGTAGACTAACGCCACCTGGCCTATGCTACTCCCCGGTCCGAGCTACCCCTATACCCCAAATTTCAGACTTGGGGCAGACCTAGTGTAGCCGCCAACCCCGAACAGACAGGCTTCGCTCGGGGGTCATAACTCCGAAACCGGAAGTGGCAGACTAACGCCACCTGGCCTATGTTACTCCCCGGTCCGAGCTACCCCTATACCCCAAATTTCAGACTCGGGGCAGACCTAGTGTAGCCGCCAACCCCGAACAGACAGACAGACAGACAGACAAACGACAGTCACAAAAATATATATAGATAGATAGATAGTGATAAGTCTAGTTACATAAGTAGTTAATTGTGGTCTGAATCTTAGTTAATCTTGGAAGAGTTACTTCCCTTTAACTGTCTTGGCCTTTGATTTATAAAAAGACTTATTGATGTTTCTACTATGTATGAATGATCTGCCCATGGGGAAGAATAAACATGTGGATCTTTGAATGGTGTTTTCTTTAGGCAGTGTCTATTTTGCCAGCAGTCGTGCTCTGATTGGTTCATTTTCATTTCCGTTTGACATGCGCAGTTCTCTTATTCCTGGACTTAGCAGTTTTCGCTTTGGCAATGATGCCGGCTATTTCAACTCATGGGCTACTTTGCCGTCTGACATTAACCCATAACCAAAACCCGAACCCAAACCCTAACCCAAGTTCTATTCGTCTTCCGTCTAACATTACTTCTTTCTCCGTTTCTTATAAAGGGACGAAATAGCTATTCTTGAATTTCTATGGTAAAAACTTTTAAAAGAAAATAAGATAATAAATGTAAATTGTAGAAAAGCATTTAGAATATTATTATATTTTGGTCGAGGGCGCATTTCTGCGGATTTGGGTTTTTAATTTAAGTACTAAGACTGTCAGTGGTTTTTGTTTTTCCTGTAAAATCGTGCTTCTGCGCCGAACTTGAAAGACGGAGTAGTCAAAATGGTGGAATATATCAAGAATCGCACAACAGCGCATGTCGAACGGAAGTGATGGAAGTAACGGCAAAATAGCATAAACGGAAGTTTTGCCGGTGCTGGCAAAATAGACACTCCCTTTTCTTTATTGAGCGTTAAAGAAGATTGAGAAATAGTGACACCGCCAGTGGGATTAAAAACCCACATAATATTATAACAGTGCTGCATTTTCATTGTTGCTCATATAAATCAGTCGTTCTAGCACAATGAACTTCATCTAAACAGGATGTAGATGTGACACTGAAGACAAAAAGTAATTTCCTTTCATCAAATTTGGTTAAGTTGAATACACACGATCAGAGGCGTAGCCGTGAAATATACATTGGGGGGGGGGGGGCGCAACCCTAACCCTAACCCTTTTTTAAAACCCTTAAAAAATATAAACAAACACCATGTGGCCATGCTGTCTACACAACTCTTTTGCTCATTGGCCCCAGACACCGCATACAAAGTATCATTGTTACGTGGGTGGCTGAGCGGGCGATAAATATTTGGTTTAGGTGATAATGTTTTAGGGTACCTACATGCGATTCACTCTGATAAGTGGCAGAAAAAAATTAACAAAATATTACTGACAGGCTAACTAGACACAATTTTATGGAACACAAGTTACTTTTCACTTCACACATGTTTCCAGGATGATTCTCTATGTGTTTTATTTTAGCAATGCAAACCATATTGGGATATGTACAGGTTTTATACAGATAGAATCTTAACTAATCCTAATAATTGTTGTAAATAAATAGGAGTTTAGGCCTACTATGTAAATTTGAGGGGTGGGGGGGTCCAAGTATATTCAGACCCCCCCCCGCCCAGAAAATCAGTTGGGGGGTCAGACCCCCCCCCCCCCATGTGTGACGCCCATGCACACGATGATGTTGTTTTGGAGGACAACATACTTTATTCCTGTTTTCAGACTAACCTTTGATACCATAACACACTCAGCTCCCATATATCTAGCCATAACACATTGATTAGCTCCTTTTCCACCAAACCCCTTACAAAACTTGTTTCCTTTTATTGTTTCCCCTGGCTTAGGTTGCCTTTGTGTGTAACTGAAATTACATAAATTATTAGAAATAATGAAACAGCACCCTTGAAAGTAAAAGCTGATATTGATGCAGCATTTGACAGCAACCTCAGCATCAACCTTATACTTCTAGATCTAACTGCAGCATTTTATACCATCGACCATAGCATTCTGTTCAATTGACTGCAGTCATCTGTAGGAATTAAAGGATCGGCACTTGATTGGTTGAAGTCTTATCTAACTGACAGAAGCCAATGTGTTCATATTCATAGCAGCAACTCTGTATATAAACCACTGTCAATTAGAGTGCCACAGGTACTAGGTGCACTTCTCTTCTTACTGTATGTACTTCCACATAAACAAGATATCAGCTATCAGGATTTTGCTGATGACACGCAATTGTATAACACATTCATTCCTTCAGACCATATATCAATACATCGTTCCCTAAAGAAGCTAGAATCCCGTATCAGTGATATCCGAACATGGAGGAATTAAAACAAATTACCGATAATGCTCAACAACGAGAAGAAAGAATTTGTGATGATAATACTAAGGTCAAAACTGAACACTTTCAACTTTTCACCAGAGCTAAACATCAACGATACTGAAATTTCACCATGATTTAAAGCACGAAATCTTGGATTCATCATGGACTAGACAATGTCTCTCATCCCACAGGTCAACTTTATACATGAGATTAAACCAATATAAAGAATCAGGATCGAGTTGTATTAGCATTGGTCATATCCCAGTTGGACTATGGAAATACACTCCTGGATGGCATTCCAGATTTCTCCCTCAACCCTCTTCCAAGTGGTACAAAATTGCTCGACAAGTTGCCAAGTCATCTTCTAGGGATCATGTAACAGAAACTCTTAAAAGTCTTCATTGGCTGTCTGTGAAAGCATGGATCGACTTTAAAGTGCTATCGAATGTGTATAAAGCTTTGTTTTCTGATGCTGTTCCCTCCTACATGAAACAGTTCTTCATCTTCTACAAACAGGAAAGATCAAATATTCATTCATCTACAGATACTTCTTTATTTTACCCGTGCTAGTTCAGCTCAGCTCTGAATGTAGATCTCATTACACTCACCTGTACAGGGCGAGTGTAAAGAAACCTACGTTCAGAGCTGAACTATACCTGCGCCTGCTTATAAAAGACTCAGGGAAAAACTATCTTTCCCTATAAATGGTGTTCACATGTGAAATAAGTTACCAAGAACAAGTTCAACTTTTGTTAAATTTAAATCAGAGTTGAAAACACACTTGTTTAAATATTACTACAAACTGTGATGTGACATTTGTAAAGTGCTTTGAAATATCACCAGATATAATGAAGCGTTATAGAAGATGAATAATAATACAGGAGGTAGTGTGCCAATCGTACATTATCTATACAAGATCACGGAAAATATTTGGACGTATGTGTTGATTTCATAGAAATTCATGTGCGTGACAGTGTATCTGTATTTTAAGTTGTTTAAAGGTCTATAGCAGTATGAATACAATAAATAATGTCTCACTCTCGACCTTTAAACCACACAGAATGAAAACCTGAAGTGTTTGTGTAATTTTCAATAACTAGGTGGGTTTTGGGTTATTTTGAATATGGACTAGGATTAAATTAAAAAATATATCATTAACTAGTGATAATTATTAGTACCTGATTAAATCTATAATTGAACTACCAACTACCACAATATCTATAGATTTATCATCTGACATCTTCAGTTACTGTAAAGCAAAAATATTTTAAAGGAGCAAAACCTCTTAAATTTTTTTAGAAGATAAACACTTCCTGTTTTGCATTTAGAGGGGTGTTATTGTGCAATAGATATGTCCTGAGATCATTAGGACCCAAGACATGTTACTAGGTGGGCTTATAAAAATAAAAATCAGTCTCTGTGTGTCCAAAGAAATTAAATAAAATGGGTCTTACGTCCTACTTTTCTGCAAAAACTGGGCTAATGGTATAAGCCATGTAGTATGTGAGGGAAAATTTGTTAGGACAGTGTCGTTTCGGCCTCCTGTCAGGCTTTTTCCCCATGCACGGAAATGAATGTGAAGACATGAACTCAGGTTTTTCGTACCAGCCCATTATATTGTTTATTGCGAGGCCCAACAACACTGGGATTGACAAGGGACCGCCTAGTTAGTGGGCTAGCTTCTTGCTGATTGAGCCACCATGCATCGTATGATTTACCCAAATCTACCCGATTCCACCATTATTTCAACTTCTAAGACATTAATTTATATTAATATTTGATAATATACCATTCTTTATGCCAAATTGGGTATGTCCTTAGGGTACAAAGAATAAGTATGCAGAGTTTCGAGATGATACGTTAAGAATGCGGCCTGTAGACGACAAACCAACAAATACAAGAAATGGGCGTGGTTCTGCCCCTGGGGATCGGGCATGCACCAAAAACAATAGGGATCATCCTTAGGGTATAAGGAATAAGTATGTAAAGATTCAAGATGATCACTTAAGAATTATGGCCTGTAGGCGACACACAGACACACAAAAAGGAAATGGGCGTGGCTCTGCCCTTGGGTGGTGGGCATGCACCCCAAACAATAGGGATGTTCCTTAGGGTACACAGAACAAGTATACAAAGTTTCAAAATGATACGTTAAGAGATGTGGTCTGTAGACGACAAACAAATACAAAATATGGGCGTGGCTCTGCCCCTGGGGGTCGGGCATGCACCAAAAACAATAGGGATCATCCTTAGGGTATAAGGAATAAGTATACAAAGTTTGAAGAAAATCAAGTAAGAATTGCGCCCTGTAGGCAATCCACAGACATACATACATACACACACAGAGACAGGGGCGACGGCATAATACGTCCACATTATGAATGTGGACGTATAAATATACCATACTCTTCAAAAAAAGTAGGGGATACAAAACTGTGGAAATACACTGATGTTTTTATTAGAGGTAACCAGTGTATATTAATAACAGGCCAATTGCCTACACATGAACATAAACAGTTCATATGGGTGGCTTATCTGACGGCCCCATTTCACTCGCAAAGAGATACACTGTCAAAAGTGAAAATGGACGTTTTGATTTTTGTCTTAATAATGAGTAATTGCTCCACCATTCAGCAATTCGTCATGGCATGCTCCTAATCAACCGTCTGACATTAACATTAGCATGACACTCATTTACACGCATCTAAATGCGAGCACGCCTATCGGTGAAATCCAGAGTAAATCTGGACTCATCTGAGAACATTACATGCGCCCCATCGACAATTACCCCAATTTCTACGCTGCCTACACCATTGACGCCTGTTTGCCATGTGCTGGCGAGTTAATGGAGGCACAACACACGGTCGTCGCACATGCAAATGGGCTGCATGTAGCCAATTTCTAATCATTTGGGGTGTAACTCGAATTCCTGTAACTTGGTACAAGTTTACAGAAAGCTGATTGGCCGTTTGTCCTTGATTTCACAGGACCTGTGTATGAATGTATCGATCCTGGGCTTGTGTAGTGGCTCTAGGACGACCAGAACGAGGTCTATCATCAACATTGTGTGTTTGTTGGTACCAGTTCCACAGTCTGCTGATCACAGACTGTGACACATTAACCATGTTTAAATGTTAGCTACTGCTTGCTGTGTAGAACCCATTTGAAGCATGCCGATAGCATGTAGACGTTCATCATGTTGAAGACATCTTATTTCAAATTAAACGTAACACACTAAAGCAAAGATATGCTAAACGCAAGAACCGATAGGATAGGATAAACCAGCAAGCGACAGTTTTCATCAACTCTTCCTTGAAGTGTCAAATTTGACAATGAAACCCTCCCACGAGCATGGCGCTATATTGTGTGTCACACTTGCAGCTCAGTGGTTCTGTTGGGGCATAAGTTCTTCATCTGTGAACATACTCTCAAAGCATGTCAAGTGTCCATGACTATTTATCATATCACAACCTGCATAGGTATTTGCATTTTAATATCCCCTACTTCTTTTGAAGAGTATATTTATTGACTGTGGATGTTGGGCATATAAACTGCCAGCATGTATCTCAAAATTAAAGGCTATTTTGGCCATACATTGGGTATTTGAGAGCAAAGTTATACATGTTATATATAGGCCTATTCTTCAAAGACAGCGTCCGGACTTTCAAACTTAACACGCCTCTTCGAAAGAGCACTGTGACGAGTGAATTGGGGCGAATTGAGAATTTAATGACTTGAAAAACAAAGCTATAATATTGAGAGTTATCTTTAATGATTGTAAAAATATGGATCTTTAAAACGACCGAAACGATAACAAGGATATATAAAAACATTTTTTTAATTTAATTTGAAATTTAAACGGGTTTAATATTGGGTTATAATATTTTTACGACAGAATTATATATTAATTAACTCCGGCATAACTTACTTAACTTAAGGGTAAAAATCCTTCATCGTTTTAGAAATGACTTGATGTTAAAATTATATTACACCATGTAAACAAAAACATTGCCATGTGCTGAGATAATGATAAAGGTCCAATATTTTTGTTAACAATTATCTCATTTATTTGTTTTAATAGGGCAGCATGGCAACATCAAGTAAAGACACTGATAACAAAGATGTTAAGGGTCTGGTATTTTCACCAATAAAGTCACCAGGTAATATTTGAAAATAAATTAATGCGGTTGATACCTAAGATCTATAGCCGTAAGAGGTGTTGTTTTGATCTCGAGTCTGTACTATGTGACTAGTTACTTTACCAACGTAATTCCTCTAAGAATTACGTTACTAAAGTAACTACTATGTGACATGGTGAGATCGATGCCACTACACATATTGTGTGTAGTGGCGGCGCCAGCCGTCGGTGATTGGAGGGGCAAAGCTGGGGCAAAGTCCAAGGTTAAGGGGGAAAAGGCACGAGCTTCAACTAGGGGTAGGGGGCCTCCCCCAGAAAATTTTGAAAAACAGGTTGCCGGAAATTCGGCCAGGCACTGATCGATGAGGTAAAGTGTAAAACGAACGGACTTGCGAATCACGACGAAGCCCACTCACGAGCGTCAAAGTAGGGAGTCCTACTGCCAGAAATGCTGTCTGACAGTATTCTGTCAGGCACCGATCGTCGAGATAAATAGATCTGCCCAGATACCGTCCGTCGCCTGATCACTAGTTTATCCGACTAGAGAACAAAATGTCAAACGAACGGACTTGCGAACCTCAACGAATTCCCCTTATGAGCGCCAAAGTAGCGAGTCCATTGGGGACCTCGCCACGAAAATTTTGAAAACTAGACTATCACAAAAGCTCTACAACATGCAAGTTTATGACTGAGTGGGGATGTGGGATTTATTCACCGTAGAAGGTATTGATTACCGAAACATATCACAAATACTTTTTTTTATTTTCTAAAATTATTGGGGGGCAAACAGAGGGCAGACCAGATTAAATTGCCCCCCCCCCCCCCGGCCCGCCACTGATTGTGTGCATGCATCAACTATGTGTGATATGTTTATAATCTATGTATAAATTAATTTTTTTACTTACATGTATGTGTAGTGTACGAAGTTGATCGTTGTTCCACTTCTGTGTGTAGAAGCATGTGCCAGATAACCATGGCATATGTCATCTTTGTATGAATTCTAGCTTTGGTGTCTTCCCACTACTAACATCCTCGGTATCCCGGGTGGTCTCATTCCATTCTACTCCACTATATCCTGGGTTCATCCATGAGGTATTCACATATTTGAATTATCTGCCCCTGATCATGGCTTGATTCTACGAACCAATCAAAAAACTGTTTACAAACCAGTCTTAGACTCGTTGCTTACGTTCACAGCAATATGGCAGCATGTTTGTTGCAACTTCCTTTGTATTTAACAATTGTCTTGATTGGTCGATAAAAATAGCAGTCATCAAGGGCAGATAATTTGAATATGTGTCTCCCCAATGGATGAACCCAGGGATTAGTGGAGTGGAACGAAATGAGACCACTGGGGATAACTGTTTACAAGAAAATTATTGAAATAAAGATATACCTATGCTTGTTAAATGCGAGTGCACATTAATAAACCCATTTCCAGGCCTTCACGTTTAAGGTGCACTTTTTTTCCTGCTCCTCTCGACGTACCTCAACTTCCCTTCGCGGGAGTCATTAAAGACTCACGCAAATTAATAGCTTAATCGCTCTACTAAATATTAAGATTAATAACTATTTTCATTTTTTGTTTATTTTTAAACTGCATATGTTTGAGCTATCAGTTTCCATGATAATAATTCTGAAGCTACCATATTCACCAAACATATCACCCTCATTTTTATTCTGATATCGAATGCTAATGTAAGGCAGCTAGTATCTTCGATAAGAACATATGAATTATAAAGAGAATATTAAACAAATCTAAAGCATAAATACAATTTGGATCTCCTTATTTCATGAAATTGTAGTATTACTCTTGCAATATAATTAAGAAGAGTTTTTTACGGGAGCTTTTTTCTCATTTTTGAAATTGACAGGAGTTTTTTATGTCTCAGGCACAATTTCATAAATCTGAAGGCCTGCTTTTCTTTCTCTCTGGCATAGCATAATTCAGGAAATTGAATGGGGATGGTCTGAAATACACATATTAGACATGATAATCCCTTGTGGATATTTGGGCAATTTTGCAGGTGGTCTAAAGCTGAGAATCAGACAATGTTTATAATTAAAAAGTTCATAATATATTCATTTCTCATTACACTTAACTTTCAAATCTGTTTATTTATTTCAGTGGCAGAATTACCGAAAGGTAATCTCACTGGAAAACCAAGAAAGTTAAAAGATGGAGCTGCTGATGTCCACAATCTAATTTTAACATGGAAAGGACTTAATATAGATGGAACAAATTTATTTAACCAAATTGCAAATATAAAACTAGAAAAAGTGTAAATATTGCTTATTTATTGTCCCCCACCTTTCGAAGAATGTCTGTCCGTCCGTCCGTCTGTCTGTCTGTCTGTCTGTCACACTTTTTGGGACACAATTACTTTCCTTCTAATTGAGCTAGAATGTTCAAACTTAGTGTAGGTGTTTATTAGGCCAATGCCTTGATGGAGTTCGAAGATGAGCATTTACTGCTTAGGGTAAGCAGAGATAAGCAGTTTGATTGGTTGATGCTTTGGGACACGATAACTTTAGTTCTAATTCAGTGAGAGTGAAGACACTTGGTGTATAGTTTTAACACATCAATACCATGACTAAGTTAGATAATGAGCATTTTCTGTTCAGGGTAAGCAGAGAAATAAGCAATTTGATTCGTCAAGACTTTGGAACATAATAACTCTCCTTCTAATTGAGGTAGAATTTGATTGGTCAAGACTTTGGAACATAACACCTCTGCTTTCAATTGAGGTAGAATGTTTAAACTTGATGTAGATGTTCATTAAGTGAATGTCTTGACTGAGTTCAATGATTAACATTTCGAGCTAAAGCTAAGCTGAGCTAAGCAATTTCATTGATCGATGCTTTGGGACAAGATAACTTTGATTCTATCTGATAGAGAGTGATGAAACTTAGTGTATAATTGATAATCAATTTGATTGCTTGATACTTTTGAAAAAAATAAATGAGCGATTAATTAATATGTGTCATCTATTTATTTTGGGATTTCGGCTGGGAACATCAGCCTCACTGTTGGCTTGTCTGTTAATGTTCTTGAACAAAATAACACAGCAGTGCATGTATAATCATAGACTATCCTTATGATTTCTCCTACTTTTCAGTGCCATACTCTAAAGTTTACATATATGATATTAGTATTATCAAGAAAATTAGAGATATTGCGGTGTTGGATTTAATTTCAACCCACAAAGTGTTTTGTAGTATCCCACTGGCCTGTACCTTAGATATCTTGATTTATATGAATGGTTTTTAAATTGTTCAGATCGGCAAAAAATTAGTTAATTTCCTGCCAACGTTAGCAAATTTGAATTGTCTATATTTTTTGTTATTCACACACATTATTATATAAGTTGAATGTTTTGTATTTTGTTTTGAAGCATATATTATTAATAACAGGTTTCAAGTAGATGGAGGAACTGACGAAGAAAAATGTAACTTACCATCTAATCTTGAACCATTGTGTGAACAGTTACTTAAGCTTCATAAAGACATGGTCAGTATTGTTAAAACTAATTTTTCTATGTATTTTAATTGTAGAGAGTGCAGTGGATTAACTTATTAGCTTGATGTGGGCTGACACACTTAGGATTATACAAATTGATTAATATTACACATTAATCTGTAATTGTGTGTATTACGTGATGTAGGGTATCTTTACTCTTTTAAGAACTCCTGATACCACTTCTAAGTACACATTCATGTAGCAAACCAGGCATGTTTTCAGTCTGCATATCAATCAGAAAACACTGAATTGTAGATAAATGTAGACCCAGGATGCCGAAAAATCATCTATTAGCTACACATTCTGACTAGAAACTGTCCTATATTTATTAATTTATTAATTAATTAACTCAAGCAGTTGCAGATCTTAAGTTCTTTATCCAGTATTAAACCTGATGAACAAGACATTTCACTTGTAATTAAAATTCTGACTGATGTTATGGTTGTAACTGTCAAGTCAATGAATTGTGCTGCATATGTTTCTATCATATACATTGCATCAGACTTTCGTCACCTCATCACGACAAATGCTGCTAAAACATTAGTTCAGGTGCTAATACGGTCCTGTATTGATTAGGCAAACATTCTGCTCTTTGGACTCACCGAAAGACTTACATATCAATTACAAACAATCCAGAACATCACTGCCAGGATTGTAACAAGAACTTCAAAATATTCATCCATAACATCAGTGTTATAAATTCTCTTCACTGGTTGCCCATCACTGGTTGCTGCATCTCGCCTTTGGAAGTAGTTACCAGTAAACATTAGAGAATCTCAAACTTTCATAAATCTTAAAGTCACAACTAAAAACTCATTTGTTTAACTCTATTATCCAGATTAGAAACAGATTGTCTATTTGTGTTTTGTTTAACTCTATTATCCAGATTAGAAACAGATTGTCTATGTGTGTTTTTATTGACGAGAGACACCTTAAATGTTGCGCGTTGAGCATGTGTATATGGCTAGATTATTAAGCGCATTACAAATACATGTCATGTATACATTATTATTATTATAAACAAAGTGAACAGCATTTGCTATAAGCCCACAAAGAAATGAGCAATATATTGTCACCACCTCTGTCCCAAAGCATCGACCAATGAAATTGCTTAGCTCTGCTTAGCTTTAGCTCGAAATGTTAATGAAAATCTACATCAAGTTTAAACATTCTACCTCAATTAAAAGCAGAGTTGTTATGTTCCAAAGTCTTGACCAATCAAATTGCTTATCGCTCCTTAGCCTAAGCAGAAAATTCGCACCATCGAACTTAGTCAAGGTAATGATATAATGACTCTATATTCAGAGTTTCATCGCTCTCACTTCATTATAACCAAAGTTATCGTGCCCCAAAGCATCAACCAATCAGATTGCTTATCTCTGCTTACCGTAAGCAGACAATGTTCATCATCGAACTCCATTAAGGCATTCTTCTAATGAACGCTTACACCAAGTTTGAACATTCTACCTCAATTAGAAGGAGAATTATTGTGTTCCGAAGTTTCGCCCAATCAAATTGCTTATCGCTCTGCTTACCCTCAGATGAAAATGTTCATTATCGAACTTAGTCAAGGTATTGATGTAATAAAAGCTATACACCAAGTGTCCTCACTCTCACTTAATTAGAACTAAAGTTATCGTGTCCCAAAGCCTCAACCAATCAAATTGCTTAGCTCTGCTTACCCTAAGCAGAAAATTATCATCTTCGAACTCCATCAAGGCATTCACTTAATAGACACCTACACCAAGTTTGAACATTCTAACTCAATTAGAATGCGAATTATTGTGTTCCAAAGTCTCGACCAATCAAATTGCTTATCACTCTGCTTACCCTGAGCAGAACATGCTCATTATCGAACTTAGTCAAGGTATTGATGTTATGAAACTCGCCCAATGAAATAACTTATTGCTCTGCTTACCCTGAGCAGAACACGCTCAGTATCGAACTTAGTCAAGGTATTGATGTAATAAAACTATACACCAAGTTTCATCACTCTCACTTAATTAGAACTAAAGTTATCATGTCCAAAAGCATCAACCAAATTGCTTATCTCCGCTTACCCTAACTTCGTACCTCCATCAAGTTATTGACCTAATAAACACCTACACCAAGTTTGAACATTCTAGCTCAATTAGAAAGAGCGTTATTGTGTCCCAAAACGTGTGACGGACAGACAGACGGGGGACAAAAATTCTATCACTGTTGGACTTCTCTGTGAAGATTAGGCCATTTCGGGCATTTCTGTATTTGTTGTATAATTTTTATCTAATATGAACAAATATACATTTCTTTTCAGAAAAGAGTTGTTGTAAAATTAGTAAGAATTAGTGAAATGATTAAAGGCATTATAGAATTAAGTGATTATCAACATGGAGAAACTGAAACTGAAGTTTTCTTTAAAACATGGAATCTTCATGATTTCTGTAAGTTCCTTAACTATAGTAGATATTCTCCCTTTCCCTATCTTCTGTAGCTTTCTGTGATCTATGTAATATTTAACATGACTATACTGGGCCCTTGGATATGTGCTTCCATGGAAACATAAACCTGAGAAATTTCTAATTAGCAAAGTCACATTTACTATAATAGATTGATGTGTGTATAAAGTTTCATACACATACTCGTAAGTTGAATAGTTTATGCCATATGCGCTGGAAACAAAACCAGATCCCATTTCAATATCTGTTCCTTACAGGATAATATGAGAGAGAGACAGAGATTGATTTAGTGTTCATTATAGGAAAAAATCCACCATTATATCATTTATCTGCTTGTTTTATTTCACAGTTCAAACAGTGAATGAAATTTGTGAAATGTTTGAAAAGGAACTGAAGTTAAAGAGATGTTTGATAGAAAATATAGCACACAGCAATAGCAGAAAACTTCTGATGTTTTATTCAGCTGCGTGGATACATCAACCTTACATATCAGCACAACTAGATCTTCTAGTAGACAGTTTATTACTTGAAACTGGATTAAAATAATTTCATTATCTTGTGAGTTGTGACTAGTATCTACATGTATTAACATTGACTTATAAGAACTCCATGACTGATTCTCAGATGTAGAGCTATTGTATGGCAGTTTTCAATTGTTATGGAGATACTTAATGTGTTTTAAAATACAGATGTGATGTCATCCATTGACATTGGCGTACCGGTACCATTATTTCAAAAGATAGGTTGCCAGGCAACGAAACATTTGCCCACAGCAGCTAAAGTCAATTGAAACGATTATATATAGGTGTAAACACGGTGTATAAATATAAAATCAATCAGAGGATAACTATGGTCTCTAAAGCATCCACAATATTTTTTAAAGTGATCAAGGGCCATAACTCTGGCAGTAATTATCGGAAATCGTTGGAAGTCATTAGGTTTCTTCGTCTGATGACCTTAAACACTGTGTATAAATTTAAGGTCAATCGGATATTAACTTTAGCCTCTAGAGCATCCACAAGATATTTCAAAGTGATCAAGGGCCATAACTCTGGCAGTAATTATCAGAAATCGTTGAAAATCAATAGGCTTCTTCGTCTGATGACCTTAAACACTGTGTATATATTTAAAGTCAATTGGATATTAACTTTAGCCTCTAGGGCGTCCACAAGATTTTTCAAAGTCATCACGGGCCATAACTCTGAAAGTAATTATCGGAAATCAGAGAAAATCAATAGGCTTCTTTGTCTCATGACCTTAAACACTCAATATAAATTTAAAGTCAATCGGATATTAACGGACGGACGGATGGGTGCATGCGATGACATATACCGACCACATTTCAATGTGGGCAGGCGTATAAAAATGTATGGGCAACTTGCCAACTGTACATTATTTATACTAGATGAAATATTGGACTCATGTGACGTATATCATTGAAAAGCATGAGCGGGATAGTGTCTGTATTTTAAGTTGAATCCAAGTCGGGAGATTATCTACCAACTTGCCAACTGTACATTATTTATACTAGATGAAATATTGGACTCATGTGATGTATATCATTGAAAAGCATGTACGGGATAGTGTCTGTATTTTAAGTTGAATCCAAGTCGGAAGATTATCTACCATTGATATCTTGATTTTGTTTTCGGAATTACCTGTATCTTAGTACTTTTTAGCATGGATTAAGATATGTATAATTTGATATTGCAAATGACCATCAGCTGCTATAATTATTCACAAACTAAGTCATTTCAAGAATAACATGATATATTTTTATTTTAATAATTTGTTTCCAAACAGGTGTCAATAGCAGTGGAAGGAAACAGGAACTCCTGAAGAAAATCCAAGAGATTAGATAGACGTCCCCACTTCCCAACTTACAAACATACCTCGATAACATCCCTTATGACCTATTGCCCATATGTTAAGACCATTCAGCCACCCCACACATATGAAAGATTTCCATACCCTACAGTATTTATATCAACATTTCTTATTAAAAGACATATCAGTTTTTGGCTATCACACCATTTGACAACACTTCACTCACTGAATAAACAAATGAATTTAATATTATCAATAGTACAAAATAATTGTACAATAAACATGGACAATTTCTCTTTAAATAACAATAAGACATGAGTGCAACTGGTAGTAAATCAGTAAAATTTACCTGAAAAAATGATATTAATGTACATGCAATATGAGAGAAATATTTTACTTAAATATATATGATCATACACTGTAATATGATGAAACTCTTACATCCTTTTATAATATAAAGCTGCCTTTTAATACACGTCATATTCAGACCTCAACATCATATGTTTATCTTAGATAATAACGTTTTACTAGCTAAATACTGGTATTTCAGGTTTGAACACCACTATCGGTAATAAGTTATTTGAAAATTCAATGTCCTAAATTTTCAATATGCAGGGAAGGACTGAAGTTCGACTTTACGTGTCAGCAGGGATCTGGTGTATAAGTGTACTTAAGTAATAGCACATGAACAGTAGCATACATGTAGTTTTATTGTTGTAAACCAAGCTCTTTGCAGCAAACTGGTTTAGTGAAAAACAAAATGTCAAGATTTATTCCAAATCTCAAGACAAATCTAAATTTATCAGTTTGATGAAATTACCACAGGAGCACATGATGAGACCTGAGGCAGGAGTCATCAGATGTTCTAGAAAGATTAAGCATACAATAACCCTGTTTACATTACAAATTTTAAGCGTACTATGCACGGTACCAGGTACGGCACGCTTCGCTTTTTTGTAGTGTAAATGGGTCCAACGTAAGCGTGCCGCGCCTGGTACGGTGCCAATCTGGCCAACTGAAGTGAAGCGGTCTCGGAACGGTACCAGGACTGGCTCGGTTTAAATTTTCGTAGTGTAAACACTAACCGGTCTGAGCACGGATTACTGCGCATGCGGCAAATGAACCTTGACCTTTTCCCCCCGCAAACTTTGACAGCTCTGTCATCAGTTCTGTTAAAATTGCTGCTCAAACTAAATCAACCATCATAATTGTTTTCATCTGGGTAATTTGTATAGGGACTGAAATTAACATTTAGCGTGCCAAGCACGGCTCTGAGACCGGTTATTTTAGAGTAATGTAAACGGGTAAATTTCTTGAAATTTATCGCGGCCTGGTACCATGCCCAGAACGGCACTTGTATCGTGGCCAAGTGTAAACGGGACTTATGTGTCATGCAAGACACTTCAATCATCACAACTTGTATCTGAAATCTATGGTGGCAAAAGCAATGCCTAAATTTTTTAGAATAAATGATGCAAGTGTTGAAAGGGACAGTAAAGTGTGAACAGGTAAATATTTAGATGACAATGTGCATTATACAACATAAACGGTCAATTTTTGGTTAAGTTCCCAGTCAGTAGGTCATACCTGATTATCACTGCAATAATGTGGATTATGCCTTTGTATAATCTGTAGGATTGGACTTGTTTCTAGGTTGTGGGTAGACATCAAATTTGAGTAAATTTTTATTTTTGTCTGAGAATTTTTCATGATCTTTGGTTTTTCCTCCTAAAACATGGGTTATTTTTAAAAAATAGATAAAACTATTTAATATTCCAGATAAGATTGTTGCCTGAGTTACGCTATTACGCTAATGCATGGAAACTCTATGATTCATGATAATGAGTGGTAAATCTTTAAAAGCTACTAGTATATTTGATATATAGACTAGAAGATATTGAACATTTTCCTCTACTAAATGTTACTTTAATACTAATAGTTAATACTAATAATGATATTAAGGTCCAAACAAGCAATAATGAAAATCAACACACTTTCTTTCATAAAGACATATTAGTCCCAAAATCTTTTAAATCCACCAAATCTCATTTGAGTTTTAGCCATCTGGAATTGATATTAGTTTCTACATATTGTGACATCTATTAATACCTGTGTCCTGGCAAATAATAATTCTGAAATCATTTCCATACAAACCAGGACATTGTTTACAGTTTATTTTGGGGAGTTTCTGGATCAGATTACATTGCAACAAATAATGGACCATCTGGCAACACTAGTGGCAATAGCCAATACTTGTAACTCAGTTCCTTAAATCAATAAATGTATGGAAAGTCTATTTGATTTATGTAATTTTATTCAGTTTACCACAGTGTGTAGAAATATTTTTCTGTCCCTAATTGAATGGGAATTAGGTTTATTATTAGACTCTATAATATGGCTATCTCTGTATATTTTCCTGTATTTATTCTGAATTTAAATGGGCTTCCAGTATGTGAATTGTAAACCATGTATCTCTGTTCATTTCAGTCAATAAATCAATTTTGAATTGGTCTGGTCTTTTGTAAATTTCTTGCAAGCTATTCCACAAACTGTTTATATTCTACTGATACACTATCATACTTATCCTAAAATGTTTTGATACTTATCCTAAAATGTTTTGATACTTATCCTAAAATGTTTCGATACTTATCCTAAAATGTTTTGATATTTATCCTAACATGTTTTGATATTTTTTTATATTTATCCTAAAAAAAAATGTTTTCATATTTAACCTAAAAAAATGTTTTTTAAATATGAACTTGTTAATATATGTGTTTGGTGTCTTGAATGTTTGCAAGGTTTAAAATGAATATCAAAAGAAACTAAGATCTTTGGGTTATAAACATGCATATCAAGTTTCATTAAAATCAGAAGCCATAATCCATGAAGTTATGGTCCGATACATGCAAATTTCTAAACAAACCAAGATCTTTGGTTTCAAGTTTCGTTAAAATCAGATAAAAATTGTGACCTGTAGACTGTCCTTTGTTGATTATATACTTGCATGGTTTGCAATTTGACCTCACTTATAAACATCATCTCTGTTTCAAACAGATTATCTTCATGGCTGATACCTTCTTAAGAAGTTTCAAACCAATTTAGGATTTCTTTGTTTATTTGCATATCTCTCCTGTCATTTTTAACCTCAATAGAAAACTTGGGTATATTTAATGATACCGAAATTTATGTTTCCATGATGTGGGTAACCTATAATAATTGAGTTTGACAATGTTTTTTCAAAGAGGCATTATGCAAGATTTAGATAAAAAGCTGACTGTTCTCACTATAATAGTTTAAATTACACTATGTAAGAGCTAAATCTGGCTTTAAATGTTAAAAAAAATTATTATTTAGACATTTTTTCACATCACAAGCTCATAATCAACTCTCTAGAACATCAGATAGCTTAGACATTGAGTGGATTAGACAGTGTCTATCATATCTTTGTTAAACGGATACTGCCAATTGAATGACTAAAAATCGAGACATTTTTTGTCAAAACATCACACATTCATAACTAGCCCAGAATAAAGCAATCTGATTAAAATGTTAAGTATATTTATTTTACACTATCTATTTTTAAACTAGTATAACAAGAATGACCAGCTCTTAATCGAAATCTTACATAAAGCATCTTTAAGAAACCAATGGAGGTCAATTTGTTTACTAAATTCACTGGAACACATACGTGTTATATCACAACATTGGCTATATCTTTGGAACTCAGATTTTTGATGTGGACAGATACCCATTTCACAAAGCAAATCAACACTTCAAACTTAATAAAACTGATTTTTCACCAAATTCATTTTAACATAAACATACATGTGTATTCAGTTCAGTAAAAATAAAAGATTTTAAATTCTCTTTGATAATTTCAAACAATATTTCTAATTAATAATAGCACTTATATTTTCAATGGTTGGTCATTGACAGACCTACAGGTACATCCACATATTTCATTCTGGCATATTCAGCTTAACAAAAGTTTCTATGCAAAATTATCAGGTATCTCACCAGTCACCAGCATGCCATACCAATTCTAATAGTCTGACTTACACCTTTAATCACACACCAGTATTATGTTACACAATGTTGATGCAAATAGTATGAACGATGCAAGTACAAGAATACTAGATACCTGACTAAACAAATCTTAACAACATGTATGTACCTCTATGCTGCATTTAAATATAAAAGGGCTCTGCTTATAAATCATATTTCAAAACTTTCTATTATCTGTGTTCAATATTGTTAAAGCAAATCTTTTTTAATAACATCCTATTCTAAATTTAATACATCAGCTTTAAACATTTCAAGATATATTTAACTTTGCTTTTAAATCTGCAGAAAATGTGCCAAAATGTCCATATGAAATCTTAACAACTGATAATGATAAAGAAATTTAATCCTAAACTTGGATAAGTCTATATAAAATATTTACCTAAATCTTAATCTTACATGTACCATGAACACCAAGTATGTTTTATTAAAATAATAAAAAATAAAAAACGAGACACCTTAAATAGCACTTAAATTAAAGTAAATATTGCTTATGTTTCCAAATAATCAAGCACTAATCTGGTAAATGCTATTGCATTTCTGTTTGTAATTGTTCTTGTTCTACAAAATGTCCCTCACTTTCCATGGCGAGAAGTGCCTGAACAGTTTCTAATGGTATACCTTCCGCCCCCTGTAGTTGAAATGTGGTCCCATCAGGGTTTTGAATAATTAATGTACCATCCTCAGTCTGGAAGATATTAGAGGCTTGTGTCACTATTTGGTCCGGAGAAATTATTTCTCCTTCAATTTGTTCAGCACTAAAATATGCATTTTCACTCGGATTTATTATCTCCCCTTGTAAAACATCAGCAGTGCCCTCTTGAATACCATTAAGTGGTACCTGTAAATCTATTGTTTCTGTTTGATCAACAGTAACAAGACCCTCATCATTCACATCTGCTATTTTACTATTAATCAACCCTGACTTCACTGAGGTTTGCTGACTGTTCGATTCAATTGGATTAACAAAATTTGGCACAGGAACTTCTTGCACAATGTCACTATGAGAGGTTTCTATTTTCACATTTGGATTATTATTGACTAAGATACTGTTGATATTGTTTCCATTTACTACTGTTCCGTTGTTTTTTGTCACTGCCGTTGGTATTATTGTTGCTGATGATGTCGTAATGGTTGGCGTGGATTGTAACACAGAATTATTTCCATTTATATTTAATACACTTCCACCATTTAACGTTGCAAAAGCAGTGGAAAGTGGAACACTATTAGTTAGTAGCACTGTTTGGTGGTTTTCACTATGGAGAATTCCGTTGTTAGAAATGGCTGTGCTGATTGTTTGTGTTGTAATTGGCATTTGTGCTGACTCGGATAACAGATTATTGTGATTGTTGACAACTATTTGCATGGGTGTTGCTGATCGGCTTGATGATATGGGTGTGGTTAATATAGAAATGGGTGTGGACGAAGAAGGAGGGGTTGAAGTAGTCACTGGGGATGATAAAGATCTTTTATTGGTCATAGAAACTATAGTGTTATTGAGTAATGTTGTCATACGAGGCTTTTTATTATTTGACTGAATTAGTTCATCTGGGGTAACTATTTCTATGGTTCGACGGTTGCCCTGACGCTTTGCTGGTATACCTAGTCTTTCTGTTGTGAGATATTTGTAATGGAATGATTTTTCTTCTTTAGGCAAGGATTTTGCTTGATATTTTCCTACTTTTAAACCAAGACAAGCAGCCATTACCTCATCAACAACCTAAAAATCAAGAGAAAGGAAAATAACATGTATAAATAAGTCTGAAATATTCAGGAATGCTACAGGTCTACATGTACATGTATGTATCTCAATCAATCAGCAACAGTCTTTACCAAAAGTAACATTTTTTTTTCTAATTGGTTACCAATTTCAAAATCAGACAAACAAATTTTCAAACAGCCTAAATCTACAGTGTTCTAAAGAAATATTTATCGTAATTCATTGCATAGTGAGAAAATTGATTTTAACAGGCTTCCCTAGTACAACCACATCTTATGCTAATCATCGATGGCAAATCTTTAGCAAAGAAAGATTCCATCCAAAATAAGCTTTGTACACATATTTTTTATACACATGTAGAATGTGGTCAAACTATAATCTTCATACCAGTTCTTGTGTGATTCAAAGGAGGTAAAACCACAATTTTCACTTGACCAATTAAACGAGATAGAGCAGGTGTATAAAGATTACCTGAATATTATGAGCTTGTGACTCTGTCACATCTTTTGATTCGTTTAATGGCATTAGACACTCTTGACAAGTTTTTGCCACCTGTTTTTGCAATGTTTCAAATTCATGAACAATATCGTCAACCTTCGGTAAGGCTTTCCCTCCTTTTTCTACTTTCATCATGAGAAATTCCCATAATGTTATAACATTAGCTAATCGAGGTAACACTATCTCCATTAATTCATCATCTGTACAGAGACGGACCAGCTGAAAAAAAAAAGGTGGCATTAAAATCAATAGCAATTACCAGAACATAATTTAGAAAGCACATTTCATAGATTATAAGCTAACATTTGGATTACATGCAGCAAAATTCTTAAAATATGAAAATGTAATATAGCTTTCTTGTTCTTTTAAATCTGTAAAATTGGCTTTTCATTCATGAAAGCACTATCAATTGACCTGTAGACTACATGTAACTCTGAACCAGACAAGAACATATAAACACTAATTATGCTTTAAAAAAACCAAAAAACATTTGATTTACACCCCAAAAGTTTCTGTCATATTGTTTAAGTTTTTATGCAAATCAAATGACAGTATGTCTTTATCTAGTGAGCTATCAAATCAGTGAATATGGTATCACTGTGTAGCTTTCACTATCGTACACTCATGAACTGATCAAATTTGCAAGAAATGCACTGAATGTAAGAGGTATGAAAGGAATCACCAAACCTATTTGATTTTTACTTCTTTGTAGTCTTGATAAATAGACTCACATCCAATCTATGAGTATTTCTTTTCAAATTTCTAACCTTATAAATATGGAGTTAATAGAATTTTAGAAGAGCAACCAAGTATTTTTTGTGTTTACATTTTTTCACAAATCCAAAGAATTAAAACTGAAAGTGGTGAAACCTAAATATTACTGATATGGTATAAACAGACAGTCTATTTACCTGTTTGAATTTTAAAATAAGGCTTTAAGACAACACAAATAAAAAAATTGTTTCCCAGGCGCTGCCTGCACCAAAAAATTGTTACGCAATCTTTTAATTGGTCTTGACTGATATGTAAATCATAAAAAAAAATATGCCACATGTATATTCATTCAAGTGTATTAAACTGATTTAGATAAAAATACTTATTTACAGGTCTTTATTATCGATATGGATATTAATTTGTCCACATCGAAACTTATTGACAACAATAATGAAGGCATATATCGAGTTGTTAGTTAGAAACAGGCTTTACTTTGTCATAACTGAATGCATAGCTTCGGCCAAATATGATTGAACGTAATTGTATGAAAAAATCTGTCTTGGAGAAATTATCAATGTGTGAAAACAGGAATGTAACGAAATAGTTTGGAAAAGTTCTTTGGATGAAATGACCCACTCTTACGGTATGTGCAGGCTTAACGGAAATTGAGATCTAACACAAAATTCAAGATTGACTTAGCTACAAGGATGACATATAATATGTACCACTTTTTGATCGTCATGACTGTATTGATTTCCATCCAAATTGAGAAAGGAGGAATAGCTGTTTCCCCATGGACTATTATTGCGATTATTGTTACCATACAATTTTCAGCAATACCCAAAATTTATTTTACACCATCCCCTAGCCAGTATTCAGGTAAAAGAAAGAAGCCTCCCCTCCTACATTTTCAGCTGTCAGTTGCCCGAGTTAAAGAGACATTTATTTTGTGTGGCCCAATATGCAATATATATAAATCTGTTACTTACATCTTGAAGTTTAGCTCTTCTTTTACTCGGAATATCAAGTGATTGTGCTGGTCTGCCCCTACCTCTACCCCTTGGTTTATAATAAGAGGTTGTGGAAGGGATGGACGTTGGGGTTACCTGACTGGGTATTGAGTCTTGAGTATTACTGTCCTCAGAAATGCTGCCTATACTACCATTTGTAGGTAAATTATTTGATGACACTGTACTTTGAGTTTCTGCTGTTTCAGGAGTTGCAACTACAGGTAACGGTACAGGTACTGATACTATAAATATAAACAGAAAATAATAAAGATGATCACATATTTTCATTAATGAATTCTTTTAACATTGAATAGTAATGGCCTGGGCAAATAAATGGATTCAATCTTTTTTAACAAAATGATATTGGTCAATGTAATAAGCTCATTCATACCAGAATGTCCATAAAATGAGTGAAGTGAAGCAGCATTAAGTGCTTAAGTATGATTACTTGGAGATGCAATTGAACTCCAACTCAATAACAAGGGAAATAACTCTAAAAAAACCCAACTTGGAGTGACATTTAATTTTATTAAGGTTTAACCTTTATATCCAGCATGTTTTCTTTTTAAAAATGTCAAATACTCTCACCTGTCATACCATTAACACTCACAGCATCTGGGGTTTTTTTTATAATTTGGGGGATCACTCACTTATACATGTGTGTTAATTTACAAGAACTGTGCTACTATAAGATACCCAAAGTCTACAAGTATCAGAAGTTCGTCACATCCGACATTTGAATACTACGACATACCTTATTACTTCAGCCAAAAAAGCTTTGAGTAATCCATAATCTGAATATTCTGAAATATGACAACAATTGGCTGCCCGGTCACACGATTTTCATTGAATCAACATTGTATAATCCGGCCTTCAATCGGTGGGTGTGAAGCCACGAAAGATTAACAAAAGATTAAACTTCTACAAGTATCAGAAATTTAAATACAGTGGACTCTGTCACATCCGACATCTGAATACTACGACATTCTGTGAAATCCGACATCATTTTTATGTCCTGATATATTTCCTTATTACTTCAGCCAAAAAAGCTTTGAGTAATCCGTATTCTGAATATTCTGAATTACGACAACAATCGGCCGTCCCGTCACACGATTTTTATTGAATCAACATTGTATAATCCGGCCTTCAATCGGTGGGTGTGAAGCCACAAAAGATTAACAAGCAATCACCAATTATCGGTAAAATTAAAACTCGCTCGCGTAGGTCTTTAATGTTTTAAAGGCGTGGACAAGAACAACCTGCCAGTCAATTGGTCGGCCAATCATAAGGCTTGGATAACAAGTGGTATTTATTCTGATTGGCTCAAACAACTCAACCGCCAAATGAGGCGTCAATGTGTACCTCCTGATGACGAAGAGGACAATATACCACTTGCTAGACTCATGGAGTCCTTGGTGTCTGAAACAAATGCGACCGAAGACGATTTTATCAATTTTGACAATGGAATTCCGTCAGAGTGTGACAGCGACCTAGACATAGAATGACAGATTATCAATGAACACGTGACAGCAAAGACAAGTGTGCAATCAACTGAAGACGGAGACAACAAAGAAGATAAATTAACGACAGACTTGACTTATTTAAAATGCCGACGCATGCTAAATGAAATAAAAACATTCGCCGAATAATACTTCCGGTTTAGAGAAAACTAAGTATTCCGACACTCTGCGTAATCCGACATATTGTAATGATCCCGTACGATGTCGGATTTGACAGAGTCCACTGTATATTTGTACAATGTACCTTTATCAATATCAGATTCCTCAGTTATAGTTCCATGAGATGGGTTGAGTTGATAATGTCTTCTTAATCCACCGTGACCAATATAAGCCTTATCACATCCTTCACATTTATAATTCTTTACCCGTTCTAATCCAGATGAAGCTGAAAAAAATAAAAATACATATCAAGATACATAATAATAACAGAGATCTTGAAAAGATAATAAGCACATGTACAGTCTGTTCTTTTGTAGGTAAAGGGAGAATTTACAAGACTCTAAAAACTGATCAAGAGTAACAACCCATTAAGTAATTATCAAAGATAATCAAATTTTGATTGGTTTCTAGTTCTTCCCAGTACTAACATTTATTATTGTTGATGTTCATGACATGGAGAGAGAAAGAGAGAGAGAGAGAGAGGGGGGGGGCGGGTAACGTCCACTCGACACAAACCAGGTCATATTGGGACTAACACATGGATCAAATTATTTCAATAATTCGCTTGCGCGTAAGGATCTTTAGCAGTGGGAGGAAACCAGAGGCATTGGAGAAATCCCACGAGGTTGGACAAGTGACCCTACTCCTTCGTCACGTACAAGTGGAGAATTGAAACAACGTCACTAGACTTAATGACAGACCTTATGATTTCACGCACACATGTTAACCACTAGACCACTCAACACCCCCAATAACTATGACAGTAATTATCAGAAATCTATGAAAATCAATAAACAATGTTAAAATTTTTTAAAATCAATCACATGACTTTAGCCTACAGAGTGTCCACAACTTTCTTTCAAATTGATAAGGGCCATTTCTCTAACATTAATTGCTGAAATTGTTGAAAATCAATCGATTTTATTTTTTTATGAATATATTCATAAACAATATTTAAAAATTTAAAATCAATCAGATGATAATTTTAGTTTCTTGAGCGTTCACAACTGCTTGTGGACAACTGATTGACAGACGAGGGTGATTTCAATGTGGATGTATAAAACGCCAGCATATCATTTGATTTGGAAACATATTTAGCAACCCAGATGGTTTGTGAGATATTGGTTTCTACATGAACATATATTGTAGCTGACTGAAAGTCGGGCACTATTTATCGAGCAAAACATGTATGATTTAATGCAGACCAATTACTTGTCAGTGTTGGCCTTAACATACCATCAATAAAATCAGGACTGCTGTCAGTTTCTTTCCTGTTATTACTATTTGTATTATTTGCATTAGAGTTCTCTGCTTTTTCTTTATCTTCATCACTTATTTTAAAATCTGAATAACCACCATCAGAATCATCATAATCCTCATCCCAGTCTAACACATGAATATGTTTATAGTCTTTCACCATGTGCTTTGGAGGTTTAGAAACACGGCCCGAACGCGTTCTGGGCCTATGTTTTTTACGCTCTTCCTTTTCCTCTTTTGACATTTCTGGACCATCAACTTTGTCTTCTTCATCTTCCCGTGTACGTTTCTTATAATTTTTTCGCTGAATTGAGGAACTCTCCGGCCCTGTACTATTAGCACTAGAAGATTTTTCTGGGGTGGTTATGCCAGTCGTTTTATGTAATTCGGAGGGATATATAACACGGTACACAATTCTAGTATTTGTTGCAGGATTATATAATATGCTAGACCCACTAGTACTGTCTGCCGATTTAGCAAGTTGCTGTTCTTGAACTACATGCATAATTTGTTGTAATTGTTCAGCCGTCAACTGCTGGACGGGGGTATATTGGTTTCCCTGTTGGACTATGCGTATTGGGTTTTGACTTGAACCAATTGGTGCAACACTATTCTGATTAGATGGCACTAATGTCACATTTATGCCCCCTTGAGGAACTGAATTTGTAAAATCACTTGACTGCATTGTTATAATATTTTCAGTTGGCTGCAATTGTTGAACTGCCACTTGTTCAATTTGAGAATCTGGTGCCATCATAACAGCTTCAATATTTTCTTCGAGCGTCATATTTTCAGTTTGATGATCCATATCTGACACCACAGCATAAGAAATATCATATGCAATGCCATTATCAGCAGTAGTTCCTACAACTGTGGTGGCCAGGGCAGAATCAGTGTCTGACACAACATTCACATTGACATTGTTTGTAATTTCCTGTGCCACAATAGTTGGATCGTGTTCCCCTTCCTCTGCCGTAACGTACGACAAGGTGACGGCCTCTTCCCCAAACTCTTGGGCATCTTGAATAGCTTGTTGTAGAATATCTTCAGCATCATCGTCGTGAATAACCCGATCGTCTTCTGGGCCAGTGACGATGACAGAATCTGAGCTTAGCGGGTCTGTAGCAATGGTTATCATGCCATTTTCCTCTTCATTGTCCGCCATATTGGAGCTCGGCTAAATATACCCCACTTAAACTTCGGAGGATTCCATGGCTTAGACAATCCTACACATATTTTTAGTAATCTAAATATTAAAATAAATAAATAAATATCATATTCAACGGGATCTCATGTTCTCACATGTTGTATTCAACGGTATAATTGACAACCAATTTACAATTGCGCTAAACTATATTCTGTCTATTATTAATTCCCAGGTTTTCCGGTAGATGGCGGGTCATGTTTTTTGACCTATGACCCCATAAACCATTGCTTTGCGTACTTTTCCGAATAACATAAAATGGGTAAAATTAATGATTTTAATAAAAATTTAGAAAATAGAAATATATTTATCAGAATTTTCCTTACTGAAAGATTACTTATCATTTTTGGAAAAAAATCCAAATTTGTCACTGGGATTTATAACGCAAAAAAGTGCCGAATTAAACACTTTGTTATTGTGAAGCTTAGTCATTCAGATGGGACAATAAACCGTGATGCCCAGGATGTTGTGTATAGGCCTAGGCCTACTATTGGCATCACTTTAAAGATCCATTGACTATTGAAAGTGGAATTAAATGGTGTAGGCCTAACAGGTAACAGTTGATTCTTTGGCACCTTAAAGGCTCAATACCACTCTTGTTGTAACTGAATAATATGTCCCAATCTTTATTCTGGTCAACAAATTGTACTATTTTAGAATATTTCAATTAATTGATGATACAAATTTCATCTTAACACACCTTATTTAAAAATTTGAAAAATTCAACATAATGGTTTGAAACGTCTAACGTAAACCATTTCAAATAAAACTTCGATTTAAAAATATTTTCGAACCCTCTGGACAAGTAAAATAGAATGTAATGGATAATTTACACAACAGGTAGGACACTTAAATATCTAGTACTTAGATAGAGATATTATTTATTTTCTGGAGCTTTCAAGCCAGCAAGAGTGTTATTGTCCCTTTAAATAGACGAAACTTGTTCTAGACGCACATATTTTAGTGTAATATGGAGTGATTTATATTCAATCTTAATTAAATTTTTATTGTAATGATCAGTTATGTTAGGTGAAATAACTGAACTGTCCAAATTGAACGACAGTCGTTTTTGTCGTTTTTGAACTGCCCATTACTGATTGCATACGCATTGCCTTGTGGGATATATTTTTCTTTGTTCATTGCAATGCATGAACCCGAAACATAGAGTAGCCTACACGACTCGTGTATTAATTTTAAAATGTTCATTGTGTCTTAAATATTGAATTTTAGGGTCTTGTATTTTCACGGCAATATAACAACATCAATAATTATTGAAATGGACCAATCTTGAATTCTTATATACGGTCCGTGGTTACTGGTTACGTGTTTCCGTTTAGCTCCTTTAAATATACATAGTGCCGCTTCAGATTTACGTTTCCCCGTAAAAGGGGAATAGCTATCGTAACAGGGGGTTGGATGGCTGAATGGTTAGCGTGCGCGCGCTGTATCATAAAGTCTGTCATTGAGTCGACTGGCGTGGTTTCGAATCCCCGGTTGTACGTGACAAGGAGTAGGGTCGCCTGTCCAACCTCGTGGGTTTTCTCCGGGTCCTCCCACTGCTAAAAGACCCTACGCGCAAGCGAATTATGTAAATAAAATTAAACCATATGTTAGTCCCGAAATGACCTAGTTTGTGTCGAGTGGACGTTAAACCCCATTTCTCTCTCTCTCTCGCTATCGTAATATACCACTCCATGATCGCCTCAAACTAGGATCAGCATAAACAGCGCAATGCAAAAAAACAAAAAACAACTGAACCCGAACAATAATCTTATGGAATCCCCAAAGTATAATATGAAGATTTGAGAAAATAATATCTTGATAAACCTTCTTTTGTCAATCTATTCAACCCACCAAGATAGCGACATACGTAGAGAGGCAGATATTTATTACATAAAAAAAAAACTTTTCGAGCAGCATGTAGATTATACAAAATATTATGACATAATATATCAGAGGGGTGGGGGTACATTACCTGATATAGATGGGTGTATGCTCCGGGGGCAGATTTTGTGCAATTAAATCTTTCGGTTAGACCGGTAAATTGAAATGAAAAAAAAAAAATAAAAAAAAAAATAATAGTCGGCAAAATAAAGTTTCCAAAATCCAGTACTGTAGGCAGGAACTATCTCGAGTGCAGACATTTCGCGATAGAAACATTTTATATTATAATAAAACACTTTTAATTTCTTTTATTTACTTGAATACGACTAATTCTTACTGAATTAACTACATGGATTAACAAATTGTCTGCAGCACCACTCTGCTTTGTGAGACTATTTTTCGGACATCGATCATTGTTTTTAGGGAATGCAGCTGCAGCAGTCTGGGCAAAGATTTCGGTCGCAAAATATGCCTATTAAACCACTTTCTGTAGCAGGAAAACGCGTCTGCTGCAGTTTGGTTTTCAAAAGTTTCTCTGGGAGGCCTTCCATAGCCCCTGATGGTTATCGTGGAATCGAAGTGGGAGTTTAGGGTGAGTTTTATGTTGCAAACGTACATAAAAAGGTTTTTTGGAACACTTTCATGTTGTTGTATTAGCCGGAATTAAAAGAAAACGCATTGCAACTGTCGAATTTCCCTTCTAAGACGCCCTGGCCACTTATGCAAAACATAATGCACTAACATAATATAGGTACTAGAAATATGAGATAGAAAACTATCTATTTAAATAAAAAGTACATCATTTTTTATTATTTTCCTTTTTTTGAATATGTGACACTCCAATGAAATTATACGAGCAAATGAAAAGATGAATTAGTCTTTACTGTACACTGGATATCCGCGTCTATAAATTTTCACTTCAGAATTATCTGCCTTTAAAAATTGGCGGGGAAATCGAAAAATAAACAAAAACAAAAACAAGAATGGCTGTTATTTGACACAATTCGTGTGACATTTCTATAGAATTTAGGTATTGCCTATTTTCAAACTACACCGAAATGTCTGACTCTTTCTCAGCTTTTTATGTTATGGTCATTTTGGGGGAAGAGAGTCATGTCAACAAATCTTAAAACGATACGCCTACTCAACACATACATGACATGCGACATGATATTAATTATATTATTATATAAAGTTACTATAAAGTCTAAAGTAACTAGATTTTATAGACCACTTATATTTGTATAAAGTAAAGTAAAGTATTAATAAACAGTATTGAAACAGTGCAAAGAACTCGGCTTTAGTTTCAGAAATTCAGTGTAGGCTATGATTAAAACTCTTAGACTTAGTCTTACCTTCTATTTTTCACCGTGAATGTTTATTTTTCGAAAAAGGAACCATATCTCGTCATATCTTGTCATATCTGACACAATTTATAATAATTCAACACTATGTTCAAGTAGAATTTAGCGATTGAATAAACGTGGTCTGCACATGTTGAAGTCTTGTCAGTCACAATTAAACAATTTCTGATAATTTCATGTGAAGTTATTAGTATTTATTTTACTTTTGGTCCCTTTCAGTAAGGAGTTAATACTACACACAGTCTTGGATTTTATAGTATATCCTTGATTATTTACAGAACCAGCAATCTATTTTTTAGCAGAAATATTGATAAATCCGATGAGTGGCCAATGGAATGGTCAGTGGAATAGAGGTGGTGGAAGGGGAAACTGGAGAGGACGAGGAAATTGGCGTGGTAGAGGTGTTTATAACCAGTATGGAAATCGAGGAAATTGGAGAGGTGGTGCTACCGGTAATAATGGTAGTAGGAATAATAACAATAATTTAGGTAATCAGATGTTCTTTACAGAAATGCATGTAGCGATATATACCTGTTTAGATTAATTCTATTATTCATGTGGCCTGAAACTCTTTTTTTGACCATGCAGGTTCCTTAAATAAATCCCAGCTGAATTTCATGGGAGAAGTACCACAGAATCCAAGACCAAGATTAGCACAATCTCGTATTGAAACATTATCTCCATACAAGGGATGGAAGCTCTATTTGCCAGAGGAAGGTATGGTCCTCAAAAATGTATGTTTTAATAATATATTTTGGAATATTGTCACCCAACTTCTGAAGAAAGGAGGGAACTATTAAAATGGGTGTGTCTGTCGATCTATCTGCCTGTCCTACGTCCATCACACATTTTGGGACACACTTAATTGAGGTAAATTGATCAAACGTGGTGTAGATGTTTGTTACATGAATTTCTTGACTGAGTTCGATGAGCATTTTCTGCTTAGGTTAAACAGAGGAAAAAAATTGTGGTTCATTGATGCTTTAGAACGTGATAACTCTGATTCTAATTGATTGAAAGTGATGAAACCTGGTGTATAGTGTCATTAGATCAGTTCGATGACTAAGTTCAATAATGAGGACATTCTGCTCAGGTTAAACAAAATGAGAAGTAATTTGATTGCTCGATGGCTTTATAAATGTAGAAATAATTAATGAGTGTCATATATTTATATTGGGGCTAAGTTGGGGTACATCAGCTTCACTGCTAGTGGTCCTCCTTCACTTGTCAAGCATTCCACTTTATAATAATTCAGCTTAGATGTCTTGATTAACAATAACATAATTAATTGCTTTTCTTTTGTTTTAGCCTATTCAGATCATTCACCAACAGTAAAAATGATACAAACGTTTGGAAAATATTTTGTCAGCTGGTCAAGTACCTACAATCTAGTAAGTATTAGAATAAGAGTAGGCTACCTATATCCTGCCTGACAAAGTAAAAATGAGAATAGTAGAGTGCCATAGGTGTGAATTAAATCTTATACTTGGTGTTTGTGGAATCTATATAAATGCACAGTTGAAAAAAAGTGTGATCAAATAAAAACAATTTAAGGTTTATTACTGTAAAAATATCTTAATATAGTATCACTGTAAAAAAAATATTAAAGTAGCTAAGTCTCTAACTCAATATCATCCAAAATCTTCGACATTGAAAACACGATTTATTTGTCGCTTTAAATCAATATTGATGTTGTGATCTTACCGGGAAAAGATGTCCCTCTGATATCCAATATTTTAGATAAAATAAACATTTTACAATTGGTACACAAATCGTGTACCATAATGCGCTATTTGTAATAAGGGACTCGAAAAACAAGGCTAGGCATATTTCACAAGTCATGTCAAACGGTGACGCTATATTCTTATCTGGAGAGCATGCCCAATAAATACTATCGGCGTAGACTGGAAAATCCAGACACTAGAGATTGAAATTTGATTGAGAATAATGGCATATTTCGCCGAACCTAACTGATTAGAAATTACAGTAAAAACAGAAACAATTGAATGTAAATCAATTTATAAACATTCATATGCGATGCAATCCATTTGTTTCAATTTCTAGGTCCCAAATATTAGCGACTTAGCTCCTTTAATATAGTATCACTGTAAAAAATAATGCTTTCAATACATCAAATACAGTAAACCTCGCATAAGTCGGATTTGTAGAAGTAAGATCGTTTCTGAACTCAGATAAAATCGTTTGATCCTGCACGATTTTCTTATTAAATTTCTGCGCCTAAGTCGGATCTTCGCTCAATTCGTATCAAAATGTTCGGTCAATTTGATCTAATTCCGGCTTTTTTCCTTCGCCTAAGTCGGATCGGCAGTATGTTCACAACATGCTGTAAAAATACATCCCCCTCCGCTAAACGGCCTGGCTGACTCCATTGAAATCCAAATACAGGGCAGCGCACAAATTTGCGCAACTCAACCATATAAGACGAAACGAAATTGGAATTTTTGAAAAAATTTGATTGTAATTGGGTTAGGCAAAGCAATAATTGACTGAAGTTTTTCCCCTTTCAACGATTCTAATTTTTCCCCACCCCAGCTTACCTAAATTTCTTTTCGTCTTATATGGCCGAGCCACGTAAATCTGTACGCCACCCCGCATCTAGCCTTTTAGCAGAAGGGGACATGTTTTTAACAGCATGTTGTGTTGCACATACTGACTCTAGCGAGGTAAGCAAGGCCTTATTTTCTCACTTAAATGTTCCTTTACATTGTTCAGGCGTTCATAAAGACTGACACACGACCGTAAAGCAGTAAAAAATTTCCCAGTAAAATTGACTGGGAACCGATTGTATTTCGACAAGGATTCAATTCAGTAGGACGGTTCTTGAACGTACAGTACGATAATGAGACCTACGTTCAGAGCTGATCTAGGTATTCGGCTAACTTGGATCTTGGTGTAACTCTGATAAAATGGGTCACTCCATTTAGATCTGACTTATGCAAAGTTTACTGTAATTGTATCCATAGTATTGTGTCTTTTTCTTGTTATATATTTTTAAAACATTTTATTCTAGGATGATATTGAAGTAACAGGATTCATAACAGTGGATTTCAAAGATTTTTCATCTGATCCAAGTAGGACAATTAAGCTATTACTGACATGTTTTTTTAAAAATATGTACATATACATGCAATGAGCAGAGGTGGGAACTCGAGTCCTGTGACTCAGACTTAAGTCACATCAACAAAGACCTGACTTGAGACTCAACTTAAAGTTATTAGGACTTGAGTCATAGTGAGGGGACATAACTTGCCTTTTTCGTCATGAATTGCTGACTCAGTTGATGAACATTAAGTACATTGCATACATAAAGTACATGAAAAGGTATCAGTTGCATACAGATCTACAATAATAAAGAGGATTGTGTAACTTGGGATGTAATTACACACTCAAAAAAATTATGTAGTGACATGCTGCATTGCACAACTTACATGTTATTTAAATATTACAAAACCTCCCTACTTAGAAAGAGTGAGGATTACCCTCATTTTTCTTGAAAAACATTGTGAGTTCAGTTTATATGTTTTCTCATATTTTGCTCTTTAATTCCCCTATTTTCAGTAATAACTGGTTCTTATCCCGGCCTCTCAAATGAATTGAGGAACAGTCCAGAAAAAATCGTTTCATGTTTAGGACTAGCCATACATCAGGTAATTTTTTAACAGAGATTAGCGGATTGATTACAGCGGTACAACAATTTATTTGTTAGCTATTTGAATTCCCAAAATGAGAAGCAGGTCTACAAATACCCGCGAATCTCCGAATCTAATTCGCGCAAGGATTCTCGCAAGAGCTTACGCTGCGAATCTACAAGGATTTGCGTAAAATCTCGGAGAATTGTCGAGTCCGACTATTTGAATGTCAGTGTTCTTAGCCGATTGATGTTTAATCTAGCCAATTGTGATCGTCTAATCAAATCTCCAAACAACCAACTTTTCATCAATATTTCATCATCTTACTTTTGTTTCATTCTTAAAAATGCACCTGCCTTGTTTTTTTTTTGGGTGGGGGGGGGTTGTTGCCTATTTGCCAAATATCACATATTGTTATTTATGACATGTACATATGTTTATATTGTATGCTGTCCTCAATGGATGTTTCGATACAATAAAATCTTATCTTACCTTATCTTACCTTGGTGAGAATCAGCCATATGTGGTTCATAATCCGAATAATTAGCACATTTAACAGTGATTTTGATAATCCAGTAAAAAAACTAGCTTGCTGATAATTCATAATAGGTTCAATAAAATACGCCACGTGGCGAATTAATGCGATCTCGGCATGGTTTGTGAATTACACGTCTTCCATGCTCTGTCCGTGTGAATTCCAGATACCAGTAGAATTTAAAATAATAACTGGATCATACATTGATGGATTCACTGACCAGTTGTTAGGTAAATTTAAATCTTCATTGAATATAATTCCCTGATAGAACACCGAATATACTGAGAGAAACCGTGGATATTTTCCCTGACAGAATCTCCAATGCCAAATTCCAATGACACGTGACATATCAGTTGGAATTAGGTCAATAAACCATTTCTAAATAGTGTTTACCGTTATGATTTTTTTTATTTTATATACATGCTGACAAAGGCTTAATTTTAAAGATATTATAGAAGGCTATATCATAGTCGTACAGAATTTTATTTTATAGCAATTTCAGTTATGGTTGTCACGTGATCATTGTGCCGTTTGTCTAACATTGACGAATGATTAAAATCTTTTGCAAGTTACGTGACTAGTTATGAGATGGACAATAGACTACAAATTGTGCTATGAAGAAATGCCATGGTGCTATTTCAGCTTATTTTGGCTACGGCATTTTCTGGATATTACTTTTGACACTATTTAAGTGTTTACTAAAAACTCCATCTGATTGTTTTATTTGTATCATTGTTGTTGTATTTTGCTTAACACAATAAACACAATTTTGTTTTTTTAGACAGTATTATTAATTAATATTTGGAGGATTCGCGCAGATTCCATTTGATAATCCTCTTAGATTCTCGCAAAATATGACAAATTTCTAGACCAGAGAAGTGGTATACCGGGTTAAAAATGGTGTGCAAAATGAAAAGTAGTATGCCGTGTGAGAAGTGATATGCTAAATGAGAAGTGGTATGCTGTGTGAGAAGTGATGTGATAAATGAGAATTTTTAATCCAAAGTTTTGTACACCCTGTTTTAATACAGTATTCTTGTCATACTTAGAACCTGTTCAGATTTACTTGATCAAATTTGTCTTCCTTCACTGTTTAATGACTATGTATACCCTGACTTTCAATCCCATTAATCTCTGAAATCCTACATAATGTTATTGTTTGTTTTTTTCATAGGTAGTGTGTAACTTTCGTAAGAAAGAAAATGAAGAGAGTGTTGATCTTACTCCATCTCAAAAGTTAGACTACAGTGTTCCTATTATACATGCTAGAATAAATAATATTGGATCTGCAACACCTTTAAGATTAGTCAAAGCTAATTGTTATGGTAAGAAGATATAAGATGGGTTCAAGGCAATAAAATTAATAACACATCAGAATATTATCACACCATTGTTTGAACTAGCAGATAATCTGTGAAAACAAAAAAAAAAATGTATAAAAATTTAAGTGTTTTATATTTTCGAAAAAAGAAATCTGACCAATGAATTTTTATGTTACAGGCATCTAGTTTGTGGGTGTTTTTGTTTTAGGTAAATTTATATCAATAAAAGGAACAGTTGTACGAGTGAGTAATATTAAACCACTATGTACCACCATGGGATTTGAGTGTGTTTCTTGTAGTACAGTACAGGTCAGCTAGAATACTCTTATACTTTTTCAGCATCTGTGACATAAATTTTTGATCTGTTTTAAATAAATAGTAATTTGATCACGTGCCAAATCTATCCAAAAGCATGCTCAACGCGCAATGAGGAAATAGTTATATACACAGTGAACAGAGAGTCTAATTCTTATAGCATTCCCAAAGTAAGTGGGTCTTCGGCTGTCTAGTCAACGTTTCACAGTTTCGGATATTTCAGAGATAAATCATTCCAAAATTTAGGGGCAACTGCACTTAAACTGTTTCAATATCGACTGTGGAACGACAAGAGTGTTCTGATTATAAAATTTCAAAGATCAATTTGGCTGATATAGTGTTGGTAGTTCAGATAAATAGTTGGCTGCATGATTTCGCAGATGCTAGTATGTGAGGCACAGGGCCTTAAAGTTGACGCGAGCAGGAATTTGGAGCTCTTGTTAATTGTTTGTAGCTTTAAAACAAATTTTTATACAACCAGATTTTCATGTGGACACTCTACTGGTCACAATTATTATCCGTTCCTTTCGATATTGGCATGTATCGGATTGAAACTTCATGGATTATGGCCCCTGTTTGTACGAAAAATCATGTTTTTAGCTTGTGGACACTATAGATGTTACAATTTTTATCCGCTTATGTTGAAACTTGAAATGTAAGTTGATAATCCAAAGATCTCGGTTCCTTTCGATATTGTTGAAACTTGAAATGTAAGTTTATAACCCAAAAATCTTGGTTCCTTTCGATATTCGCGCATATCGGACTGTAACTTCCTGAATTATGGCCCCTGATTGTACGAAAAATCGCATTTTTAGCTTTTGGACCCTATAGAAGTCATAATTTTTATCCGATTTAAAAAAACATATTATTATATCACCGTTACACCCTAAATCGGCCCAAAATTGACAGACAAAATGGCCGCCGTTCGTTCTCAAATAGCGCAAAAATATGGTATATCAAGGTTGTGGACCCTATAGAGGTCACAATTTTTATCCGATTTTGTTGAAACTTGAAATGTAAGTTTATAACCCAAAGATCTCTGTTCTTGTCAAAATTCGCGCATATCGGACCGTAACTTCCTGAATTATGACCCCTGATTGTACGAAAAATCACTTTCTTTTTAGCTTGTTCTCTATCCATCTCTTGAAAATGTGGGTGTTAATGCCTGGCAGCCGCTGGTTAGCTTGTGGACCCTATAGAGGTCATAATTTTTATCCGATTCAAAAAAACGTATTATTATATCACCGTTACACCCTAAGGACGACTGAGTTCGAATTTCGTGAAAATCGGCCCAAAATTGACAGACAAAATGGCAGCCGTTCATTCTCAAATAGCGTAAAAATATGGTATATCAAGTTTGTGGACCCTAAATAGGTCACAATTTTTATTCAATTTTCTTGAAACTTGAAATGTATGTTTATAACCCAAAGATCTCGGTTTCTTTCGATATTTGCGCATATCGAATTGTAATTTCCTCAATTATGGCCCTTGATTGTAGGAAAAATCACTTTCTTTTTAGCTTGTTCTCTATCCATCTCTTGAAAATGTGGGCGTATCCTGCCTGGCAGCCGTTGGTTCTAAATGTGGTGCTTTTCAGATGTGAATAAATCAATGTATGAAATATTTTATGAAGAAATTGTAGATATAAGATAATGATTTAAAAACTGATTGGTAAAAATAACCGTAATGGTAAAAAATGATTTACTATTTTAAATTTCAGTGCCTATCTTTACCTGATGGAAAGTATATTGTACCAACTAGAGTAAGTAAGATTTCTATTAAAATGGCTTTCTAATTTAGCTAGAATGTTCAAACTTGGTGTAGGTGTTTATTAGGTCAATGCCTTGATGGAGTTCGAAGATGAGCATTTTCTGCTTAGGGTAATTTGATTGGTTGATGCTTTGGGACATGATAACATTAGTTCTAATTAAGTGAGAGTGATGAAACTCGGTGTATAATTTCATTACGTCAATACCTTGACTAAGTTCGATAATGAGCATTTTCTGCTAGAACGATGAGCAATTTGATTGGCCGAGACTTTGGAACACAATAACTCTCCTGCTAATTGAGCTAGAATGTTCAAACTTGGTGTAGGTGTTTATTAGGTCAGTGTCTAGATGGAGTTCGAGGATCAGCATTTGCTGATTGGTCGATACTTTGGAACACAAAAACTTTCATGCTAATTGAGCTACAATGTTCACACTTGGCGTAGGTGCATGTTAGCTGAAAGCCTTGATGGAGTTCAAAGATGAGAATTTTCTGCTAAGGGTAAGCAGAGCTAAGCAATTGGATTGGTTGATGCTTTGGGACATAACTTTAGTTCTAATTAATTGAGAGTTAAGCTTGGCGCAGACGGTCAACTTTTCGTCGCTTGTTGCTGCAATAGGCAACTACTGGCAACTCCGAGCAATTGGCAACTCGAGGTCTCCCGTGTGCGCTGACTGGCAACGAGAAGCAATTTTTCCCCGGATGTATCCGGAATGCCGATATCACGTGATCATTCAAAATGGCGCCTTGAAATATCACATGACAGTAGAGCGCTCGCTGATTGGACAGTTAACCAGTTGCTTGTTGCCTGTTGTTGCCTACCGCCGCAGACGAGCAATTTTGAAGCAACAGATGAACAATTTCTCGGCGACGGGCGATTTTCTGTTGTCGAATATCAAACATGTTTGATATTTGGCAACGAGAAGCAACTCGGAGCAACAGCAGGTAACTATTGTTGCCCGTTGGCGCAGACGAATTTTCTGCTTAGGCTAAGAAGCGATGAGCAATTTGATTGGTCAAGACTTTGGAACATAACAACTCTGGATTTGTTGCCTTCAATAATTGATTTATTATTATTTACTCACAGATTTAGTAAAATATGATATTCTTACTATTCTTATAATTTTAGTGTATCTCATCTACTTGTCGAGGAAAAATATTTACTTCACTGACATCATCACTTTATACAGAGACTATAGATTGGCAAAGTATAAGGTACAGACTATTTTTATACGCCCACATTTTCATGTGGACGTACAGTACACTTCAAGCGGAAGTTCTAAATTTCCCCGAGGTCCGACCTGGGCGGAAATGAAAAATCGCGGACGTCAGTCAATCAATCCGCTCTGGCCACGCTCAAAATTCCGCTCTAAAATTCCTCCGCGAATTTAAATAAACCGCCGACCTCCGCGATTATTTTAAACCGCCGCCCACCGCGAAATTTTAAAAAGTCGGACTTTCCACGCATGTACAGTCGGCACATCCATAGCTGGTTTCAAATGGGTTTATTTATCGTGCGATTCAACGGCAGTGATATCGTAGTCGAATATCGGCATGCCAAAAAAAAGATTGTTAATTTAACACGGTTAGACACGCAGATTTTACTGGCTTATATTGAAAGATAACAAAAATCAAACAGGCTTTTAAATAATAAAATTAACAGAATTATGGCTGTACCGTACATTACTTCATCAATATGTTCGACATTTTTAAGACTTGCATCGATCTTCTATTTCAAACTCATTCAAATTACGAAAATTTCAAAGTTTACACACGTAGATGCTGGTCTTACCGTTAGCGAAAGTTTTGTCCATCGAAATAGCCATTTCCATTCGGACAAATATGTCACACAATGCATTTTAAATTGATAAATCACACCCGAACAAGTAATATATGCCTTCATCTCCTGTTTTCAAGCACACATAGCCAGAAGTCACCGTCACCCTTGCTGAACACATGTATCAGTCGGATAATACCTTGATTTCGGCACCAAAGAGTCTGGGTCAATGCATACTGTCAGTCAAGATTCCTAATTAATTACGTGAATTCACACGTGTCATCAAAAGGAATTGATAATTGACTAAAATAGAAGCCCCTTTAACAACAAATTGTTACCATGTCGTATTCTTGTAAACAATACTTTCTATTAATTTTATTTACGATAAAACTCGGGATTTAAAAATGTGGATATAAAAGATAATTCAATTTTTGAATCTGTACAGACTTAAAGGTTAGCGTATGCGCCGTGTGAAAAGAATACTTATTTATCATATTCGCAGGTGACATATTCTGTTAAAATCATTCGTTGAACCGGTGGTGATATTTTTTTTAATTTGGCACAAAAACCATCCCTTATATCGCACCGTGCCCCTTTAAGTCGGACTTTCCATGCATGTACAGTCAGCACATCCGTACATGTAAATGTTTTAAAATAGCTAGGTTTATTTATAGTGCAATTGCACCGCAGTCATCATATCGTAGTCGAATATCAGCTAATACGGCATGCAAAAAAAGATTGTTAATTTAACACGGTTAGACACGCAGATTTTGCTGTCTTACATTGAAAATATAACAAATATCAAAAATTGGCAGGCTTTTATATAATATAATAAACAGAGTTATGGCTGTACGATTCATTACTTCATCAATATGTTCGACATTTTTAAGACATTCAAAATTTATACACATAGATGTTGGTCTTACCGTGGGCGAAAGGTTTTGTCCATTAAAATATCCATTCCCATTCTGACAAATAAGTTTCACAATGCATTGTAAATCGGTAAATCACACCTGAAGTATTATATCTTCGGATTTAAATCACAAATGAATTAAATGCACACCTCGCCAGAAGTCAACGTCAACCTTGACGCAAACATGTACATAATACCATGATGACCTATTCATTTCGGCACCAAAGAGTCTGAGTCAATGCATACTGTCAATCAAGTTTCCAAATTATGTGAATTCGCACGTGTCATCAAAGGGAATTGATAATTGACTATAATAGAAGCCCCTTTAACAACAAATTGTTACCATGTCGTAGTCTTGTAGACAATACTTTCATTCTGAATTGTCAGTAAGTAATCATTACCCAAAATAGTTGACTTCATTAATAAAGAATAATTACAATTGGGGCGCCAACAAACTGGATTTTCACACTAAATAGGTGCGGTTGTCACGGCTAAATTACTAACAGGCTACGATGAATTAGGGTTAGGTTAGGGTTCCGATATCTTTATTTAGGGTTAGGGTTGGGTTAGGGTTCATTAGTCCACCGATATCTATCATTAGGGTTGAGTTAGGTTTATTGATACCCACATTATAGTATTTCTTATAGCGGCGGACTAGTGAACCCCTGTCGGTGATAATATTTTTAATTTGGCACACAAATCATCCCTTATAACTAACGCATGCTTTTTTGTGAGGCAATTTCCTTTGTTCTGTTTGATGTTCACTCTTTGATCAGTTACTATTAATCTAAGTTCTGTCCGGACAAGATCCCAGTCATAAGATCTGGTTGTTAGGTGTTTTATTAAAGGTTCTTCGATATGTTCATTGATAATTATTGGAAAGAAACCGAACCGGATTATTATTTAGGATATTTATCGTCAACTGTATAAATACGGTAAGCAGTTTGTGTGTTGCATTTATAAGTTAAAGTATAAAAAGAAATATTTGAAGGGGCTATTTAAGACATGATATTTTTAAGCCTTATACCTGTAACTGAAACGATTTGACGTGTTGATCTGTTTTGCAGTGTGGGGAATGGGGAATCTGTAAAGTCAAATACGAAACTGAAATAAGTAAACAATCTTCCAGCTTCTATCCAATATGACTTTTAATTTTGGGTACATGTATATATTGAGCGTTGGGAGCCGAATCGTCATTTTAATTGAATTACCGTTAAAGGAGAAAATATTCCTTCCTAGCAATTTATGCTAATTCGTTTATTTCTACGAATATCGTTAAATTGTTGTTCATAATTAAAACGGATAATCAATCAGTATATAAAAAAACAGCATATTTTAAAACACCCACGTGCAAATCGCTGCCTTCTATATATGTTTATTGTCGTCCATTTTCAGACATTGTTATCAGAATTCACGAAACATGGTTTCATTGTCTGCTTGTCGGATCAACTAATGACATGGAAAATTGCTATGTGTCTGTGCTTTATGGTGTGATTCACGAATTAAATACCGATGTAGATGTACATTATAAATGAATAGAACATAACGGACATTTTAGGATATGAATACAATAATACATTGGTACACTTTAGTTAATAATCAAAACGGAATTTGAAAAGAGTATTATGAATATATATGAATTACCGGTGAACTAAAACGACTAATATACTCGTGATATCGTTCCATTAAATATTTGTTTCTTTCTAATAACGTTGTGGCAATATGGACTAAATTACTCTGACTATTTCAAATCACTATGGACTATAATCCGCCGCGAATTTGATATTTCCACCGACTATAATCCGCCGCGAATTTAATATTTTCGCGGGCGATAATCCACCGCGAATTTTATATTTTCGCGGGCTTTTTTCCGCCCAGACCGTCTCTAATTCCGCGGAGTGTATATGGGTAAAACACCGCGATTTTTGAGCGGAAAAAACGCCCACAAGGACTATTTTCATACTTCCGCCTGAAGCGTACTGTATATTGTCGTAGCCCCTGTCCGTCCGTCCACAATTGTTTGTGGACACTATACAGGTCACAATTCTTATCCGATTTCAACGAAACTTGATATATAGGTTTATCTCCTGAAGATCTCGGTTCCTTTCGATATTGGCATGTATCGGACCGTAACTTCATGGATTATGGGCCCTGATTGTACGGAAAATCACGTTTTTAGCTTGTGGACCCTATAGAGGTCACAATTTTTATACGCCCACATTTTCATGTGGACGTATTATTATGCCGTCGCCCCTGTCCATCCGTCCGTCCGTCCACAATTCACAATTCTTATCCGATTTTGACGAAACTTGAAATATAGGTTTATCCCCAAAAGATCTCGACTGCTTCCGATATTGACATGTATCGGATCGAAACTTCATGGATTATGGCCCCTGATTGTACGAAAAATCACGTTTTTAGATTGTGGACCCTATAGAGGTCACAATTTTTATCCGATTTTAAAAAAAACGTTTAAAAATACCACCGTTACACCCTAAGGATGGTTGAGTTCGAATTTTCATAAAAATCGGACCAAAACTGACAGACAAAATGGCCGCCCCTCGTACTCAAATAGCGTAAAAATATGGTATATGAATGTTGTGGACACTCTAGAGGTCACAATTTTCTTCTGATATTGATGAAACTTGAAATGTAAGTATAACTCAAAGATCTTTATTCCTTTCGATATTCGCGCATATCGGATCGTAACTTCCTGAATTGTGGCCCCTGATTGTATGAAAAATCGCATTTTTAGCTTCAGGTCCCTCTAGAGGTCACAATTATTATCTGATTTATAGAAACATTCAAATATGTCTCTGTTACACCGTAATTTAGGCTGAGTTTGAATTTTCGTGAAAATCGGACTAAAACTGCCAGACAAAATGGCCGCCCCTCGTGTGCAAATAATTTTGATCCGCTTTTGATGAAACTTGAAATACATGTTTATAACCCAAAGATATTGGTTCCTTTCGATATTCGTGCGTATCAGATCATAACTTCCTGAATTATGGCCCCTGATTGTACGAAAAATCGCTTTTTTAGCTTGTGATCCTTCTAGAGGTCACAATTATTATCCGATTTAAAAAAACGTTCGAATATATCACTTCGGATTTTAAAAACCGTTTAAATATATCACCATTCCACCAAAATGAATGTTGAATTCAAATATTGGGAAAATCAAAATGAAACTGCCCGACAAAATGTCCGCTCTTTGTACGCGAATTGTGTAAGAGTATGCAATACGAAGGTTGTGGACCCTGTAGAGGTCACAATTTTTATCCAATTTTGATGAAACTTACAACATATCTTTATATCCCAAAGATCTAGGTCCCTTTTGATATTTGCGCATTTCAGACCATAACTTTCTGGATTATTGCCCCTGATTGTACAAAAGATCCTGTTTGTTTTTAGCTTGTTCTCTATCCATCTCTTGCACGACCAATTTTTGTGTTTATCGTATACAGGCTGGAATTCTAAATGGAACATCTTGGAATTTGGCATATTTATTTCTTATACTGTAAGGATAGAAACTATTTATTTTGGTGCATGTCCCGACCCCCAGGGGTGTTGTACCCCATCCACTTTTTTGTTAACTTTTATCTGTAAATACTCTACAGGTTGCAATAATTAAAGATACATTATGGGAGATTTTAATAGAGAGTTGGCCATTCTTGCTATAACAGTTCAAAAATAGATGATGAAAGAAGAATATATTGAAAATTTAAGTCAAATTACTTTATTCTGAACAAAGTTATCACCATTGTAATTTTTGACTAGAAATAGGAGTCAACTTTCTCTTCACCGTCTCCGAGAATGGCCGATCGTTTGATTGACAGGCGTTAACTCCACCTACATAATCTCGATTATCAAGTAACGTTTTCAATGGCCGTGGTACCGTTAGCCTATCCGGTTTGAGACGGGGTTGCAATTCAATTCATATCACATTTATTTTTACTACAAATTAAAAGTAAGGCTTTTAATATATAGATAAGAAGCGAAAGTTTGAAAGGAATGGACCAAATCAATGAGGCATAATTATAGCCGACTTCTTGTTAGCCTGCGTGTACTCTTGTACTGTAGTAACTGGGGTAGGCCTACGTAACTCCTGAAGCAGACAAATAAGAAACAGTGATCCAAAGGGGCTGCAATTCAATTGGGATGATGTTAGCTGCGATGTTTATCAATTTCCATAATTTTTCTGTAAGCGCAAGTGACATAAGAGCGCTAATACCGACATCTAAACTCTCATTTTAACCACAACTAAACATAATATCAAGGCCGTATATATCGAACTTTCAATCAAATTGATTGACATGCGGCCTCGCTCAACAGCGGCCTCGCTTCGTACACTCTATCATTTAGCCTCGCTCTAAAATTTCTGGGAGTATGACGTCAACGTAACAACTAATCTCCGCTTACGACGCCATTTGATAATTTAATCAATCAATGAAATCCTGTTTAAATCCCAGCTGAATCCAAGCCATCCGTGGGTCTACAGAGTTGATTTTGGGCTTGTTGTGTAAATAAAGATCTAATTTATAATTTCTATGACATCTGAAGCCTAAATAAAGACTTGCAATAATCAGATTTAGCTCTTGCATAATGTATGTTTAACAGATTTTGTTCAAATTCAGCATATCAATCATTTCAATAACATAGTGGTACCTATTTATATTGTTCCATATCCAACCCCCAGGGGCAGAGCCATGCCCAATTTTTGTGTTTATTGTCTACAGACTGCAATTCTGAATGGATTATCTTGGAACTTTGCACTTTGCACATTTATTCCTTATACCGTAAAGACAGCAACTATTTATCTTGGTGCATGCCCACTTTTTTGTTAATATTTAGTCTGTACATTTGGCAAAACAAACCCAACGCCTAGCCCTCTTGTCATATTACAGTCATTGCAGCCATTTCATATTTCATTCTCTTCATTATAAAAAGTACCATATCAATCAAAGCAGGAATGTGAACTTACATTGCAGCGTTAGCGATGCTCTTTTTATAATAGTAATAATGTATATTTGTAATGCGCTTTATTATCCATCCATCTCAAACTGCTTGTAATAGGGACAATATTATATCTAATGTACTTTTCTGGTCTTCAGAAATTTTATTCTACACCCCTAAAATATTTGTCCTTCTGTTTTCAGAATACAAGAAATAATGTGTGATGATCAAAAGGAATCAGGAAGAATACCACGCACTATAGATTGCGATTTAACTTATGATTTAGGTAAGTATGTTACCAATTGAAATCAGTGTCCAAAACAAACATTTTCCAAGCACAGGTTGCGTTTCTATGACAGTTCTACTATTTCCAGAATTGTCGTATGTTGACACTAACTATGCAAGACAACAAGGCAAGACCCGGGGGACCCGAGTGAAATAGTCAAGCAGGATTCCTCCTCGATAAATCAGTCAGCCTACGGACTGGCGTTTGTGTCAAACACTGATAAAAATATGAATACAAAGTGGCAACATATATCATTAAAAGGATATTTTTCATTTGCACTGTATGCAGGCCCCTGTATTTTTGCTATCCTTCTTCACTGATTACTTTAGCTTATTTTATTAAAGGGATTAGATTTACATGAAGTCAATACTTATATCTCGTATACAAATTGACAATTGGGATGAGTTGAATAAAAAGTAAAACTTTGCTTACAGACATTTGGTAGTTTGAGGAGCACTAGAAAGATCAAGTATGGTACACAACACTACTAATTGGGATAATAGTTTTATAACAAGGCATTTAAACTAACTATCAGTGTATCAGCACTGTGTAGCGGACAGCACCTTAAAAAGCAAGAAGCAATTTCCGAATGATTTAGTACTGGATTATGATAGGTTTTTAAAATGAATTCACAGAGTTCATAATACAATGTATACTGTTGTTTTAATAATTAATTTGATTATACAACTGATGTTATTCTTATAGTTGATAGTTGTGTACCTGGTGATATTGTAACTGTTACTGGTATAGTCAAGGTTAATAGTGTTGAAGAAAGTAAGTTTAATTATATACAATATATATCATCTTCTATATAAACAATCTGTATTTTTCATTTGTATATTGATGAAATGTTAATAAAATACAGATGGCACAGCTTTTTTTAGCTGTAAAAATGATAAATTTATCCACCTTTAGGCCAAACAAGAAAGCTATTAAGATAATCCTTCTATATAAATTGATGTGGTAGAGTTATATATATGAACCAGGATATCTCTTTATTTGCCATTAATACATGTTTTCAATGATTTTGTTTTATGTTATTATAGATCGAAGCCGTACTAAAGACAAATGTATGTTTTTATTATATCTACATGTTAATAGTGTAAGTAATCTGAAGGGTAATAATAAAGCAGCAGGAGAAAGTACTACTGGACTTGCTATGGATTTTAGTATGAAAGAACTATATGCTATAGAAGAAATACAAAGTGAAGAAAAGTTATTCAGATTATTAATAGGGTAATTACAATACAATAAATGATACAATTTAATTCTAACCTTCCCCCCACCACCACCAAAAGCTAACCTTCCCCCCACCACCACCAAAAGCGAGTTCAGAAACTGTTATATAATGTTTGGCTATGTTAATTGTATACCGTATTCCTGACACAATGGCCGAGAAATCCCTCTCTAGCCATTGCTATTCTTACACTGAAAACTTGAGTTTTTGTCGGAGTGTGTCATCGTCCGTTCAAACCTCTCCTGAGTACAGTAATATAAAAGGAATTTTCATGACTGCCACTTAACGGGAGTGACCTCTTTAAAAAAAAAAATCCTAGTGTTTGTCGGAGCTGATTTCAAGAAATTTTTACGCTTTCCTTGGATGCATCGGGAGCAAACATCGATAAATTTGGCCGTGGCTGAAACTCGCTATTGGTACGAAAATTCTTTGACTAAAATCTCTGATATAAATTCTATAAACGTGTCTGTTTATAACTCAATAATATTTATCTATTTTTGTGAAGAAAATCCATGAATTATTTATTTTATCAAAATCTTGTATTGCAATTCAGTTTAAAACACAATACGCAACATGACAGTCCTTCTCTTTGATCTGCTGTGTAGTCCAAGAAATGATAATAAGATTCCATGTGCGCGGCGATTACCCAATGATGACATTGTAGCTATTTTGGATAGCCTTGTTTATCACACTAGTTAATTGAGCATAATACATTTCGCACGTTATGACGTAATGTAGCCACGATTGTCACCAGTGACCAGACACTTAACAGAAACATATTTAGAGCTGGTTAATCCTGATTGAATTCGTTACGTGTAGTAATGTATTGGTTGTTGATCAGACTGTTGAACCAATCATAATTTAGGACAGAAATTTGTGGCGAATACGGCAGTGCTTGAGTTGGATTAGGTCTAATCGACCAAAAACCTTCCGAGGAGTATGATTGTATACATATGTAAACAATAATGGAATCGGATTTAATGTTCTGTCAATATAATACAGTTATTTTAAGATAAACGTATGGCTAATTTTTATACGCCCACATTGAAATGTGGTCGTATATTGTAGTCGGCCTCGTCTGTCCGGCCTGCGGCCGATTTTGATGAAAATTGAAATACATGTTTATACCACAAAGGACTTGGTTCCTTTCAATAATTGGGTATATCCGAAAATAACTTCCTGGATTATGGCCCCTGATTGTTAGAAAAATCACATTTTTAGCCTGTGGACCCGCTAAATTTTAAAAAAAAAATCAATGAAGGTTGAGTTTGGATTTCGTTCAAATCTGACCCAAACTGATTTACAAATAGGCCACTCCTTGTAGTCCGTCACTCCGACTAAAGTTAATGTCTGATTGACTTTGAATTTATACACAGTGTTTAAGGTCATGAGACGAAGAAGCCTATTGATTTTCAGCGCATACCGATAATTACTGACAGAGTTATGGCCCTTGATCACTTCAAAATATCTTGTGGATGCTCTAGAGGCTAAAGATAATATCCGATTGACTTTAAATTTTTACACAGTGTTAAAGGTCATGAGACGAAGATGCCTATTGATTTTCAGTTATTTCCGATAATTACTGCCAGAGTTACCGAGCTATGGCCCTTGATCACTTCAAAAAATCTTGTGAACGCTCTAGAGGCTAAAGTTGATATCCAATTGACTTTAAATTTATACAGTGTTTAAGGTCATGAGACAAAGAAGCCTATTGATTTTCAGCAGTTGCAGATAATTACTGACAGACGTATGGCCCTTGATCACTTTGAAAATTTTTTATGATTTGAACAGCTAAATCCATGATATTAAAAGTTTTATATACTAAATGTTTGCATGGGGCAGAACTGATAATTACTTCATGAGTTGTTACTCTTAATCAGATTTTAGTGTATTATAAATGTTTCATTACCGAAAAAAGTAAAAATATGCGACAACACTTGTTGACCGCCCGGACGATTTAGCTGCTGTGGGCGTATGTTTCGTTGCCTGGCCACTTATCTTTATTTCTATGGTTATGTAGAGAAGTTTACCTGGATAGTGGCGATTTGAACTACTCTTCTGCGATTTCAAACTTTCAGGGGTCTTTTGGCATGCACTCCAGACGTCACTCACGGTCTCTGTGTATGCTGATGGATGGACTCTGGTTTTTAGTCCCTTCTGCAATCTGCATGACTGGACACACTTTATAGGTCAACACCACCACACCTGACAAATGAGTGCCAAAGTTGGAAAATCTGAAAGGGTTTTCCTCTTGACTAGACATTCTAGTTGGGTGTCCAGTAACCCTGACCCTATGTAAATAAAGATTTATTAAGGTCTGTTTTATTTTATATGCTTCAGCTCAATCTGTCCATCCATTTATGGTCATGAGGTAAGGGTTTATTGATATCAAATTCTGTTTTATTATTAAAATAAAATGTAATGATCCCTAATGAAATATACCAACCTTATGTTTATGTGTATATTTTTTGTGATACATGTTGTATATATGTATATATATATATTATGAATTTGGCGCAGTGATTTAGAGTATAGGTTTGAGACTCAAATTGAGTATCAAGTTCTTGTGCACTTAAATCAGATCCCAATATTGGAGTCTACCCAGTTTTATATGGATACTGATAGGATGGTGTATATAGTCATGGTACACAAATAAATTGTTGTGCTCTTTGGTTGTGGCGTAGAGCGAGGTAATCAGGTTTGAGACTGGGATTGGAATTGTATCACGCATTGAGCATAGCTCTAAGTGGTGGGATATTATAAACACATTATTGTTATTGTTTTAATTTAGATGGTGAAAGCTGGATTAGTATTAACATTATTTGGTGGTACCAACAAGTATACCAATGATAAAGTAAGTTGAATATAGAATATTTTGTAACTAAATGAACTTAGTGGATTCAGAGCTTAAACTAATACATAGGACACTCAGGGTGTGACAATGTAAGATATGTCGTTTTATATAGGAAACTTAAGATACTGTGGCTCAGCGAGTAAGGAGCTGGCTCATTTACCAGGACTTCCACCAAAGAGAGTCTAATCCTGTGTACACGTTCAATGTGCACGTAAAAGAACCTTAAAAGTTTGAATTTGAAGGAGAGTAGGAGGAACTGTCCAGACAAAATTTCTGTCATAGCACACTGCATGGCGTATGCCTGTCTTCTCTGGCCCCTCTTGTTGAAGGAAAGTCAGACGTTTAATCCCATTTCGTTTCATTTTATTTCCAAGAAATGTCACTTCTGGGAAAATTTGCCCAATGTGCATTTTATGGCCTTAGAATTATAATAATTAATTGTCCCCCGCCTTTTGAAATGGGTCTGCTGTCCGTCTGTCTGTCACACTTTTTTTGACACAATAACTCTCCTTCTAATTGAACTACAATGTTCAAACTTGGTATAGGTGTTTATTAGGTCAATGCCTTAATGCAGTTCGAAGATGAGCATTTTCTGCTCAGGGTAAGCAGAGATAAGCAATTTAATTGGTTGATGCTTTGGGACACAATAACTTTAGTGCTAATTAAGTGAGAGTGATGAAACTTGGTATGTAAGGGTTATCGACTGAGACAGGTGTTCAAGGTCGATAGGGGGGTTTGGATGGCTGAATGGTTAGCGTGTGCGCGCTGTATCATAAAGTCTGTCATTGAGTCGACTGGCGTGGTTTCGAATCCCCGGTTGTACGTGGCAAGGAGAAGGGTCGCCTGTCCAACCTCGTGGGTTTTTCTCCGGGTCCTCCAGTTTCCTCCCACTGCTAAAGACCCCTACGCGCAAGCGAATTATGTAAATAAAATTAAACCATATGTTAGTCCCGAAATGACCTAGTTTGTGTCGAGTGAACGTTAAACCCCATTTCTCTCTCTCTCTCTCTCTCAAGGTCGATAACTGACTTACACACTGGATTCTTTATTTATGTAAGAAGTTGAATGAGTGAATGAAAATGGACAGATACAAGAGACGCAAGTTTATTACTGGCCCTTATTACACGAAATCGTTTTACCAATTGGTATCAATACATATTTTTGCACGTCATATTTTGTTGTTTAATCAGCAGATTGGTGAGTGTGTCAATAACCTGAATATGTGTATACCTGTTTATTTACGATACATACAAATACAATTTTAAGAAATTGGGATTGCTATATGGATAAATGTATTTTAAGCTTATTTGCTGGTTTCAGGTTTTCAACACTTTTTTTATACGCCAACATGTCATATATTGTCGTGCCCGTCGGGTTGCCACGCTCTGGAGGCTAAACAATTATGTTCATGAGACAGAGAATCCTATTTATTTTCAATGATTTTCGATAATGACTTCCAGATTTATGACCCTTGATATTTAATGTTTTGAGTACTCAACATTAGTATAGGGCAGAACTAGAAGCCAGACAAGTATGACAATTACTTATGGGTTGTTGTTCGTAATTATATTTTAGTGTGTTGTAAATATTTTCCTTACCGACAAGGGTGGTTCAATGGTCAAATGGTTAGAGCGTTCGCGTTGTATCATAAGGTCTGTCTTTGTGTCAACTGACGTGGTTTCGATTCCCCAGTTGTATGTGACAAGGAGTAGGGTCGCCTGTCCAACCTCATGGGTTTTCTCCGGGTCCTCCCGCTGCTAAAGACCCCTACGCTCAAGCAAATTATTGAAATAGAATTGAACCATATGTTAGTCCCGAAATGACCTAGTTTGTGGATGTTAAACCCCATATATTTATTTGATGTGAAGGGGGTATTCTGCATTAACTGGAATACATTTTACATTTACAATTCGTCAGCCACAGAACAAACTAACCTTGTGCGAAAAAAAAAAAATGCATATGCGATGATGTGGGGATGGTATTTTACAAGATTATAATTATCTAAAAAATGGCCAAACAGAAATTTATCCCAGTTTACTAGGTTTTGTTTATTTGTTCCTTATACTATTAGATGAGTTTTCTAGCTGTGCACGTGCTAAAAGTAAAACAACACATTACAGGTTGATCAGTAACACACGGGTCAGAACAAAGGGTTCAGTGTATAAATAGTTTTATTACATCAATACCTTGACTAAGTTCGATAATGAGCATTTTCTTCGTAGGGTAAGCAGAGTAATAAGCAATTTGATTGGTCGAGACTTTGGAACACAATAACTCTCCTTCTAATTGAGGTAGAATGGTCAAATTTTAGTTCTAATTAAGTAAGACTGATAAAACTTGGTGTATAGTTTCATTACATCAATACCATGACTAAGTTCGATAATGAGCATATTCTGCTTAGTCTAAGTAGTGATAAGCAATCTGATTGGTCAAGACTTTGGAACATATCAACTCTGCTTTTAATTGAGGTAGATGTTTAAATTTGATGTAGATGTTCATTAGGTGAATGTCTTGACTGAAATGATTGGTCGATGCTTTGGTACAACCAGGTACTTCAAAAATTTGACTGAGTTTGATTGTGAACATTTGATGCTCAAATACTTTTGAAAAAGATAAATGTGCAATAAATCAATATGTGTCATCTATTTATTTTGGGATATCAGCCTCACTGTTGGCTTGTTGAGTCATACTATGGTATTAAATCTACATGTACTTTCAGAATAGAATACCTGTACGTGGTGATCCTCATATTCTGATTGTAGGAGATCCTGGTCTAGGTAAAAGTCAGGTACAGTTTACACTTATATTTCAATATAAATAAAATTGTCTGGTGTAATTGATCTGAAAGTGTGTTTGTTAAAATTATAAAAATTAGTTAAAGATACTTTCCCTGCGTGCAAACAGTGTGATTTGATGATATATTTGTTCTAAAAACATATTCAAACTAATTAATCTATAAAGCTATAAATAAACTATTGTTAGAAGCCATGCTTGTCACCTAACTTCATTGAGAGGGGATCACGTGGCTAAGTGGGTAAGACGCTGGCTCGCTAGCCTGGAGGTCGGGTTTTCGATCCCTGCATTGGCCGAGAAAGTTCATCCAGATTTTCCGGCGTTGTTTCCCCTTGTCAGTGATGCAGGACGGAGGGCCTGACAAGGACAGCTTTCTAGTCCTTTCGGATGAGACGAAAAACCGAGGTCCTGTGTATATATTGGAATGCACGTAAAAGATCCCCTGGCATTCGATATAAGAGTAGGCGATAGTGCCACTGCCTGGGCAAAATTTCCCTCATAGCACACTGTATGGCGTATGCCTGTCTTCATTAGCCCAGTATAGGAGCAGAACAGTAGGACGTTAAACCCCATTTTATTTCATTTCATTGAGGGAGGGTCCATTTTGGGGCCTAAGTAAATTCTTAATTATTTTTTATCAACTTCTTTTTACAACATTGCATTGCAGAGTTTTTTGTATGTTGACACCCCTCAATGTTCCCAAAACTGCCTAACCATTTGCTCAAGAAATCACAACCGCTCCTTAGTCAAGCCAGCAGACAAAAAGCTGGCAGACAACAATCGGGTTGCCAGTTAGTGATACCTTGACATTTTTGCCCAGTGCTTGCCCCATGGGTGTTTTTCGGGTAATCCCGTATTTTTCTAGTAAGATTGGGCATCTATATTTTCCATATATACCAAATTTGCCATACTTTTATTGGACATATCCTCCACCTGATAAATACTTTTGGGACAATGTATCTTTTTTTAACCTAGAAATATTTTTATTCATTAAAGACAAATTGTAGTACAGTAGACATCTAGCACTACACTATTTTTATAGAAGATGATTTCTTAGTAAATCTTTAACATTTACGAATTTTCATCTGGTAGTTGAAGACATTGTTTATCAGATAGCACTTCAAAATTGTTGAATATCAAAACTTTAAAAAATATTCTAAAGTTTCTAAAATCTTTAATTTTTTACAATATCAAAATTTTACTTAAAGATACATTATGGGAGATAAGATAAAGAGATGGCAGTTCTCGCTATAATAGTTAAAAACTAGATAGTGCAAAGGTAATTTGCTGAAAATTTCAGTCAAATTGATCCACTATGAGCCGAGAAAGAAGCGAGTGAAATTTTTGCCTAGTCTCGATTATCATTACTATAATCATTAATATAAACAGCATAGTCTCGATTATCCACTTTTTCTGATTTAATTATCTTTGGCCGTTAGCGGCATATAGGAATCTAATCCAGCCTACATCGAAGGCTAGCCTTGACATCGAGAGTTTATTATGGTCTGGATAAGTTAATTAATGTCTAATTGATAATTTAGATAACATTTCAGGCCTAAAGAAAGACTTGTAATAAGCAGATTTTGCTCTTGCATAATGCATGTTTAATGAAATAGTGAAAATAATATGTCATTGAATAGCTTGATGATGATAGTGCAGGTTATTGTTGATTCCTCAAAAGGTAACATAAAAAAATTGAGCAAGCTCAAGTGTAGGTGATTTGTTGTGAAAGCCATATTCAGTTCTAATAAGAGATCTAGTCTGTATTGTATTTTGTGTATAGTTTGACTACTTGGTTGTTATTATGAAAGCGTTTATTGTTTTAGATGTTACAAGCTGTATCTAATGTAGCACCTAGAAGTGTATATGTTTGTGGTAATACAACAACTACATCAGGATTAACAGTAAGTATGTTATTTACATTTATCAGTTTTCCTATAATTTTGTTACATTATTTTTCTTTTAATTTGAAGCAGAAACAGATATTGGAATTTATTTAATATTTTTAATATAAAAGCAATAAATAATCTTAATTTGTTACCTATATACCAAGTAATGATTAAAGCATCCGACTGCCCCCTAGCCAAGTACAATATCCATCATGCTACTACTTCTCACTAATGGTGTGATCGGTGTAATTTTGGATGCAAAAGCTCCTGGTTAAAAGATAACCTGGAGGAAAATGACATCAAATATTTGAATTTAGATGCAAATGTAAAAAACACCAACAAATGATTTGTCAATTAGAGTTCAATTTAAATGGAGAAGTTGTGGTAAGTATATAGTGCATGTGCACCAATCAGTCACTAATGATAGAGTGATAGTTAAGACTTGTATTCCAGAAATAATAATAAAATAGTACTTGTATTTTAGGTTACTTTAAGTAAAGATGGTGGATCTGGTGATTATGCTTTAGAAGCAGGTGCGCTAGTATTAGCTGATCAAGGTTCTTGTTGTATTGATGAGTTTGATAAAATGTCCTCTCAACATCAAGCTTTACTAGAAGCTATGGTATGTCACATTTATACTATATAATTTTACACATGTGAAAGAAATGATTAAACACATTCGAAAAATAATTTTAACATATATACTCTTCCAAAAAAGTAGGGGATATTCAGAAACAATACAAAACTATTCGCATGTGCAGCTCAGTGGTTCTGGTGGAGCGATAAGTTCTTCATCTGTAAACATACTCTCAAAGCATGTCAAGTGTCCATAACTATCATATCACAACCTGCATAGGTATTTGCATTTCAATATCCCCTACTTTTTTCAAGAGTATATATCTTAAATTAGAGAACAATAATGGATCAACAGCAGTAAAGATCTGTGTGTAAAAATTATATTTAGAAAGTGTTTAACCAATTCTTTCACACCAGCAACCAAAAACTGATATGAATACCACAGCACTAAAAACAGAGTTTAAAAATTTTAAATCCTTTTTTTTTTTTTAGCATATTAAGTCTGAAAATTTCATTTAAATTCAAATATATGGTGTGAAATGCAGTCTGTTTTGTAATATTTTATATTTTTAGGAACAACAAAGTATTAGTATTGCCAAAGCTGGTATTGTTTGCAGGTAGTTATTTGTTAAACACTATCTGGAAAATATAAATATAAAGTAACTTTTCAAGGCCCCCTCCAGATAAATACAGTTATAAAGATCATCATCATAATCCACTAATATAGTATTAGTACAGTTCATAAAATATGAATTAAAAAAAGAATGTCCATGCCCACAGCTTGATGATAAATATGTCTAAATGTATATCACAAATATAATGTTAATATGAAACTTTGTCATGGAATAGATTTTTTATGCACAAAAGATGCTTGAGAATGTTTATTTGTTTAATTTATCAAAGAATCAATATGTACAAAGTTTAATCTATTATGAGTCTACATTATATAGTCTTCCAGCTCGTACATCTATAATAGCAGCTGCTAATCCAGTTGGTGGTCATTACAATAAAGGGAAAACTGTTTCCGAGAACCTCAAGTAAGTTATACCAGTACTCCAAATTATGAAATACTTCATTTCTACGCCAATCTGATTAAAACACAGATTTTATTTTGTTTCATTTTTTATAGTTCAAAATTTTATTTTACTTGTCTTCACAACCCTAGGATTTGGAAGATTTGTTATATTTATATAACAGGCGTTCTAGTTGATGTGAGGAATTAGTCAATGAAAAGGTCTGTTACGGCAAGTTCTTGGCATGCTCTGCACGGAACTGAGGGTAAACCCCTAGAAACGTCAACACTGATTGATTAATCAATGTCTGACATCATAGGGTCAAAAGCCGCTAGTATGACCCCTGACATGGCCTCCCAGTGCAACTGGTCAGATCTTCATGTAGTGTAGGCCATCGAAAGTATAAAAAAAAACGAAACGAAATATAGATCTGTATTTTAAGCAGATTGTTTCTACGCATCGTTGATTTCATAATTGTTTATAATTTGGTATGTCTATAATAAAAACTGTATATGATTACAATGATTTTCACTTGTTGCATATAAATTAAATTTGATGTGAAAACTTAATTCTTTGTCTAATTCTCTGGAAAATATTGGTCTTTTTTATACGCCAACATTTTCATGTGGACGTATATTGTCGTCGCCCCTGTCCGTCCGTCCGTCACAATTGTTTGTGGACACTCTACAGGTCACAATTCTTATCCGATTTCAACGAAACTTGAAATATAGGTTTATCTCCCTAAGATCTTGGTTCTTTTCGATATTGGCATGTATCAGACCCTATCATGGATTATGGCCCCTGATTGTACGAAAAATCAAGTTTTTAGCTTGTGGACCCTATAGAGGTCACAATTTTTATCTGATTTTGTTGAAACTTGAAATGTAAGTTTATAACCCAAAGATCTCGATTCCTTTCGATATTTGCGCATATCGAACCGTAACTTCCTGAATTATGTCCCCTGATTGTACGGAAAATCGCATTTTTAGCTTGTGGACCCTATAGAGGTTATAATTTTTATCCGATTTCAAAAACCGTTTGAATATATCACCATTACACCCTAAGGATGGTTGAATTCGAATTTCGTAAAAATCGGACCAAAACTGACAGACAAAATGGCTGCCTCTCGTACTCAACAAATAGCGTAAAAATATGGTATATGAATGTTGTGTACCCTCTAGAGGTCACAATTTTCTTCTGATTTTGATGAAACTTGAAATGTAAGTTTATAACCCGAAGATCTTGGTTCCTTTCGATATTCGCGCTTAGCTTGAGGTTCCTCTAGAGGTCACAATTATTATCCGATCTAAAAAAATGTTTTAATATATCACCTTTACACCCTAAGGATGGTTGAGTTCGAATTTCGTAAAAAATCAGACCAAAAATGGCCGCCCCTCATACTCAAATAGCGTAAAAATATAGTATATGAATGTTGTGGACCCTCTAGAGGTCACAATTTTCTCTGCTTTTGATGAAACTTGAAATGTAAGTTTATAACACAAAGATCTTGGTTCCTTTCGATATTCGCGCAGATCGGATCATAACTTTCTGAATTATGACCCCTGATAGTATGAAAAATCGCATTTTTAGCTTCAGGTCTCTCTAGAGGTCACAATTATTATCCGATTTATAAAAACGTTCAAATATATCTCCGTTACACCATAATTTTGTCTGAGTTCGAATTTCGTGAAAATCGGACTAAAATGCTGGACAAAATGGCCCCCCTCGTACGCAAATAGTGAATAACATCTGGTATATCAAAGTTATGGACCCTCTAGAAGTCACAATTTTGATCCGATTTTGATGAAACTTGAAATACATGTTTATAACCCAAAGATATTGATTCCTTTCGATATTCGCGCGTAACGGATTATAACTTCCTGAATTATGGCCCCTGATTGTACGAAAAATGACGTTTTTAGCTTGTGATCCTTCTTGAGGTCACAATTATTATCCGATTTAAAAAAAAAACGGTCGAATATATCACCGTTACACCATAATTTTGATTGAGTTCAGATTTTAAAAAATGTTTAAATATATCACCATTCCACCATAATGAAATTTGAATTTCGGGAAAATCGAAATGAAACTGCCCGACAAAATGTCCGATCTTTGTATGCAAATTGGGTAAAAGTAGGCAATACAAAGGTTGTGGACCCTCTAGAGGTCACAATTTTTATCCGATTTTGATGTAACTTAAAACATATATCTTTATATCCTAAAAATCTCAGTCCCTTTTGATATTTGCGCATTTCAGGTCAGATCATAACTGTCCGGATTATTGCCCCTGATTGTACAAAAAATCCTGTTTGTTTTTAGCTTGTTCTCTATCCATCTCTTGCAAAATGTGGGCGTATTCTGCCTGGCAGCCGCTGATTTAACTTTTATTTTCAGAATGGGCAGTGCATTATTATCAAGATTTGATTTAGTTTTTATACTGTTAGATAATCCAGATGAGGTATATTAATTAATGACAAAGACATTATTTTGATCTTATAAAACTAAATGTAAAAGACAATAAATGTATGAATTTTATTGATAATTTGTTAAAAAAAATTATTTATTGTGACCAGTGTAATGTAGTCTGCTACACAATTTATTTGTTTCAGTTTGAATTTCATTTTTTGAACTATCCTGCTTCGAGAGTATAGACTTTATAAAAGTCATTGAATAATGTATTCATTTTAATTTATTTGAACAGGAATTGGATGGTATGTTATCAGAACATGTCATGTCTTTACATGCGGGAAGAAAGATGTAGGTATAACAGTACATTATAAAAAAAAGAAGAGAATTACCGTGTTTTAAATTAGCTGGGAAAAATTAGCATAAATAATTTGAAATATCTTGTGCTCACTCTAGAGGCTAAAGTTATATGATTAATTCGAAGTTTATAAACAGTACTGTGTCTGTGTTTATGGTCCTAGATTGCTTTTATATCGCTAATGACTAGGAAGAACAAGCAGTCAAACAAATTTGTTCTTGATTAGTATTTAGTCAAATACCTAAGCTGCTTTTGGTATATCTTTCAAAACAAAATCTAGGTTTTTTCCCGCGAAGGCGCAGTTATTGACCGTAACGGATTAAAAAAGGTCGTTTTCGACGACTTCGCGGGAATCCAGTCCTAAGGATTACAATCAGATAAGAAATAAAAAACATAACTATACTATAATATAACAAAAATTAATTTAATTTCGTCAAATAAATAAAAAACATAACTATACTATAACAAAAATTAATTTAACTTCGCCAATAAAAACAACTTTAATATAACAAAAATTAGTTCAATTTCGCCAAATACGACACCCTGTCTAAATACTCGACTAATGTCAATTCATCTTGCTGGTGTCTTCGTTTCAATTCCTCGAGCTGGCTTTGAATTTGAGCATATTTATATCTTTTCTTTGGTGGTTCCTGTCCCCCAGCATATTGGACGATTCTTATGTCGTTTACTGTTATCGCTGTAGTATTACAATTCTTGGTGCTGCATTTCCAAATAGTAGTTTCATCTATTTTTCGTTTACTTACACGGTACATATAACCACCTGAGCAAAGATTACGTCCTCCGCGATTTGTAGGTACAAAGCTGAATTCAAGTTGTGCGTTTGCCATTGTAGAATATTATCTGAATGTCGGATAGTGTAACGGGATTTTATATCTTTAAATATGACACTGATTGTGTGAGTGAGCGAATAGGTGAACACTACTTGGGTGATTTGATGATATTCATCATTAGTTGTCAATTGGTGAATAAAATTCAGAGTGAACATAAATTCATAAAATCTTTAACACCGTTAATTGGGTCCTAATAACAACATGTCTCTCTTCAAACAAAAGCTGACACGTCGATATCTGCGCCTTCGCGGGAAGGATTAATTTTGGTCACGCTCTGTAACTGCATCTTTGCGGGAATACACCAAAATCTAATATGTTGTTTTTATTTTTTTAGATGTTTTACAACGTGGCATTAATTAACTATCAATTAATTATCTCTTCTTCAGACCACCAATGAAAGTTTCTGTTCATAGAGATGTAAGTTTTTAATTTAAAAGTTTGATGGTGAGCATCTCCTGTTTCGATAGATAAGCAGTTTGATTGTTCAGTGTTTTACAATGTACAAGTAATTAAAGAGTGGCATCTATTTATTTTGGGATTGAGGCAGATGACATCAACCACACTGTTGCAAGAATTAAAAGATCCTATAAGGCCAGTAGATGTAATAAATCATATTTCTTGACTTAGAAATTCATCTCTGTCTGGCACTAATACTGGCAATAGTTATAATAGCAGTCGGTACTGTTACCTTCTTTCCAGTTACAAGAAATGGATGAATCTAGATTACAGTGGGAAGCTGACCGACCACTCAGTGAAAAACTTAAAATTCCTAAAACTGAGACATTTGATCCTATACCAAACCAGTTGCTCAGAAAGGTACATTTACAATTAAATATTTTTTATTTTAGTAAAGGAGTACAGGAGTTAACGATTTGTATATCATACATAAGTCTTTCAAATTTTCAACTGTAAGCTTACATGATCATGTAAATCAATTATTTGATATAAGTAAACAGTACTGGAAGTAAAAATATGTTTAATATACTGGATTAAATATCCTCTTTTGTTTTCAGTATATTGGCTATGCAAGAAAATATGTTCACCCTAAAATTGGAACTGAAGCCTCAAAAGTTCTACAGGTATAAATTTATTTATTTTCGCCTTAAATCTCCATAAGACTATAGATAAGAGACAAGGAATACACTTGATAATATATATTATGGATATCTTGGATTTGGCAAATTTTGATAAATTTATGTCATTTTGTTTTTTTCTAGGACTTTTATCTGAACTTGCGAAAGCGTCATCAAAGTCAAGACAGTACACCTATAACAACTCGCCAATTGGAATCTTTGATACGATTAACAGAAGCTCGAGCTAGACTGGAACTTCGTGAGGAGGCCACAAAAACAGATGCAGTGGAAGTGGTTGAAGTAATGAAATACAGGTAGAAAAAATTCTCTATAAAGGATTTTAAGCATATTCTGTGACAAACATTCATTCATGCTTCTAGTCTGTTGGGAGGTGGGGGGATTTTTTTTATCAATATATATATATATATACAAGTGCAATTATGATCCCATCTTTCTGAAATTTATGTTGGTTGTCTATCCTGTTGAAAGAAAGAACTATTGATTTTAAACAATTTTTGTTTGTACTCAAGAGTTATTCACCATCCTTTCAAAACTTTGTTTGCACCTTTATTAACCTATTATTGTGAAATTTATATTTGGTTTCTGTCAGTCCAGTAGAAAAGAAGAATTCTATTTATTTTGAACGATTTTCGATAATAACTTCAAGTGTTATTCCTCTTTGTTATAGAGTCTTGTAATTTAGAGACTTTATTTAAATAAAACAGTTCACAAAGACCTTCAAGCCAATGCCTTTATTGAACAATTCAGTTTTTGTAATATTATATTACAGTATGTTTGAGACCTATTCAGATCAGTTTGGTTGTATAGATTTTCAACGATCTCAACATGGATCTGGTATGAGTGGCAGATCAAAGGTAAACAAATCTTAATCAATCTAAAATACATTGATATTATTATTTTTATAAAATTTTTATGACTTTTTAAACTTTATCCACCAAGTGTAATTGTTTCAGAAGTATTAATAGTATAAATTAATCTACTGTCCCCTACATATCTGTGTGCAGCCTGCCTGTCCATCACACTTTTTAGGAAACAATAATAGAGCTTGAATGCTCAAGCATGGTGTAGTTCATTAGGGGAATATCTTGACTGAGTTCAATGATGGGAATTTTCTGTTTTGACTTTACAGAGGTAAGCATTTTCATTGGTCAAGACTTTGGGACACAATAACTTTTTTCTAATAGAGGTAGAACACAACTTGGTTGAAAACCTGAAATACTGATAAGTGCTGGTTTAAATTAAATTCAGTTTAAAAAATATATCATTATTTTTCTGATGATTCACTAGAAATACTTCATCAGATTATACTCCAGTAGTATTTATACCTTACAGTATATTAGGTGTGTTTATGAAGGTGTAGATTTTTTTAAAATTAAAGATGCATTGTGTAACAGATAAATCTGCCTATTGCAGGTCTTTCTTTTGGCCTCAAATGCTACGTAAATTAATAATTAGACATTTATTAGCATGACAAAACTATAATCAACTCTTTAGACCATTGGATGCTGGCGATTTTCAATGGATTGAAACAAGATTGTCATTTAATATTTGAATTTAAAAATGGATAATCAAGACTTTCTTTACTAAAGTAACAATTTTAGCAATGACCATCAAGACTCTGCTATTCTCCGAATGAAGTAATTTTACTGAAATTCTCAATATATTCATTTTTTATTATTTATCTTAAAACTATTAAAGCGAGAACTGTCAAGTCTTTATCTAAATCTTACATTATGCATCTTTAAAGGGAGGTAACTGTGTTGTTTTATCCTTGGTGCAATATTATCTCCCCTTAGACCACATATTTCAATACAATTAATTTAACATGGATATTTCTATTATTTTAATATATTAGAGAAAGAAATGGGGTTGAACGTCCACTCGACACAAACTAGGTCATTTCGGGACTAACATATTTCCATAATTCGCTTGCGGATAGGGGTCTTTAGCAGTGGGAGGAAACCGGAGAAAACCGAAGTTGGACAGGCAACCCTACTCCTTTTAATATATTAGACATTTTATGTTGCAAATTTCATAACCTTCTATTATTTCTTTGTAGCCCAAGAAATTTATTGCTGCTTTACAACGAGTTGCCGAACAAACTTATAATTCTATATTTACTGTGGATCAAATGAGACAAATTTCTAAGGTAACTGTAATATCATTTCATACAATTTTTTATGACTTGTTTATTTTGTCTGCTAGTCATTTCACTGGTGTCTGTCACCTAGGACAAAGGGGAGCCATGGTTTCGTGGTGAGTATGAAGCCGACTCATTAATCAGATCACAGGTTTGATTCCATTGTTTGCCCAAAAAAGTTCTTGGTTTCCTCCATAGCTGAAGTAAATATTTCACAAATCTAACCAAAATTTCCGGGGCCTCCCCAAGTCAGACCACACCCAATAATAATTAGGTCATCAGTTACATGGCTGAAACTAAACAGAAACAAAGATCCATACTTGAAAAATGTAATTTTGGGGTTTCCCAAAATCTGTCCGACCAAGTCCTAAAAATGGGGCTAATAATGTGGTCTTTTAGATGGGACTAATATGGGACTTATTGTGAGGTCAACTGTTAAATGACTGGAACTTACCAGAAACAAAGATCTATACTTGGAAAATATAATATTCAAAACTCTAAAAATTTTGAGGCTTTCCCAAAGTCAAATTGCTCTAAGGTCTGTCTGTTGCATGGCTGAAACTTACCAGAAACAAAGATCAATACAGATCAGTAATTGGAAAATATAATTTTCAAAGATTATTTCTGATAAGTTCAGCCGTATCAGTAGCGGTATATCTGGTGTAGATGTTAGTTTAAAGAATGCGGGCGGTATTTTACTTCACATCCCTTCATTAATTGTCATATTCCTTATCTTGTGCACACTACAGGCGGGTTTTTTTTTACCACTGATGATTAAAGAAAGTGATTTGCATTCAATCAAATTTTCATCTTTAACGTCCACCTAATTCAAATTGGTTATCCTAATCAGCAAATTTATCAACATTGATTTCTGAAACAATTACCCCAAATTTCCCTGAGGTGCAATTTTTTCGATTTGATTGGATGATCACATGGTTTATTTTAATTTTGTCCAGTCACAAGAAATGTTTACAGCTAATCAGCGGATTTAACAACCTTGCCAAAGTGCTTTGAAAACGACTATACTGTCACATGACACCTATACTAAATTCCAAGCGATTTGGCAAGTCGATGAAAATGCCTTACTTGTATGCAATTATTTTTTGATATTTATTTCAGGACATCAATATATTGGTAACTGATTTTGAAGGATTTGTTAGTTCTTTAAACAATCAAGGTTTTCTGTTGAAGAAAGGACATCGTGTGTATCAACTACAAACGTTTGATTACTGAATGATGACAGTGTTCATGTCATAAAGGATGTAACTGTGATATTTTTTTTTAAAAATCTGTATAAATTACAGGCTTAGACTGGGTGTGTGTGACAATTTATTTTTTAGCGGTAATGAGCCTAGCAATCGCTGGATAAACTTGGTGTAGATGTTCATTAGGTGAATGTCTTAACTGAGTTCAATGATTAACATTTTCCGCTAAAGCTGAACAAAGCTTAACAATTTCATTGGTCGATGCTTTGGGACAAGATACCGTTGATTCTAACTGATGGAGAGTGATGAAACTTAGTGTATAGTTACATTGCCAGCACCAGGGACTTCAAAACCTTGACTGAGTTTGATTGTGAACATTTTCTTCTTAGACTAAGTACAGATAATCAGTTTAATTGCTTGATACTTTTCAAAAAGATAAATTTGCAATTAACTAATATGTGTCATCTGTTTATTTCGGACATCAGCCTCTCTGTTAGTCATCCTGCGATCATTATTTTGAACACAAAAATTTTGATTTTATAAACAAATAAACAAGATAAAACAGTACATGAATTGATGTAACAAAAATATGTATTATTGTTATAATTTGATGCAATATGTATACTATATGTAGTGAAATATGCACAAATTTATAAATAAAAACAATGCCATAATCATTCAACAATTCTAAAGCAGGTCTTTATAATTATAACAAATATCTGACATCAGTGAACACTTAAACAAAAGAAAGAAATATGCAACCTATGTGGTGATTAACCATTTATCTTGCATAAGTTGCTGAATATCTAAATACTACTTTGTTTGTGTATTAATAATTAATAATTGTGTGAATTAATGACTGTGGACGGATTTTGGATGATTTCAAAAAATGACAACATTGTTTGTGGAAAGATTTTGCATGATTGTAAAATTGTCTACTCTGTAGATTCTTAAAATTGTATAATTTAAGGGCACTGAGTACTCTAAAAATGCACATTTTAAAGCTAGCACTGTAAGTTTTGTTCATAAGATATGATATTTTTTATACAGGTCATAATGGAATACAATTACTGCTTATTATTGAGCGACATTTCTGATAATGACTTTAAGAGAAGCCAAGTTGAAATGTCGCTCAGTAATAAGCAGTAATTGTATTCCATAGAATTATGACCAGTATATTCCAATTCAATTACTAAATGCCATTGAAACAAATGATATCTTTTGTTATTTGGGGTCATAATCTACACATTAATCACCCAAAAAATACCAATTTTATTTACCAACTATATTCTAAACTTAGCCGAAAAGTATTATAATATAGGGTGCTGATGACAACAAAAGTATAATTTTCTCAGTTACATGTATGCATACATGGATTTTCATTAAATTTGGCATGAACAATGCTAAATGCATGTCCAAGAAACCTACGGTTCACATAATGAGTTTACTTGGAAATTCTATAACTTTATGCTAAAAACAGATAGCGATAATCCTAACCGTAGATTGAAAGTAGATGTATAATTGACATTTCGACACCAAATACGTTTAAAAATATTAACTCAAAGTATTTTGAAATTTTTGTTCATCATCTACCTTGAAATGAGATTTTATAATTTTGGGTAAATTCTTTGAATAAGTCCACAACAAGTTTTAAAAAGTAAATGATATCTTTTGTTATTTGGGGTCATAATCTACACATTAATCACCCAAAAAATACCAATTTTATTTACCAACTATATTCTAAACTTAGCCGAAAAGTATTATAATATAGGGTGCTGATGACAACAAAAGTATAATTTTCTCAGTTACATGTATGCATACATGGATTTTCATTAAATTTGGCATGAACAATGCTAAATGCATGTCCAAGAAACCTACGGTTCACATAATGAGTTTACTTGGAAATTCTATAACTTTATGCTAAAAACAGATAGCGATAATCCTAACCGTAGATTGAAAGTAGATGTATAATTGACATTTCGACACCAAATACGTTTAAAAATATTAACTCAAAGTATTTTGAAATTTTTGTTCATCATCTACCTTGAAATGAGATTTTATAATTTTGGGTAAATTCTTTGAATAAGTCCACAACAAGTTTTAAAAAGTAAATATTTACATCAGTGAACTACTCTGCCAAACTTTTTAAAACGGTAGTCTTCGACCATCAAATCAAAAAGATTTCAGCGATGTTTCAGTCGTGATAGATAGTAGACCTGGATAATCAAATCGTAGAGGGACTCCCTTCTGGTCATGTGACTTAATTGGGATATGTTGTCCAGTGTGCAACTGTTGCTGGAGGTAGCCATAATTGTTTACTGCGGATAACGTGACTGATGTGTACGATGTCAAAATTTATTCAACAACTAATCTAGGTCGGGAAAACCTTCTTGTTTGCTATAAATATTTTTTTCTTTCCGCTTGTATCACAAACAATCAGACTGTTATATGTCCTCTAGGTTATTTTACACATGGAACAAGTGTCTTGATAAGATTGATGCTGAAAAGGTAGTGTGTATCTTAGACTACTCAATGCCCTTAATACAGTTTGACATAGGAGAATGCTTTATAACCTTAAATTACATAAGTTGAGGATGGGGGTTCATAATAACCATTAAATTAAGAACTAGAAAAATTATTATATAATTACTCTAATACCACAGATTACGGAATTAAAAACTGGCAGGAATAATGATTTTGGTGGGGGGAGGGAGGAGAGGGAAGAATTATATCAGCATATTTCATGTTTAGTATGTTCATTTCCATAAACTTGTGTTAAAAGAGATTCTAAAATATTTAAAGCATTTTCTATATCATTCTGTTGTTTATAGTCTATTTCTATTAATCTCCAGGTTCTGTTTAAATTCTCCTTCAAATTTAACCTTAATTTGATTTCATCAGTTGATAATGTATCTGTAATGTAAAAAACAAACGTTAATTTAAATATTTGTTCACCAATACTTTTTATATGCCCACATTGAAATGTGGTTCATATAATAGAGAGGTTTCACAATTTTACATTTACACTTAGACGTCATCAGTTTTTGTGACGTATGATGTGAAGTGCATGTCCGACAGATAGCAGCCTCCATAACTGTAAGTTCACAACACTTAGCTAAACATTGTTTAATTTCTCTAATCCAGTCCATACTTTTTCTCTTTGAGTCGTGGTACCTTCCCCTTCATGTAGACAAAATAAGAAGAAGTCGAGACAATATTTGCGTGCTTTACTAATCTCACCTTTAACAATCTATCCGTGATGAAGGCCTGTCGAGATCATGGACCAAGTTTGTTTCGCCAAGTACTACGTGTAAGTGTGAATTTAGCAAAACGTCATAATGTACAATTTCCATTTACAATTATCTACATGTAATTGTAACTGTTACGTTGCAAAACCTCTCCTATTGTTGTCAGAGTATCAATGATTTCTGATCAATCTTGTGGTTGTTCAATTTCTCATTTAATTGACTTGAAATTTATACACAGTATTCATGTTCATGACACAGATTTTCAAAGAGCTCAAATAATTATCAGCCTTGATCAATTGCCTGGCAACTTATATTTAAATACTTTGACATGTAACCTGTATCAATTGATAAGACAGGCAGCAATACATATGCATAATAGAAGTTTCTCATATGCTGCTCACAAGAGCAATAATAAATTTGGTTTTTAGCCATATTCCTCGGAGTGTTCCGTTTGATTAGATCTAATCCTACTCAAACACTGCCATACTCAGCGCAAATTTCTGTCCCAGATTATGTGTTATTGGTTAAAAATTTAATTAACAACCAGTACATAACGACGTAACAATATCAATCGGGATTAACCAGAGCTCTAAATATGTTACCGTAAAGTGTCTGGTGACAAACGCGGCTACATTACGTCAGAATGTGCGAAATGTATTATGCTCAATTATCTAGTACATAACACAATATTGCAGAGAAACTAATTGTGTGATAAATGAGGCTATCCAAAATAGCTACAATGCCATCATTGTGGACCACACAGCAGATCAAAGAAAAGGGCTGTTATGTTTACATATTGTGTTTCAACAAACTGGATAGAAATACAACACATGCTTTTTTGATCAATAAATAATTTATGGATTTTCTTCACAAAAATGGATAAATATTATCAAATATTTAAAAAGGTTGGCAGTAATAATTGGTACAGGTTTATAGAATTTATATCAGAGATTTGAGTCCAAGGATTTGAAATCAGCACTTTGAGTCTAAGGATTTGAAATCAGCACTAATAAACCAGGATTTTTTTTTAAATAGGTCACCCCAGTTAAGGCATGAAAATTCCCTATATATTTTACTCCGAGAGATTTGATTGGACGATGAAAGTTTCAGTAACCAAGGGTATAACTTGATTTATATTACTCTCAATTTCAAAGGGTATTTTTCTTCCTGAGCTAAAGCATAAACCTGAAATATGTGTGTATAAAAAATTATTTGTTTACCTCCATTTAACAATTTGTTTACAACTATTAACAAAGGCACTTCTTTCAGATCTTTTTCGTGAAGCAGGGAATCTAGGTCTTGATGAGTATCCGCCCAAACCTCATCATTACTTCTATCATTATTTATAACATACACAATACCTGTAAAACAATATAAATATTCTTAATTATCACATATTAATTATATCCTTAGAGGGGGGGTGGGTACAATTGATCCAGATCATATGACTAGACCATTTGATTTATGTCAAAAATAAAATTGTCAATTTTATTGGATTTTGTATGTTTTAATTATGTCTTCATGAAAGTTTGACAACTAATTTTGGATTCTGTATTTATAATTTGAGATTTTAAACCCACCAAGAGGCTGACTAATTTTCAAGCTTTACAGGTAGGCTTACCTTGCGTTCCATAGAAGAAATTTCTTCTTTTATATCTCATATTAGGCTGCCCTGACACCTCCCACATGGTATAAATAATCCCTGATTTTGACTGGACTTTTTCCATGTTGAAATCTTGTGTCTGGGGTACATTATTAAGGATAATTTGATTTCCATGGACCCAACAATACAAAAGATGAGATTTGCCTGAAAAAAAAAAAATATGGTGTGTAGCCTACTAGAACTATTATTACATTATATAATAGTAGTAGTATCATGAACTGCTGATGCCGGTCACAAAAGAACGAGAAGAGAATAGTATCCGATGTTACTGCTAGCACCACGGGGTAAAATGACGTGGAACGATTCTGAGTGGGATTATCATTTTAATACATATTTTTACTACATAGTATTAGTAGTAATCTAATAAGTAACATACCTGCTTGGCTCGGACCAATTATCAAAATTTTAATAACTGTAACGTTGTCGGTGTCATTAAAAGAAGCCAAACTAGCGTCTATAGCAGTGTTAGCTGTTGTACACGCTCCTCCCATATATACCAAAGCAAACTGCTTACATTGTTGTGAAAACTTCTGTTGTAAAATTAACAAAATGAAATGTTTGTTGGGTTTATTTATTTTTTGTTGACTTATTTACTAACAACCCGGAGAGTAACCTCCCTTTAAAAAATGGCCTCGATCACCAAGGCATATAAATGCACACTAGTCGAAATGAAATGAAATGAGGTTTAACGTCCTACCGTTCTGCACCGAACTGGGCTAATGAAGACGGGCATACGCCATACAGTGTGCCCACTTATATCGAATTCCAACTGTCAAGGGATCTTTTACGTGCACGCCAATGTGTACACGGGACCTCTGGGATTTTTTGGTACCATCCGAACGACTAGACATCTAACAGTCGAACAGAAAGGCAATAGCCCAATAACGTATTTTATAGTTACTTATAATTATTATAATCGCTCGAGATGTCTGTTGATATAACAATTTCCTATTACTGCCAGAGTTATAGCACCTGTTCATTTTGAAAAATGTGGACGCTAAAAAGGCTATAGTTATAATACCATATCGCCGTTAATTTTATACAAAGTGTTTAGAAATATATGTTCTTGAGACGGAGAAGCCCATTATTATTTATTATCAGATTGAATTTATACACAGTGTATTCGTGAGACGGAGATACGTTTTCATTTTCAAAGAGTTCCGATAACTACAGTTAGATTTGTCCCCTTGGTCAATTTGAAGTAGCTGTGGCCGCTCTAGAGGCTATAGTTAAAATCCTATTCTGACTTGAAAAGTGTGTATGTTCATGAGATGGAGAAGCCCATTCATATTCAATGATGAACATCTTGAGTTACATGATTACCGGCATAGAAATGAAATGAAATAGAGTTTAACGTCCTGCTGTTCTGCTCCGAACTGGGTTAATGAAGACGGCCAGCACCCCCCCCCCCCCCCATTTTGGGCACCAAATGCTGGGAAAATTTGGGCACACAATTGTACTTTGTAAAAGTTGTATAAAAAAAAATATTGTGTTCTTGAATGTGTCCAATTTAACAGCGAATTTAAATTCAGAGTGTCTATAGTTAGGCAATTAAATAGAAATCTTAAGACTTGAACCCTCTATTGTTTGGAGTACAGTAAGGCACGGGTTACAGTTACATAAACAACTGTTTTTAGTTGTGTATATTACAAGTAAATAAAATTTAGTTCTCTTTTATTGATGAATTAGAAATTAAGAACTTATTCATCGCAAAAGAGATTTTGTTGAATCTGTCATGGGCCTTCAAATAAAAATTGAACTTTTTTTTATTTGGAAAAAACTCCCAGAATCACTTAAAGGGACAATAACACTCTTGCTGGCATGACAGCTCCAGAAAATAAAAAATAGCCTTATTCTAAGTACTAGATGTGTTAGTGTCCTACCTGTTGTGTAAATTATCCATTAAATCCTATTTTACTTGTCCAGAGGGTTCAAAAATATTTTTAAATCCAATACAAGTCACACTTGAAAAGCTTTACGTCAGGCTTTTCAAATCATTTAGTTGAATTTTTCCAATTTTTTAAATTAGGTGTGTTAAGATGAAATTTGTATCATCAATTAATTGGAATATTGTAAAAAAGTACAATTTGTTGACCAGAATAAAGATTGGGACATATTCAGTTACAACAAGAGTGGTATTGAGCCTTTAAAATGCATATTTATTCATTCGCGATTTTGTTAAAAAAACCAAAAAAACACAAACACCCTTAGCAGCATTCGGATCGGAAATATAGTCGGTACTCGGACAGTATTGTATATATGTTTGTTTGTTCTTTTATTTGCTATTTGCTTGTTTTAAATTTTAAAACATTATTTCATCGTTATTAGATCATTTGTCTGTAAATAATATGAATATTTGTAATTTTATAAGAAAATAAAGTTATTATTATTATTATGTAACATACTAAGAACCTAACTACATTTTTTGGGCACCAACCACCACCGCCCCCCCCCCCCAGTCAAAAATTTCCCCGTACGCCTATGGTTGAGATATATACTGATGTGCTTGTTTTTAGCTACGATTGGGTGCCTTTAGTTTCACCTGGCAAACTTAATTTCTTTTTTAATGCATGTAACATCTTAAAAAATAGAGGGCGGTTGGATTGCCGAATGGTTAGCACGCGCGCGCTGTATCATACGGTCTGTCATTGAGTCAACTGGCGGGGTTTCGAATCCCCGGTTGTACGTGACAAGAAGTAGGGTCGCTGGTCCAACCTCGTGGGTTTTCTCCGGGTCCTCCGGTTTCCTCCCACTGCTAAAGACCCCTACGCGCAAGCGAATTATTGAAATAAAATTAAAACTAGGTGTTAGTCCAGAAATGACCTAGTTTGTGTTGAGTGGACGTTAAACCCCATTTCTCTCTCTCTCTCTCTCTTAAAAAATAGGTTAATTGTATACTATTAGAACTTATTAGACATACGCAGCCCAATCTACTCAAACAACTTTCATTTATCAGCAAATATTGACAATAAAGTAAATCAAGCGTTGTTTTTTTTTTATCAAAATTGATACGGACATTCATTATTATGGTGTATTACTCCTGTGTAACTCTGATCAGGTTAGTACTTTGATTGGCTATTGCACCCGAGGCCCCGCCTTTAAAGACGTAAATTTAAAATGTCGGAGAAAGCAATCTATTATCGCTTCCATTTAAAAAGAGGATATTTGTACCCGTGTCAGGTAGGATTTTCTGCATAATTGTAGTTGGATGTGGCAGAAATGTTCTAAATAACAATAATCAATAATCGTTGTTTTGAAGAAAAATTTGTCCGATGTGATTAGCGTTGGGTGTTTGCCACTTGAAACAATATAGCACCATCTCTTATCTCGAAACACGAAGCGTTGAGAGATAAGGTTTCTTATCTAGGTTTTTCGCGGATATGACTAACTGTCCCCCCTTATTTATCACTAACCGATTTCAAATTAGGTTTGATGCAGTTACATTTATGTGTGTGAAAAATACTGCCTAAATTCTGGTCACTTGTGTTAGGCTGGGTGATCCCATACTCAAGGCCCTAGGGCCCCCACAATGTTAATCCGACGCTGCCTATGGTCCTATGATACATGAAATGAAATGAAATGGGGTTTAACGTCCTACTGTTCTGCTCCTTTGCTCGGCTAATGAAGACGGGCATACGCCATACAGTGTGCTATGAGGGAAATTTTGCCCGGGGAGCGGCACTATCGCCTACTCTTACATCGAATTCCAACTGCCAAGGGATCTTTTACGTGCATTCCAATGTATAAACGGGACCTCGGTTTCCGTCTCATCCGAAGGACTAGACAGCTGTCCTTGTCAGGCCCTCCGTCCTGCATCACTGACAAGGGAGAACCACGCGGAAAATCTGGATGAACTTTCTCGGCCAATGCAGGGATCGAACACCCGACCTCCAGGCTAGCGAGCCAGCGTCCTACCCACTCAGCCACGTGACCCCCCCCCCCCCTATGCTACATACTTCCAGCTAAATTTTGACAGAACTGTAATTGAAAAAAAAAAGGTACTTATTAAGTGTCTTTAATCATTACATTAAATGTCATACTGCGCGCAGCGATCCATCTACTTCATACTTCGAGGAGTTAACTGTAGACAGGTAGCCTATGTTTGGGATGATTAAATGTAAGTGGGATAGTTCATCAATAAAAGCTTGTGAAGGAGGCACCGATGGATCATAATATTTTTTTTTTTACAAACGTGTACAAATAATAGGAAAGATTTCAGAATTGGGCAGATTCTGGTGTCTAAAGATCATTCAGCATATAGGCCTAGCGCGCGACGACAAATTGTTGTTTATTGCTTTATTTCCGTATTAGGGACACCAATACCCAAGTGGGGGGCCACGGTGGCTCAGTGGGTTAGACGTTCGCTCGCTAACTTGGCGGTTCCTTGTTCGATTCCGGTGTTGGCCGGTTCCCGTTGTCAGTGGCGCAGGACAGAGGGTCTGACAAGGGATAGCGCCTATAATATAGTCGTTCGGATGGCAGAATTTCCCTCATAGCATACTGTATGGAGAATGCCCGTCTTCATTAGACCAGTCGGAGCAGAACAGTAGGAAGTTATACCCAATTTCATTTTCCCTAAATACGAATTCAACCTTCATTATGGTGGAATGGTGATGTATTTAAAGGGACAATAACACTCTTGCTGGTTTGAAAGCTCCAGAAAATAAATAATATCTCTATCGTAGTACTAGATGCTTAAGTGTCCTACCTGTTGTGTAAATTATCCATTACATCCTATTTTACTTGTCCAGAGGGTTCGAAAATATTTTTAAATCGAAGTTTCATTTGAAAAGGTTTACGCTAGACGTTTCAAACCATTATGTTGAATTTTTCAAAATTTTTAAATAAAGTGTGTTAAGATGAAATTTGTATCATCAATTAATTGAAATATTCTAAAATGGTACAATTTGTTGACCAGAATAAAGATTGGGACATATTATTCAGTTACAACAAGAGTGGTATTGAGCCTTTAAATGCGATTTTTTGAACAATCAAGGGCCATAATCCAGGAAGTTAAGTTCGGGTATACTTGATTATCAAAAGGAATCAAGATCTTAGTGTGTAATGGTGATATATTCACACGTTTTTTTTTTTAAATCGGATAAAAATTGTGACCTCTACAGTGTTCACAAGCTAAAAACGTGATTTTTTGTTCAATCAAGGGCCATAATTCAGGAAGTTACGATCCGATATGCGCGAATATCGAAAGGAACCAATATCTTTGGGTTATAAACGTGTATTTCAAGTTTCATCGAAATCGGATAAAAATTGTGACCTTTAGAGGGTTCACAACATTGATTTACCAGATGTTAAAACTATTTGAGTATGAGGGGCGGCCATTTTGTCCGGCAGTTTTGGCCCGATTTTCACGAAATTCGAACTCAACACATTACACGATATATTCGAACGTTTTTTTTTTTTTAAATCGAATAAAAATTGTGACCTCTATGGGGTCCACAAGCTAAAACCACGATTTTTCGTACAATCAAGGGCCATAAATCAGGAAGTTATGGTCCGATATGCGCGAATATCGAAAGGAACCGAGATCTGTGGGTTATAAACATACATTTCAAGTTTAAACCAAATCGGATAAAAATTGTGACCTCTACAGTGTTCACAAGCTAAAAACGTGATTTTTTGTTCAATCAAGGGCCATAATTCAGGAAGTTACGATCCAATATGCGCGAATATCGAAAGGAACCAATATCTTTGGGTTATAAACGTGTATTTCAAGTTTCATCGAAATCGGATCAAAATTGTGACCTTTAGAGGGTCCACAACATTGATTTACCAGATGTAAAAACTATTTGAGTATGAGAGGCGGCCATTTTGTCCGGCAGTTTTGGCCCGATTTTCACGAAATTCGAACTCAACAAACATTACGATATATTCGAACGGTTTTTTTTAAATCGAATAAAAATTGTGACCTCTAGAGGGACCACAAGCTAAAAAGGGCCATAATTCAGGAAGTTACGATCCGATATGCGCGAATATCGAAAGGGACCAATATCTTTGGGTTATAAACGTGTATTTCAAGTTTCATCGAAATCGGATCAAAATTGTGACCTTTAGAGGGTCCACAACATTGATTTACCAGATGTAAAAACTATTTGAGTATGAGGGGCGGCCATTTTGTCCGGCAGTTTTGGCCCGATTTTCACGAAATTCGAACTCAACAAACATTACGATATATTCGAACGGTTTTCTTTTTAAATCGAATAAAAATTGTGACCTCTAGAGGGACCACAAGCTAAAAACGCGATTTGGCGTACAATCAGAGGCCATAATTCAGGAAGTTACGGTCCGATATGCGCGAATAATGAAAGGGGTCGAGATCGTTGGGTTATAAACTTGCATTTCAAGTTTCATCAAAATCGAATTAAAATTGTGGCCTCTAGAGGGTCCACAACTTTGATATACCAGATGTTTACACTATTTGCGTACGAGTGGCGTTCATTTTGTCCGGCAGGTTTGGTCTCATTTTCATTAAATTCGAACTCAACCATCCTTAGGGTGTAACGGTGATATATTCGAACGTGTTTTTTTTTTTTAAATCGGATAATAATTGTGCCTTTAGAGGGACCGCAAGCTAAAAACGCGATTTTGCGTACAATCAGAGGCCATAATTCAGGAAGTTACGATCCGATATGCGCAAATATTGAAAGGGATCGAGATCTGTGGGTTATAAACATGCATTTCAAGTTTCATCAAAATCAGATGAAAATGGTGACCTCCAGAGGGTCCACAACCCTGATACACAATATTGTGACACTATTTGCGAACGAGGGGCGGCCATTTTGTCCGTCAGTTTCAGTCTGATTTTTACGAAATTCGAACTCAACCACCTTTAGGGTGTAACATTGATATTTTAAAGTTTATTTTTAAATCGGATAAAAATTGTGACCTCTATGGGGTCCACAAGCTAAAAACGCGATTTTTCGTACAATCAGGGGCCATAAATCAGGAAGTTATGGTCCGATATGCGCGAATATCGAAAGGAACCGAGATCTGTGGGTTATAAACATACATTTCAAGTTTAAACCAAATCGGATAAAAATTGTGACCTCTACAGTGTTCACAAGCTAAAAACGTGATTTTTCGTACACTCAGGGGCCATAATCCATGAAGTTACAGTCCGAGGGATGTTGGGTGGCCGAATGGTTGTATGCGTTGAATCGGAAGGTCTGTCATTGCATTGAGTCAGGTGGCTTGGTGTCGACTCACCGCTTGTACGTGACAAAGACTAAAGAGTGAAGACAAGAACAGGTGATTGCCTGTCCAACCTCGTGGAATTTCTCCGGGTTCTCCCACTTCTAAAGAATTATCTAAATGAAACTGAACCATATGTCAGTCCCGAAATTACCTATAAGTTTGTGTCATGTGGACGTTAACGTTATTTCTTTCTTGCACCTTCGCCATGCCATGCTAGCCAGTAGTAGTAGTATTAATATATCCCTGAACTTTCACCTCTCTGAATCAAAACATACCTACGGTCAAGGTCATTTTGGAAGTACGGAGAAATGCTTAAATATTGCTTGCGGTGCAATGCAAATGCAACTTTTCTTATAAGTAAACGCTATTAAATGTTCTATTCGTGGTAACTGACTGTTTAATTTTCTATTTTAATCAAATGTCAAATTGACAGGCCTCGTTTAGCACGTGGTTTGACCGCGTGGCGTTGTTTAGTCGCCATATTGGGAGCTCGATAGGGAAGTTGCTGGCTGGTGTATGGGCTTTAGATCGGACGATGAGCGATGAAGACAGAGACGTCGATGTCGAGAGCGACGTAAGTTAAACATTTTTGCATGAATTAAAGATTATATCAACTCTTAGCCGTATAGATGCCAAACTGGTGGAGCTTTTGCATCTGGAAATGAAGGATATTCATTGCCATTTCAGGAGGAGGACGATTACGACGAGGAGGGAAGTGTGAGTGGAATCTCCCAATCAGGCTCGACTTCACATTCATCTGGCCAATTTTCTAGTCAGGTACAAAGAAAATATGATATTTAATAATCAAATTTATTCTTTAGAGTAATGAATTGAATTTAGTGGGTCATTTTTGACATTGATCGTCTTTGACAGTTAACCATGCTCGAATTGTTTTGGCATGTCAGAATCTCATTTAGTAACCACGTGACTATTGACCCAGGCGCGTGCTATTCGCACAACCTGTCAAACCAATGACAAGTCCGTTCTGAACTAACTAGTGACTGATCATGATATTATCATAACACACTTAATACCATTTAAAGTCCCCATCCCACAAAAAGTGTGGAGTGTCACTGTCAAACTGATTTTGTTGTCTCATTGTACTGGATCAACCATCAGATTTAAATAAAAATATGAACGGGTATACTACTATAAATTAATACAGACTAACATTCATTGGATCTAATACAAATTACAATCATGCGGAATGATGGTGTTTTCAGAAATTGCATGTTTCTTATACAAGCACAACACTGAAGTAGAAAAATATCTTATAGATTGCCATTCAAGTGTTTTGTCAGTTTGTAAATATAATATGGTGCAAGACTGCAAGTGCCTTAATTTATGGTTCAATAACAGAATCTGTCGACCACTTCCTTTACTAGCTATGAGAACATAACTGAAAGCACTGCGATATACTGATGTGTTTGTTTTAGCTATGATTCAGATTGGATGCCTTTAGTTTTACGTGGCAAACTTAATTTCTTTATTAATGCATGTAACATCTTAAAAACAAGTTAATTTTAGTATGTATTAAACATACCCAACCCATTCTATTGAAACAACTTTCGTTTATTTGCAAATATTATCTGCAAATCGAGCAGTGATTTTATCAAAACTGATACAGACATTTATAATTACAGTGCAGTAGTCATGCGCGACTCATATTTTGATTGGCTGGTTTACACGACATATATTTAGCCCCTAATTCATACTTCATGACGTACATGTAAAATAACGTCAAATTTAAAATGTTGGGAAAACCCAGCTATTATCGCTTTAGTTAGGATTATATGCTTAATTGTAGTTGGATGTAGCAGAAATGTAATAAATATTAACAATAATCAATCGTTTGGAAGAAACAAATGACAGTTTTGCTTATTCAGTACTATCTGATTCGCATCATATCAATGTACTTTGAAAAGTGAAACTAATTAGTTCCATCTTTCATCTCGAGACACACACGTTCAAAAGATGAGGTTTATCTAATATTACTGTAACTAATGTAGTTCGATGTAAAACTGCTCGGTGTTGGTATAAATTCCAGAGTATTCGCCAAAATACAATTTTTCTTTTGCTACTAGTGTTAAACAATAATTAAATTCTACAGTGTATTTATAACACATTCACTTGCCATCCAATATAATATATGTTGTCCCAAAAAGAATACACACTGGAGCCAAAACATGAATGGTGCGATGGAACAAGCTATAAGATTTCTTTACACAGTGACAGTTTGAGTAAAGTGCCTTGTTTCATTTATCTGCTGTTGAAATGATAGTAATTTTTAGTATACCATAGACACCCCTTTAATGATTGATCAATCATTGTTTTGTTATGAAGTTTCATCTCAAGATTTAATAAGTTGGTAGACTTGATAAAACTTGTATGAAATGACAAAAAATGGTTTATAAACAAAACATTTCAATGATGGTTGCTTAATCTTGTCTTTATTATTTGTAGAGCTTAAAAAATTATGTGTGATTCCAGTCAACAAATTGAATCAATCAATTATAATTCATATTGATATAAAATGATAGTTTCTAACTTGTTCTATTGCCAAGAAATGTCCAATTTATGCAGTTTTAATAGGGCTTTATATTTTATAATTGGTTCATTTTTTAGAATTTTCAATTAATTTTCTGTCTGTTCCATCTGATGGATGCTCAAAGTGGTTATTTCTGTATTGTGTAATCCGATTTGAGTCTTTCTTTACTGGAGTCCTATGAAATGTATGCATTTAAACAACATTTCCGGATTTTTGTTGACGAGTTTCATTGGCACCGGAAGAAGCATTGTTTAAAGGTTAAGGCCATAGGGCACAAGTGAACCCCAGTATAGGGTACATCGCACATGAACCCAGCATAGAACAATGTATAGCATGTCTAGTATATATTGTTATGAAAGCCAACATGCATGTGATCTTAAGCCTTAGGTTGATATTCCGTTCATTACAAAGTTATGATTCATTGTTACATATAATTTTAGGACAATTGAATATTAATCTTAGGTCATAAATAATTTTTAAGCTGATTATATGCATTGTAAAATTGGATACTGATAGTGGCTGTATTATCTGTTGACAATCTCAAATTATATATTGGTCTACACCTTAGAACAGTAAATAAGACATAGTTGATCATATAGAAAAGTCAAAATTAGTCTAGTCAACTAATGTAAGTTTAATGTCTTAACAAAATTACATCCATTTAGCATGATTCATCGAAAATATTTACTTTCTGGGGCTAAAGTGTCAATAATTCTAACAGTTTAAAGGAGAATGTTGGTGTCAGACATTATCACGTATGCGATAGAACTGGTTCAACACGTTCCAAATATAATTTTAACACGGCGATCGTCATAGCTACAATTAGATGGGTAAAGAAGATTTTAAAAAAAAAAACGAAGTGACAAAAGCAAAAAGAAAAAACATGAGTTATCCTTCTATATAACTGACTGAAGTGACAAGTGGTAACAGATACAAGGGCAAATTTCTGCACACTAATGGAAAAATAGAAATACATGTAGTCTGTACATTCCCTTGTTTTTATTCATTCTATACCTAATAAAAACATGGTAATGCACAGACTATTTCTATTTTTCTCGTTTTCTCTTATCTAGTGACAGTCAATTATTTTTTATGAATTGTCAGATATCCTCTCACAGTCTCACATAACAACTTTTAGTCTTTGAAGGAATTATATGGGAGCAGAAATTCGCTCGTGTATCTCTTATCACTCGTCATTTCAGACTATAAAGAAGGATAACGTGTGTTTTCCTTTTACTTTCGTCATTTCCGTTAATTTAAATCTTCATTACTCATCTATTGTAGCAATTTAAAACGTGTTAAACCAGTACTGACACCCATATTGTCTTTTAAGCTCCAGTAATTACAGTTTTCTTGAATAATGTCCATTATCTCAAAAACTGAATGTTACTTACTGTAAACAACCAATTTCAAAATTAGCATTTTCAGATGTGATGGTTTGTAAGATTCAATTACATGTAGCTTGTATAATATTTGTTTTTAACTAAATGCAAATGCAGGACGGGGTTGGGTTTTATAGATAAGTAACAATATTATTACTTTAATACTTGTATGCCAATTGTGTTTTTGCCACAAAATAATAAATAGCAGAGATTGTTTAATTGTTGAGATTAGGGGATATGGGTCATGTTTGGTATGTACATGTACCTAATTATAGACCTGTTATTATGGTGTATTATGTCAGCATTGTTAGTATCACATGTACTGTATTAACCTGGGGTTATTAAATACTTTGGTCTTTATTATTAAACTCAAGTTATCTACTAGTAGTACTTGCTAGTCCATAAGGTCATGTTCATGTATAGGGAAATACAAACAAGTTTGGTAACAATATCTTCTTTTAACTTGTTTGCCTTTCATTGTTGAGGTAAACTTAAATAAAAACCAACCATCGCATGTTAGTCATATAAAATACATACTGTATTTGATATGTAGATGGTTAAGTTGAAGACAATAGCTACCATTATAATCCATGTACACTATTTAAAACTCATGCTGGGAAGGAGTTTATGTTTACTACAGGCTGTCACATGGTACAGTTAATGTTTAAGTAATACAGCTACATTTATATATCATACATTACCCTGACCACAAATCCTTTATTGTCATGATTCCTATATTCTCCTAAATAGTGGATAATTACACATTCAACGTTCTTTGAACATATTTAGACCCTGTGGAATTGCAAATTGCACACGGATTTGATTTCTGTTTTACATGGAACAGAGAAGCGGGCCAGTGAATAAGTGGTACATGCAATTAATTGTTTTGAGCAAGAAGTTCAGGCTCTGTTTACTTCTAAATTATCAAAACCAAGTGATTTGTTTTTAAATGAAAGTTGATACATGTACATTACTATGGGGTTACTAGCCAAGTAATTATTGTGAAGCACTTCAGTGTAACAAGGGTAATGCCAAAAGATCATACTAAATACCATTAGTACTGGCATACAATGTATTTATATCTCATCTTAAGCCAGCAATGATTGTTAAAAATACATTATGTAAGATTTAGATAAAGAGCTGGCCATTCTTACAATAATACTTCCAAATTAGATAATGCAAAATGAATTTATTGAAAATTTCATTGAAATTGCTCCATTGCGAGCGAATATATTAGCTTTTGAAGGTTTGACAAGATGTGTGCATTAATTGCAACCACCGCACTGGTTGATTGAAGTTTAGCCTCGTTTAACCATTTTTAGATTAAATCAGAATGTTATTAAATCGTTCTAATCTACTTAATATCAGAGATATCCGATGACATTGAGAGTTGATTATGGGCTTGTCATGTTAATAAAAGTCTAATAGTTTACATAACATTTCAGGCCTAATGAAAGACCTGCAATAGGCAGATTTAGCTCTTGCATAATGTATGTTTAAGACAATGATTTAAACAATTCCACAAAAAGTCAATTCCAACAAGATTAACTTTTTACATTTTATTGGCAAGGGACTATTTAAATGGGTTTGTCACACTTTTTATATGTCCCGTTTGTCCGGCATCCAAAATTGCTTGTGGACACTCTAGAGGCTAGTTAATATCCGATTGATTTTAAATGTGGTCATGTATTGTCATCCTGTTGGTCCAGCTTCCACAATTGCTTGTGGACACTCTAGAGGCTAAAGTTAATATTCGATTGACTTTATATTATAGGCAGAGTTTAAAGTCACGAGACGAAGAAGCATATTGATTTTTAACAAATTTCCCATAATTAATTATGGCCTTTGATCACTTTGAAAAATCCTGTGGATGCTGAAGAGACTAAAGTTAATAAAAAATTTTACACAGTTTTTAAGGTCGTTTCAACGTGAATGCTCTCTTTCAGTGTTAATATGTCCAATTACTAATAAAATCCCTATCAAAGAAGTTACTAAATGGGTTGTTCCTCGTAATCGGAATTTAGAGTGTGGAAAATGTTTTAATTACTAAAGAAAAAAATAGGCGACAACCCTTGTTGACTGCTCGGACGACATATCTGCTGTGGGTGTATGTTTTGTTGCCTGGCAACTTATCTTTTACACTTTGCTACTCATTGAAGTAGAATGTTCAAACTTTGTGAATGTCTTGACTGAGGTAGATTAGTATTTTCTGTGATGCTAAGTAGAGATAAGCAATTTGATTAGCTGCTGAGACAATCTACCGGTACTTGAAACATAGATCCTACTTCGTTTTGTTTTTTATAGTTCAAAATATTGTTTTACTTATTACTCTAGGATCTCATTCTGGAACTAAGAGTTTTTATATAACCACGTCTGGATGATGTGAGGGTTTAGCCAATGAAACGTTCTGTTACGGCGAGTTTTTGGCGTGAGGTGCAAGGAACTGTGGGTAACCAGCTAGAAAATTCAATGCCGATTGGTTAATCAATGTCTGATGTCATAGGGTCAAAAGCCACTCGTATGACCTCACGCGACCTTCCACTACAACCGGTCAGATCTTCATGTAGTGTAGGCCATCAAAAGTATTAAAAAAGCAAAACGAAATATAGATCTGTATTTTAATCAGATTGAGGCTGAGACATTATAAAAGAGGTTAAATTTTGCTTACGTGAACCTACGTGGTATTATTGTATTAAGACACACTAAAAATTACTGGTGAAAACTTCCACGTTCTACTTTCTCTTTAAACCTACTGGGCTTGTTCAAATTTAATTTTTATGCTCATTTGTGGTACAATACAAATAACTCATGACACATGGAATACAAGTTACTTGAAGGATTTATTCTGGCGATGTTTCGACAAGGGTTCTCCAGTCTTTGTCCAGCAAACGAAGGACAATAAAAATGACTTTAGATTGTTGTTATCTTTGGAGTAGCATTTAGCCAATAATGTACATTTGTTTCAAATAGGAGTAGCAATTTACTAGTACAAATGACTGTTTTTCAATCATTTAACAAAGATTTGTTTTTGTTTCAGACGGAAAAGAGAGCACACCACAATGCTCTGGAGCGAAAGAGAAGAGACCACATCAAAGGCAGTTTTCATAGTTTGCGCGACTCAGTTCCATCTTTACATGGAGAAAAGGTACAAATTTAATACATGACTTTGAATTAAAACAATTTAAGTAGAACGTTTGCTTAAAGATGCATTATGTAAGAGCTAAATGAAAACAATTTTTGCTAAGTGTTCAGTAGAACGTTTCCTTAAAGATGTATTATGTAAGAGCTACATCAGCTTATTACAGGTCTTTTTTATGACTTCAAATCTCAAATGCTATAATAATTATTGGTGTGTCTTTTCACCGCCGTCAACCACCAATTCTTTTTAATTGACCACCATCTGTTCTCAAATACAAGATGTTATTTACACAATTCAGAATAGTGACTATTAGATTTGCACAAACTTGAAATGTTCAGTATTTTCCATACAACATAAGACAGACGAATCGAATACCACCAATTATTCTCAATATAAAACCTATCAACACAAATCAGAAAAGAGACAATTTTATTTGCACAAACATAAAATCTGAAATATCCATCATAATTTTACCACAGCTTTCTAATATTGTAGACTATGAGTTATTAACATTATTCATAGTCATACAACATCGTATTAATAGAAATTAAAAATGAGAGATAGCCTATGATACTGTGTAATATATTGTGCATTATGAAATCATCAGTTGACTTGTAGAGTAACGTTAGCGGTATTTATTTTTCGGTGGCCATTTCTTATGTAACTTAATTAATTGTACCTATCGAGAAGTTATCGACAGTCATCACCACCTGAATTATGGCCCCTGATTGTACGAACAATCGCATTTTTAACTTGTGTACCGTCTAGAAGTCACAATTATTATCCAAATTAAAAAAGCGTTCGAATATATTACCGTTACACCATATTGTTGGTTGAGTTAGAATTACGTGAAAATCAGACCAAAACTGCCGGACAAAATGGCCGCCAATTGTACGCAAATAGTGTAAAAATATATGCTATATCAAAGTTGCAGACCCTCTAGAGGTCACAGTTTTGATTCGATTTTGATGAAACATGAAATACATGTTTATAACCCAAAGATCTTGGTTCCTTTCGATATTCGCGCATATATCAGATTGTAACTTCCTGAATTATGGTCCCTGATTGTACAAAATATTGCATTTTTAGCTTGTGGACCCTCTAGAAGTCACAATTATTATCCGATTTAAAAAAATGTTCGAAATATCACTGTTACACCATATTGTTGGTTGAATTAGAATTAAGTGAAAATCAGACTAAAACTACCGGACAAAATAGATGGGTGTTGATTGTACACAAATAGTGTAAAAATATGCTATATCAAGGTTGTGGACCTTCTGGAGGTCACAATTTTGGTCTGATTTTGATAAAACTTGGAATACATGTTTATAATCCAAAGATCTTGGTTCCCTTCGATATTCATTCATATTGGATCGTAACTTCTTGAACTATGGCACTGATTGTCTGAAAAGGCACATTTTTAGAGCTCTTGTGTACCCTCTAGTCGTCTCCGTTACACCCTAATGGTGGTTGAGTTCAAATTTCGTAAAAATCTAACCCATACTGCCAGACATAATGGCCGCCCCTCGTACGCAAATAGTGTAAATATATGGTATATCAAGATTGTGGACCCTCTAGAAGCCACAATTTTGATCCAATTTTGATAAAACTTGAAATACATGTTTATACCACAAAGGTCTTGGTTCCTTTCGATAATCGGGTATATCCGAAAATAACTTCCTGGATTATGGCCCCTGATTGTTAGAAAAATCACATTTTTAGCCTGTGGACCCGCTAAATTTTTAAAAAAAGTTTAAATATATCACCATTACACATCAATGAAGGTTGAGTTTGGATTTCGTAAAAATCTGACCCAAACTGCTTTACAAAAGGGCCACTCCTTTTAGTCCGTTATTCCGGCTAAAGTTAATGTCTGATTGACTTTAAATTTATACACAGTGTTTAAGGTCATGAGACGAAGAAGCCTATTTATTTTCAGCGCATTCAGATAATTACTGCCAGAGTTATGGCCCTTGATCACTTCAAAATATCTTGTGGATGCTCTAGAGGCTAAAGTTAATATCCGATTGACTTTAAATTTATACACAGTGTTTGAGGTCATGATATGAAGAATCCTATTGATTTTGAACAATTTCCGATAATTACTGCTAAAATTATGGCCCTTGATCACTTGGAAAAATCTTGTGACGCTCTAGAGGCTAAAGTTATCATCCGATTGACTTCAGATTGATACACAGAACTTTATAAAAACGAAACAAATTCTAATGATTTTCTGATAATTACTTAATGAGTTGTTACTCTTAATCAGATTTTAGTGTATTATAAATGTTTTGTTACTGAAAAAGTAAAAATATGCGACAACTGTTGTTGACTGCATGGGAGATTAAGCTGCTGTGGGCGTATGTTTCGTTGCCTGGCAACCTATCTTCTGATTTTTAAGAAAATTAAAATATATCTTTATATCCCAAATATCTCGGTCCCTTTCGATATTTTCGTGCATTTCAGACCATAACTTCCTGGATTATGGCCCTTGATTGTACGAAAAATAGATTTTATTTTTAGCTTGTTCTCTCTCGATCTCTTGCAAAAAGTGGGCGTATCTTGTCTGGCAACCGCTGGTTTCTTCATATACTGTGTATATGGTGTAGATGTTCATTACGAGTTGGTGATAAGTATTTTCTGCTTGGGCTAAGCAGAACTTGGTCACACTTTCTGGAACACAATAACTCTAACTTGATGTTAAATATTTTCAGCTTTTTCTGAATTATACATCAACTAAAGAGTATGTTTTTATTTAGTTATTCAAGGGCTCAATGATCTTCCGTTAGACTTGAGACATTTAGACATCAATCATATATCATTTTGAAAAGACAAAATTTAACGACAATTGGACTAGAGCTAATTATGACAAGTTATGAAATATAAGTCCCTTAAAATGCTTACACTATGATGAAATGACAGTTGCATGCAGTGTCCCTTACATGCAGACTATGAGTATATGACAATTAATGTCCCTTTAAAGGCTTAGACTAGAATGCTTATTCACTGACAAGTGGTGGCATGACATCTGACAAAAAGCATCGACCTTATAGTACCATGACGAAAGTAAACAAGTAACATTGACAATAAACTTTGGATGAACACACAGGAAATGTCATTATTTCAGAGGCATTGGATGTGCATTAATCCCTAAAAGTCATTTCTTGTACGTGAAAAGGAGTAGGGTCGCCTGTCCAACCTCGTGGGTTTTCTCTGGGTCCTCCAGTTTCCTCCCACTGCTAAAGACCCCTACGTACACACAAGTGAATTATTGAAACAAAATTAAACCATATGTTAGTCCCGAAATGAGTTTTCAAAACAATGACGAGCGATCTGTGATGTACCTGTAAAGACAGTTAACAGATCTGGTTTATTAAGTTGATATAATAATTTTATTGTCCCCCGCCTTTCGAAGAAAGCAGGGGACTATTAAAATGGGTTCGTCCGTCCGTCTGTCCGTCTGTCTGTCCGTCACACTTTTTGGGACACAATAACTCTCTTCCTAATTGAGCTAGAATGTTCAAACTTGGTGTATGTGTTTATTAGGTCAATGCCTTGATGGAGTTCGAAGATGATCATTTTCCGCTTAGGGTAAGCAGAGATAAGCAATTTGATTGGTTGATGCTTTGGGACACGATAACTCTCTTCCTAATTGGGCTAGAATGTTCAAACTTGGTGTATGTGTTGATTAGGTCAATGCCTTGATGGAGTTCGAAGATGAGCATTTTCCGCTTAGGGTAAGCAGAGATAAGCAATTTGATTGGTTGATGCTTTGGGACACGATAACTTTTAATTGAGCTAGAATGTTCAAACTTGGTGTATGTGTTTATTAGGTCAATGCCTTGATGGAGTTCGAAGATGAGCATTTTCCGCTTAGGGTAAGCAGAGATAAGCAATTTGATTGGTTGATACTTTGGGGCACGATAACTCTCTTCCTAATTGAGCTAGAATGTTCAAACTTGGTGTATGTGTTGATTAGGTCAATGCCTTGATGGAGTTCCAAGATGAGCATTTTCCGCTTAGGGTAAGCAGAGATAAGCAATTTGATTGGTTGATGCTTTGGGACACGATAACTTTAGTTCTAATTAAGTGAGATTGATGAAACTTGGTGTATAGTTTCATTACAGTAATACCTTGACTAAGTTTGATAATGAGCATTTTCTGCTCAGGGTAAGCAGAGCGATACGCAATTTGATTGGTCGAGACTTTGGAACTCAATAACTCTCCTTCTAATTGAGGTAGAATGTTCAAACTTGGTGTAGCCGTTCATTAGGTGAATGCCTTGATAGAGTTCGATGATGAACATTGTTTGCTTATGGTAAACAGAGATAAGCAATCTGATTGGTTGATGCCTTGGGACATGATAACTTTAATTCTAATTAAGTGAGAGTGATGACTGCATGCTTTGGGACAAGATAATCGTGATTCTATCAGATAGAGAATGATGAAACTTAGTGTATTGTTTGATTGCTCGATACTTTTGAAAAAAATAAATGTGCGATTAATTAATTAATTAATGTTTGTATTTTTCAGGTATCCAGGGCACAGGTGCTAAAGAAAGCAGCAGATTATATTCAGTTTATGAGGCGGAAAAATCAGGGCAATCAACAGGATATAGATGATTTAAAAAAGCAAAATAATGTTCTAGAACAACAAAGTAAGATTTGTCTTTTTTATACGCCCGCATTGAAATGTGGTCGTGTATTGTCGTCGGTCCGACATCCACAATTGCTTGTGGATGCTCTAGAGGCTAAAGTTAAAATGCAATTGACTTTAAATTTATACACAGTGTTTAAGGTCATGAGATGAAGAAGCCTATTGATTTTTGCCGATGTGCAATAATTACTGCCAGAGTTATGGCCTTGATTACTTTGAAAAATCTTGTGGACACTCTAGACGCTAAAGTTAATATCCGATTGACTTTAAATTTATACACAGTGTTTAAGGTTATCAGACGAAGAAGCCTATTGATTTTCAACAGAGGTATGGCCCTTGATCACTTTGAAAAATCTTGTAGATGCTTTATGACCATAGTTATCATCTGATTGATGTTATATTTATAAACCGTTTACGCCTATATATAATCATTTTGATTGACTTTATATACACAGAGTTCAAGGTCTTGAGACGAACAAGTATATTGATTTTCTTGATATTAAATGTTTTGTATACTAAATGTTAGCATGGGCCAAACAAATTCTAATGATTTTCTGACAATTATTTAATGAATTGGTACTCTTAATCAGGTTTTAGTGTAAAAATATGCGACAACTCTAATTGACTACCCGAACGATTTAGTTGCTGTGGGCGTATGTTTTGTTGCCTGGCAACCTATCTTTTACATCCACATTGAAATTAGTGTACTGGTTAATTATTTATTATTAAAAATAACTTGTTCGGATTGGTGAATGATAAAACCTTTGTAACACTATTAGAAATGTAGATTTGTTATTCAGAATATTAAAAAGATAAAACAGAGTAATGAGGAAAAGAATATTTTTGCGTGAAACATCCATAAAAATCTTAAAGCATAGGAAATTATCTTAAAGTTGGTTACAGTTTCTTCTTTGAAAACTGACGAATCTTTTGCAAATGTACTTTTTCATTAGTGTGAACTGATACATCATCTTTTGTTAAGTGCTTGCATTCAGTAGTTCAATGAGTTATTGATTACAGATACACAACAATTATTGTAAATTGTAGCTCAAGAGTCTGCCAATGTATGAATAGTTTGAATTACTATTAATTATTGAATATTTTTTTAATAGCGCACAAGTTCCACTACTAAATGCTCACATGTGCTTTACAAATTAAGGTACACAAATTAAATACACAAGGAAGATAATGTTAGTGTAATAATTGCTTTTAATATTTGAGTTACAGTAAGAGCTTTGGAAAAGGCAAGAAATACCGGTCAGTTTGCTCAGTCATCAGTAGTAAATCCAAAAGGAGGCACTGTTTCAGCATTTGACGGAGGCTCAGAAGAAACAGATACAAGTAGTTCCGAGTCACTGGATTTAAATGGTAGTCGACGTAAAAAATTGAAAGTTGCGGCCAGTTGAGCTGGAGAGAGCAAAGGGGTGATTAAGGCAGCAAAGAATTGGGATGTCAATTAGAATTGTTTCATCTTATTCTTATAATGACTACCAGATGGAGTTGTTTATACTTGTCATTTATCCATATATCAAATCATTTAATCAACCACTGAACCATGCACTTTTTTATCCATCCTTCTTTTACAAGTAAAACTTAGATCTCTGTGCATGGCTACAGGTATCCATTCATCTTATAAAATTGTTTTTAATCAGCTTCATGTCGATGTTTGGTGCTTCTGATCAGTATGCCTAGTATTTAAACATATGTTCTTTTATATTAAAAGAGCATCTTTGGCAAGTGAGGTTATGATTTGATCATAGTGAATGAATGATATACCATCTTTATAGATACTAAAGGTTCTCATGTTCCATCTATAGGCAATCAATAAATTTCTCTAAAATCACTAAATGACCGAATTTTCCTAAGGAGATCTATCCCCTTCTTTAAAAGAACAAATATATTTTGATGTATAGTTATTTTTATTTATTTGTTGTTTTTTTTATTATTTGGAGGATTGAAATATTCTATTTTTATGGTAAAACAGTTACTCTAAATTATTACCAAATAAAACATCTGCTGTTAAAGTATTATAAGGAATAGTATTGTATTTGTATACTGTGAATAGTAGTTTTGTACAAGGGCAATGGAATTAACTTTCTCTCCACCACCTTTGGAAAAAAGCAAGGGAAAATTAAAATGGGTTCGTCCATCTATTTGTCACAACTTTTGGAAAACAAGAAAAATCTGCTATTTGATGTACACTGTTCAAACTTTGTGCAGATTAGTTGAATGTCTTGACTGATTTCTGAGGCGAGCATTTGCTGCTCATTCCAGATTGGTTGATGGAGGCTATAGAACACAATAATTTTGATTCTGTGTGAGAGCGGTGAAAATTGGTGTATAGTTTCATTACATCAATGCCTTAACTAAATTCAACGATCATTTTCTGCTCAGGTTAAGCAGAGATACGAGTAAGTAATTTGATTTGTGAATGCTTTGGAAGAGATAACTGTGATTCTAAATAATTGAGGGAAGTCATAAAACTTGGTGTATAGTTTCATTTCATCAGTATATACCTTGACTTAGTTCAGTACTGAGTATTGATTTATGTAATCTGATTAAAATACACATCTATATTTCGTTCCGTTTTTTTTTTTATACACTGCATGAAGATCTGACCGTTTGTAGTGATAGGTCACGTCAGAGGTGATACAAGCGGGTTTTGACCCTATGATGTCATACATTTGATCACCCAATCAGCATTGATGTTTCAAGTGGATTCCCACAGTTCCTTGCATCACGCACACACCAAAAGCTCACTGTAACAAGACCGTTTCATTGGCTAAACCCTCACATCATCCAGAACACCACAATAACAACTGTACCAGATTCTAGTGTAGTAAAGACAAAACAAAATTTTGAACTGTTAAAAAACGAAACAAAATAGGTTCTGTGTTTTAATCAGATTGTGATTGATGCCTTATAAAAGATAACTTGTGCAAGTAATTAATAAGTGTCAATCGTCTATATTGAGACTGAGATGGGGACATTAGATGTACTGTTGCCTTGTTTGTCTTAACTTTGCTTAGGTTTATTTAGAGACTTGTACAAATGTAAACAAATATTTTTAACGTAATGAGCAAGTAAATAAATACATGGGACAATACTCAAGTCCATATTGTAAAGGTAGGCTAATTAATCATCGTTTGATAGGACATATAATTATGTTAAAGATATATTGAATATCAATTAGAAGTTTCTCACTGTAAATTTCACAATCTTTAACTATTTCCTCTTTACTTCTATTAAGTTTTTATTTTCCTTTTGGGACTTGAGGTGTGTGTGTGTATATATATATATATATATATACTATATATGTATGTAGACCTCACAATGGAAACTCTGTTGAATATAGGTATTCACAATTTGATGTTAGCCTGATATTCCTTCATTGGTGATATACCCCCCCCCCCCCCCCCCCCAAAAAAAAAAAAACAACATTTATGTATGTGTATATTTTGATTTATTTATTTACTTTAAGAAATAAGTTAACAAAACTATTAAGTCAGTTTTCTGTTAACAATTGTTGAATTATTTTAGTATTTTTCCTTTACAGCCTATGTTTATATGAGATTATTAAAGGGATTAAATGAGACTATGATCTTGCCAAGTTGTTGGTATTCTACAATCAGAACATTTATTGTTTCTCTTAAATATATACAACTCGTGTACGTATATATAACTTATATATGTTACATTGTATATATATATGTTTATTGTGAGAAGTATGGTATCAAATTTTAACCTTGATTTTAACCGGGCCATACAACAGCTATTTAATAATGTTCAAACTTCTATATTGATGTCATTTGCACTAGGAATTGTTACTTGGCATGAATGTTGGAATAAAGCATCTATGATAATCAAACATAATTTAAAGTTGTTTTTATACACCCACGTATATTGTTGCCCCTGTTCATCCGTCCGTCCACAATTGTTTGTCGACACTCTACAGTTCACAATTCTTGTCCGATTTTGACGAAACTTGAAATATAGGTTTATCTCCAAAAGATCTTGGTTCCTTTCGATATTGGCAAAGTACTGGATCTTAACTTCCTGAATTATGTACGAAAAATCGCGTTTTTAACTTGTGGTCCCTCTAGAGATCACAATTTTGATCTGATTTTGATGAAACTTTAAATTTTTGTTTATATCACAAACATCTTGGTTCCTTTCAATAGTCGCGCATATCCGAACGTAACTTCCTGGACTATGGCCCTGATTGTATGAAAAGTCACAATTTAATTTTAAAAAACGTTTAAACATACATTATGCAAGAGCTAAATCTGCCTATTGTAGGTCTTTCGTTAGGCCTGAAATGTTATCTAAATTATTAATTAGACATTAATTAACTTATCCAGACCATAACTCTCGATGTCAATGCTACCCTGCGATAGTTACTGGATTATTATCCGATTTTCTGCTCAACTTTTATTCATGACTTAATCACAAAAATCTTTCTTCAGAGTGGATCAATTTGACTGAAACTTTCAGCAAATTCCTTTTATGTTTTTATACGCCCATATTGAAATGTGGTCGTATGTTGTCGTCGACCCGTCCGTCGGTCTGGCGTCCACAAGCAATTGACTTTAAATTTATACAGTGTTTAAGGTCATGAGATGAAGAAGCCTATTGATTTTCAGCAATTTCCGATAATTACTGCCAGAGTTATGGCCCTTGGTCACTTTGAAAAATCTTGTGGACGCTCTAAGAGGCCAAAGTTAATATCCGATTGACGTTAAATTTATACACAGTGTTTAAGGTCACAAGATGAAACTTCCTATGCTAAAGTTATGGCCCTTGAGAACTTTGAAATATCTTCTGGATGCTCTAGAGGCTAAATTTATACACAGTGTTTAAGGTTGGGACTTGTGAGACGAAGAAGGCCAGTGATTTTCAATGATTTCCGATACTTACTACCAGAGTTATGGCCAGGCCCGCACGGAGGGGCAGTGAAGGTTTTAGAGGGGGGAGGCAAAGTCTACAGTAGATATTTTAGAGCCATGGTCAGCAATTTTTTCGGGGCGGCAAAACATTTTTACAGGGGGGGGGCATTCCCCCCCCCCCCCACTGCTAAAGTTATGGTCCTTGATAACATCTTGTGGTTGCTCTAGAGACTAAAGTTAATATCTGATTGAGGTCAAATTTATACACATTGTTTAACCCTTTCAATGCTAGACGTAAATCCACTGCCTGTGCTAGACCCTATTTTATCCGCCCACATTTTCATGTGGACGTATATTGTCGTTGCCCCTGTCCATCCGTCCACAATTGTTTGTGAACAGTCTACAGGTCACAATTTTTAACCGATTTCAATGAAACTTGAAATATAGGTTTATCACCCTAAGATCTTGGTTCCTTTCGATATTGGCATGTATTGGACTGTAACTTCATGGATTATGGCCCCTGATTGTACAAAAAATCACGTTTTTAGCTTGTGAACACTGTAGAGGTCACAATTTTTATCCGATTTAGTTTAAACTTGAAATGTATGATTATAACCCAAAGATCTTGGTTCCTCTCGATATTCACGCATATCCGAACGTAACTTCCTGAGTTATGGCCCCTGATTGTCCGAAAAATCGCGTTTTTAGCTTGTGGACCCTATAGAGGTCATAATTTTTATCCGATTTAAAAAACCATATTATTATATTACCGTTAAACCCTAAGGACGGCTGAGTTCGAATTTCGTGAAATCGCCCCAAAACTGACAGACAAAATGGCCGCCGTTCATTCTCAAATGGCGTAAAAATATGGTATATCAAGGTTGTGGACCCTATAGAGGTCACAATTTTTATCCGATTTTGTTGAAACTTGTAATGTAAGTTTATAACCCAAAGATCTCGGTTCCTTTCGATATTCGCGCATACCGGACTGTAACTTCCTGAATTATGGCCCCTGATTGTACAAAAAATTGTGTTTTTAGCTTGTGGACCCTATAGAGGTCATAATTTTTATCTGATTTAAAAAAACTTATTATCATATCACCGTTACACCCTAAGGACAGCTGAGTTCGAATTTCGTGAAAATAGCCCAAAACTGACAAAATGGCCGCCCCTCGTTCTCAAATAGCGTAAAAATATGGTATTTCAAGGTTGTGGACCCTAAAGAGGTCACAATTTTTTATCCGATTTTGTTGAAACTTGAAATGTAAGTTTATAACTCAAAGATCTCGGTTCCTTTTGATATTCGCGCATATCGGACCGTAACTTCCTGAATTATGGCCCCTGATTGTACGTAAACTCACTTTCTTTTTAGCTTGTTCTCTATCCATCTCTCGAAAATGGGGGCGTATAATGCCTGGCAGCCGCTGGTTGAGGAAAAAAGTGGGTTTGGAACTAAATGGTTATGGCCCTTATGATAATTACTTAATGAGTTGTTACTCTTAATCAGATTTTAGTGTATTATAAATGTTTCATTACCGACAATAGAAAAAATATGCGACAACTCTTGTTGACTTCTCAGACGACTTAGCTGCTGTGGGCGTAGGTTTCGTTGCCTGGCAACCTATCTTTATAGGGTCATGAGACAATCATGCCTATTGATTTTCAATACTTGTTGATAATTACTGCTAGAGTTATGGTCCTTGATAAGATCTTGTGGTTTGCTCTAGAGACTAAAGTTAATATCTGATTGAGGTCAAATTTATACACATTGTTTAACCCTTTCAATGCTAGACGTAAATCCACTGCCTGTGCTAGACCCTTTTTTGAGGAAAAAAGTGGGTTTGGAACTAAATGCTTTTATGAAAATTCTTTTTGTGTGTTGGGATGGGCATGAGGTTTGGCTAAGAGGAAAATATAGAATTTTTGAAATTTGCATAATCATCTAGTCACGTGACGTCATGGTGGCTATTTTGGATTTCTCATTTCTCACTAAAGCTAACACGAAAACGAATATTTCTCCATGAAATACATATGGGATATTGTTTTTTTCACTGGATTTTGATAAAGATAAATAAAATTAACAAAAATATCAATAGCAGCCATGAGCAATGCCACCACTAACACGCTCACCACGTCTCCCGCGGCCATGACCACGTGCGGATTGCAATACCTTGTTTTTACTTTTACTTTCACCCTCAAGTCCCATATCATTATCACTATAGTGACTAAGTCAGTCAATAGATCTACACGTTTGGGACTCAGGAATTGCCTACGTCTTTTACGATCCAGTAGGCCAGCATTATCATCACCTTTAGAATTATCGTCAGAATCTACTGAAGACATACTACATAGAGCTATCATGTTTACATTGGGCTCGTTCATCATGCACGGGAGACATAGCCATAATCACTGTCCTGACTACTATTATTATCAACTGGAAACGAATTATGTGTATCAGTACACACTGTCTTGGTCAGCGAAGATGTAATTCACGACTTCGCCGAGATTGCATCGTCTACGTTGTCACTATGCACTCCGCCATTTTACGGTTTGCCGCTTTGAAACACGTGGAAATATGTTCTAGTGTATAGAAAATACAATAGATGGCATTTGCAGCTACGGTGCTAATTTTAGCGAGGGCCATACTGAGTACCGTGTACGTGCATTTTAACGACATTTTATAATACACGGTAATACCATGTAGACACAATGAAAGGCCTATTGATTTTAAACAATTTCCATTAAGTACAGGGTGGATGGCAGAATGATTAGCATGTGCGCATTGTATCATAAGGTCTGTCATTGAGTCAACTGGCGTGGTTTTGATTTCCCCGGTTGTACGTGACAAGGAGTAGGGTCCTCTGGTTTCCTCCCACTGCTAAAGACCTACGTGCAAGCTAATTACTGAGATAAAAATTGAGGCCTATAGAGAGTCCACAAGCACAGGTATAAAAATCCTGACATGTAGCATGTTCCAAAGACATTCTTGACAGACATGTCTACATACATGTATATGTCCACATTAAAGGAGGTGTATAAAAAAAAATTAACATCTTAAATCTTTTATGAATTATTTTAAATACAGATACGAATGTATTACCACAAGGCCATGATACGACCAACATTACAATGTCAATGAAGAGAAGAGAAATAGGGGAAATTCAAGATGAATTTTGTTCTGTTGAATTGTTTTCAGAAGAATTCAGTGGAATTTGGTGACTAAAATATCTTTGAGCGATGACAACTGCATTTACACCAATATTAAATACTGGATGAACACTTCTCTGTAATATAAAATAATAAGATAATTAGATGTGTTATTTATAATATACATTGACTAGTACCATAATTGTTTCCAATGATTTCATGACACAAATGTAGTTCATCCATTTGGAGCCATTTTTTCTTTTCTCTCTTTTTCCACTGTTTGCGTGACATTTTATTATTGACTAGAATGGAAGGAGAGTGCTTGAATTTACATTTCATGGCAAGTTTTCATTCAAGAGGTGAACAGACATCAACACTTTGTACTGAGTTATCTCTCATATTTCATGATTATAGGGATGCTCGATTGTTAGTCCTGAACGTCCCAAACTGAGAGAATTGAAATCTAGTGATGCAGTATTCAGTCCTGCCACAATTCTGTCAGTTCTAACAACAGAGGTTGTGACGTAATTTAACACAGCAAATATGTTTCAGCTGTATTTCTTGATGCAGTCGGCACTAGGGGCTAAGTGAGAGTGACGCAATGACATACTTTGCATCATGGTTTTGAGTTTTTGCACCCCCTCGCAAATGGCAAATATCACGCAGTTTCAATGCGGTTTTCAACATTATAATCATAATGCTCAACCAGTGTCAACTGTCATATATAAAATACAGATCTGCTACAAATCGACTCTAGCATTTTCCACACAGCCCAATATCACTCGGCAGCAATGGGAGGGATCCTATCCCTTTCCCGCACACACAAATATTGTTTTTTGGGGACCCGGACGGATCTTGTTCCTCATGCAAAATCATGGGTTACCATGATCCTACTCGGTCCATGCGTTGCAGCCCGAAATCCTCCTTTTCACTAGATTGTCACTATTTTTTCTGATTAAGAGAATTAAATTCCGGAATCCACAAGATTTTTCTCCAATTACCTCCAAAATAAGTAAAAACTAAAGTCACAAAAAAGGACACTATATTGATCTCAACAAGCTATAGGGAGAGGGGTGATATAGGCCTAGCCCGTTCCCCAATCCTATTCTTATTGAATAAAATATAGTTTTAAAAAAAAAATCTCAACAAGCTTTACTAAACAGTTCTATGGCAATGATGCTGGTTTTTAATGACTTCCTCTATATAGTAGTAAGCTCTAAGACTTCAATTTATATTGTACATCATATGGCGCCATGCTTAAAATAGTATAGATATTGTCAACAATGTAAAAGTAATACCACAAATAAGACTGCATAATGAGTTAGTATTCACCATGATAGCTGGATCTTAACATAGTATTTATTCAAAGTATAAATTTATAGCTATAAATACTTACAACTTTATTTTTAGGACTTCCTACTACATTAGTTTCATAAAGATGACCACTGACAAAATGTTGTGCAACAGACAGTCCACTTAAACAATAACATGTATGATAGTAATCTCTAGCCCTGTAAATATAAACATGTATGATAGTATCCCTAACACTGTTAATATAAACAATAACATGTATGATAGTAATCTCTAGCCCTGTAAATATAAACATGTATGATAGTATCCCTAACACTGTTAAAATAAACAATAACATGTATGGTAGTGATCCCTAGCACTTTAAATATAAACATGTATGATAGTAATCCCTAGCACTGTAAATATAAACAATAACATGTATGGTAGTGATCCCTAGCACTGTAAATATAAACATGTATGATAGTATCACTGTAAATATAAACATATATGATAGTAATCCCTAGCTCTGTAAATATAAACAAATAACTAGCAGTATAAACTAAATATAAATCATACATGTATATAGTTATTCTTATTGTTACCCTGGTATTGCTTTTAAGGTATAACACAAGTATTTTGCAGTCCGGGGCAAATTGTGTTTTACAAACCCAGATACCGATTTTAGAAATCAACCGTTTCCAATGATACAGGCCTATTACGTTTTTCAGCTGATTTTTGCCATTTTCAGGCCAACTTTTAGCTATTTTTGTCGCACTACTACCACTGTTATGTGACCCTGGCGAACTAGGTTTTGGTTGTTCATGGTAGTCGGTGTTCATATTGGTCACCCGGTTCAAGTTCCTTTTCCGTAGGTGTCTGGAGATGGTAAGCGATTTTCCTGCGATAAACGTGATCGCGGGAAAGTGCCACTGTAGATGGGAATTTATATATGGTGTCTTAAACGAAGTAGTTTCATGACGGAAAATAAGTTAAAGGGTTAATAATGATTGTCCATTGATTTGGGGCGTTATATACTATTAGGATAATATGTGACATCAAATACTAATTTCTATGTGCTGTCGGTTGATATCAATGAGATTAAAATGTCAGGCAATGGAGAAACCACCGAGGTAATCACGTAGATAAGGTTAATACTCTTACTGGATTGATAAACAGTCTGAGAAAAGAGAAGCAATGACTTCTGTTTAAGATTAGATTGATGAATTTCCCAGCAAAGGATTAGGTCAGTCAATCAAGGCAGATTAAGCAAGTAAACAAGGTAGGTGTATAGACGGGATAACACGATAAATACGCTGATCACTTAATTGTCTAATCAATCCAGCCTATTATCAACGGTAATCGAGATGTGTATAGTGTACACTCAGTACACTATATTAATTTTGAATATTATTCACCACATCTTGATTTCCAATGGGGCATATTCCTGGCCGGGCATTTGGAAAATAGCGTAGGACATGTCCAGAATGTACAGGCCAAATCCCAACACATAGAGGAGTTAAGAAACAGAAAATCGACGCGAAAAGTGATGAATTTTGTAACTTTCGACACAAATTTTCATACTGTTGAAGGTTAGTTGACAATGATTTTATTTTTTATGTTAATAGAACAGGTCAAGCTGCAAATAAAATGATTTTTATTTTTATCGCAAACCCTGCTCCAGTAGAGTTATCTCAATTTGAAAAAGCCTATAATTCAGGTACCTGCAGATACGTATTTGTGTAGTCTCTTGACACCTACGGAAAGAGACGCAGACCATAATCACCAACCAAAACCTAGTTCGCCATTGGTCAATTAACAGCTGTAACAATGCTACAAAAATGGTTGAAATTTGACCTGAAAATGATGAAAATCAGTTGAAAAACGTAATCAGGCTGTATCTATTTAAATTTGAGCCAAGTATGTTCAGGTCACAATTCTATGGAATACAATTACTGCTTATTACTAAGCGACGTTTTGACAATGACTTTGATAATGACTTTAAGAGAAGACTAGTTGAAATGTCGATCAGAGAAACCTAGTCGAAATGTCCCTTAGTAATAAGCAGTAATTATATTCCATAGAATTGTGACCTGTATACTCCAGTTCAATTACTAAATGCCATTGAAACAATTTAAATTTTCCAAGTATGTTCACATGTGACTCATGCCCCCCAACCACCCTAAAAAGTTTCCACACCGTTGCATCACTCGTATTAGGGGCCTGTGCATCAGTCAGTTTCAATTTTGCTAAACACCCTGCCAAACAAAATCAATATGTATGTCCCTGAAGAAAGTGTCTAAATCACTGAGACTAGAATGCTGTAATTCTTATGTTGAATGTATTTTACACCAGTTCATCCAGAGTAACCTGCAAACATTTCCATTTACCCCCCCCCCCCCTTGAATTTTAAGAATCTAAATACACTGTTAATGTGTATTTAAATTTGATAGATTTACTGAACTGACTGTTTCCTACTTACTTTCCTGGTTTATCTATTAATCCACCATTTGGATGTTGACAACAGACTAACAGATATTCTTGTAATGCTCTTTGATCAAACAACCAGGAATTGGCGCTGACAGCAGGATCCTCTGTTAAAACACAATAAATTGTAGCATCTGTATCTAAATAAGGTGTAGGTAACCTAGGACTGATGTAAAATAAAAACGCAGTCATTTTTGAAGACAACTATGCTGGTAACCGGTAAAAACTTTTGTGTTTTATCTCATATAACAGGGCTGTAACCGTTGTGTCATTTAGCCGGAGCTGGTAACATGCTAAATTTAGACAAATATATTTGAATACAGCAAAACCTACCATTTGCACATAAGACCATATGTATTAAAGGTAAAGCACCACCCTGCCAAAATGAATAACAGCCATCCACTAATTTATTAGTTCTTCCTTGAAAACCACCTTCATATTTCATCTGTCGATTAACAGTCCATCTCTAAATATAAATATCATTACTGCATTCATTTAAATTGTTTTTATATTATTTACAATATGTATTGATAATCATTAAATTATACTATTACTGATATTGTAAATATTCTATTACCAGAGAACGATATTCAACCCCCGGAAAATATTTTTAACTGTAAACTCTCAAAATAATTGAACTCAATTTCTAACCATGCTTCAAAGAAAGAATTTGTCATACCAGCAAGGATTTGATGTCTGCATATTTTGTTGCATTTATGAGTATTAAAGCTGCTATACCACAGAAAGAATAACCACCATGTGCTTCTAGCCCAGGAGTACCTGAAAAGCCACCTTCATACGTCTGGCACCTACAAGAATCACAAATACTTACTATCCTACTATGTAATAGATAATCTATTTCAATTTTATCTAAATTGATGCTAAATGCATCAATAATATAATTCAAGGTATGGTACAGTAAAACCACATTCTCCATATGTGACTAAGAGGGACTTGGATATTCTTCCATCAAGTAAACTTGATATAATCTTAAATGAAAAGATAGCGCTGTACAGGCAAGATCATCAAAAAATATTTCTTCGCCTTAGATGTATGGTACATATAAAGTTTAATTTAATGTATAAAGCTTCTTTTGTTTTCAATCTTTCGTCGATGACTGATTATGCATAGAACATAGAATGAAATCACTTCTCTTTGTTTGAAAAGAAGTTCACATAGACAACTCTGTAAAAACCAATATTAATTTATGTACAAGAAATTAACTACCTGGCTAACCACTGAGGTGTGTCTTTAAATAATTCTTCTGTACATAGATTTGTTAATTTAGCAACACTGGCAGCACAATATGTTCCTCTGAATAAAATGCAAATATCAATATCAAAAAATAACAAGCAGTTGCCATGCAACGAACGCCCACATTTTACACAAGATGGACAGAGAGCAAGCTACCCATTCGTAAGAGTAGTCATAAACTAGGATGTAATAGTGACATGCATCAAATGCAAAATGAACCGAGATCTTTGGGATACAAACATGTTTTAAGTTTCATCAAAATCTGATAACAAGATATGGACAGAGAACACTCTAAGAGATGTTTCATACAGTCATGGGCTATAAATCCGTAAGTTACTGTCTTATACGCACAAGTTTCAACTGGATATAAATGTATATTTTAAGCTTCATCAAAATTGGATAAAAATTATGACTTCTAGAGGGTCCACACCCTTGGTATTAAATATTTTTACACTATTTGCGTTTGAGGAGCGGCCGTTTTGCCCGACAGTTTCGGTCCGATTTTCCTTAAATTCGAACTAGGTCGTCATTAGGGCGTACTGGTGATATATTAAAAGGGTTTTTAAAATCGGATAAAAACTGTGACCTCTAGAGAAACTTCAAGCTAAAAACACGATTTTTCGTACAATCGGGGGCCACATTCCACGAATTTAAGGTGCGATATGCGCCATTTTGTCTGGCAGATTCGGTCCTATTTTTACGAAATTCTAACTCAATCGTCATTATGGTGTAAAGTTATGACCTCTTAGAGGGTCCACAAGCTTACAAGCGGTTGCCATGCAAGATGTGCCCATGAAATTTTATTTTATTTCAATAATTTGCTTGCGCGTAGGGGTCTTTAGCAGTGGGTGGAAACCGGAGGTTGGACAGGCGACCCTACTCCTTGTCAGATACAATCAGGGACCATAAAATTCGAACTCAACCAACATTATGGTGTAACGGTGATATAGTTACACAGTTTTTAAAATCGGATAGAAATTGTGACCTCTAGAGGAACCACAAGCTAAAAAATCGATTTTTCGTACAATCAGGGGCCATAATCCATGAAGTTACAGTCCCATACATGCCAATATCGAAAGGATCATTCCAAGATAAACCTATATTTCAAGTTTTGTCAAAATTGGATAATAATTGTTTCCTGTAGAGTGTCCACAAACAAATTGTGGACAGATAGGGGCGACGACAATATTATACATCCACCTGAAAATGTGGGAGTATTAAAAACATGATTTAGGAAGTGTTGTGTACACTAGGCTTAGTTATCAAGAATACAAACTTTATAAATGTTATCAAGAATAATAATGACATTGGACAATCGTTAATTGACTCATTGTTATTGGGAAATGGCAACCATCGCTTTGTCTGTTTTAAAAATCTTTTTAAGTGCATTTTTTTGTGGATGACAAAATTCTTGTGAATTACATCTTGTAGTAATGAGAAATAAATGACTGAAAATATACTACAAAGGTTCTTGCAAACGGGAGATGGAAGGAGCAGCATTCACATTAGAACTAATAGATCTGTGCTTGCATCCATAGATCCGAGACAACAATTAGTATACAGTAAATGAAATAAATTTTAGATATGTAACCCAAAAATTATTCATTATATAAGTGAATTTCTGTAAACAGCATGAATAAACTGATGAGATAAATGTAGAATCTTGAAATAATAATTTTATTTGTAATTTGGGCACTCACCTTATATCTACCTCACCACCTTCATGCATTTTAAATGATCCTTCCTCTGTTCTCATTCTCATTAGATAGTCGTATAATGTATCTCTGTTAAAATAAATAGAATAACAGATTTCAAGATATACAACTCATTATATTCATGTTCCCATACATTATACCTTTGCTCTATATGGTCCATTTGCAGAATGCCAAAGACAGACTTTGTGTGTATATCTCATAATATCACACCCTATCACTTTTACTTTAGCTCATTTACTTTTCCCTTTTAAATTAAGTCAAATTTCCATGGACTTTAGAATGTAAAAATACATCTTCAATGGTAGCTCGAAAAATTACACTGAATAAGTTATTGGAAGCGTTTTTTTTTATGAAAACATATATCTCCCAGTTACAATGAAACATTAAAGAAAGGTTGCCAGATAAACAAAAACACAGCTGCATGCTTTTATTTTTAACTAGAGCATCTTCAAGAAACCCAGATAGGCTTCTTCCTAGCTTTAATATACAAAACACATAAATTTATAGTTAATCCACAAGAAAGTAAGCATGGGGAATAACTGAAAACACTATATCTATATTTCATGTCACAGCCAAGGGTGATGACAGTATACGATAACATTTAAATGTGGCCGTGTAAAAATCTTCAAGTTAGAAATGAAATGAAATAGGGTTTAACATCCTCCATAAATTAGAGAAACAATTTTTACCTATTCAATATATTAAAGACATCTTCTGTAACTTGACTTAATATACATAAAGCATTTACAGCAGCGTATGTTGGAGCTAAGTGAGCAGCTTGACCGGGACCACCTTTAAATAAAACAACTTTAATTATATCTTTAACTTTACTCTCAATTTGACTGCCATATTTATAATATAGAATAAAGCAAGACATTAATGTGACCTAATTTGCTTGCAGTGGGGGTAAACTGGAGAACCCATTGACAACTCATTGTCAAGTACAAGACACAGGTCGAAACCATGATACTTAACTCAATGACAGACTTCGGCCACCCATACCCGTTTGATACATTTATATATTGAAATTAATGCAAATGAACTAGATTCTCTTATCAAAAATTACATCTGGTTGACTTCTTACAAGTTGAACTAACAAGTAAGACACCACATTTAATGCAGTGATTTCTTGAACACATTAATTTCTTAAACACATTAATTTCTTGAACCCCAATTACTTGTTTCAGTGGTTTGAACTACTGAAGATTTGTGAATATTCATTAATTGGGTATTACTCAATTTCTAATACTAGCAAATTATTACCTCCAAATCCTCCCTTTGGACACTGACATTTCCCCAAAAATTTTGCAATTCTGAAAACAGAAATTATAAGGTGAACTATATAGGCTACTGGACAAAGATGCATACACCCACAGCAGCTAAGTCATGGTAACAACAGAAAATATGTTCTTACACAAAAAGCTAACACATAGTAAAATGAATATACAGGTCACAATTCTATGGAATACAATTACTGCTTTTTACTGAGCGACGTTTCGACTAGGCTTCTCTAGTCATTATCAAGCTATGATAAAAAATGAAAATATGACAGGACAATATATACATGTACACCACAATGCTAAGTTAATGATGACAAACCAGGGATGTAACTATCGGCATCCCTGCATCGCATCAAGAAAGTAAGATTATTACATACATGTACATATTTTCCTTCTGTTCTTCGTATCTGATCAATGAGTTTGACTGCCACATCTCCATACTGATGTCTGATAAACTGTTTCAATGGCATTTAGTAATTGAACTAGAGTATACAGGTCACAATTCTATGGAATACAATTACAGTAAAGCAGTAATTGTATTCCATAGAATTGTGACCTGTATACTCTAGTTCAATTACTAAATGCCATTGAAACAGTTTAGTAAAATGAAGTCTTTGTTGTATATGTCTGGATTTAACATATTAATCAGAATTTATGAAAATAATCACTTTATAGACATTGGTTTTATTTTAAAACTTACTCTAATGCTGTACCAGTGGGAATAGCTTCTTCTAATATTTCCATACTGTGTAGAATCCAATAACATAACCAGGGTCGACTTGCATCTAAACACTATAATATAACAACAACAGTATATAGTTGCATCTCTCTGGAACTTATGTATCTCAGCAGTAAGGTCACTAAATGTGTGTTATCATTTTCACTTATTATCTCGCATTATTTTGGGGACTTTTTTTTATTTCAGGGACCCTGTCCTCTCACAAGCCGAGGGTCAAAATCCTTGCTCCTAACCAACAGTCGGTGTATAATTTAAAGAAATAGGCCAGAGGATAATACATAATATTAAATAGATTAATTATTACCTCATATGATGTGCCAAGATGTCTTATTCCCTTCCATAAAAACATGGTGTGATCATCTCTTCTCAATATTGGAAAACTGAAATAATAAAATATATCCATAATTTATTCTGCCCCCTTGTAAAAAATATACTGTCATGGGATAAAAGAATGTGAAAAATAGTTCAACCAAACGAACAGTTAATTTTTAAAATCCTTCAACTACCTATAAATGTAGTGTAGGCCTTCAACAAAATGATTTATTTGGCAAAGAAATGTCTACAAGGTCTTTGGAAAATCTGATTGCTTCCATTTATTGGTCATGTACTAGCCTATGACAACATACAACATAATTCACTATTGGTCATCACTTACAAAATGTATGACATTTGAAATCAATAGAAAATGGGCAAATTAAGAGTCTGTTCCCTTGACTATAATATATGGGAGAGAGAGAGAAATGGGGTTTAACGTCCACTCAACACAAACTAGGTCATTTGGGACTGACATATGGTTCAATTTTATTTCAATAATTCACTTGCACGCAAAGGTCTTAAGCAGTGAGAACAAACCGGAGGATCCGGAGAAAACCCACAAGTTGGACAGGCGACCCTACTCCTTGTCATGTACAACCAGGGATTGAAAACAATGACAGACCTTTACGATACAATGCGCCACATTAACCATTTGGCCATCCAACACCCCTTTTTTGAACTACTGCCAGAGAAATATATCAAAAATTACAATGAAAAAAGAAGTAAACGCATGTTTATGGCTCTAAATTTCAGTTCTCTTGAACCTCTTTAGGCCATATTGATATAATATAATGTAATATATAAAACAATGACATTATGTCAGAGCATAGTAACGAAACAGGAAAAAATATTAAATTAATTAAGTACAGTACAATTCCAGAGAGTAAAATAACATCTAACATCATTAATATTCAGTTATCCAATATTCCGATTTACGGGGGGGGGGGGGGGGGGGGGCATATATTTTTTAATACAATTCATTTCTTTACATTCGAATAAATGACTATTTTAAGAATTTTCTTTGTAAAGCCGGAAAACCTTGAATACTCCTCGACCATATTTATACTAATGGGTACTGACTTGGATTGTTCTGTTTTCCGGGTGCCTAATTTGCGAACGATGGACATTCATTCTAATATTTAGTTGGTCATCAGTTTTCCCAATATATTTTTCAGAACACCCATTGCATATTATTAGATACATCACATAATCGGATTTACAATTCATATTTGACTTCACATGAAATTTTGTATCTGTAGTGATCTGGATTGAATCGCCCTCAATTAAATATGAGAATAAATGGCATCGTACGTCCCCACACATGGACACACACACGTGTGTTTATTTCTTTTTTCAACATAATTTTATATATACATACAATAGACAAACAGAGTTGTAACATTTTTAGACTGACTTTGGTATTCTTTTTTTTTTACTTTGAGTGGTGGAGAATTTGGGTCAAATAGTTAGGTGTCTGTCTACTGTTTTTTTTTAAAATTACAATTGATCTTGTTCTGTGCACTGCCAATGATTCCAACAAACTGTTTCAAATTGCTTGGAACTTGTACATAATTCCATAAACAGATCCAAACTGTTACACTATCATTCTTAACAGGACAACTTCTAGTCAAATTCATTCAGGTCACAGACAATAATAGATATTTTTTAAAATAACTTACTCAGAATCTATTTCAAAATCTCTGTTAAACTCCTCTAATATTACTGATATTGCATTTTCTACCCTTATCTGAAAAAGACCATTTTATTTTACTAAATAGCAATTATTGTACTTAAAGATACATTATGTGAGATTTAGATAAAGAGCTGACCATTCTTACTATAATAGCTCAAAAATAGATAACGTAAAATAAAAACATTGAAAATTTCATTCAAATTACTTCATTCTAAAGCCAAGTTATCACTGTGGGTATTTTTGAGAAGATGTGTACATAGTTGTAACCAGGGCGCTGGTACATGTATATTCGAGACTTAGCCTCAAATTAAATTTTTAAATGGCAAACCGTTCTAATCTAGCTAAAATCTTGAATATCCGATGCGATTGAGAGTTGGTAATGGTCTTGTTTTGTTAATAAATGTCTAATTAATAGTTTATATAACATTTCAGGCCTAAAGAAAGACCTGCAATGGGCAGATTTACCTTTTACATATTAATGTATGTTTAAGTACTGCAAGTAACTATGCAACTGCTATAGTTAAGTATTTGTAATTTTAAAAGTAAAATTTACGCCAGCTACGTAGTACATGTGTCCTGTCTTGTGACTTCTGCCATAGTTGACATCAATACTCATATTAATGCTGCTTAGTGATTAAATGAGGCACATATCACCATTTTCAGAATATTTTAGTCTTTGAAGTTTATCAATTTTAAGAAATTTTTTTGCACAATTGCGTTATTATGAAAATACACATTTTATACATCACACAGTTATATTTTCTGAATAATCCATAATATTATTTTTTATATAATTTCAGTTGTGAAGTTAATAAATTATGACGTATAATAATGTGTTTGAGGCTGTAGCCTTTTATAAACTGGTTACCAAGAAGAATAAAACTTAAACATTTCTTTTCTCAACAGAATCTCATACACAAAATGCTAGTTGCATCAGTACTTCTCAAAATTGGTTAGCTATGAGAACCTTTGAAATGAAAAGTGGTATCAGTCATAAGGGAAACCCCAATTTCAAAAATACATCTTAAGTATGGTATGTTTACAACATGACCAGACACAACTTCATTTTAGTTAACTTTTAGGGGCTTTTTGTATCCATTGTTTTTTGAGGAGCCTGAGTGCCATCGAGTGTGTGAATCTTTATTCAGCACAATACAGATACAATATCGCTCCCCATCATTTTTATATTTTATTTTATATCACATCACTAACAAGTGGCCAAATGTCAGACTTACTAAAATTGTGTACCGGTACGCTACCTAAAATAAATTCCTTGCCACACGGACTCTGATTAAATCTTGTTTGAAAATCATCCAGGCATTTTATGATCTCAGCTTGCTGCTCTCTTTTCAGTTAATGTTAAGATGGTATAAATATGTAATGAAATTTGGGTTTATTAACGTCCTACCATTCTGATCCGACTGGGCTATGCACAGTGTGCTATGAGGGAAATTTTGCTCGGACAGCGGAGCTAAGGCCTACTCTTATATATCGAATTACAACTATCAAGGGATCTTTTATGTACCTTCCGAGCGACTAGACAGCTATCCTAGCCCTCTGTTCGGCACGCATTGACAAGAGGAAACCCTGATGTGAATTAATGTGGATTTGGGTATATTTGGGCGGTTTTGGGTAAATCATGTTACCCACAACTGCTTTAAACCACATAACTTACAAAATTGGAAAATAGACGTGTGCGGTTCTTCACTTTATTATATATCAGTTTATCAGATACCTTTATTTGGTGATATATAAAACAACAATTCACTGGACTATAATCTAACTACGCAGAGTGGAGAGTCCATAAGAGACAGTCTTAGGCTGCAATTCGAACGTAGTCGTATTCGTAATGACAATGTAAATGTCCTTTTTTGTTCAAGTTCCGTAGCCTAGTCCTTGTCTTAATTATGGTTATGCATTTATTCTATTACCTGTTCAATCGAAGATTCTGTTTTGACTGATTCATCATCAAACTTATTTTTAGCATGTTTTTCCGAGGTGTATCGTAAAACAGCACCCAGTTCATCCATAATATGATTTTGCAAATTCATTCATACATAAACCTGGGTTATTATTAATTATGAGGGTTGCTGATAATAGTCACATATTAGAACTTCGATATTCGAATTTAGTTTACTTCGCCAATCCAAACTGATCAGCAGTAAATATTCGCTTGGTCGTTAATGACCTGCAGATTTCGTCAGTCTCGAGCTGTAAACTGGGCTAGTATACCAAGTATACCGGTGGGAAAACGATTTGCCCCGAGTTAATGCAAATCTCTTCATGGCGAAGTGAGAAGGGGAAGTTTTGCCACTCTGCCCATTAAAATCAGATTTCTATGGTGGTTTTTTAGACGACGTTTTCATAGTCTGGATGTACACACTAGACGAATTTTGGACGTTTTCCAACATTCTGAACAATCATCATCCATCTGTAAAATTAACCGCAAATGTAAATCATAACACTATCTTGACACCATGCACTGTTTTTAAACGTAGCAACACACTGGCCAATATTGGAAACTAAAGTATTTTTCAAAGAAACCGATACACATCAAATACTGTTCAAAAGCTCCTTTCACCTAAAACATACGTTCTCTGGCATCGTAAAATCTCAGATTCTCTGTTTCCATAGGATATACTCAGATGGCCGATTTTGAGTCAGCATGTAGGCCTAAGCTGGTATTTAGCTAGATAACAAATCTTACCTCTCAACCCCAAACACATCAGTATATCTCAACGTTTTTAGCTACGATCTCGTAGCTAGTATTTAGCCAACTAAGAGAAAGGGGATTCTCCAAACGCTATCTCCGACCATGGGCGTCACACATGGGGCGCCCCCCCCCCCCATTATATTTCACGGCTACGCCTCTGTCTCCGACGTAAAAAAAACCCCCAAAACTCTAGCTGAACTTGCCACTTCCATAGGATATGTGCTCAGATGGCCGAGTCAGCATGTAGGCCTACGCTGGTATTTAGCAAACTAAGAGAATGGGGATTCTCCAAACGCTATCTCCGACGTATAAAAAACAAAACTCTAACTGTTCTTGCCGCCAAAGAAACAAACAATATGCAATCAGCAGTTAAACCCAAAACTTGTGGCCATCCCAGATGTCAAACATGCTAAATCATAAACATCCGTGTTCAAATGGGTCAAATTGGCCCCAATCCAAATGGCTGCCAGTTTTTGGCTTGAAAATTCCAATATTCACCCAATTATTATGATACAATCGAGTTTGATATTACAATATATATGTTTCGGGGTATCTGAATAGATTCCCATATAAATTTTGTTTGATGATTAGTGATACAGCGGAGTCAATATTGGGAGATCATTCAAGATGGCGGTCAGTTTGGGCGGGAAAATTCGATTTTGACATAAGGATCATGTTTGGTGTCAAAATATACGTTCTCGAGATAGCTGAATCCTTTTTGAACATATTTTGATAATTAATTGGTTCACCTGTGTCAATATACGAGGAAATCCAATTGGGGATTTAGGGATCCGATTAGGGATCTGAGAATAAAGTTACTCCTGCCTTAGATCTAATACGGCGACATGCATCCAGTATCAACAAAATTTCATTTAGACGTTCTGCAAGGGCGGATCTAGAGACCATGTATACGGGGCGCACAGGCGACAAAGGTGCGAAGCGAACAAAGGGGGTTTCGGGTGGCCTCCCCCAGAAAATTTCGAAAACAATGAGGCCCAAAAATGCCATTTCCAGTGATCCGGGATAAGAATCCGGTTCAAACATAATGAATTATAATGGGACTATTTCGGTCGGAAATCTTGGAAAATGGTTCAGGTAGAGACAGGCAGTGAGAACAGTTTACTCGAGTACTTTTGAACAGCACAAAGAGACAAAATTCTGGAAATTAGTTTATTAAAACACCTGACACCTGGATCCAGATGGGGGGGGGGGCTCTGGCGTACGACTGGGACCACTACCCGTTCACAACAATCACATTTTTATTGTTTTTTCTTTCTTTTTATATGCATAGATGATTAATATTCCCTAAACTTTACTCTTTTTAACAGTTTAACAGAAATAAATGGAAGATTGAAGAAAGAAAGGCGTGTCGTTTTATTCAAATTACAGGTTGTTTTGAGTTGTTTTGGGAAAATCTATGGACCCGGGTACCGGGCATGTCGACTGGGTCCATTCTCAGCTCAGTTCGGTGGCAGCGTAGCGGGCATGTCGACTGGGGCCACTCTCAGCTCACTTTGACAAATGTACCAAGATGGACATGCCTATTGAAGAACGCGGTGCCATACTAAATGATTAAAATGATGAGACACAGATGGATGCTGAAGTATCGCATGAACCTTTAGATAATGAACTGCCAGTTGTTATCCCGAAAATAACGGGCATTGAAGGCTTTAATATGGGGGCTAAGTTGAGAATTAATGATGGTCATAATTTCGAGCTCGGTGAAAAAAACTATGTGCGATGTCGCAAATTTCACTACCATTCCACTAATATTGAAAACTGTTGTAAAGCTATTAAGTGGAGGAGCCTAGACGATCCGTGGTGCCAAAGTTCATTTTTGCGGATTATTGTCTTTTACATGGTCTCAAGGAAAAATTAGTATAGGCGGTCGACTGTATAAGAAACCTTGTCTCCCAACCATCCGTGGTTCGAGATAAGAGATGGTTACTATATAATTTTACCTGGTAAAACCCCGATGTGGATAAGTTCGGGTTTCAAAAAACAAAACTGTCAATTTTTCTTCAAAACAACGATTGATTATTGTTATTTATTACATTTCTGCTACATCCAACTACTATTAAAGGGACAATAACACCCTTGCTGGCTTTACAGCTCCAGAAAATAAATAATAGCTTTATTCTAAGTACTAGATGTTATGTAAATTATCCATTACATCCTATTTTACTTGTCCAGAGTGTTCGAAAATATTTTAAAATCCAAGTCACATTTGAAAAGGTTTACGTTAGGCTTTTCAAATCATTTAGTTGAATTTTTACAATTTTTTAAATTCGGTGTGTTAAGATGAAATTTATATCACCAATTAATTGGAATATTGTAAAATAGTACAATTTGTTGATCAGAATAAAGATTGGGATATATTATTCAGTTACAACAAGAGTGGTATTGAGCCTTTAAGAATGCGTTTGCGAGAGAACCATTCAGGGACCGGCACATGGTGGGTGACCGATTTTCACCAATTTTTTTATTTATGATGGGTAACCCCTCCAAACTCCACTGCCACAATTTTAGATCAATCGAACCATTTTTAGAGCGTAGAAAAAAATTCGAAATTTTAAGACCGAAAAAAGCCAAAAAATCATCATTTTCAGACCACTTTTCAATTCTTTCGTACAACTAAACTACGGCGAGTAGATTAATGAAACTTTATAGCGTAGCAGATATGATTAGTGAGAAAACATTTTGAAAGTTTGATGGATTTTCATGGAGCGGTTTTTGGTACAGGGACTTATTGCTGCAAGGTACCAAAATAGCTCAATTTAGGTATGTCATTTTATTCTATCTATATCTCACCCACTGCGGGTTTAAGTATTTTTTTGGAATGCTGACTGAAAAGGCAATGATCTATAGTATTAAGATCAAGAAAAAAATTGGGTGGCACTCGACCCGTTTAGTAGTAAATAATTTCCATTTTTGTACAAAAATAACGATTTTCAACAAAAATGACGAAACATAAACCGCTTTATTTATACACTGAAAAGTGTAACATGGCACTTGAAACCAAATTTACGTGGTTTCCAGTTCCATTAACAGCAAGCCATAATAAAAATAGAAATAAACAAATAAACGCAGATTATATACTTTCATCAAAAAGTTCAAGTTTAAAAAATGTTCCATTATCAAAACTACAAGTACAATTACTTATTTCTATCTATCTAGCGCTATCTATCTATCTATCTATCTATCTAGCACTATCTTCTATCTATCTATCTATCTATCTATCCAATAAGTATCTAATCACGAAAACTGAGCTCACAATTACACCGTTAAAATTTTCAAACGATGAAGTTTGAAAAGCTTACTTTACTGTAAATGCCAAAAATAAAGAGCTGTTCTTGGTAAATACAATTAAATGAAATGAAATGAAATGAAATGGAGTTTAACGTCCTACTGTTCTGCTCATCTCTCTAGACTATTTTTAAACACTTTATTAATTCGGCAATATAATCTCATGATCTAGTAGAAGGATGATGAAATTTTTAACAGCAAATCGTAAAAACTAAATAGTGTACTAGTCATATACATCTGTCTACACTTGACAAACGAATCAAGCGATATTTCAAAAAGACAAAAAACAAATTGTATATGAGCGTAAGGTCACTATTTTAGCATACTCCCCACAGTGTTTCGTTTGATTAGACCTAATCCCACTCAACACTGTCGTAGTGAAAGCAAATTTCTGTTCCAAATTATGATTGGTCAATAGTCCGATTAACAAACAATACCTAACTGCGTAACAATATCATTCTGGTTTAAACAGAGTTTCAAATATGTTAACATAACGTTACGTCATGATTCACGAAATTTATTACGCCCAATTAACCAGTGCATAGCAGAATATTGCAGACACACGAGGCTATCAACATGGCTACAATGTAAACAATACTGTTTGGAGACGAACAATACTTTCACTGTTTTTAATACCTTAAATCACTGTCCAAAGTTTTAGGGAAAACCCCAGATTAAACGAAAGACTTTACTTAGGAGCGATTTGATTAAACGGGAAGAATAGACACACTCCCTTAAAAATGTAAGTATCAGAGGTCAATCCAGCAATGGCCAGAGCGGCATTTCTCTGGCTATTGCTTCAGGGATATGCTACTGAACCGCATTTTATTTGTGCAATGGATGGGAAAATGAACAGCTGATTTCATCCGCCATCTTGGATGCTGGAGTGCAAATCTAACTTCGGCCTGACGAATAATAATAATAATAATAATATTAATATGTACATTTATATAGCGCACGTACTCCATGTACAGAAGCATGTCCACTGCGCATACAATTAAATTAATTTAATTAATCTTGATAAGTCTTGATGTAAAACAAGAAAGGGTTTGAGATGATTTAATGATCTCTGGAAGATTGTTACGCA